GGGGGGGGGGGGAAGGAGGGGGGGGAGTGGACTGCCGACCTTTTTTTTGTTCACAAAGTTTGGCAGCATTTCATGAGGGAGACTAACTCTTCATAATCTCAGACTGCATAGAGGCCTATGGGGGTAAATGAATGACACACACACACAATAAAAGGGCACCTATAAACAATCGTTAACATTACTACAGAAGTGAAGAAGAAAAAATGAGGTTAAAGAGGATGAAAAATAAAGTACTCGCTCCACGGCCTGTCTTCTGATTACCGGTTTATTCGGCCACTCATCCGAGCGCTACTAAATAAAGAGTCAAGGCCGTTTATTGGACTCAACAGATACACGGGGGTGTGTGCGTATACGCTAATGGTGTTGCGAAGTCTCACTGTTGCAGTGCTAACCCCTCGGCTAAAAGGATAACCCCCCTTAGGGTCTTGTGGCATAAGGTAGTTGCCAAGTTGTTGCGCAAGAGAGGTGACTTGCAAAAGATAGCGGCGGGGGATATCTGAACCAGATCGCGTGAGTTCGAGAGATATGCCGATGGAATAATTTAAATAGATGCCTTCTAGTCTCGAACCCTGAGTGGGGCCGTGGGCGTCTGTGCCCAGAAAGTTGGATGCTATGTAGTTCTTGAGCCTTGGGGCCTCGGTTCTAACCAATCAGCCAAAAGGATGATCACCCTTAGGACCAGGCACGTATAGTACGCAGAACCAGCTGGTCTTCTCAAATGCACCCCCCTATGGCACGGGAAGACACAGATTTCACCAGGTATGTACAGAGTAGCAAGTCAACTATTAATATCTATAGAGAGAACCTATCTTTCTAGGCGAAGAAGCCCACGGGCCGTACCGTCTCGTAGATAGGATTCCAAATCGCCCGCCTCCTTCCTTCCTCCTCTTGTAGTGTACGGAGTCCATACTTTATTTATACCGAACACACTGAATCCTTCGATTGAACAGAGCCAAGCCCATCGGGATGTTGTAAATGCTGCGCATAAAGTTGTTCCTTTTCATTGTGTTTAGAGCTGTTTAACTAAGTTCTCATGCAAAGCAGATCCAAGCTAAGGCAACCGCTGAACTGGCTGAAATGTGACGCAGCTCTTGGTGCAAGAGTCGACTATGGACCACTATGGAGTACGGAGTACTCCGTGCGAAGCTCTGTACTCCGTAACTACTTTGTTTGCCGTTATTTCGATTTGCCAAGCGACAGGTAGCTGGTTATAGTTTACTAGTTAGTTAGCCAGATTGGACCTTTCTGAAACTTTATTTTCTACACCGTACGGAGTACAGAGTACTTTATTATGAAAAATCTTACGATGCCTTGTGTGATATTCACCTTTCCGGAACATTCTTCCCAACATACTAGCCAAACTCGGCAATACCTGTGGAACAGGCAGAGGCAATGCTACTATTTCTAATAAGGTGATCACCTTTTTAGTCGAGTGGCAGGTCCGTCTGATAATACCCCTAAATTTGTCCATCTAAGATGAGATGTCGAAGCAAGCAGTGAGGCCATGCCAGAATACACACCCTGGAGCTAGGGCGGGAAAACATATAATCTACTGATCTTGCAATATTAATAGCTTTGCCGGGACCTTCAATAGCTACGCATCCCAGCCCCGTTGTTCTTGCTTGATCATAACAGAGTAAGCAAGCGGAACGAAATTTGCACATTGAAGGTGTTGACTTTGACATTATAAGAAAGCCGCTCTCTACAATGGGCACTTGTCCCAAGTCTGGATAGATGGCATTGCTCTAAATATTTTTATTTTGCTTCAGGATTGACGCTTATAATCGTTTGAACTCGGGACCCAGCACCAGTCCCAATTACTGGGCTAGAACTCCAATACAGACCTGGAACTCCCCGAAGTTCCCAAGTTGCGCAGGCTCCTACTGGTTATCGACAATGAAGCAGCTATTATTATGGAGTAGTGAAAATCCACAAAAACTCTGATTATATCTTCCGCACCAAGATTATCTTCACTCTAGGCTCGCACATCCACTCAGCCTCGCCGAGTCCGCTCCCCTTAACTCTCTTCTATATGTCAACCGGCCGCCGTGGCCATAGCTCGCTTCTTTTCAGCACTTCCAAAGACAGTCCCATTGTTTGCGTGTTACACTAGATCAATAGAATCCTTCCTTGGCCGTGTGATACACTTCACTTCGAAGTAAGTGAGCTACTTGGTAGGATTGAATTCCCCTATTGAACAAGAAGTGTGTCACGAAATATGAGATCTGGGTCTGATACCCACGCCTGAGATGATATGGTAGCATGAATGGATCCTGGCAAAAATATTATATACAAACTTCATTTGGGGGTATAAAAGAGGCCTCCTGCCCAAGGAATACAAACCTTTTCTTTTTCATCATAACTTGTTCCCTTGAAACATTTTTCTAAATTCATCCGGGACATCTTTACTTTGAAATCGACCCGGTGTTATTCCTGATTGCCTTTCTTTTGCTGAAAAACATGGCACCACTAATTGAAACCTTTTGTTTGTTCATGCCAGCCCTCTCGATGGCAGCGGCAGTTAGCACCCCGCTTGCGAAACGGATAATTAATGGAAGCCCTGCAACATTGGGGCAGTTCCCTTCATTAGTTTCCATTAGTCGAGATGGGCGACATACATGCGGAGGGGTCTTGCTCGATAGCCGCAATGTTCTCACAGCTGCTCATTGCTTTGCAAGTAATGATCAGGCGCTGGTCACCGTCCGAGCTGGATCGCTTGTAAGCGAGTCACTGGGGTTGAGAGGGCCAAATTTATACTAACATATTCACAGAAACACGACGAGGGTGGGCAGGCTGCTGAGGTCCAAACTGTTAAGCGACATATTGGTTTCGACGACGCAACAGTGGAGAATGACATTACTATACTGCAATTAAAAACGCCTATTACGGCGACTAGTCAGATCGGCTATGCTTTGCTCCCTGCCCCAGGGTTCGATCCTACTGAGAGATCAAGAGCATTTACAGGAGGCTGGTACGGGTTCATTCGCTCTGTATTGCCGCACCGACTTCTAAGAAGGGATAGCACTGACAATTGTATTAATAGGGGTGCCACTAAAGAAGGTTCCCTGGAGAATTCCCCCAACTTGCTATTTGCTGACCTTCAGATTGTCGATCGTGCTACATGCAATGCAGCCTACAAGAAGGCAGCAGAGCCAGGGACAGTTACAGAAAACATGTTTTGTGCAGCCAACGGACAAGGCAAAGACACCTGCCAGAGAGATAGCGGAGGTTCTTTGTTTCAGGATGGGGTCGTGATTGGCATCATCTCATGGGGTGAAGGTTGCGCAAATCCCAACTTTCCTGGAGTTTATACAAGAGTTTCCATGTACCTCGACTGGATTAAAGCAAACAGGATTGCAGTCTGAATAACTCCAGATCATTGTTGGGTTGATAGCATAAAGTGAACACAGTGATATCTGATTTAAAAGAACCCAAAAAGCCATGTGTACTCCGTAATTAGATTATCAGCATTGAAATTTGATGACAGAAGCAAACTCATTCGGGAAAGAAGTCAGAAGTTAGTTGTTAAACTCCTGTGGCTACTAGAACCAATGAGCTGCCATAGATAAAACAATCAGTAAATAACCGATAATAGTTATTCATATCCATTTTAAACCGAATCTCACATAAGAACACTCATTAGACACTGGTATAAGTTCTATAGCACGGCAGTATCGGTATTATATTGCCAAATTTGATGTAGAGACTGGCAGAATCCAAATGGCCAATCAGGGTGTGAATAAATATCCATATGTACAAAGGCCTAAGTTGCGAAAGGGACACATTGGTACAAAGTTTGGAGATTGATGCATTTTGGGCGTTCTAGTCGCCAAATCACCTAATCACGTGATATATTTAGTTAACTACCTGTTAGCTAACTTAGGTAAATAGTGAGTTAACTATGAATTAACTTACTAACTAACTTAACGTATTAGGTTTAGGTCCATAGTCAACGTATAACCTTGTTATCCAACGCAAATGATACCGAATAGCCAGATTGAGAGGTCTCAGTATGTGCACGCAGCCACTTGTTCTGTATTTCCCGACTTTTACTTACTATTGATATAGAAATTACTGCCACACCCTCAGGCGCCATGAGAGCAACCAGAATGCTCAGTGCGGCGAAGTCCGCGGGGCATGTTGTCACTGTTGAGCAGGTAATGCGTTTCACCTCAATCATAATTCTACGTTTACTAGATTACCCTAATCGAATTCTGTATAGAAATATACACTTCAATCCTATGGAATATGGGAAAAAATCCGTCGATTCCTCGCCGTTGACCCTAATCGGTCGACTGGTGTTCCCATCAATGCGCAATTCCGAAACCCTACTCCTGGCGCACTCCCTCCGCAATCATACACCGACCCTGTCACGCTTCCTGCTGGAGACATCGCAGATAATCCATATTGGAAACGAGATGTCAGAAGAAACTATGCGCAGTCAAGTGTGTTAACGCAAGCGGATGTTGTTGGACTTCTTAGCGTCGGAAGCAAAGCTGAACCAAACGAGCAAGCTCTTCTTCCCGGAGACGCTGGTGCGCAGCAGCTGGTTGAATTAAAGAAAGAGGGTGAGGAGCGAGGCCTGTCAGCGTTCCTCGCTAGTAAACAGGGCGGCGTTTCCCGGGTGTTGGGACCCAATGGACTCCCTCCACTCCCAGCAAACTTGAATCGCAATGCCAAATATCCGAAAAGCGACGAACAATCATATCCCTCTGAGTAAGCACTGTGATTGCGTTGGCATATTTTGGGCTAACAATTATGTAGGTACCCATGCCGAACATTCGTATAGATGAATACCAACTACACAAGTTGTCCTTCCTTGATTCTATTGTATGTACATTTCAATGTTAAAACATAATTTAAATGAAATTCTCATTTGAACAATCACTTGTATTTTGGCCCAATGCCTTATATATAGCCTCTTATCACAACTTCAAGTATCTCATAAACAGGCTAGGAGGCTTGGCAAGGTCATGGGTAGTTATATAAGCGAAAGTTTTCGGAAATTAGATAATCCGCCCAAAGAATTGAAAGAAAATTGTCTGAGTGCTTGAGTGTGACGACGAGTTGAAAGTATTCACTGCGGACCCGGAGGTCGTCGACATATTTGGAAAGGCTTTTTTAATAATATTTTCCTCTTTAGGCTAAGGACTCGCTGTATGCTTACCTCGAGACCACGAATGGAACCTATCATGCCTAGTAAGCTTCGAGGAAGATTCTAAATTAACGCTTTCGTCCATGGAGTCCGCGTCATCAGCACAGCGGACCGGCCTCGATGCTGCAAGCATTGTGCCTATAACCAAGACGCTTTTGTCAAATCCGGAGGAATTTCTCACTCCATCTGCCCTTTTATACAATCAATCGAGCGTTGCTTTGAAACACTATCTTGACGCCCTTGCCTCAAGCACGACTAAACTCCAGCAGAGTGAGCAGTTGCGACAACGCAGGAATAAGCGAAAACGGGTCGAAAACGAGTTAGTCTCAGGTTCGAACAAACTACAGCTTCATGAGGTACATACAAATGGATTCGATGTGCGACAAATATGGGAACAGGCGCAGCGAGTGCTGAAAGTCTCGTCCGACGTTACACGACACAATACTTTTATTCAGGCCCAAAAATTTCGAAATGGAGTAAATAATGCTGCTGGAAAGAATAATTTGATTTCGGAGTCCTCCGAGGATGCACTATCTGGTCAAGAAGCCGAGTCTGAGGAGGAAGTTCTTCAGAAGTCTAATGAAGACGAAATTTTGGAGGATACACTAGGCTTATCTGATGAAGGCCAGGATGATAATTCCCACCGGCTTTCACTTGTCGATTCTAGCGAACCCAGACTGTCAAAGCAAGATCGTCCGTCGCAAACAAAGCGGCTTGCCCCTTTTATTAAGGATCGCCATGGCCTAAATGATGGTTTTTTTTCAATAGATGACTTCAATAAGCAGTCAAGGTTGTTCGAAGAGCTAGATACCAAGCGTGCTACACTTGATGATATTCCCAGCGACGAAGAAGAAATCGATTGGCAAGCCAATCCTTTCATCACGGCGGGATATGATCAAGACGATAATGACGATGAAGAGAGTATGGGTGGCGTTGATACCGATAGAATGGAGAACGAGGATATATCTGGGGAGTCCGATATTGGTGGTCTTGAGGACGTAACCCGAAATACAACTTATGAGGAGTTTTTTGACCCACCTGATCCGAAGAGGTTACAAAAGAATAATGATGAAAGCCTAAGGAAAGATGGATTTCAACCGTTTGGGTCAGATATTGAGGCTGATGTTCAGAGAGCTATAGCTGATGTTCATCGGGATCTATTCGATGACGAGGATTCGGAAGATTATGAAGGATCGGCATCCAAAACTGCTGGTGCAAAAGAGTCAACACATGAAAAATCTCGAGCCAAAATTACCGACGAGATTCGTCGGTTAGAAGCCGCCAATGTTGCGAACAAAGAATGGACCTTGACCGGTGAAGCCAAGGGAGCCGATCGGCCCATCAATTCGCTCATTGAGGAAGATCTGGATTTCGAACGTGTCGGTAAGCCAGTGCCTGTCATCACAGCCGAGATCACCGACGAAATCGAAGCTCTCATCAAACGAAGAATTGTGGCAAAAGAATTTGATGATATTACTCGAAGGCCACCCCCCGGACTTGCTGATTACGCTGAGGCAAGGTCTAAGTTTACACTGGATGAAACAAAGCCCCAACAAAGCCTAGCTGAACTTTACGAGGTGGACCATCTAAAAGCAACCGATCAAAATTATATCAGTAAAAAGGATGCTAAGATACAAAAGGAACAGAATGAGATTAAACAGCTTTGGAAAGATGTCTGTTCCCAATTAGATACCCTTTCGAATTTACATTTTCGGCCCAAACAGCCTTCAACAAATATTCAGGTGGTGGCAGACGTCGATACAATTGTTATGGAAGATGCTCGGCCTTCTGTTGGCGATGGTTTGGCCAACTCTGGAACCCTTGCACCGCAAGAAGTATATGTCCCTGACGCTCGAAATCGCGATGAATTCGTGACAAAAGGTGGGGCCGCAGTCTCCAGAGATGAGATGTCACGAGAAGAAAAACTCCGAAGAAGAAGACGGGAAAAGCAGCAGAAGCGAAAGAGAACTGCAGACGCCGTCAAACAACCAGAAAGCGCCGCAGCCAAGAAACAGCAACTGGTAACCACCCTTGGAAAGGGTGGTGTCAAAGTTATTGGAAAGGATGGTGCTTTGACGGATGTCCGTGGGCAGAAAATCTCTACATCAAATACATCTACGAGCCGGCAAACCTTCAAGCTGTGAAGTTTTGGATATACCTAAGCTAAGGAAGCTGAGTCATGTACTATTAGAAGATATATTATTATCACCTGCTAGCTGCACCTTTCGTTTTAAAATGTACAAAAATATACTCTGGTGCTTGCATGCAGCATGGTCAATACCATCTGTCACTTCTATGATCTCGAATATTTTCCTGGCCATTTTTATAAACCGTGAATCCGCCTTACGACGCTTTTTAAAACAAAAGTAACATACGGAGTCTTTGTTCATCAATCCGTCAAGTGTGGATACAAGCAGAGGGAATGCCGGTTCGAAATAAACGCAGTCGGCCGCAAGTATGATATGGGGATACCGCGGTAGATTGTTGAGAGCATCCAAATTTCCCCAGTCCAATAATGCAGCAGTCACAGAGCCAGATAGTTCATTCAAAGCGATGTTTCCTTCGATTAGTGGTAACATTGGGATCTGATCAGTGATGTAGATGGGAGAGTCGATTTTGCAACCCCGTGCCACAGCCAGACCAACAAGACCACTACCGGCACCGAGCTCAACACTAAAAGTGTAACCTACGTCAGCAAACCTTTTTAAGCGGATGATGGGGTGTCTAATGAAAGTAAAGCTCACATCTGCTTCCCTAACAAGTCATCCCTATGTTTCCGGAGCATATATTTTGCAAGTATCATCCCAGCTGGCCAAATATGACCACCGCACCCTTCCTTTGGATCTTCCTTAAGCTTCAGGGGTGGATCCAAAAGACCGTCAAACGTAAACTGAAGTGTGGTTGCAAGTTTGATTTCCCTTGCGGGGATAAGTGCTTCACTAACCGCTAACTCTTCGGCATCGGCAGGGCCCGTTGCGATGTTAGAGGGGCACTGATCCATGTCGCTCAATTGTAGAGATAAAATCTAGGTACAGTTGTTGGTGAGTTATGAGATGTTAAGGAACAAGCAGGGTTTTGCTCGAGGGCAGGTCCGGCCGTCACAGCCTGCTGCTCTTTTTTTTTACGATCTTATTGTATCTGATAAGATTCCTAGGTGCAGAGGTGAATGGATAACATCACGTGAATTTGTTGGCTAGTTAGTTAACTGTCCTTGGCGTTTCCAAGTTTGCACTTGGTGCAAACACAACCTCATGTCTTTGTTATGAGATTGTTCTGATGATACAATCCACCCCTCGAAAACCCCGCATTGCCCCATACTATTGATGGTTATGAAGTTGGGCCCGGTAAGCGTCAGCTGCCGGCCGACCTATCCAATGACTGGATCATTGTTGTCCTCACTAACGTGATGACATGCAAGCGGTATTTTAGATATCTTAGACGGAACGGTGACATAGCCCGGTGCTTTGATCACCCAAAAAAATTGCTACATGCTCGTAATTAAGAGGTCTCCCCTTTTAAGCATAACTAGGGTCCATTTTTCTCCAAAAAGCCTCAACTTGTTTCCTTTGAGGCACCTCGGCATAGTCTGCTTACGAGGCTTTTGGTATCAAGTCGGAGGTAACATTTGAGAAAAAATGCCTCAATATCTTCACTCATCCGGGGTACTCACGCGATCAAACCTGGGGTCCCGAGATGACTGGGAGTACTATAAAACGAGGTTTGTACCCCCGGATTTTCGACAGCTCATCGAGTCAACTACTTCCATTACAAGACTATACTTCTTTTTTCTGAGTTAATATCGCTCCTGCAACTTTTGCTATAACCTTCAATATGCAATTCAAGACCGTCGCGGCATTCTGCCTCCTCTGGCTCGCTCCCCTCTCCCTTGCGGCCCCCACGCCAAACTCAGAAAACACGCCCGATCACAAGTTTCCTATAGATCACTACTTGAAGAACATTATGCCTTTCCAGCTTCAGCGGTTCAACGAATTCCGAAATCAATTTCGTGAGATCGTGACCCCGGAACAAAATAAATTACTCGAAAAACTCGGGAATATGTTCAAGTCCGGAAATTTCAAAGACTTGGAGTCCCTCGTAGCTGAGGGTGAATCGATTTTCCCTTCTGAACAAATGCAAAAAATCACCGATAGGGATATCACCACTCCTCGCATCTTTTTCAAGCAGGCTCGTACGTTCGGCCCTCACTACCATCAATTTGTCTCCCAAGCGCGGACCATTGTCGTTTGGTACCAATAAGCTATCGGATCTGCAACGACAAGTGAGGAGTGATGAAACATCTTCGGGTTCATGCTCTCCAGAATATTGCACCAGCCCCGGGCCTACTACCGGCTTTCAGTGTAGATGCAAGGGAATCCTGCCTTGGATGGACTGCAGGAAATTCTGAAGCGAAGAACCGTTATTAACCTCTGGGCGGCTCTACAATACTGGACCTCGATAAGAATGACTCGGCGTTTACTGGTGCATTTTGCATGATACGATATGTACTTATGAAAGATACGTGAATGAACTTGATCGAGTCTTTCTTGGTTTTCTTTATCCTTTTAAATTACCCCGGAAAGCGGTGACATTGCCTCTTGTTGGTATTAGGGTGACTTGTCACCCAAGTTGGCCGGACACAGTTTAACTATCGAGCGCAAGAACGCCAGAGCTATCCCAACCCAAGTGTGTTTCCGGCTGGTATTAATACATATGCTTTCTACCTCAGTTACCAAATTTAACTTATTGTTTGCATTTAGATAATGAGCAAATGCTTCCAAGAATAATACATGTAATCCATAATTTAGACTTCGGTGCCCAACTTTGCTGATCGACCAACTTGGTTTCAGAAGTGAGAAATCAAGATAAGGCACCAAACGGCCGAAATGACAATTCTACAGCAAACGGTCATTTTTTCGCATCTTTCTCTTGTTTTTCGCGCATCGCAGCTCGGGCACTTCTGCTGCCGCCCAATTTAGGCCCGCGGGGGGCATCGCTTTTGGTAGACTTAGTCGCTTTGGAACGGACGCCCCGTCTACGTGACTGTATCGCGTCCAGAAAGTCACGCCGGAATTGTTCAGCAATGCGGTCATCTGCAGCTTGATCACCATCATGATGCTCCTGCTCCGGCTCTTCATAGACATCCACTATTGGCTAATCAGTATATATTAGAATAAATAAATAAAGAAAAGGACCTACATTTGCTTTCCCGCAATACTTCTTCCACAAGTTGGTCCCGTCGGATATCATCGCTATTCCGTCGATTTCGGTGACGCCAGGGTTTCCCATCCTTGTCCAAGCGGCCTCTTTTTGCTAATGTATCCCTACCGTCAACTTGCGAAGTTAACTCACCGCCTACAAGGCTTCTTGTAGCAGCTTCTGTGCGTTCAATGTTTCGCAGTTTCGAATCAGGTCCAAGGTCTATTTCATGTAGTTTGCCTAAAGTAGCTGGTTGGCGCTGAGGTAGCCTCATCTCTCGTTCCTGTCGGGCATGGCCCTCAAAAGATGCCTGGTTGGATACAGAGTCGGCCACGGGGCTTTGGCGATGACGTTTTGAAATTTCACTTTCTATATAGGCCATCCTTATCTCATCAGTCTCCATTAACGCCAAATATGGAGTTCATCAGAGTTATACGTACATATGCTTGTCCACATCGACTCTTTGTCCCGTAAGGCCAATAAACCGGTCTGAAATTCCACCTAATCGACCGCTTAAGGCCTCACCCGCCTCTTCGGCGGATGCGATGGGCCTGGTCTCCGGAGTATGCCTGGTTTCAGCAGAAAATTCAATCCCTGGCCTCCGGGTCCTTAGTGCTCTACGAGCACGAAGTGCCTCGACGGGAAGAGCCTCGCTCGCATCTCCGACCTGTGCAGAAATGGGGCCATCGATTAAAGTCTTTTCAGCTTGTGACGTGTTGGGTGGAGAGTTGGGGGAAGGTGACGTGCCCTGGCGCTTGCGAATGAATTTTCTCCTTTTCGACGAGTTGAAAAGCGGTTCGTCTAATTCCATTCCGATGTGCTATTTGCAGCTCCAGTGATGATTGCGGCTTGGAAATTTGGAGTTGAGCTTTAGATTAGATAAGAGACAAGACAAGCCAGAGCGCTATTCCTAATACGGAACCCATTTTCCAACCTCGCGATTTGAGCGTCATATTTTGTATGCCAGGAAACGAAACAAGCCAGAAATTTTACTACCTCTATATTTTGTCTGTTTAATAGGAGCTTCTCGTTTTATATTCGCCTAGTGTTCCGTTAAGCTACCTGGTTGGTCCCATTGACGGGCAAAATGAACCCTTCAGCACCACCTGCGACGGCAGAATACGGTGGAGGTATGTTCGTTCCGATTTCGTGCGATATGATAATAACTAAACATTATTGCACATACAGATGAGGTTTCTGCGATTATCCTCGATCCCGGTTATTCTTCAGTACGCGCTGGATTTGCCGGCGAAGACGCCCCCAAATCCGTAATACCAACCTACTATGCGAAATACCCCACAACAGGACAGGAAAAGTACATATATGGCGATAGTATTTATGTGTCTCCACGACCTGGGCTATCTATCAATAACCCAATGGGAAAAGATGGAATTGTAGAAGATTGGGATATGGCGGAGAAGTTGTGGGAATACTCGTTTTCATCGCGATTGACTCGCACACAGCCGGGCAATCCAATGCTAAACGGATTGAATGACCCGGCGGAATTACCAACTGAGATGGAGATTGTTGAGGCAGAAGAGAAATCACTATCTGATACCCCTCTGCTCATGACCGAGTCTGGTTGGAATCCAACCAAAGCCCGCGAGAAGACCATTGAAATAGCAATGGAGAGTTGGGGAGCGCCTGCCTTTTACCTTTCTAGAACCGGGACCTTAGCAGCGTGGGTATTCCGATTCCTTCAATTCGCGTTGGAGCATGCTAAAATTGTTTACATAATTCAGATTTGCGGCAGGAAAAGCGTCAGCTTTGGTCATTGACATTGGAGCATCTACAGTCTCAATCAGCCCTGTCCATGATGGCCTAATATTAAAACGCGGCGTCCAGCACTCTCCTCTTGGTGGAGACTATCTCTCGTCCCAGATTCGCGCTCTTTTCAAACAATACACTCCACAACCTATCACAATTACACCTCACTACCTCATCTCATCAAAGACAGCTGTGGAAGCTGGCCAACCGGCTCAAGCTACATACCGCGCAATTCCAGAAGATCAAGCACCCGATCCGTCCTTTCGTCTCTTGCTAGAAAACCGAACTCTCTCCGAATTCAAAGAATCTGTCGTTCAAGTTTGGCCCGGTCCAGGCGGCTTATCAAGTGTAAACCAAACAGGTGTCGCCAACGAGGATATTGCGAAGAACAGCCCAGGCCGCCCCTTCGAGTTTCCTGATGGTTATAACCAATTATTTGGTGTAGATCGATATCGGGTTGCGGAATCCATATTTGACGCGAAAGCTGCGATCCCCGATCCTGATTCTGAATTTCCTGCGCCCACTGCTGCTCAAACAATACCAGAACTTGTGCGCAGCGCGCTCAATCAGGTTGATATTGATATTAGACCGCATCTACTCAGCAATGTTGTTATCACTGGCGGGTCCAGTTTACTGTACGGATTCAACGACCGCATAAACTCTGAATTGACGGGAATGTTCCCCAGTCCACGTGTACGTTTATTTGCACCTGGAAATACGGTGGAGAGGAAATTCGGATCGTGGATTGGTGGGAGTATTGTCGCAAGTCTGGGCACGTTTCACCAGATGTGGATTTCAAAGAAGGAGTATGAGGAGCATGGCCCCAATATTGTCGAGAAGCGGTGCAAATAATTTATACGACTTGCTCTGGGTTATTTTGCAAATGTTACAAATATTGAGCACAACTGCCTTTTGTCCCCCTTCGCGCCCTTTAGATGGATTGATCGATTTGTCTTTTTTGAAAAGGTTACGTTTAGGGTATGGATATGGCAGGTTGATTGGGTTCAAATACCCGACAGGTTATGAGAAAAGCAGTGTATGGATTGTAAAATATGGGATCTTCTGGGATCTTTGATGCTCAGGAGTCGAATATTGATTAACTTAGGTACTCTATATCGCTATAAAAACGCAAAACAAAACTGAAAAAAGACTACCTCTATATTATACTCTGTTCTCTTCCGGGGTTCCGTTAGACTCCTGGGTAGCCACTGGAATATACTCTCCCCCATTTGTTGTTGCATGGTTCACTCCCTCTAACGCATCCGCAAGCTCTTTGGCGTCGCGTTTTCCTCGGTCAACATCAACAAGTAACATCAAAGGTAACGGAAGCAAAATCAAGATCGCCAAAAATCCAAAAGCAGGTCTAATCTCCCCGTACCGGTCTGTTATAGCACCCACGATTGCAGGGCCAAACATGCTGGAACCTTTATCGGTAATCGCGTACAAAGCATAAAAGGACGCTTCAAAGCCAGGGGGGATTAATTCCCCAAAGAAGCTTCGACAGTAGGAGGAAAGACCGCCAATAACAATTCCATATACAGCACCTAGAACGTACATTTCCCACGGTTGTTGGAGGCCAAAAACTCCAAGTCGTTGAATGGCGGGGAGGAATCCAAGCAGTCCGTAGAGTGGTATAATTTCGAAGAGACAGATACAGGCAACGATTGTCCGGGAAGGCCGAAGCTTAAAGTGATGAGATACATAGCTCCATGAAAAGGCGCCAATGACACCTGAGGCCATTGCAGTGACGTTGATAAGGCCAAGGGCGGCAATCTCCATTCCAAGCTGGGTTTTGGCGAAGAGCACTGCTGTGCCACTAACCGTGGCAATGCCGTCTGAAAGTAGAAACCATGCCGCAAGGAACAATAGAACATCTTTCAGTTGACGAGCATGTAGCATTGTCCGACCTAGAGAAAGCCAGGCGAATGCTATATAGCTGACCCAAGCCCATCTTCCTTTGCCGTATGCGGACTCTGGGAGAGGAGGGCCAGGCCGAGGGCGGAGCCATAGCGCCGCTGGCAGCGAGAAGACAAGCCACCAAACTCCAATAACGAAAAGAACAAGGCGGAGAGAGAAGGTGGTCGAATTGGTGGCAACGACTAACAAAATGCACGTAACTTGAACTAAGACCGACGCAATGTATCCGATTCCGATGCCATTGGAAGATATCTTAGTCGATAACTGTAATTCTGCTGATACTAGTGCCGAATTGACAGGTTCGACTTCTTCAAGGATCGCGTTACCATCCTCAATTCTAGCGGAGCGATGTGCGCGCTCTTCCTCAGCGGCGGTAATGCGAGCAGCTTGGATAGATGGGTCATTTCGTACAAGAACAGGCAGAAACGAATTTAAAAGCACAAACGAGGCACCAAACCCAGTGTTGGCAACAATGGCCAGCACTGCAGCCAGGAGGTAAAGCCGTGGAAGCAGAAACAGGAACAATATCATAGACAGGGCACCCACCACTGCAAAAGTTAAAAGGAATGTTTTCCGGTACACACCATGATCTGCTGCAGCAGACATTGATATAATGATGATTGACTGCACCAACACACTTAATGAAAAGGTATACATGGCAAAACTAGCAGTATTGATCTCCATGCCCAGTACGTAGATTACGCACTGAGGAGCCCCAGTTGGAGGAGAAGCAGTAATGTTTGACGTGACATTCGATGCTGTACCCAGCCCGGGTGCTGGAGTAGTCGGCCAGCTTGCGGTGCACGGAGTTTTCTTGTCTGACAGTAACACACCCTGGTCTCTGGTCATCTGCTCCAGGGTAATTGGGAGGAACGAACCTGGCCCCAAGGCATATCAGTAAAGGGGCCACGAAGTAGTTACTCCGTAGAGAAATGATGAAGCGGATCATACCCATGGCGCATACGGCGAACACCTCGGCGGCCCAGCCATAGCTATACCAGCCGGCCAGCTCCTTTTTGCTGGTGGGCCTAGTATCCTCAGCCGAATACTTGGCGCGGACGGGGGGGTGTATGAGGGCATCACTCTCACCGGACTCTCCCCGGCGCTGTGGCAGAGAGGTTGTCATTAGGACGCAATGGTGAGTGGTCACGTCGACCTCATCGTGATCGAACAGTTGAGAGGACACGAAGGATTCAGCGGCGGCCAATGATCGGCAACAAAAGAGATCGTGATCATGCTGATTATGTCATAATCACGTGGCTCTTTTGTAGGCCATAAAACAGCATGATACTAGGCCTGATGCACTCTAGCCACAGCGCCGCATCTAGATTCCTTGGCGTTTTCCCGTGCACCGGTTGGTCGGGACGGAAAAATAAAGCTCCATGCGACCGGTGTTTGGTTTCTGCCCGTTGCGCCAGCCCTGAAACCGTTCGTCTGCCTTGACAACCTTGTCTCTTGAGCATGGAAGTGGTTTGGTTGGTATATTAATAGCATCCCATCGGTCAGCTGGTTTTTCAGTTGGACAGCCGTGGATCTTTATTATTTTTAGGCGATCACAATGCTCTGCCCGAAGCATCGAACCTGTCTCGCGGAAAGTGGAGCAAGTTAAAATGAACGACTCGGTTCTCCTGAGGGCACGGGCCTGGCGGGTCTCTGCTGCTCCTACGGAGTACTCCTCCTGCTGTTGCTGCTGCTGCGCTCCGCTGCCCGCTGCCCGTTGCCCGCTGCCAGTCAGCATGCGGCGGGACTTGTCTGTCCTGCGACTGCTCGACTTGCCTAATGGGATGTCCAAGCCTCACCGCTGTGGCGGCGCCCCTGGCCCCCCGGCCAATCAGCGTCGCCCAACACGTCCCTCCTGAGACATTGTCAGGGGCACGCTAGCCCGCAACCGGAAACGGCAGCGACGTGTTTCGTACAATACCGGCCGGTACCGCCTGTTTGGCTGCGGGCAGTCTCCGAGGCGCCCGTATTTCCTAGCCCATACCCGCCCGGCGCTCGCTTCGTGCAGCTTCGCGCTGGAGACCGCCAGCTTCGTCTCTCAAACAACCCAAAGCCACTCTCGTTCCCCTCGCTCGTTGATTTGTTTCCTGGCCTCTCTGCCTTCTTGCTGTCCTTCATGGCGTTGCTCGCCTTTCCTTGACCTGTCCTGTGAACTGCTTCTTTGTCCTTTGTCTATACTCCGTACCGGCGTTTCCTTGTTTGGTTTCCCTCTCCCTTTTTTGCCCCTGCTATACTCCGTATCCTTCTTTTCTGTGCGGGTTGACCCTGCTAAACATCTGCGACACCCCCTCTTCCTCCTCCGCCTCTGCGTTTCCTGGTTGGTCCAAATACATATTGCGTGACCTGGACTTTGCCTGTCCTGTTCAGCTGATACCTTGACGCCACACTTGGATGTGAACAGTCCGATCCGGAGCAAAAACGCTGCAACCCGCCTCCTCATCTGCCTCATCCTTTCGCGGTATTTGCTTTGGGCGTGGCCCTGTATCTTCATAATGGCGCTGGGACGCTATTTCGCAGCTGTCTCTCTGGTCTTCACGGTTTTTTGCAGCCAGGCGCGGGCGGGCGATATTTTAAAAAATAATGGCTTTGTTACCTGTTTGGACAACGCCGATATCAAAGTGGATAAACTCAACCTGAGTTTCGACCGTTCAACCAAATTGATGACATTCGATGTGGCCGGATCAAGCTCCAAAGAACAGAAAGTCATCGCGTCGCTCGTTGTTACTGCGTATGGCCAGCGATTCACGCAAGATTTTAATCCCTGTGATGAAAAAACTAAAGTAGAACAGCTGTGTCCAGGTAATCCTCACTTAATTTCATACTGTAGTCATTGCACTGATCCCTTTATTCCAGTTCCCGCTAGGTCTTTTGCTGCCAAAGGCCAACAACAAATCCCCTCCGCTTTCGTTGACAAAATCCCGTCCATCGCGTTTGCAATTCCAGATCTTCAAGCTCAAGCTACGTTGGAGTTGAAAGCCACAGATGGGAACCAGCCCCTTGCTTGTATTCAATCTCTGGTTGGTAATGGAAAGACGCTCGAAACGCCTGCAGTGTCCTATGTGGCTGTAGGCATAGCTGGCGCTGCACTGGCGTTGACAGGCCTCAGCGCTGCCATTGCAGGTGGGACGCCTGGAGCCGCCACATCCGGCCCCAGCTTCGGTGATGTTATCGGGTGGTTCCAGTCAATGGCCATGAACGGCATGCTGAGCGTTAATTATCCGCCCGTGTATCGAAGCTTTACCAATAACTTTGCCTTTAGCACTGGCCTTGTGCCATGGTACGAAATGCAAACTACGATTGATGACTTTAGAAACCGCACTGGAGGAAATCTGACCAATAGCAACGCTCGATATCTACGAAATGCCACGTTGGTATTTGCAGACAACATTGATAAGAAACAAACCGCGAAACGCGGTCTCGACTCCGCTTTCAATATATTACCCTTGGCAATTCGAAACGCCCAAGCCTCCCCTAGTCCCACTCCCTCTAATAGTGAAAACAAAGACCAAAACGGAGTAAATCATGTTGTTACAGGCTTCAAGGCATACGTCGAGCGACTTTCCATCCCAGCGCCAAACACGTTTATGACTGTGCTACTAATCTTTGCCATCGTTGTTGCTGCTATTGCTGTTGGTATTTTGCTGTTTAAGCTTATCCTAGAGCTTTGGGCGCTCTGGGGCAACTTCCCTAAGAAGCTTACTAATTTTCGAAAACACTACTGGGGCCTTCTTGCTCGAACAATTACAAACTTAATTCTACTTCTATACGGCATTTGGACATTGTATTGTGTCTTTCAATTCACCCGCGGTGATTCCTGGGCTGCTAAAATCCTTGCTGCAGTCACCCTTGCAATATTTACCATAGTCCTTGCCTACTTCTCTTTTCGCATTTGGAGCATTGCCCGAAAGTATAAAAAGGCTGAAGGCGATGCGGCAAGTCTTTATGAGAATAAGGAAACCTGGCGGAAATACAGCCTTTTCTATGACAACTACAAAAAGGGATATTGGTGGATTTTCTTGCCATGCATTGTATACATGTTCGTCAAGGGATGCATCATTGCAGGTGGCAATGGACACGGCCTCATACAAACTGGGGCACAGCTTATTGTGGAGGCTCTTATGCTTACTCTCCTCTTGTGGGCCAGACCTTTTGAAACAAAGTCCAGTCAATGGATCAACATAACCATTCAAGTCGTACGCGTGCTTTCCATAGCATGCATCATCGTCTTTGTGGACCAACTAGGTGTTGGGCAGACAACGAAAACTGTCACCGGAGTTGCTTTAGTTGCTGTGCAGTCAACATTAACTGGACTCCTAGCCATCCTGATTGTGGTGAATGCAATAATCCTTTTGATCAGGAAAAATCCCCACGTCAGACGCCGGAAAGAGAATGGTAAGTTTATCCAAAGGCTAACCGGATAGCCGATGCTCGTACAACATACTGATCCAGAAACTCAGAGAAATACGATCGTGATCTTGATAATCTTACGCCTCTGGATGCGCGCAACTCCCTGTTGATGAATTCTCGCACGGACGCTCCTGGGCAGCAAGACCCAGAAGTCGGCAAGTTGAACGTTGTTGGCCGTTACGAGCCATTCCGGGACGTGCCTCTGGGAAGGGTCCAACACCAAGCGTCCAACAGCACCGATCGGCTGGTACCCCATGACCGGCCGATAGGTGATGCCGACAGACACGGTGGCAGTGGCGGCTATACCGACTACTCACGCGTTGGGAGAGCCTACTAAAGTCAAACATAACAGGTTCTCCTCAACAATCGCCGACTCAGAATTTTCCCTCTTCCTACTCAAACGAATTTCCTTTCCGTTATCAAGATACCATACCGTCGTCCATAGCATGTTCTGGCATTTTCGCATCTGATATATTTTGGTCTTCTATTCTACCATTTACACCCCAGCTTCGATACTCTCTCGTGGTAGAATATTTTTACTTCATGCGTCTATTGCCTTTTTTTGGGCCTTCGGTACAGCTATTTATTTTTTCTTCTACTGTAATATCTTTCAAGATCCGTCTGATTCAAATTCATTTGGCTAGAAAAGCAGTCGCCACGCTTTGTTTTGGACCCATACCCTCAGTGCCTTGATCCCTACTTGCCACCAAGCTGGCACTATGTCCCAGGCCGCCTCTCCTTGATACATGTACGGCGTTTTGACTTATCAGTATTTAAGTCTTTGTTTATTTGCGTGGTACAGTCGCGTTGGTGTAATATGGTGTGTAGATCTAAGATTCCTCTAGCATAGCCTAGAAAATACATACACTCAGTACTTGGCACTTGTGAAATTAAAGATCTCGGGTAACAGTCAGTTATGTTGCAGTTCCAACGACCTTTTAATACCTAGGATCTTTAGAGTAAAAAAAAAAGATTTCTAATAATCATCAAAATCATAATAACATGCCCTTAAACATAAATCAAGCCTGATCCACATCATCATCCTCCCCTAGTCCGGTTTCTGCCCAGTCCCAACCCTTGAACATATCTCGTGGCTCCATGACCCCAATCTCATTTCGGATAACACAAACTTCCTCGTCGGGCCCCTGGCATACCTTCTTCCTCCCCAAATTCTTGAACCTTGGGCCCAATGGCCCGCTCACATAATGGTACTGCCCGGCAAAACTGTACTGGCGGCGATCGCTTAAAGGATAGATTTTGTCCCCCCAGTGGCCGCGGAAATCGAACCATTCAACAGGTGCGTCAGGCGTCAATTGAGAGGGGTAGAGGCTGTCGTTATGGACAGCGTAGGTATAGGCGTAGAGGTTGAGTGCCGGGTCCCAGAGGGGTCCAGTGTCTGTTTGGTCATGAAGCAGGCCCCAAGGGAGAATGTATGAATGTATGCCCGGCAGGGCATACATGGCGTGGGTTCCGGTTGCGGAGTAGAGTACGGGCTATTCAATGTTAACATGAAATTTGAGGCCGGACCTACAATGGGAATATTAGGAAGGAAACAACTGACCCGTTTTCCAGATTTCTCCATGGCATCATATGTGTATGCCTTTCCACCAGAATGTTCACTAAGAAAGACGAACGTAGGAACCCCATTATAAAACCGAACAAGGGAATGCTCCCAGTCACCTACGTGGTTCCCGAAGCGAACGTTAAATACCATATTGCCAAGGTTGTAGCTATAGAAGTAGAACCAGAAGGCATCGACGATACCGTCCCCTTTGTCGACTACTATGAGCACAGCGGGGGCTTTACTTTTGCCACCTTGTTTTTTTGCGTGGCCTTTATAACTAGGTCCTTGTCCTTCTGTTGAACTTTGCTCCTTATTAGGGGGCGCCGGGATGTTTTCCCGGCCCGTTAGCCATTCTGGTCGACGTTCTACGTTGTCGTTACTCGTCAGGAAAACGTGGCGGCCACTCTGCCAATTATTTAATTTGTCGAGGTCGTCCAGAAGTGGATGTTCCCATGTAGCCTTGAGAGGAGTGTAGTTCAAGTATGGTGTAACGTAGTGAAGATGTTTTCCAATATCACAAGGCCAGAAATTCTCGTCAGAGAAAAGGTGAACCAAGGGAGCATGTTGAAGCACATAGTCTGGAATATTGTGGGGAGCAAGCGAGTTACTCGAAAGGTTTTGTAAATGAATATCGCTTTCTATGTCTCCGGTTTGTTGTAGGAAGTTGTCTAGGTTGTGTTTGAAGTCATTTAGAAAAATGATTTCATCAAGCTGATTGTCTCTAGGAACGAGATTCCAAGGCAAAAATCCCCTTAACCAAGAGAAAAGGTTCCAGATATACGTTTTGGTCTGCTTTCCTGATGGAGGATCTACCGGCTTTACCTGATTAGGAGCAATTGTTATAGTAAGACTTTCTTCAACATCAAATAGTATCTTTTCATCAGGAGACTTCGAAAGGTCTAATTCAACACCAGGTAGGGTTGTCACAAAATCATCATCTGAACCGTGTCTTCCATTTGTATCCCCATTGGTCTGGATGGGATGTGGTGATGGCAAAACCTGTGACGATGAAATAGTAGAGAGAAAAATGGAAGTGTGTGCTGCAGATACGGGGTCTGCTAGTGGTAACTGGAAGACTGCATTATCTAGTGGAGCCACTATGATGATTGGTTAGCAGCTCTACATTAGAAGTCTTGCAGCACGATAGTATCGCTCTGACTCGTATAAGGAAAATCTGAAATTATCAGATTTAAGTCTTTTCTGCAAGAAATCTAAGAAGCAAGCACTTGAAAGACTTTAGGTAATACATATAAGCCACAACCAAGGCTTTTGCTGCTCCTTCTGGGACAGCGAGGGGAGCAGGGAGTTCAGAGAAGAAGCATACTGAGAATAGAGGAACTTACTCAGCCGTATTCAGAAGGAATATTCCATTAAATTTGTGAGGAAATGACTGCAGCAACTGGAGTTGTCAGCCTTGGCCGGCTTGCTCGAGTGGAAGTCCGCTTCCAGGAGAAGAAGCATGAGGTGACAAACGTCTGTGAAAGCTTGTTTTAGGCTTTGTAAGCCCAAATTCTGAGAGAGAAGCTGAATATATTTGGAACAGTGTCTATTTGTTCCCCTTGCACGTAGATCACGAAGAGGAGCAAATGTCAACTTTGTGATGCGGCGCCATACGGAGTAGTAGAGATACTCCGTACTTTCCGCTAAGAATAGCAGCGGCCCCGCAGAGAGCTAATTGGCTAGTTAATTAGTTAGTTACTCCGTATACTCCGCGGCATTCCAAGGCGACGTCATCAGGGGAAGCTCCATGCTAACCTGATACAGCTAGGGTTGTTAGGGTTACCTCTACCTACCTGATCGCCTTCTCTGGCGTCCACACAAAAGCCCGAGGGGTAGCAATGCCGTCTTCATCCAAAGATCATGCACCACTAGGTGAGATGTCAGATGAGTCGGACTACGAGTATGAGTATGATGATTCTCAAACTGAGGTATGTGTCAGGCTCGTCTCAACCGGGATCCCAGAATCTGACAGTTCCTTTTCTCGTTAGACGGTTTTTGTTACCCTTGACTTGTCCTCCTACAATGGCCCAATGCGCCCCCCAAGGAAGAGATCTTCTGCTTCTGTCGAATCTTTGGTGTCGTCTGGTGATGCTGGGAGCTCCCACATCGGATCCCCGACTCCTGATAAGGATGAGGTTGTAGGAGGGGAACCGGATCTAGATGTACAGTTGCAGAATCAGATCCAAATAATGGAACTCCATTCGTCAAACCCTATTGTCTCATATCAAAATCAATTTTTTAGCTGCTCCTGGGGCGACCAGATTGGTACCGACATGCTATTTTCGCTACCAGACGCAAAGGCTGAACTTCCCATTTTGCGACGAACGCAGAATTTTGATCTGATTACCACAACTCGAGTCAAAGTTCTAGGCCAAAAATCACACCTTATTTCAGGAGCCAGTCTTAGCCAGGCTCGAAGAATGCAGCCTGGAGCTGTAGCCACTGGGCAAGCGCAATTCCTGGAGTGCCTGATACAAGCAAAGAGAGCTAAGGGCGAGGTGGACATTGTCCGAACAGCTTTTCCACATGCCCAGAAGCGAAGTCAGGCTCTAGACGAGAAACTTCAGGGCTGGGCAAGAACAGAAGGAATGCTTGCGGAGCTCGAAGAATTTAGTCAGCGAGCTCGAGATGGCGACCCTAGCGCGATGAGGAGATTGGGGGAGATTTACGCCCAATTTGATGCGGCGATGCGTAACAACTCCAGGCTTGGTGTCATTACTGGTAATGACGAGCTACCGATCCCATCCGTGGCACAACAGGATACTCAAACCCCTCCCAATGCCGATGCAAATAAATAAGTGCTAGGTATCAGCTGCCTCTAATAGGAGAAGGCTGCCTGATATCACAAATGTGGGATTATATTTCAAACAGCAATGCCAATATCCTAGAAGTACAAATTACTAGAATCACTGCAGGTTCAAATACCAACGCAGGTTGAAGACGAACAGGTATGGGTATAAACAACTATCGCCAAATCCCCCGGAATGCCTCAATCCGAACACGCGAAAAACACCCGAATTACTGGATTAAAAAGACTGGATTAAAAAGGTTAAACTCGAGTTTTTAAATTTCGATATTCATAATGAAATTCGGAACAAGAAACGTGGAGTATTTTAGCAGGAATGGGGCCATTCATATCCAGTACTTTTTTAGGCTAGGAAGCAGAGGGCATAAGATTTTCACCCATCGTCCACCCAGAAGCCCCAACTGGAGATGGGGGTGGCGGAGGTGGTTGTCGATATTCCCCTTTTAGCGAGGTGTATTTTGGAATACTTGAGGATGCCTGTATGGCTTGCCAAATATCCTGACTTAGTATCTCCGTCGATAAGGTAAGCTTGTTCGGTGTATTGCTGCCATTACTGCTGCTTTTTGTGGAACTCGGATTGATCATGGTAGGTATTCGGAGAACGGGTGCTGACTGGTTCTGGTAACGGGCGCAGCAATTTTGAGGCATATTCTCATCGGTCGATTAGGAGGCGGCCTCGGTTAGAGAAGCCTGCGCGACAAGGACAGTTTTCGGGATATCAATCTGGAGTCGTGTGAGAAACTCGAAAGCGTCCAAGCTTTTCCTGGGCGATGAATAGTTAGGACCGAGAGAGAATGCAGCAACTATTAAGAAGTGGAAAATATTGAAATAAGAGACGTTGCGGCGGATGTACTGGAGGCAGAAAGACACGAAAGAATGGATTTGGCAAAATTTGGAGTACTGCGCAGTCTCGCACAGAAACGAGAATAATGGGGCGAAGCGACCGCCCAGGGTCTTCAATTTATATTTCAATCCTTCGCCAGGAGTATTTACAGAACAGGTCTTTGTTCGCTCAAGCGCGGTGATTCAAAGTAATTTTCACAAAACAAAAAATGACCCCGGTCCCTTCTGTTGGAACAGGGGGATTTGTACGGCTGTAACCAACACACACAATTCGCTGGGAGTGCTTTACTACGCTGCAAACGGCAAAGCATGACCCCCGTTGAATCTGCACCCCGTATTATGTTGCATTTGCAGGGTCGAGACTAGTGAACGTGGCGAGCAGGGCTGGGCCAGAACCGAGGTTTCATAATATGTGCCCTGGACGGAGTACGGAGCACGAGATCATTTGTTTTCTCTTCTCCGTCCTTCTTCAAGCTACCGCGTAGTTACATACAGTCTTCTTGTGCTGGCCGGGCTTCAGCATAATACGGACAAATCAGCAGGAGAGAACCTATCCCTGGAGCTGTTTTTATCAAGAGACTCCAGCAGCTGGGTGCAAAGTGCGATCAGCGGAAACGTTTTGCTGATTTCGTTTGCGGCCCCTTGCGGACGGCTCGGCCTGGCCCGGGGACACTCAACCTTTTTCGGCGACAAGGCGCAAATCATCGCCCTAGCGCGGACCGATAGTGAAGAGTTGGCTGGTTTATCAGCGTGAAACACTCCTCCCCCCTGGTTTTCTATTGCATAACCAAGGTTTGTGCTCTAATTAAGGTATGGAAGAACTGTTATGCGCTGAAGTACTCCGTAAAACCAAAAAAACTCCGGTGTTACTTTTCTGGATGGAGTACGAAGTACCGTTTGTAATAGCCCAGGATATAGAATGCCATCGCTAGCTATATTGTGCCTTTGCCTATCTAGACCGCCATTCTTGGGTCGATTTCATTTGATGCTTTTCTTCGTTGTTGCAACGGACCCTTATGGGTCGCTCGCTTTTTTGCTTCGTTTGTAACCAGGGATTTTCGACTGGTTTACGGCGTCACTCAATTGTGACACTCAAACAAAGCTTGTTCAACTACACTTCTCACCACTATCTCTACAATGACCGGCAGGCTAAAGGTCGCGAAAATTTAACACCCACTCACATCTCTGAACTCTTCTGCCACTGAAGTTTAGGCCGCTACCCTAGTTTCTTACAAGAGAAGAGTGAAGTCGGACAAAGCTCATGGCAAGCCTCCTGCAGTCTGTGGGTTTCTTCTGGTATCAAAGGGACCAGATTTGGTTACCAGCTTCATTATTAATATCGAGGAATGACCTTTTTCTCCTTTTCACCATTTGGGGCCCTTAGAATTTTGTACTATGGATAGTAGAAAATAGCTGGCCTAAAAAGTCTTCAGGTATATATATTGAGGATGATTTTGACATATTCTTTGTGTAAAATGAATCATTGGCTTTGGCTAACTATGCACAGGCAAGTGACTTCAATATACCCATGGTATTGGCTACTAAGAGCTTTAATGGACGTGAAGGTGAAAAAATCTGAGCAATAAACTTCCTCATTAGACTCACTTCCCATTTGTGGGGAGTTATAAAACATTCATATTAATTTACTAAAAGTCTATTCCTTGCTTCATACCTCCTACCAGAGGACCTCGCGAGTTCCCTGAATAAATAAAAATAAAGACGCCTAAGCATTGATATTCTGCCAAAGGCTTGGTGGCGCCTTGTCACTGACCAACAATAATAAAACTTTGCCACATACGGAGTACTTATAACTAAGATATGCGAGAGATTCAGCTTATGAATGACAGTGCCCGACTTCAGTCTCCACTAGTACCTCTATTTAATAACCCTGATGTCTAACATCTATATATACCCATGCCGTACAGACGTTTTATAGTCCATACTTATGAGCTCGCCTGTTGGCTTTATGGAACCGAATGTTGCGATTTTGGTTTGTATTTCTGGTCTGAATACGGAGTAATCCTACCATCTTTGACAGAGTTCTGGGGGTTCAAGGTGCGTAGTTAGTCAACTGTATGATGCAGCCTCATGCGCCTTATCCTAGTCTCATCTGATCGTTTCACTTCGCAACAAATCAGTTACCAAACTGCAATTATTACCCCAGTGTTCGACCAGTCGATTTAGGTTTGAGCTAGCAGCATCCGCCTTGGAGGGTGCTCACGCCTCCCGGAATTATTGTTGTTCCGGAGCTACCCACATTCAGAACTTATCCTCGACGAACAAACGAAAACTTGTTGTTGACATAGCATCTCTACGGAGTACCCCAAATTTATCAACATGTCTACCAGTCTGATCCACTGCAACCATTCGTGTACCCACCCGCGCCTTTGACAACCTTGTTATTGTTGAAACACCGAGCCCTGACCCAGACTGGCGTATTGAATGTCGATTTCCACTCCATGCCATCCTTGTCTGGCTCTTTGAAATAATCGAACTCCCAGGCAGTGATTCCTAAACCAAGACAACCCTTCATGCTTGGGAGAATAGTCTTTTGTCCATAATCCCAGCTACTAAAGCCCGCGCCTGTGGGTAGAGTTAGCGCATTCCTAGATAACAGTTGAGAATGACGAGAATACCTCGAATTTCATAACTGCTGTGAAGCCCAAAAACTTTCCAGTCTCCGTTGCATTTACCGTATGGTTCTTTAATAACCGGCCACGGCCTATTATTGCGCTTGATGTTAAGTTCGTACGTATACTCGCCTCTTGTCCATCGTCCTCCAAATTTCCAATTCAGGGGATTATTTGGGTCGTTGCCATCGCAGCCATGGATGATACGCTCGAATGACTGCATACACTCGTCCTTCTTGTACTTTGCAGTTTTTGGGCCGAGCTGCACTAGAAAACTCTGTTCATCTGGTGTATCTTTGAAGTACGTTTTCTCCGACTTCCATCCTACCTCATGCTCGGGCTGTTGTATACCCTCGCAAAAGTCTTTATAATTCTCGTTCAGTTTATCCGCCGTTGCGTAACCCTTGCGACCTTCCTTCTGCCAACATTTGAACTCGTCTGCAATCTCGCACGTCTGTGGCTCTATGCCCAAAACTTTTGCTCGAAGGTCAATGGTCTTTGCTAGTGCAAAAGAAGCAATGGTTTGGTGGCCTAGCTCATTTGGATGGAAAAGCTTTCCAAAACTGTCTGGCAGCCCAAGACCGAGGGTGGGGTCGATCCAGTCGTTGTCTCCCGGGCAGTTAGGAGGCGATGGAGCTCGGCGATTCAGTTTGTGGAGGACCACAGCCCTAGGATGAGGTGATTTCCAAAGTAAACTATCGTATATTCTTTTGTCGACAGCGCCCTTGCCCTCTATCGACTTCTCGTCGTGGACCAACACATTCTCCTCTGCTCTCCTTTTCAACTCGTCGTGTATGACTGGAGCAATATAAGTATTGGGTTTGAAGAACTGGAGATCAGGCTGTTTGGGATCTGGATATCTTCCAGTGGATATTGGATCGCACATTTGCCCCTTGACTCCATCGATTGGCCAAGGATCCCAGTTCGAAAAGCCAATTGTGTATTTGACTTCTTTGGCTGTTTCCTCAACGACTGTTCTGATCGCAGCGTTAATATCGTCGACGAGCTTATTGAACCTTTTCCTTCTCTCAATTGTAAGTCGAATAGCTGACTTGAACCAGTACTTTGGCAGCCATCGGTCCATGTGCCACTTCTGGTCCTTTGCACAAGCATCATTTTCCGTGTTGAAAAAGCGAGCATAGCCATTATATACAACGATGCCGTCTTTGGCCATCTTACCGTCCAACGATTTGAGGATATCTTTTAGGTTTGGCTTAAGAATCGAATTTATATTCTCTTGGGCCTTGTCAATGACTGCGTCGCATGTTGCTTCTCCTTCGAATGGTAACATCACACATTTCTTGATCATGCCGGCCTGGTAAACACGTTCGTCAGTACACATGTCCATCTGAAATTTATTTAGTCAGTCTCCAATTGGCTTTACCAAGCAAAGGTCATTGCCCCCAGCCGTCATTATGAGTAAATTCACGTCTCCTTTCAATTTTTGAACTTGATCATAGATTTGTACTGATCGGTCTCCACTACAAGCAGGAAACTGAAAGTCGTCAACGGATGGCCCAATCAAGTTATTAACCAGTACTGGATAGGACATGTCATATCGAGAGCATTTCCAGTCGTCTTGATTATTAAAAAGAGATCCAAGTTGATTCCCTGATCCAATACCTGCTGTAAAACTATCTCCTATAGCTGCCAGGCGATGAACCCATGCGAAGCTGGTCGGATCCCGATCTCTTCGAAATTGTTGGTGTATATTGCCGTTGACAAATGTAGACGAACTGTTCCCTCTATCTCGGTCTGCTGGGAGCGCAAAAGTTCCCCCAATTGCGAACAAAGTCAACAGGACCGCAGTCCAAGACGAACTCTCCATATCGGGTAATTACCAAGGCCCTTCGACTGTTGAATATCCATGTCACTAAGGTGTTCAACATGAGTTCAACTGGAAAGATACACTCACGTCTGTGACAGTCTATGCGGCCGATCGAGAGACCATCCGTTGAGCTCGGCCGGTCTTGACGGAGCCCTTTGACGCCCTTGAACAAGATCTAGAGGGCAAGCCTCGAGGTAGGGTAGTTTCGGCGTCAGTCATCTTTTGTTCCGAGCCATGGCGAGGGCTGAAGGGAAATTCAACCCAGCTTCCTTACCATTCTTTCGTCCGCGTTTCTCCGGCTGCCCTTGCGCCTGAGGCGGCACGGAGGATCTTCCCGGTTGCGACAGTTGCAAGAACTCCCGCTCAGCTGAATCTCTAGGGTTACAAAGTATGACCTGGGACGTCATTCGGTAGGTTTTCCGGCACGAACCAGGCGCAATCATGCTTTGATGCCCCTGTCCTTTTTCCCGAGAATAAAATTAAGCCAACGGCCCACTTGTATACATCGCGTCGGCTGCGTTGGGCTCTGGATGCTCGCTCGGATCAGATGTGGAGATGTCGAAGCTTATCCTGCATGTCCGGTGCAGCCGATCAGCTCACCGGACTTATGGATAGACAGGGAGGCTCTTTTACGGCGCACTAGGCATGGATGGCCTCCTCTAAAAGGCCCACTGGCTTGCCAAACAGCGCTAGAAGTCGGATATCCCGGCCGACTTGTTGACGATCGTTGCACGCCAAGCCAAGACGACAAGGGCAGATTTACCTACCAACGATGTACCGGTACATAGCACGCTTCTCTCAACGATGTTGGGAAACCCACTCGATAGCTTTACGAAGTCGACATTCCTGGGTCTCCAAAAGCCGGATGCTCATGTGAGTCGTGCAACAAATCCGCCCCTCATCCTCGCAAAATACGTTGCAGGGAACTTGGGCTCATGTCCCCAGCTCTTGACATTTGCGTAGGTGAGCTCATCTTGCCTCTATGCTGCTCGGCCAGATTTGCTTCTAGCTTCCTCTACCCTTCAAGAAAACATCAAGGCAAGCTATACTGGCTCCTAGCGGGCGGTTGTACTCATCATTGTTCCTATTTGGTCGTTTTTCTAGCCCACGCCAACGAAAATAATATTACGTTATGATGGCAATTCTTCCACTCACCTCTCTGTTGTCAATTGCCCTAGCCGCATTACCTGTTTATGGAGGCAGCCAAGCATGGGAATCGTCTGTCAAATTTGCTCTTACGGAGAGTATGGCCTACCAAGCTGCGTTGAAGGACGGCAATACTACAAGTTCTTCACACAGCAATAGCAAACGTTACCTTACAATTCAACCTGGAAGTGGTAATGCTGATAACCATCTCTGGCCTAACGGCGTTGTCACATATTGCTTTGAGGACAAAACGTGGCCAGAGAGGGAGGGGAAAACTACTAAAGAAATTGTCTTTGGGGATTTGGCAACCGCGAGAGACCGATGGTATCTTGAAGGCGTACCAGAGTCATTTAGGTGGCATGAAGCATCTGAGGCAACATGCAAAGACCCGAAGATGAGATCGGAATTCCTATTAATTATGTTCAATCTGGAGGGAAAGCTAGCAACAACTGCCGGTGTACCGCCGAAGGACAGCGACAATGTCGGCCCGCGCATGTTGCTGAGTGATTCTCTCAGTGTTGGAATGCTCAATGTTGTAGCTAACTATGCTCACGAGATGGGTGTAAGTGCTCGTGGCCTGATCCCATGCCCGTCCTGATACGCACATACATATATGATTCTAACAATTTGATAATACAGCATGCCTGGGGTATGCATCACGAACATCAAAACCAAAAATTTTGGGGTGCGCCTTACTCTGAGGCTGGAGGCAAATTTTTTGGCCAAGGCAACTTCAATTGCCAGAATTTAAAAGACTACGACGATTTTCGACAAAAGCTGAAGGAAAAAGGCTTCCCACAATATGACATTGAACGAATCACGAAGGACGTGTGCACATCACGAAGCGAGGCCATTGAGTGGAAATTTTCTGCCCAAGACTACCTGCCAATTGTGAACGAACCAGTGCTAGCAAGCAAAAAGAAGGAGCCTGATTGGGAATCTATCATGATATACCCCAGCGGCGCTGGAGGCAAAGGCTCGGCAGCCCCAGGCATGGATAACCGCCTCCCAATTCTGAAGAAACCCGACGGCAATCCCATTCCTATCAACTTAACACCAAGTGAGAGAGATGTCAACGGCTTGAAGAAGCTCTATGGCTATAACCCGAAAACAAAATGGACTGCTCTTGGAGACAAGGCAAGCGAGTATAAGAAAAAGTTTGATGACATAAGACGCGGTGATAAGGATAGTGGGTGTAGTAAGTAATAAGTATATATGCAATAGGCAATATCAACACGACATCCACTTGCTTTAATAGCTCATGGTGAAAGTGCTAGCAAATTGATGATATAACTAACGTGAATTCCCTGCATTCTCACTCGTATCCTATCTTCATTTTTCGAAAGCTTGGTCATTATTCTCTATCTATTAAGTCTGTCCATTCCAGCAAAGGGATAAAACACTGGCCCAATTAATTGCTACTTGGAAGATGTTCGTTACCTATCATAGTTGAATTGTCATAAGGAGAGCCCTTTCACAGCACTCCGGTGGGGCTAGTACATTTCTTATTATTAGAGCCAACCCTTGTGCCTACATGCCCTTCATCAATCAGAGAGTGTAACAAGACATATTTCAAAGCCAGCCCTTGCTGAAGAAGAATAAAATCACCATTTGTAAGCTGCTCTAAGTGTTGATCCACAAAATAAGGGCGGGTGAATTGCCAAGTAGAAAGCCGGAAAGCGATATAGTTGACAGGATTGACTCCACCTCAGAACGAGGATACCGAAAAGCAGTGTATACTCTTCTAATTTCAGCAATAATCAATATAGGGGCGAATAGAAAAATGTAAGGGTTTAAAATTTTAGTGGAAAAGCAAGCGCATGGTAAAGAACAGGTGATGGAGCGGGCTTATTATTCTCAAAGCTAAGGGTAGTAAGGTGCGGGCGGAATGAAAGGGAGGAGAAACAAAAGAAGGAAAATAAGAGAGAGGTGGAAGTTGGAGAGTGCGCTTAGTACGAATAGAGAATATCCAAAGGTTGGTATATGGTTTAGATTAAACTTACTGGAACTTAATTTTCAGCTCTACTCCATTTTGTAAATACTGTGTCTCCTGCTCCCTCTTTAGCTTTATTATATTCATCCTGGGTGATCTTTCCCTCAGAACGCAGTACATCCAGTATCCGTATCGCAAAATTTTGGCAGTTGTTATCGCCAATTGTGTATGGGTATTCTTTATGAATCCGATCTCCAATAGTTTGAATATCCACGGGAGAAACTTGCGGTGCCACTAATGTCATGGAGGATAGGCTGCAACTTTTTTGTGGTGCGTAGTTTCGGGCAATTAAAAAGCCATTGTCATATTTTGTGCCAAAACAACCGACAATATTTTCTATAGACTTTGAGATCGACTGATTGGCAGAATAGACGATATGATACAAGTTCCCTCTCTCTCGGTCTTCCGGGTCAGCGAGAAAAAGAGCCCAATGCCTTGTATGTGGCCAGTTAGGGCCTTGCCTGAAGGTCAAAATATATAAGGGGCCTGGGCGCTGATTTGGAACTTCTGACATACTGATAATCAGAGATGTTAGCGACCGCTTGACATGAATTCCTCTGTTATTTTACTTACATGTAATATTTTTTTACGCTGTTGTCTGAAAGGATGTAGCAAGGGCCAAAAATGACGACAAAAGTCTACGGGAGTTGGATTTGAGCTCCTGGATAGAAGTACATGGTCATTTTATATCAGCTGTGAGACTTCCGGCATTTCTCCTGGGCTCTTATAGCACAATTATGCCTGATTAGGTATGCTGTCGCGGCTGCAGCAATCATCCGGAAACATAAGCCTGACCAGCATTGCCCCCGCGCCTATCACTGACATGTAGCAAACGGCAAATCAAAACAAATACTCTGCACCCTGGACGGCAGATGCATTTTCCCAAATTTGCGGTCATCTTTTATCGTCTAAAATTTCCACAAAGATGCATTGAATGGAAAGAAGAGACGAAGATCATGTCGATGTCTGGGATTTCGGGAATTCCGGTGGGCAAAGACTTAAGTCGTGTCACAGTTGGCATTTGCACTGGCCTGTTATTAGCTAGTTCTAGGGAAAATTGCAGATTGGGCGGCACTTTGCGGTCAACAGAGCAGGCAGCAACATTTGCGATTGGCTTAACCTGATATACATCAATACTGTAACTCCAAAAAGAGTGTGAACAAGACGGCGATACGACGAGGTGTGTATTGTAATTCAGCCAGTACCAAATACGCCAAGTCGATTTAGACTTTCGGATGCGGCAAGCTACCTTAATTGGAAACTCAAGTGGAGTGTTACTCCGTAACTACTTGTTGCTTGATAAGCTCAAGCTTTCTTCCCCTAGGCTATTTCGTGCTCGCTAACACCTTGATCTAACCCTACGTCTTCGACGTCGACGATGGCCACACTTCCTGACCTTTTCCCATGGCTGGAAGGAGAAAGAATCCATGAACTGTTTAGTACTATTGTTGTGAAACGACCTGCAGCTGACGGCTCTGGTTATGAGGTTGTTAAAGCTGGCCCTATCCATGTTGGCGAGATCGCCATGCATCGCTGCGCTACAGAAAACACGTCAGTCAAGTCTCCTAAAGTGCGCTCTGTAATCGATCCCCCTCCTGGATATAAGTTTGGTGGTGTGGCAATGGATTTTGTTCCTGGAGTGCCACTGGAGGCGGTCTGGCCGAACCTGATCGATATCGATAAACAATCTCTTAAACGACAGCTCCAAGAGCAGATTCTCTACCTCAGATCATGCACATTAGACTACATCGGTCGCGTGGGGGACGAGCGATGGTTGCCTGATCCCTATCACCCTTCGATCAGAACAGACTGCGGCCCCTTTACGAATGAAGAGGAGTTTGATAGCCATAAAGTCAACGAGCTTGCAAAGCGGGATCCAAATTTATCTCTTGAGCTAGGGAAGTTGTTGAAAGATCTCCGTCTTTCCGCCGCTTCGTCACAGTTTGTGCTTACACACGGCGATTTGTGTACGCATAATATTATTGTTCAGAACCATGGAAAAGCTGGCAGCACCGATTGGCAGATATCAGGCCTCATAGACTGGGGTATGAGTGGGTTCTATCCTCCCTACATGGAATACACGATGGCAGTGAACCATATGGGACATGAGCATGATTGGAGAATGTTTTTAAAGGAAGCGTTGGAGGAAATCGGCCTTGGTGCCTCCGTCGAGAGAATCCGTGCGGAAGCTAGAGCAGTCCACTATCTTTTTGGGCAACCATATTATATCTAAGCCTGCTACTGTGTTGACTCTGTAATAGATAAAGATCGTTATATGATACATGAATCATTGCAATGCGAGGCATTTTAGAGGAGAATGCTATCTATCATATTTGCTAGGATCTGATTGGGATATTTCTGAAACCTGGCTTCTGTTGCATCTGATTCTAGCTACCTATCTCTAGCATACCAAAAACATTATAAGTAAAGACTTGAAAACATATAGCGACCAGGAAGCAAGAAAAATCTCGAAGTACATTTAAAGTTTGAAAGGGCGCAAAGAAAAATTAGGCTCAATGAGAGTCCAGCTAATTAGATTAGTTATGTAACTATGTACATACATGAACTTGGACAGCGGCATCTCATTAGTGATAAGAGTACCTTGATATTTCAAATGCTGTGGTACATAAGTTGATCTGTGCTGGTAGGGATTATTGTGGAAACGCTGAAGCCATTAGGTTTGGATCATGGGCGAAGGGTGATTAATTTATGATACAACTTCCTGGCTCTTTCTGCTTCCAAAGTTCATCTGGCCATGGCGACTCTACTTTAATCAGGTAAACCTCGCATAACGAACGTTCAGGTGGCGGAAGAGTGCCAGGCGGTTTTGAGGCTATGGCTGGGTCGAATTCGCGCAGAAGATTGGCCGCGTACTCATTCTTAGAGACGGTGTCGACTCGACCCTCAATAACGTCACGGAGAGCGCCATACATGATATTATCGAAGTCTCCCAAGTTCATATGTTTTGTTGTTACTAATTCCTTATGGACAACTTTGCGGCTATTGAGGAAATACCTCCCAACCGAGCCACCTTTACCGCGATTATTATGGGATAGGTAGAACACAGAGGGAAGTTGACCTGTCGAAAATTTGACCGGGCTAAATAGGAAGCAAGTGTGCGTGTATCGGAGGTTCTGGGGCCCTTTTCCAAAGAAGTTGGATGCCATAATGCGTTATTCTGATAGTAGGCTTGTTTCTTGCAAAAGAAGTTTAGCTTAATAAGTTTGATAAGAACTCAGCGGCATAGAATTGACAATACTCACTGAGGGATACAGTGTATCAAGGGCCTGAGCTCTAACGAGATGACCCTTTTATATGGAATATTTGAAGTTGGTTGGAAGACTAAGTTAGGCAACTGCTTTGTTACGTGAAACTGGAAGGTAGGCTTGTATCAATTACATACATATACATACATTAATACGAACTATAAAATACCAAATGCTTGTACGGGGTACGTACGGAGTATATGTCTGGTGGCACATGAACGATGCGACGTACTCCGTAGAGTCCCATCATTGGACTGACCTTTTTTGGGTGCAGTAGGTCTGTTGGGTGCCAAGAGCACGGAGTGGTAGTACACAAAATATTCCTATCTGTTGCACGCCAGAGACGCTCCTTCTTTTACTGGTTGAGCTCCACATAAATAAGGAATACGGCTCAGCCAGTGAACCACCCTCAGTTGCTCAGGTGTTTACTTCGCCCTGAGTAGCTACTCCGTATAGGCCCGATATTTGTAAAAGCTTCTTTCACCTAGTTAGCGCCCAGAAGAATCACAAACATGACTACGGAGTATGCTTTGTGACAATCAAGGTGCCCCTTTTTAGTCGAGTGGCTTGCGCCTGATACATAACTAACTAGGTAACTAACTCCGTAGTGCAACGCGGTCCACTCTTTCTAGTGTTCTAGTAACTAGCTGATAAGTGCTCCTACCACAATTCTATGAACACAGAGCGGAGTCCTTAGACGAGTAATCAATGAGCTGATAAGCACGGTAGCCTCATGTCACCAAAGGCTAGTAAAGTTGAATATGCCCTTAACTACATAGGCCAATCATCGTGAAGAAGCAGTGTAACTAATCCTAAGGCCTATAAGCACTGCCTACTAAAAAGGCAACAAAATGGAAGAAATACTGAGCACAGACCCGGTAGTATTGCCAATTGATTATGAACTGATTCCATTACTGATCATAGTGGCAATTGATGTAAGTTTTTGAGGATGGGGTGGGTGTATAATGCAATTCCAGCGAGGCGCGCGTCACCTCACTAGATATGAGTCTGGTGTTTGAACTGAAACGGAAATACAAAGTAAGTAGTGGGCGTAAGTCACGTATGTAGGAGTGTCAAAGCTTCCACTAAACATCCAAAAGTTCCGTTTTTGTCGTAATTCGTGCTCGTGGAACACCAATCTCGATATGAAGGACATTGCAAGGTACGTAACCAGGTGTTCTAGTACAAACCTAGCGGCAACAAACATTCCTTATAGTGAGATAAAAATCTTGGCGCGAACAGTTATTATAACAGTAACAGCTACGGAGTAGTTAAATTTTGGATGGCACTCCAAACAAAGAAGAAACTGGCCAGTAGGCTGTTGATCACAACTCGTTGTGAGAGGGAGCAGAAGGAGGAGTGGAGTCCCAGTCAGTGCCAAGATCTGGGAGATAGGGGGGCCTGTTCTTGAGAATCCTCTCCTTCCCACGGCCTAGGGTTGAGCCCAATTCATTGATCAGCGTACCGTCATCCAAGTCGATAGCCCAAATCATAGTCCTGCGTGTTGCAATAGCAGCTTGATTAATGGTCTACTCATAGATTAGAATGATAAGGATCAAACTCACCCTCCCAAGCATCTGCGATTTGCGTAGTCTATCTTTAGCTTGAGTGTTTCCGTATCATCCCAGCTAACCCATTGATCCCGGTCCCACGTGGCGATTTTGACGGCAGCGGCCTTGTCAAAGGTTACCTGGGCCCCATTCTTGAGAATTTGGTTAATTTCCGCGGCTGAGAGGACGCCGGGAGTTCCAGTACATGCGCCGCCTTTAGCACCATCCTTGAACTTACACCCTGCTGCCAGGCAGTTCGGGTCTTCCATTGTAAAGCCTATAGAAGAAAGATTAGTGAGAAAATCGCTTCGTTGTAGGGAAGCTAAGGTAATACTTCGACCGTAGAACCCGAGCCCAAAGACAACTCGCCCTGGGTTGATGTTGTTTCGCCAGAGCAGCTCGAGGCCTTGTTGAATTTCCGTGAGATTGGTATGTGCATATGCATATGGTCCTATGGAGTTGACAGTCCGGTCCCAAATGCCATCTGGGACGGAGGCGGTTAGTAAAGTTGCCAACTAACATGAGGTTAAAGAGTACATACGGATATCGTATGTCATAATATTGAACCAGTCTACCCAGGGTTCTAGTTTTATGAGATCAAAACCTCGGAGATACCAATATGATGCGGGCTAGGCGAGTCAGTTTGATTTCAAGGCCGATATTTTATATCCTTACTTACCAGCGTGATGCTCATTCCATAAGTTTTACCGGAGGAATTTAGACGTTCTCTGAGTCTCTTTAATAAAGTAACAAAATTTCCAAAATCCTGTTCAATGCCACCACGGTCATCTGCGACCGGGTACTCCCAATCAATGTCTACACCATCGAAGTCGTTCGTTTCCATAAACGAGATAAGAGACTCAAAGAATGCATCTTGAGCTGATGTTGACTTGGCGAGATCAGAAAATGTCGTTCTATATGGCCCAGGATCATTCATCGCCCATCCTCCAATGGCTATGACTGTCAGAACTGTTCACATGAGCGAGGAGATCAATACAACTAACCAATCCACACCTTCAAGCCGGGTTGCTTTTGCTTTAACTTTGTGACACGCCTGTACAGAGACGCTGTTTGGGCATCCATATGGTCGATTCGAAAAGTTTTGGGGTGTATCAGAGCGAAGGCAAAGTTGATGTGCGTATACCATCCAAGAGGGATATCCTCGGGCTTCATAGCTGTGCATCCTTAGTATCATAGTGCTGCTCACACTGGGCTCCGAAACTTACTCCCACACGGTCTCTGCAAGTTCCAGCCTTCATAGTATCCAATGACTTTGGCGGCGGCGCTCTTCCCAGGGCACTCTGGAGAAGGGACAACGGCACCTCCGCAGAAGTCCTTGGTTGTGCCGCAAAACCCGAACTTGCTGCAGCACACATTCAGTGGGCATGTCGATGCATTAGACCACTTCATTCCCCAGCCTGGATCACACTCGCTCTTGTAGTCGCAGGTGGATGTGCAGCCATCTCCGCAGAAGTCCGGCCCGAGACCACAAACGCCCTTTCCGGTATTATCTCTGCAGCAAGATTTAGTAACTCCAAGACAGGGCTAACAGTAGGCACTCCTACAAACGTCCACAGCATCCAATTTTGCACAACTTAGTCTTTGTGCAAGTGTAGTCTTCGTCTGTATTGGCGGCGAGTCCAGCTTGCACGGCAAAACTACGGATATCTTGGGCAAAGGCGCCTTGTAGCCCAAAATGTAGCAGACCAAAGCATAGGTATAGAAGCCGTTGGCACGATATTGTCGAGGCCATAGTGACGGAGGAGAGGCGCTCGTGTGGTTGAGATTGATTCACCAGCTTCACTCTGCCAAAACGACAAATCGACCAGGCAGCCCACGAACAAATGTCTCCAGGCCATGAGACAGACCAGACGGCCAGCAGTCAGTTCAATGCCATGCTGCACTCCGGCTGGAACGTCCAGCTTGAGCCCCACGATTGTTTGGAGCGGCCATGCGCGCACACAAGGATGGAGCCAGCATGCAGGGATGGCAGTCTGGCCAACACGAGCTGGTGGGCTCAAGTACCGGTACTCACAGGCGGTACCTGCATCTCGCAGCCCCGGCTCTGGGGACGTCGCACGGTCAGCCGGCTGGTTTGGCGGAGTCGCACCTGTTTGGGTTACATTAATGTTGGGATGCGCACCGTCTGCTTCGACGGGCTGAGATCAGCTCTCACATGGACCGAGCAGCCCAACAGCTGCAGCACCCCAGGCCAGTTAATCGCCGGGGTCTTCGACTGTCTGCACCGCTGCTACCACCGTCCCGGCTTCGTATCAGGGCAACATCCGGCATCTTATTGCCCCGCTGGCAGCCCGCACAAACATGCACCACCCGGAGATTGCTCAGCGAAGGTTCGACGGCTGACGAACAGGGTGTGAATTTTCTGAGCTGGTTCCGCATTCTTCTCGTGAAATCAGGCGGCTTGTCGGCAGGCCAGCCCCTGGCGATGACGAGATATCGAAGTTCCGTGAGCCCACGGACAGCTTGGTCTCCGAGCAAGCTCCAGCCTCGAGTACAGAAGCCTACGTCCTACGGCCTGCCTTTTCCTCAGGCCCATCGCTAGTTACGTGGGCATCCGGAAGGTCAGTATCTCAGTTGGGCGCCGCTCACCACTCAACACCAGCGGTAGAAAGCAATGGCACCTTCAGCTTTTCACGCGGTGCTGGTTGCCCTCCTCTTTACCATCAACCATGCGATTGCACAAGACAAGAGTCCCGGAGGGCCGACCCAGCCAGGCACAGCGCCGAACTGTAACGCCTGGCATACAGTCAAGAGTGGTGATTCATGCTGGCAGATTGAGCAGAAATACGGCATCACACATGAAAACTTCCTCAAATGGAATCCGGCAGTGAACAATGACTGCTCGGTCAATTTCTGGGCCAACTACGCGTACTGTGTTGGTGTCGGCGCACAGGCAACTTCTTCGACGACATCCGTCAGCAGCAGCAGCAGCAGCAGCAGCAGCTCAGTCAAATCGTCGTCTACGATAAGTTCGAGCTCGACAACCATCAATGCGACGTATTCCACACGCTTACCTATAACATCGTGGAACGTGACAACCCCAACCATGGAAACAGAATTTCCTCCCAAGAGAACTCAAGCAGGGCAGCCATCATACTGCAGAGACTGGCACTATGTCAGTCCGGGGGACACATGCCAAAGCATTGTTGGAAGTGCTTCTTGGGTAACTATGAAAGAATTGTATAAAGTTATCCTTGTTTTCAAAATAACGCCCCGAGGCTGTATATCAACATTGCTGACAAGGATTGGCATGTAGCCTAGAGTGGAATCCAGAGTTGCATAGCGACTGTTCCGGTCTGTTCGTTGGCTGGTGGGTGTGTATTGGTATCAAACCACAGTCAGTGACCGCAACGTTCGACTACACTACCACTATCCCACCAGTCGTAGTGCCACCCAAGACTGGAGAGTACACGCCGACCACATTCCCTGCCGTTAACTCCAGTTTCACTGCATCGCCAACTCTTGATGGCCAGGCAAAGGATTGCGAAGCGTTTTACCAGGCACAATCGGTAAGTATTCTGTGTAAAAAACAGCCAGATTTTTATCAGAATTGTGCTTATGATGTGTTAGGGGGATACATGCCGGGTAATCACAAACCGCGGCTTTCCATCTGAGAAGCAGTTTTTTGAATGGAACCCCGCATTAAAAGGCAACTGTGACGGCTTATGGGCAGGCTACTGGTACTGCGTCGCCGTGAAAGGCGCCAGGCCCATGCCGCCCAGAGTGACCTCGCTTCCTTCTCCTGTGCCAACAGGGCAGCCCAGCAACTGTAATTCTTGGTACCAGACAACTAGCACAGAAACATGTGATGACATTGTATCGATCTTTGTGGCGTTCTCAAAAGAAGATTTCATTAAATGGAATCCAAGTGTTGGGCCCAAATGTGATGGGATACAGAAAGGCCTTTATTACTGTGTGGGAGTCCCTGGGACACCGACGACACGCACGGGTCCTGTACCCACTGCAACTGCGCCGACTGAGACTCCAACCCAGAGTGGTATTGCACCAACTTGCAACAATTTTTGGCTGGTCTCAAGGTCCGTATCACGTACTCGCCCGCGCAAATAGGCTCTGACTGTACTGGTATTAACTTGGTCATAGTTCTGACACGTGCGAGTCAATTTCCAACCGCAACGGCATCTCTGTGAAGCAATTTTATATTTGGAATCCAGCTGTCGGAACTTCCACATGCGACCATTTGGTACCCAATACCTATGTCTGCGTTGGAGTAGGAAATGGATCGACTAGCATGTCTGTAACAAGCGGCCCAACAACGACGGCGAAAACAACAAGCACAACTGGAATATCATCGGTCACAAGCTCCGACAAACCCAGCACCACTTCTGGAGGTGCCGTCGCTACACCAGCACCGGTACAGGTAGGATATACACTGCTCGAGATGGAATGCAACGCCCTTGAGACGTACGTAACTAACCTCGTCACAGGCAGGTATGGTAACCGGCTGTAGAAGGTTTTATAAGGCCCAGTCAGGAGACAACTGCTGGGCAATTGCGAACTCTGCCAAAATTGACTTGAAGTAAGTGATCCACATTAGAAAGATGATTCTGCTACGAATCGAGGGTTGCTAATTAGCCTGGCTTACAGTGATTTCTATAAGTGGAATCCGAGCGTTGGCACTGACTGCAAGAATTTGTGGCTAGATTATTGGTATTGCATCGGTATTGCAGGACCGGTGACGACGATATCAACTGGAGCTCCTGTTCCAACGTAGATAATGAAGCAGTATTTGTCAATATATTCTAGACAAATGAAGTTCAAGCGAAGTTATTATAAGCGACAGGCCTCTTCGCAGCTGCCCTATCAGAGTACCTCGTCATCAGGAGGATACTTTTCTCCATACTTGTAGATCCAGGGCATGTCAACTTTTCCATGATAGAGCCAATAACCTCGATGAGATGAAGAATCGTCATCCTGATCATCCGAGTTGGAAAGCGGCCGCCAGATTCGTTCCCAGACATTACGCAGCCTGCTGGGTTCTAGATATATCCCAGTTCCAGTTGCTTTCAGCTTTCTTGGCACATATATGGATGTTGGAACAGCAACGTGACACTCTCGAGCATTTAGTCGGCCAACCATTTCATCAATCGGACGTAGAATGGCGGATTCACTTGCTTCAAACCTCGCATTGGAACCTTTTCCGGGCGGCAGGACATCTCCGTGAAAGGAAATAAATAGTTTGCGTAAACCTGGAAATAATAGTGGCATGGCCTGTAAAAGACAATGAAAGGCTCGTGGGTCGGAGTCTAGTGGGTCATTGACGTTGCTCTCACGGAAGGGGTGTAAATTCCACAGCATCTCAATTGAAGTGATGCTAGCCAAGCGCTGCGGTAAGAGCAGTCTAGGTAAATTGAGGATCATGGCGTTGCTTGCCATATGGATAGTATTTGTCGAGTAGAGGACATCAATTGCCTCCACATAACTAACGAGGGTATATGTTCACATTAGTCGGCCGGATGATGACATTGCGTTTTAGACGTGGCAAATTTCCTGCGTTTCAGGGAACAAAATAAACTCACGCTTGGCGGCAGGAAAGTAGCCAGCCCATAACACCAATGCAGCATATATCCATCGACATTCCCGGCCGAAAGCTACACCACGTCGAGTCCACGCCGCGATGACATTCATCCTTCCAAAGAGGGTGGGCCATTGGTGTGCCAGCCACAGACGGTGATTCGCGATGGCACACAGAGCCCTGCCAGTACCATTCTTTAAAAGCCCAGAGTTCACCTTGCGATCGCAGCCATGGGGGCGCAAAATATGCATGGCGATTGTGGAGTGATGGGGTAATCTTCCGGTCTTCTAGCGGTAAAATCGGGTGGTCATACACTAGGTCTATGTGTACGGTGCGATTGCCGAAAGCTTCCACGAGAATCTTGCGCCGCAACTCAAATGGGAGCAATTGAAAAAAGTCGCTGTCGGCTGTGGCAGAGGCATCAGTAAAGACCAAGGCTTCTTGAGATGGCGAAGGAGTTAGGGCATAGCAGCGGGTGGGAGGAAGTTCAGGAAGTGGTATCTTCTGGCTGCGTTTTCTGTCAACAAATTTTGAGAGTGATTTGTGCATTTTTCTTAAAATTGATGGCATTGCAGCGCAGGAGGCTGAATCAAAACAAGCATTGAGGTTGTGATGTCTGGTTAACACACCATTAAAGCAGCGAGCTTTGAACTGCTGACTAACTAGGCAGTTAGTGGCATAGTTACCTGCTCCACGCCCTTTAAAGCAAAAGTATACTAGGCAGTTATATAAACTACAGATTAAGGGAGTACTCCATACTCCGTACAGTTAACTACTCCATAGTCATTAGTGGTAAAAGTTACAAAAGTATAATATTAGATTGTTAGTGCAGTCATGGGACGAGTAGCTGAGACTTTCATGCTATGATTGCTCCCAAAATGGTTAAAGATAAATAAAAGCATAAACCATACTCTCTTCAGAAGCTTGACTAACCTGGTGTAATTATATGTCTGCGCAGGCTAGAAGGCTTGGCAAGGTCACCGGAATTTTGGCGTCCTACTAAGGCGTAACATGAGTTAAAATTCCGAAATCTTGCATATAACTATTGTACAAGGTCTTTATTACTCTTGAGATTACGGAGTATGCGCACTAGGAAAACTATTGTGTCCGCTTAGTTTTTATATTGGAAGCGAAATCCCTGACCGACGCTTGGAAGTGGCCGCGGGCCGGCTCGCCATGCGTTGAGTCACAGAATTTGAGTCCAGCCCATCCACACTCACGGGATCCCGGGTGCTTCGGACAAAGTAGATATGCAGCGTGACCCCGGTGAAACGCCTTGTGACTGACGTAATATCACGCGCATATCATTGGAAAATGACGAGGAGAAAATTCAACGACTGGCTGGCCAGGTAGGAGGGGAAAAAATGAAAAGTTCTGTGATCCAAAGGTAGGCCTGCCCTCAGCGTCCGACTGGGCCGGTGACCATCAGGTGGATACAAAATTATGGCATTCTTCCAGATTTTTGTCAGCATACTGTTGGATAGATATAATACAATTTCTGTGGCCCGGAATGTGAGGCACACGAAAAACGGAGGGAGCCGTTGGAAGTATAGAATAGCTGTGTCACATACTCCGTAGATGCTTTTCTCCAGGCGGGGGGTAACGTTTGTGTGGAAGGTACCCACCAATAAGTGATCTCGGGGGCCTTGGTACTCCTGCCTTGCATCCTAAATCGAGAAGAGGAATCTGGAACGGCATTTCAAGCTCTCAAGCACTATCCCCATTCGCCTTCTAACGGCAATTGTTTGTCCTTAAGCTTGAAATTCCAATTTAATCACAGTTTTAGTTTAGGAATGTGTTATAAAAGTAGCAGTGTGGTCTTAAGGCGACCACTGGACGGCTGAATGCTATAGATCGAGGGTAATCACGGCCGAGATTATCGTCGATTCGTGGAAGAGCATTGGTGAGACGCTTGCAGTGGTCCTGTGTTTGAACATTGGTAAAATGCCCAATGTACAATTTTGATATGCCAAGTGAGAGAGACAGTGCAGTCAGGGCTGAAGACAAAAGAACAACAAACGCTTCATGGCAAGGCGCTGGGGGAAGTGACCTCGCGATTGGCCCGGTGCATCAATGCTGGTCTAGTGTCGTGGTTCACAAACATTATTAGCTGCCAGTATCCAATCAAAAAACAATTTCTTCACACCGCACCAGACAAACACGAAGCAAACGCCTTGGGAGATGGCTGTCGTCCAGAATGTTGGATAGGCTTCCTCGCAACATTACGAGGCGCAGGTCTCGACATTGTCACACAATCCGCAGGCATGGGCCAACGGTGAGATAACTAGTTAGCTATTTAGTAGTGAAGTTCTCGCCCGATTCTCCAGTAATCGTCCAGTCGACGATCCGCGAATTCTGCACGCAAACAGCCAGTGTTTGGGGTGACGTCGGGTTACCGACGGCATCAGGCGCTGCGAATGCACTAGCCACATCTGCTCGGGAACTCCGCTTGGCGGGGCTAGCGACGATCGAGGCGGGGCGCGAGAAAGTCTGGAAGCCTGGACAAGCATACCGCTCCGGCTGGGCCTGACGCGTTGGATTTGTCACGCAGGGTTTGCTCGCTGGGCGAGCGCGTCGATGTGACGGTGAGGTTTCAAGTGCGGTCACCTGCTGCCGGCCTAGCAACGGTCACGCAGCGCAGCGAAGCTTTTCTCGCTAATTTCCTGCGCTGGCCGGGCCCAGAATAGAAGCACCGGCGGCTCAGCCCCCCGTCGTGGCTCGCCGCTTTACGTAATCGCGGCGGGCAAATGCCTCATAGCGGCGGCCAATCACAGCGCCGCCGTGCTGACCGCGCCCTGATTGGCTGCCCGAGCGCGACCGCCGGAGGCGTCTGCCAATTGCCGTGCGCGGCTGGCTGGCACGCGCGGGGGAACAGACTCTGCGCGCTGAGACAGCCCTTCACCGCATGGACGTTCGCGGGCACAGCGGCCACCGCTCGTGCTGCCGCCCATGTCTGACAGCATGATCGCTGTGCCGTACTCAGCCATTACCTGTAATTTTGGGGACGGGTTCGCTGGCTGCTCCTCCCTGACACTCAGCGCGCCGCCGTCAACAATACACAGGGCCGTACAACAGATACCCGATGATTTCCGCGCGACGGGTCCCGTGCCTCCCCTCCCTCCACTCCTAGCCGTGCAGGCGATCTCGCGCTTGCCGTATCAGGTTAGCGTTGCTGTACTGTACGGTTCCGGGGCGTATTATGCCTCCAGGAACAGCGTCATTCCCCCTCACTCTCCGCCCCCGGAAAATTCTGCTATATAACATCTGGCCTCCGGAGCTCCTTCATCTGAGCTTTGACGCCTGCACTGCTCAATTGCATCCCCTTTGGCCTTTCATCTTCCATGGCTGCTGCAAGCTGTGCATCTCTTCTGTCTCTTTGTTTGCTATAGCACTGACTACGTCCCCGCACCAACAGCCTTCCCCATCACGGTCTCCGCTGGCAACCTTGTTCGCGTGCACTCTGTGACTTTGCTTTCTCTCCACTCTCCTCAGATTGCTCCCCTCTTTGTTGTTTTCTTTGTGCTCGTTGCATCATGTCTGCTGCCGAGCTTACCTTAAATCCTGCCCCGCAGGCTGCAAACGACACCAATGGAGCTGGCCTTCCCAAGGCCAGCCCCGGAGACCTCTCTGGCGCCGGAACACCTGCTACTGGCTTCCACAGAATCCTCAATAAACAGCTAGATGGCGCTGCTCGCACACCCGGAGCATCGACACCGGTCCACCTCGGAATCCCCATGGGGACTCCCCGGGTACTGTCGGAGAAAGGCTCCGGATATGTCGCTGCGAAATTTGAAGGCAAGGCGAAGCAGATGGAGCAAGGTATGCCATGGCCATTTCACAACTACTCATCCGTCAATCTAACCATGCATTCCTTTAGTGATGGATCAGCTGGAAGAGAGCGGTTTTATCCCCGCTGAATTTATCTCCACTGAAACGGATTGGTTCTACAACATGCTCGGCATCGATGACATGTACTTCCAGACTGAGACTGTCGAGGCTATCACGAGCCATATCCTATCGTTATATGCCGCTAAAGTTGCCGCCTACGCCCGAGACGACAAGAGATTGGAAATCAGACTCGACAAAGAGGCGGCCGACCATGCCGTCTACATTGACACCAGCAAGCCTGGTGTTAGTGCTGTCGATGGCCCTCGCTACGAACAACGTATCGATGAGAAATATATCGATAACTCCACTCCAAGCAACAGCTACCGTGTCGAGACATTCCGCTCAGACACATCTCTGCCCGACAACCAACACCAGCTTCGTTGTTACTTCGTCTACAAGTGTCTATTCAACAACCCTCATCCAGACCCAGGCGAGACGAACATCGAGGTTATTGGAGAAAACCGGTTCTTGCAGAAGGCCACCGCCAACACAAAGGCCATCTACCAGGAGATCATTATCAATGCAGTGGCCCGGTCTGGTCCTGTTATAGAAATGTTCGAAATTGAGGGTAGCCGTGAGAAAAGATTGGTTATTGCATACCGCCAAGGATCTGCTATGGGGCTGTTCAGTGCTCTTTCAGATCTTTACCACTACTATCGCCTAACAAGCTCCCGAAAATACCTTGAGAACTTCTCAAACGGGATCACCGTCCTTTCTCTCTACCTTCGCCCTATGCCGGGTACTGAGATGTCGTCAAGATATCCCCCCATTGAAGCCGCCATTCACCAGATAATGAAAGAAATTTCTCTACTGTACTGCATTCCTCAGAACAAGTTTCAAAGCCACTTTGCTACTGGACGCCTTAGCTTACAGGAGACAATCTATGCACATTGCGTTTGGGTCTTTGTCCAGCAATTCCTCAACCGCCTTGGTTCTGAATATAATTCGTTGACCGCCCTCCTCGATTCCAATAACACCATGCATGCCGAGCTTCTTTCCAAGATTAAGAAGAGATTGCGAACCGAGACCTTCACTTCTGATTACATTTTCGAGATTATTAACAAATATCCCGATCTAATCCATAGACTCTACCTTGATTTTGCGAATACCCATTACGTTCAGACTAGAGCTGCTGAGGACGATTTCCTTCCAACATTGAGTTACCTTCGCCTCCAGGTCGATGAGATCTTAGATAGGAAGCAGCTGGATGGCCTTGTGTCCAAGACTGTCGTCAGTGAGCATGACGAGATGGTCATGAGATCCTTCCTCGTCTTCAACAAAGCCGTCCTCAAGACCAACTTCTATACTCCCACAAAAGTCGCTTTAAGTTTCCGTTTAAACCCCGATTTCCTACCTTCAAATGAGTACCCCCAGCCTCTGTATGGCATGTTTCTCATTATTAGCTCTGAGTTCCGTGGTTTCCACCTTCGATTCCGTGATATCTCTAGAGGTGGTATCCGTATCGTAAAGAGCCGAGACAAGGAAGCCTACGCTATTAATGCACGCTCAATCTTCGATGAAAACTACAACTTGGCCAATACCCAACAGCGTAAGAACAAAGATATCCCTGAAGGGGGAGCTAAGGGCGTCGTTCTATTGGACGTTAACCACCAGGATAAGGCCAGGGTAGCGTTCGAAAAGTACATTGACAGCATTCTCGACCTTTTGCTTCCTCCCGCCAGCCCAGGAATAAAGGATCCCATCGTCGACCTTCACGGTCAAGATGAAATTCTGTTCATGGGCCCCGATGAGAATACTGCCGAACTTGTTGACTGGGCCTGTCTACATGCTAGACAACGAGGTGCGCCATGGTGGAAGTCATTTTTCACCGGCAAGAACCCCAAACTTGGTGGAATTCCACATGACACATATGGAATGACAACTCTGTCCATTCGTCAGTATGTCGAGGGTATCTATCGTAAATTGGCTGTTGATGAGACTCAAATCCGAAAACTTCAAACTGGTGGACCTGATGGCGATCTTGGCTCTAATGAGATTATGCTTGGCAAAGAGAAATATACTGCCATCGTGGACGGCTCTGGTGTGATCGTCGATCCACGAGGACTGGACCGCGAGGAGCTTTTGAAATTAGCAAAACGACGTGTCATGATCTCCAATTTCGACTTGTCGAAGCTCTCCCCGGACGGATACAGAGTGCTTGTTGACGAGGCCGACGTCAAGCTCCCAAGTGGTGAAGTTATCCACAATGGAGCTGTCTTCCGCAATACCTTCCACCTTAGAAAGGGTGATTATGATATGTTTGTGCCTTGCGGTGGTCGCCCTGAATCGATTAATCTGGGCAACGTCGCAAACCTTATTGTTGACGGAAAGAGCACTATCCCATATCTTGTTGAAGGTGCCAATCTTTTCGTCTCTCAGGATTGTAAACTTCGACTTGAAAAGAATGGATGTATCCTTTTCAAAGACGCTTCAGTCAACAAGGGTGGTGTGACATCTTCGTCTCTTGAAGTTTTGGCTTCTCTCTCTTTTGATGATAAGGGTTTCGAAGAAAACATGTGTATTGGAGAAGACGGCAATGCTCCAGAGTTCTACAATGCTTATGTTCGTGAGGTTCAAGAAACCATCAAGCGCAACGCTACTCTGGAGTTTGAGGCTATCTGGAGAGAGAATGAGCAAACTGGTGTTTCTCGAAGCATATTGAGCGACACACTTAGTGTTGCAATTACTACGCTCGATGAAGAGCTTCAGAAATCAGAACTTTGGGATAATCTTGCCTTGCGCAAGGCCGTCCTGAAGGACGCTTTGCCTAAATTACTACAGGAGAAGATTGGACTGGATACTATGCTGGAGCGGGTAAGTTCGAATCTCTAATACCTAAGTGCTTGCCTCTAATTATTTACGACAAGGTTCCCGATAACTACCTTCGGTCCATCTTCGGAAGCTATCTTGCTAGCCGTTTCGTCTACCAGTATGGCAGCACACCAGGCCAATTTGCCTTCTTTGATTTGTAAGCCTCTATCTTTATGCACGCTTTAAGTTGCATATTATTTTCTAACATTAAGAGTAGTATGTCCAAACGGATGCCAAAAGTATAGTTAGATGTATAGAAATACTGCAAGTTATTGCTTGATACTTAAGGGTCGCTACTGTTTATGTCTTTACAAAAAGATACAAAAAGCCGAAGAAAACAAGAGATTTTTAAAAACAAGAGGGTGTTTATCTTGCCCAGGTGTAACAAGGATTTAACTATATAGTTTTGATCCTAAATTTAATTTTCAATGGGAAAGATGATTCCCACTATCCCAGGTGAAATTCATACTAACCCTTGGCACACTAATGATCATGGTAGTTATCTGTGATTATTCACTGGCAAAGTTTTATATATCCATCAACAAGTACTTCGTACATACAAGTTATATTCAAGGTGAGGCACGGGTTTTGGAATGGTTCGTTCCAGAAGTGACCTAGTTGCCAGCCACAAAACCATATACTTCTGTGTTCCAAAAATGAGCCCAGAAAGAAATGCTACTGTACATTGCGGAAAGGTGCGTAGTCTCCAACGCCAGATGCCAGATGCTAGGATGGGGATGAATAAAAGAAAGGAATGTGAGAAGCCAGCAAACATCGTTAGAGATAGTTTTTGCAGACATAAAAGGAAATGTTAGACTTCGATATTCCTGTCAATATTGAAGAGCTTCAATCCCTCATGGTCTACCTCACTGCCGAGTTGCTCGAGGTCATGCCAGGTGTCGGGATACGTAGCTTGAGCCCACTCTTCTGCCTGGTCTTTCCAGTACTGGTAGGGAAGTGCATTGTATAATGTTCCAAGTCTAAGAAAAATAGTTAGCAGGTCTGATTCAATATTCGTGCAAATATACGTACGTCAAACTGGTCGGTTTGACTCCGATGCTTGACTCCATGCTTTTGATCAGTTCTGTGGCCCTCTCTATTTCACAGTGTCCTGCCAGTGCCCCAATGTATGCATTATATATACGACCATCAATTTGGATACCCATCGACCTCAATTTCTCAACCATCTTCCTGGACTCCTCTACTCCGTTATAATACGTTTCACATGCACGGAAAAATATCATAAGGGTAGCTTCTGAAGGACCTTCATCGGAGTGAAGAATGTCGCGGAAGTAATCCATCGCTTGATCCGGCATCCCGCATGTAGCGTAGGACAGCATCAAGCCGTTAAGAATTTTAGTGGTCAACCCGACTTCAAGATCGAGCCTCAACATGTTATGCACGAGATGGAGGCCTTTAGCATCGGCGGCACGGGAGATTCCCTGAAAGCACAAGGAGTATGTGTGTGCAGTTGGCCGAAGGCCGCCGCTCTCTTTTTGTCTCATGTGCCCAAAGACAAGACATGCAAGCTTCGACTGCCCACGATCAAAAAATTGAGTCATAATATCTGTCCTAATCCACACAGGAGTATTGGGAAATGCCATATTCAGCAGCTCATAAGCCTCCCAAGCGCTTTCTGTGGACACACTTTTGTCACAGATATACTTAACGAAGGCTCCGCTGATTTTCGAAAGGTCCCCTGAATTATATTCATTAATGATTGGGCGCAGCAGGTTAGAAATGCTACCCAGTTCTTCGCGATAAAGCAAAACTTCACAGAGTGATTTGAGAGTTTCAGCCTCGAAGCGGCAATTCGTCTCAACGAGGCGATCAACGAATGACAGAATGGTGTCAAAGTCGGCGTCAGCATGCGGGGACAAACAGAGTTGTTTCAGAATTCGATTTAATATCACAGCGTCCGCGTGGCTGATAAGACCATTTCTCTTAAGGTCTTTGGAGAGGGCGACGGCCCCATAGATATCTCCTTCTTGTAGTTTCGAATCCACTTGTAACATATATGTTTCTGCATCTGGTTGAATATTCCACCTCCGTCCAAGTTCCACGTAATCATTGACCAAGTCTGGTCTTTTGATAATGTTTGCGTACTCTATGAGGGCGTTGAAGGTACTCGCAGTCATAGATTGTTCTACTTCCGGATTCCTTCCAACCATGAATTTTAATATTTCGTCTATTGTGCTGACATTTTCCCCTCTGGCCGCAGCTAAGAGAAGGTTTGCATCTCGAGTTTCCGGAGTTGGGTATTCAGGAAGCAATTTACTTAATGAGTTCGCCCAATCCACCATGGAGTTCCGAAGAGCCGCAATAATTGCAGTGGCAGTAGATACTACTGTAGGCTGTAAATTATCCGGAAGCATTATGCTGTAAAATATCTTTAGGGCATCAATGCTATTTTCTGTGGCCAGCAGCCTAAGAATTTCTTCGTGGGATGCCGGGTCAAGTTTGATGGCGTGTTCGTTCATCTTCTCCACGATCATAGAAATCTCAGAGGATCTGCCCTCCTTAGCAATCCCATTAATGACATCGACCCATGGTGAAATGCCGTCAACATGAAGAATGCTCTTCCAGTGAGTCTCTAGAATATCTAGAGCCTCGAGAGCCGACCCTGTAGGTCCCAAGATTGAAATATACGACCTAAGCGCTTCTGTACCTGAGAATTGCTGTGGTGGCTTGGTTGTATTAGCGCGAAGACACATTTGCGCATATATGAGTTTGGATAACTTGTTCAACAACTCCGCGGCGTCAGATTCACACCCAACTCGAGACAAAACCATCATAGCATTCTCCAGGTGATTAAGAGATAACACAGCGCGCACAGAGCCTTTGGAATCCTCATAAGGATAGCTTGCAGCCAAGTGCTCGAAAGTCTGTAGCAGAAATCGTACTTGATTCTGCGTCAACACCATCATTGTTTCTTCACGGTCTTTAATAAAAGCCAAAAACGCCTTTGCAAGAATAAAAGGAGGAGGTGGTTGTACTTTCTGCTTTAAAGCATTCACCAGCTCCATCATCTGCTTTGCTCCATTGTTTTCTGAGTGAGTCTTGACGTCCGTGGCTTGCGGAATCGGAAAAGAGAAGGCGGTCCGTCGCTGCGTGATATGGGGTGAACATTTCTGTGAGCTGCGGGAGCTTATCCGAGGTGCTATCTGCCTGTAACACTGCGAATGAATATACGGCTTGTTTTCAACAATCGCCTGAAAGATACCGCGCGTGAGATTGGAACGCATTGCTGGGTGGTTTGATCCTGCACTCCGTTAGGACAGGTTGCAAGAGCTCAATCGAGAGAACTCACCGGATATGCATTCTATACTCTCGGTTAAGAGCCCGATTAGATTATTCTGGACATTGTTGGTTGGCGAGGCAGCTTGTGCTGTCAAAGCGAAGTTGGGAGCCAATCGTCCAGGCTTGGCGCTCATCGAAAATCATTGAAGTTGCCATTCCTCTTTTTCCGGCACTCGCTACAGACGTCCTGTAAGCTATCAGACAGCCCCGTTTTCCCTGCCACGGCTCCCGAAATGCTGAAAAAACTAAACCCGCTACTTTCAAATTCCTTCCTCCGCCCTGTGGCGCCACAACATGTGTGCCGTTTCGGGACATCGACACCCAAAGATGACCCTTTCCAGTCAGGATACAGTGCGTTTCTAGGTATGAGGTTCCCTAATCGATATGCTATTGTTGTGGCTTTTAGCTACAAATAAAGATTCTGCTCATGGTATAATATATTGATACTGATACCTCGTAGAGCGGAAAGTATTACACCAGCAAAAAGAACAGCGAGTCGCGCAGCATGTGATCGAGCAGAGAATCCACCTCGCAAAAATAAAGCATATGGAGAGATATCAGACCCGTGAATGGAAGACTGGCGATGTATACGCCCCCCGCGATCTTTCTCCTGGAGAAATGAGGAAGTGGAGGGCTCGGCAAAGCCCGTCCATTGACGTTTTCGATGTTCTCGCCATCAACCCTTTACACCTGTACACGGTACTTATCCCAGATAAAGACGCTGTTGATTTGGTCTTGGAGTACTAACAAACCCTAGAACTTCTCGATCATGTCGGATTACATGAGCGAAATGGGACGGATAAAGCCCCGGTCAGTAACTGGCCTGCGTCGTGTAAATCAACGCAGGATTGCAAAAGCAATAAGGAGAGCTGTGGGTCTGGGTCTCATGCCTAGTGTATATCGGCACCCGGAGATTCTCTTGTTAAAGAACAGGGCGGGGTGAACGGCTGGCTTGGTGGTACTAGGTGTCTGTTTTTGCCTGTAGCGGGAAGCTGTATACTGCTACATATGCACGGAGTATCTCTTATATTTTAGAATTTGAATTTTATGCCTTACATAGCTGAAACATATCCATATGTCCTGTTTTTACGTTTGGAAATTTAAGGATCGTCGAATGCCTCGGGCAGCTTCGTTGCCAATCGGTATGTATGCTACACCACACGTCATCGAGCGAATTCCCTACACAATTCACTACTCTCCATCTTGAAAGCCATTATTTTCCTTCGATGGCTATTAAAAACGGTAATCCTTTCAACCCTAACTCTAGTTAGTATATGTATCCATAAGCTCACCTGCGGGTACAGAGTCAATCTGGGCTGCCAGCCCCTCAACAACAAGAGGACAGCCCACCCAGCTGAGCGTTGATGCAAAGGGGGAGAAACTAGCATACGCTGTAAGAAGAACCCTGGCAATTTAATTCTATCTATTGATTTTGTTTAACGTGCATCTTCAGTCAAACAAGTCTATCTTTCTCCGCTCCATCGATGACCCCGCAGTCGCAACTCAGTATACTGGACACAAGGCCGACACCACAGTTGCACGATTCGCCCCCTCTGGATACTACGTTGCTAGTGGTGACTCCGCTGGAATAGTAAGAGTTTGGGACTGTGTGGGAGAAGGTATCACGAAAGGCGAATACTCCATTATCAATGGAAGAATCAACGACCTTGCTTGGGATGGAGATTCACAAAGGATAATTGCTGTGGGTGATGGAAAGCAAAGATATGGACATTGCATTAGTGCTGACAGTGGAAACACTGTTGGCGAGATTTCTGGTCACAGTCAAAGCATCAATTCGGTATCCATTCGACAACAACGGCCGCTCAGAGCTGCGGCGGCTGGCGACGATAAGACTCTCGTTTTCTACCACGGAGCTCCATTCAAATACAACACAGGCCATCGAGATAACCATACTAATTATATCTACGGAGTAGCATTTAGCCCAAATGGAGAGCACTTGATCAGTGTTGGCGGGGATAGCCGCATATGGTTGTACGATGGAAAGATAGGGGAGCCAAAATTTCAGTTCAGAGAGACCGAGCATAAAGGTAGTATATTTGCGACATCCTGGTCTTACGATTCGCGAAAATTTGTTACAGCTAGTGCAGACCGAACAGTGAAGATTTGGGACGTTGAGACTCAGAAAGTGATACAGAGCTGGCAGTTCGGCCCCAACAATGGACCGGCAACTGTTCCCAACCAACAAGTCGGAATTGTCTGGCCAAGCGGAAGAAGCGATGGCCTCATAATAAGTCTGTCGCTTTCTGGTGACCTCAACTATCTAATTGAAGGGCAAACGAAACCAAGCAAAATAATTCATGGGCATCAAAAGAATATCACATCGATTGTTGTCGATAGTGCCCATTCTGATGATACTCTCTGGACTGGAAGCTATGATGGGAGATTATGCAGTTGGGAAGTGTCAGGCGGTGCTATGAAGGGCGTCCAAGGTGACGGTCACCCTGGGTATGTTGTTGGGCTGGTAGCAAGCAAGGAGTCAAGCGGGCGGATATACAGCGTGGGTTGGGATGATACAATCCGCTCCGTTGACATATCGTCGCAGAGCTACGTCGGCAATGCGACGAAACTGTCAGCGCAACCCAAAGGGATTGCATCTGGGGAAAATGCCGTACTGATTGCAAGCGCTCAACGGGTGGATATCATAAGGGGAGGAGACAAAATTGGAGAATTTCGTTCGAGGGCCGCATTGAGCGCTATTGCGGCCATTGATCACTCAGCAGCTTTAGGGGCGGAAGACTCTACTGTTCAGTTTTGCAAGATAGCAGGTGGTTCATTAGAGCCAAAGGCAGATGGCAGGGTGTCAAGAAATCCAGTAACTGCTATGGCGTTCAGCCCGGATGGCACACTTCTAGCTGCCGGTGATTCAAGGGGCAAGATTGTTGTTTTCAAGGCCGTCGATGGCACCATCGTGACAGATCGCTGGACTGCGCATACCGGACGAATTACATCCCTAGCCTGGAACAAGAAAGGAACACAGCTGGTGAGTGGCGGTCTTGATACAAACATCTTTGTGTGGAGTCTGGACCGCCCGGGCGACTGGCTGGAGGCGCCAAATGCGCATAAAGAAGGCGTCAATGCCGTGGGATGGGTAGAAAAAGGCGCGAAGATTGTCTCCGCCGGCGCTGATGGTGCCGTAAAGCTTTGGCAAGTCGAGTTTTGAAGCCAACATTTTGATATACAGCACGGAGTATCGCAGATAGATCCATAGTGAGCAGCTTCTTCCCGCTGTACTGTTTTCTCGTAGGCCGACCAGCTCAGCCGAAAACTTGCAAAGACAGAAATGGGATGCTTACACGGTCTATGCTAGTTGTAGAAAGACTAAGGTTCGTCGCCTGTTTGAAAGTGTTGCAGGTGTATGTTCAAAGTGTGGTTCACCCAAGCCTTGAGGGCTGCCAACAGACCAAACTCGCCATCCTCATCATCGTCATCACCATTTATCACCATCACCTAATGATTCCATCAACCACGGCACCAGGGTCACCTCGTCGTTTATCCGGTACATGAGCTTTATGCTTAAAATCCCTTGGCTTCTCGCTGCGCGGGCGCCTCGCGCTGTGTTTCGCGATGCAGATCAACCCAGCAGCGCTGACTGGGACTGCGTCTACTGCGCCCTCTGTCCCGGCCGGCAAACCAACTACCGCTTCACATACGCCTCAGAAAACCACAAAAGCCCTGATATCGGTTCCTCGCCTTGACTTTGAACCTATATATACAGATTTGAAGATTGCGATAGGGGAACATTGGGTTGAATATAAGCAGGCCATCACACTCTTTTTGTTAGGTATTTTCCACTACAATAAAAAAGAAACAATACTACACAGTACATCGACTAACATATTTGCTCTTCTAGGCCATTTAAATCAAAATGAGTTCTTTCGCCGTGTAAACCATTTCCTCTCCGCTGAACCCAAGTTGGAGCACCTTCACAACAATTTTGTCTGCGCTATAATTGGAAATCTCACCCGGGACCTTCCGGACCATGGTGTTGCAAGTTGGGTCTCTGCAAATGATAAACCGACGGTGGTATCGAAGCCAGCTTCTGGAGATGCTGTGGAGCAGCGACTCAAGACCGAGGTTATGCAGTTGCAGCCCAAAGATCGGAGAAGATTGAAAGCCATTCCGGAGGTATGTCATCACATGCAGCTACTAGTTAATAAGTACGCTGCGCGGATTGACTGACGAATTTTCTTACCTCATAGCCTGATTCTCAAGCTATACCCAATCCGCTAGAAGAGTACCATATTGCAAAGCAGATACGGATACCAGATCAAGTCCCTCCCAGCGCGGGAGGATTGAACAAAACAAGTAAGAGTACTAGATTGTTACGAAATTGCATTTAAATGTTGCTAACGATTCTTTTACAATAGACTGGGAGCTTGAGATCCGAAAACGTTACGCCCAGCCGCTTGCTTCTGAGACAGGCGAGTTCCCAGACGCCGAATCAATACATGCACGAATGGTGCCTATATGCTATGAGGAGTCTATAACAAATGGAGCCTCTTTCCCCTGCGCGGTATTTATGTCCATCGCCACGGAAAATTTCGTCAAAGAATTCCTTTCACACGTCTTTGCCCGAACGAGGTCCAATGGCCCTTCAGGTACAATAAACGGTACAATGACAAGAAAATATCGACTGCAATTGGAAAAGGAGGAGCTGGCATTTACCCGCGGTGAGCTGGTCAAGAACACGGCAAACGGGTTGTTGCCTGTTGAGGCAAAGGAGGCTAGTGTCAGAGAAGCTCTCGGCGTCCAAGAGCTCAAGTTCACTCTGGAATTGGGTGGTGGCTTATTAGGACACATGCCGCTGATTGTTAGCCAAATCGTGAATGGCTACCTTGATGGTGAACTCGAAGCTGAACGAGAAGCTTACTTAAGCGAGATTGTAGATGAGGAGCATGGGCACCAAGAAGATACATCTGAGCCAGACGAAATGGATATCGATGACGCCAATTCGGACTGGCAAGGCGCCACCTTGGCGGATCGAGAACAGCTCAATTCCCTTCTTGAAGAGTGTCTAAGCCTGGCAGCTTAAGCACTTGTTATATTTGGTTTACACTTTGTTTTTGAGCATTGGTGTTGGATCGTTGCATCTTTTTGGCGCTTCCTGGGTGGTGGTTTGCATCTTTTTGTTTGGTGTTTTTGTAGCCCTGTGGTTTGGCCATGATCCTGGAGTTGAGTTGGCCGAGGTGATATATTATGAGCATTGGTTAATAGGCATCTTGCCATTGGGCTCAACCCGTATTGTATGCATATTCAGTTGACTAACTGTTAGTTCACTACTACATATCATTAAGTAAATTTCCATCATTTATGTTTCAGCTGGAATTCATGTGAGCCGGATAAGCAATCTAACCCTCAGTGGTTTGACAGCAGAGACCAAATCTGCTATGTAATTGAAATAATCGTAATAAGCAGAGAGACGCCAACGAACGCCATATCCCATTTCTGCCTTTTCCAAAACCTAAAGCAACAGTGATATATTTACCTATTAATAATATAAATGTCAATGCTAACAAACATGCTCTGCGGTCAGTTTGAGAATCTCCTCGGTAGATTTGTAGGCATTGAGGGGTTCCTTGGCGATCGACTGCCATACTTCTCCATGCTTCGGCTCGCTTGCAATGCACTTTGTGACGACATCTTCTCGTTTATCCTGTACGCAAAACTGGTCAGTGGTCCTACAACTAGCATACCCAAGAATCGGAAAACATACGTCTGTTCCATGCTGCAACAAAAACTTGTAATACCAAGCCCACGCATCGCCCAAGTCGCTATTGACTACAATAGCTTTTTCAAACCACGTCATTGCCTTCTCTAACCTTCGCTCTCCCCAGAATATACGGGCTACAGTCACGAAAAGAATTGGATCATTATCAACCTTTTTGATGGCCTCGAGACTTCTTGGTTTTCGGTGTGTGCGAGGTTCCAAGTGCCAAATGCTTTCACTCCAAAGAAGACCCGAGTTAGGGACTTCCTGAAGGGCTTTTGCCATGAGAATCTTGGCTTGGTTGGTATTATTTGCATGACGTTCAACTCTGACACTTTCGGTCCAGAGCTCCGCATTTTTAGGCACTGCAAGGCGGGCGCGGTCAAGGATGGATCGCGCTTTCACTACAACACCAAGCTTTTCTTCAAGTCTTGAAGCAAGAAGCCAAAGCGGAACAGATTTCGAGCAAGCCCTTGTGCCTGTTGCATAAGCCTCGCGAGCCTGCGGATATTTCTTGTCTGATTCGTAAATCTGTCCTTTCATCATCCAAAGTTTGTCAGCCTTTGGATATAACTGTAAGCCTTGATTCACGAGATCAAGTGCCGCCTCCATGTTTCCTAACTGACGCTCAAATGCCACACTCTTAACCCAGACGCGATCAGTTCCCGCTTCACGACGTGCTGTAGCCAGGAGTTCTCGGGCTTGGTCGGTTTGCTTGGCATCCGCCTCTAGTTTGACTGCAGCGAGCCAGATATCCTCGTTATTGGGGTTCTGATTGAAAGCTTTAGCGAGGACCCGTCTTGCATTATCTATTTCTCCCGCCTGCCACTTCTCCCTAGCAAGTTGCATCCATAAGACTTCGCTCTGAGGACAAGCTTCAACGGAACGCTCGAGTAATTGCCAAAGACTTTCTTTTGTCCCATGGGTACGCTCTAAATCTGCAGCAGAAAGCCATATAGATTTTCGGTTGACAAATACTCTAAGCGCATAGGCGTAAATGGAGCGGGCCGTTTCATATTTACCTCTAGCAATACTTGCTTTTGCGTCTTCCACCCATATATCTTTCCGGTCATCATCCTCGTCTAGCCCCCAACCTAAGGTTTCGCGTATTATCGCGCCGCAGGTAAGAAGTGCTCCTTCTTCCTCACAATGCTCAGCTTCTGCAATCCAATCTTCACGTTTTGGCATTGCAGACTCTCGAGTCAGGGCTTGAACAGCTCGTTTCATTACGTTCACTTTGTTGGCTGTCCCCATCTGTTCTTGCAATCGCGCAGCGGCGATCCATATATCATGGCTTGTTGGGACAGCTTTTCGTGCAGCATTCAAAACCTTTTGCGCATTTTCTGGGGTTTCTAAACGAGCGAGAGCCAGCCACAGCTCCACTGAAAGGGGAATCATTTCCGTTGCTTTAGCGAGTAACAGCCGCGCATCAGCGGGATCTTCTTCAAGGTTGACTGCTTCCTTCCAGATTGCTACGGACTGAGGAATGTGCAAAATAGCCTGCCGAAGTACGTTTTTCTTCGCTCGAGAATCTGATTCGAGTTTCATTGCTTCAATCCAAAGTCGAGTTGAACGATCATTGTGCTTGATTGCATTAGCAGCAATAATCTTTGCATTATGATTGTCATTCATTCTAATGTTTTCCAGCCACACATCTTCACTCTTTGGGCATAGTTCACACCCTTTTGAAATGTAGTTTCTTGCTGCAACAATCTTCCCGGCAACCTCTTCGAGCCGCGCTAGAGCGATCCAGCCAGGAGCATGTCGAGGGTTTGTCTTTGTAACAGACTCCAGTAAAACACGCACACGTTTGATGTCTCCAATTTCAACCTCACCCGCTTTTAGTTCAGATTTTGATAGGCTAGTTAAATACCCCTTTGGATCGATATTTGTGGCGAACCCGGATGTTGTGTCTCCAGTGGAGGTTTGAGCTGCGCGGTCCAACCTAGCTTGAAGGACTTTATCTCTTGCAGCACCAATATCGGCAAAGTTGGTAATTGTACCATCGGAGGTTTCTCCGCTTCTGATTGATGTCTGAGTTCCATCTTCTGCAACCGTGGTAGTGAACTCTGTGGAATCCCGTGCACTAGCGATCACACTGTCTGGAACTGCGTAAAACCTCTGTCTTAGATTTTGTCGGGCTCGTCGGTTTTTCCCGGTAAGATCTCCGACATCAGGAATATTCGCCCAGTCCTCATCCGTGACAGTGGCTAATGACCGTTTCAAATCAGCAAACTGCTGTTGGATCTTGGGGTTATTTCGTTCATACTCTTCTCGTTCTTCGCGTTCCCGGGCTTCCCTAAACATAAGGTAAAAAGGGTGATGTCGGTAATCTGCTCAAGAAAGTTTTGGCAAATGATAAACAAATGACATGGAAGGAAACCGAAGGGCAAACCGGAAATAGATCATACCTTCGAAGTCGCCGCCTCTTCTCCATTTTCTCGTCAACAAGCTGATAAATCTGGTCTGCCTCATCATCATCACGATCATATTGCCCATAGGCAAAGAGGCCAACTTCATTTTCGGGATCTTGGAACCTTTCGTCATCTTCTTCCTCCTCCTCTTTATGTTTTGAGCCGCCCTTTTCTCCCTTAACAGAAGCACCATATGCTGTCGGAGGGGCGGTTCCTAAAAGGGCAGCCCGTTTAGCGAGAGCTTCTTGGATCTGCTCTGGTGTTGGCCCTTCACGCGCCGGGCCAAGGTCAGAGCGGGTTGTGAAGCCGGTAGCTCCTCTACCCAGCCCCGCAACATAGTTTTCAGGTGCAGGCTGGCTCAGGAAATCCTTGCGCCCCGACATTTTGCCAAAAATCGCATCGATGCAACAGCGGAAGAAGGTCGCGCGTCGAGCTTGATTGGTACCTAACAAGACCAAAAGGCTTAGATAAGCCATATGGTTTCGCCCGGCCCGCGCACCAATATAGATCCGAGGTAGCCAATCATATTATGTAATCATTCTCCCACAAAATGAAGGTTCCATCACACCTTTTATGGTCAAACGACAAGACAAAAGCACAATGCCGAAGTCGCTACAAAAGAAGCGCAATAGCAGCTCTAAGGCTGGCGGGCCCTATGGCTCTGCTGCTGCCAAAGCAAACTCCACTAACAGCATTTTCCGCATGAATACTGACATCGGCCAGCATGTTTTAAAGAACCCTGGTGTTGCTCAAGCTATTGTTGACAAAGCTGATTTAAAACAAAGTGATGTATGATCATAAATCCAAACTTCTCTCCAAACGGCATATGCTGATTGAACTACTTGATGGGGTATAGGTTGTCCTAGAAGTTGGCCCAGGCTCCGGAAATCTTACGGTCAAAATTTTAGAGAAAGCCAAGAAGGTCATCGCGGTGGAATTGGACCCTAGAATGGCAGCTGAGGTTACAAAGCGTGTTCAGGGTACACCCGAACAAAAACGGCTCGAGGTTTTACTTGGGGATGTGATGAAAACGGATCTACCATACTTTGACGTTTGCATTAGCAACACCCCGTATCAGGTAGATACCCATTTTTTCGCGCCGTGAGATAGCCTTTTAAAGTAACGTCACTTAGATTTCCTCACCCCTTACTTTTAAACTTCTTGCAACTATGCCTGCGCCTCGGGTTTGTATTCTCATGTTCCAACGAGAATTCGCCATGCGCCTCTTCGCAAAGCCTGGGGATAAGCTCTATAGTCGGCTGTCTGTCAACGCACAAATGTGGGCAAAAATTGATCATATTATGAAAGTAGGCAAAAACAATTTCAAACCACCCCCGGCAGTTGAATCTAGCGTTGTCCGTATTGTTCCAAAAAACCCCCGACCTGACATCAGCTACGATGAGTGGGATGGCTTGCTGCGAATCGCGTTCGTGAGGAAAAATAAAACACTGCGATCAAGCTTTCTCGGGACGACAAGCGTTATGAACTTGTTAGAGAGTAATTATCGGACTTGGTGCGCGCAAAACGAGATCCCCCTTGAGGCCAGCTGCGAGGATGATGTGGAAGACGACGTGATGAGTGTCGAAAATGTTGATGCCAGATCAGAACCGGACGATACTATGGATGTTGACGATGATATTCCTAACTTTTTCAAAGATCAATCAGACCCCGTGCGGCAGGCTGCGTCATCCAAGTTGGCACCTCACAAAAAACGTAGTAGAGTAGCGAAGTTGGTTCGCGAAAAAGTTAGCCAAGTTCTCGAAAGCGACACGGGACTCGCGGATAAACGAGCTAGAATGTGCGACGAAGGCGACTTTTTGAAATTGTTATGGTCATTCAACCAAAGAGGGATTCATTTCAGTTGATTAGCAAATCGTTCACTTTGTTTGCGCTATACTTGCCGCTCCTGAACGGAGATGGGCACTTGAATCCTGAAAAAGACTTTGCCAGATAAATGCCTCACTGAGAAGCAGCTCCACCTCCTTCTCAGTCCATCCTCGTGTTGGCAATGCTTGGAGAAACATCATAATTTCCTAAGATCACAATCAGCTGCATTCTAACCCCGAGGAACCGGAAAAATCGAACCTGGAAATCCATTCTAAGCAGTTGGTCTGACCATTTTACCAAAAATGCAGCGCATACATAAAGATGAAATCGGGAAAACCCTTGCTCCTCCGCCTAAGTACGATTAGCTATCTCACCAGGAAATTTGGTGGCCGTCATACCATGTACGTATCCCACATCCTTATAGTACTTTTGATGCTGATCTCCCTCATCAATAGACAATTCATCCATCGAAAACTGAATTGCATAAACTCAATGCCCTCTGCTTCTAGGTGTTTTACGAGTGTTGCATCAATACGTTTCGTTAAATCATGCAAGGCGTTAACCTGACGGTGAATACCTGGTTGAGCGTATATGTAATTGTCTTGGATACCATCCAGAAGTTTGGTCAAACACCAAAATGAATCCGCTTCTACAGCGTTGAGTACTTGTTTTGGAAGCTGTCCAGGGTCCATGCCTTCTTCAATATCGAAATCTGTGACATATGAACCAAGAAACACCTGCCAAAATGGTGTGACAAGGTCATTTATTCCCTGAACATAACCACTAGCGGGGTGTCGGATAGCCCAAAGGTATAATATTCGCTCTAAAGACCGCTGGGTAGCTTCAAAGCCGTACAAGGGGATATGAGGGTTCGTGCGCGGTATGTCGATACTTATTTGGTGCCATATCGCCTCATCCAAACCGCGACTATTCTCAGGAATGCTTTTCGTGGGCGATCTGGATCTAATTAAATGGTTGCGTTCGAATGCCTGCTGGACCCCGTCTAAATATTCCTTTCTCTTTCTCTCAAGAGTTGCCATTCTGCGTTCACTATTGGTTGGCAGATAGCCTAAAAGCAGTTTCCAGGTCATTGCCCGGACTTCCTGGGGTATTCCAGACCAAGCGAGATCACGGAGCTCAGGTAGGGATACCGTGCTGGATTGAAGAATTCGTTTGAATTTATTGATACGGCCAATTCGAGCCGAATGTGCCTCAGTTTCTTTTGCAGTAGCACCAGCTGGTGGCGGAGAGTGGTCTATTAAATGCAGCGAGTTTGCTGGGTCTTTTATTACTGTTAGGAAAGTTTACCATGAATTCGACCGGTTCTTTCTCACCATTTACTATCTCCTTGTATTGGGGTCGCAAAATCTTCCCTTCGGTTGTCTTGGCATTCGGGTAAGCCAAAATACCGCGTTCTTCAGCAATATCCGAGCTATTAGCGCGAAGACGCATGCTACCAACATCGGGAAGCAAAGTTGATGATCCTTTCACGTCAATTCCTGAATGGTCGCGCTCGTTGTTTTGCGGTTGTCGCCAAGTCGGCTTACGCATGCTGGTAATACTTGGGAGCCCGAATTCATCTTCATCGTCATCATATGCAAGATCATCTTCATTCTCATCACTTTCATTATCATTATTCCTAGAAGTCCAGGTTTCCCCTGCTTGTGGGAGAAGATTCCTGTATGCCTGATGCGGCGACTGTACGTTTCTATTAAGAGAGGTGGTAGAATTGCTGATATTACGATTGCTCCTTCTTGGAAATGGGGATTTAGTTGTTGTTCGTGGCGTTGACTGAGGCGATATGCTCCTATATACCATAAATAATTAGCTAGAGAAGTCAATATTGCATCCCACACATAAATCATACTTTAGTAAATCGGCATGAGAATAGGATGCTCCAACTACAGTATTTGAGTCAAAAATTCTGGTAGGACTTTGTTTTTGTGACAAAGGCTGGCTTCTCCAAAGTGAGGGGGTTCTCCTGCTACATCCAATTTAGTGGGGCCCGTCGGTGAGCAGGGCAACTAGCATACTTAGCCTGATCTGAACACAACACACTGTTAGTAAGGGAGACAATCATGCACACTCAAGCATGGCTCTGACTCCAACAAAGCATTTGTGGGAAACATGAGGCACGGACCGACCTGAACCATTTCCTTTCAGTTCATATGGTTAGTTGGTGGACATGGGAGCAGAGGATGGTGGTATTCATACCTGCTTCTTTGATTCTTTCTGATGTTCATTGCTGGCCATATTTCAGACTGGGTTGGCATTCAATCCCAGTCTTGCCTCGTAAAATAACGCCGCAATTGACCGCGTTCACGCCGCTCGCCGCATCTTCAACCACGCGGTTGCGGGACGTGGGAGTTGGCTAATCGGGTCTAGCGCCACACCCAGGTCACGGGTGCTTTGTCAGCCCCAAACGTCGCCTCTTTCGCTCGTTTTCTCGCTTCCTATTCAACTGCATCTGGCTCGACTCTAAGCCTCTAAAATTACTCTCACTTGCTCGCGTGTGCCTTTCAAAAGACGCTTCGTACCGCTGAGGGTATTTATTTTACTTGACATTTTGGAACACAGTCGTGGGCATTCTTTACCATGACTGAGCCGGAGGGTGTTGAAGAAGATCTCTTCGCCGACCTGTACGTGCCTTCTCGTATTTCTTGGATATCTCCGCGGTTTGTGATGTCCTGCTTATTCAGTACTGCCTAGGTATGATGCCGATGAGCCTACAGCTCAGAACATAACTTCGGCGGCCCCAGCACCAGTACCAGAGCCTTCAACACAACCGGCAATTGTAACAAATGCTGCCCAACCAGAGAATGTTGCAAATTCTTCCTCAAATATACAAACGTTTAATGCATATTCTGCAGATGCGGCGTCATATGAGCCTCATATGAATCTCGGTGAGCAAAATGGCATTTCGCAATTTGGAGTGGCCATGCAAGACGGTGACGCAAGTACAACAATTGTGCAGCCGGAAACACAAGGTACTGGCATTAAGGAAGATGGGTAAGTTTTATCAATGTTTATTTACTTTTGAGTTTTGAAAAAAAATTGGGCACGGGCGGGTGGTTTCGGCATGGCAGACTTCAGTAGTAGAAGGGGCATAGGTGTCGGTTTTTTCTCCCGACCGTTATCGCTCAACCTGCCGAATTTAATCGAATATGGCTGGCTGGAAACAAGCCACTCATAGAATATACGTAACATTACTTTGGCTATTCGCGCCCAGTTGATGGTTTCCTGGTGGTGGTGCGAGGCTGCTCCCACCCTTGACTGATGGAAAGAATGTCAAAAAGACGATGGCGTCGCCACTTAGATATATGGAGAACGATTGGGTTCTGCAGCCACCTTATCTGTTAGTGCTGTGGATGAATGTCCCGGTCAATTTTTGGGTTCTGCAGGCGTGTGGATTGAGAAAATTGGGTGGCCGCATGGATCAGCTATCATACATGGACATTCGGGGAATCAGAATTGATTGCATGACAAATTATCTCAACGGGAGTTGATTCGAGCCCTGTGTACACGGGTTGTCGGAATTATTTATATGACGGGGCATTAGTCTTGCGCGATCCGCTTTGAAAGCAATTATAGTACAACAGATACTATATAACTCTTGTCGATATACCTTGATAGATCAGAGCAAGAGTTCAGGTACTTCGACTATTTTCAATATGGACAAATCGAACTTTACCTAGCTTCGGAGTCTTAGAAACCTGGCTGGATGATCGGGCAGAACACAGAATTCAAGTTGTCTCAATTATTGAACTGCAGAGATTGAACTTCTCTCCTTTACATGTGCCGCTTTCGACTACCTAAAAAAGCCTTGAGAATGCACCCCGTCCTCGCGCCCGCCGTAAAGTCGCCCAGCTTTCGTCTCCAGAACAACACCGGTGGTATTTTTTCATTATCAACAATGATGGTCCAATCGACATGAACCACTTGCCTGCCATGGTACCAGCAGTCATTAGCAGCGATCCTCAATCTTAAATCGATACCACCGTTCTTATGGGGGAAGCGGGAACCCCCACCTTGTTTCCCAATTCTGCGCTCTGAGGATGCCCTGTTCGAGTTGCTGGATATAGTTGTTTTCATTTTGTCAAACCCGATAAAGCTATTGTGCTAACATTCTTTACTATAGCAAAATGTTCATTGGAGGTCTTAATTGGGAGACCACTGACCGTATGCATACTCTTCATTTGAGCGTAGGAGGTTGAATGATGAACTGATCGATGTCTAGAATCCCTTAAGGACTACTTTTCACAGTTTGGTGAGGTTCAGGAATGCACAGTTATGCGAGACGGAGCCACTGGCCGTTCAAGGGGCTTCGGATTTCTCACATTTAAAGACCCAAAAACCGTCAACACGGTCATGGTAAAAGAGCATTACCTAGATGGTAAAATAGTAAGTGGACTTTTGATAATCCATGTCAAGTTGAAACTTACAGATGGAAGATTGACCCAAAGAGAGCCATCCCGCGAGACGAACAAGAACGTACTAGTAAAATATTCGTGGGGGGTGTTAGCCAGGAGGCAACGGAGCAGGACTTCAAGCAGTTCTTTATGCAATTTGGGCGAGTCGTAGATGCTACGCTCATGATCGATAAGGATACTGGTCGCCCGCGTGGTTTTGGATTCGTAACCTTCGATAGTGAAGCTGCAGTCGACGGCTGCCTTTCGCAACCTTTGGAGATTCTTGGAAAATCAATTGAAGTAAAGAAAGCACAGCCAAGGGGCAACCTCAGGGACGAAGAAGATCGCAGGGCCCGAGGTAGAGGATTCGATCGGTTCAAGGACGAAAAGCCAGGCGGGACAGACGGAGCGCAGCCAGCTTCGCAAGGCCAAGCAAACCTTGCGAACACCATGACACCTCAAATGATGGCTCAGTACTGGCAGCGTATGCAGCAGTATTTCGCAATGATGCAGCAACAGATGGCGCTTGCCACTCAAAACCAAGGGATGCCGGCTGCTGGTGCTATGGGCGGAATGAATCCCGCCATGATACAACAGATGCAACAATTAAAACAAATGCAGCAAATGAATGCTATGACTGGTGGCCAGCCGGCTGGAAATATGAGCCCTTCCAACCAAGCCGCGATGCCGCAGGGGATGATGAACCCAATGATAATGCAACAGATTCAGCAGGCACAGCAGGCACAGCAGGCACAACAAATGCAGCAGCTACAGCAAATGCAACAAATGCAAAATCAGCAATCCCAGAGTGCTTCCGGATACGGCGGACCGGTCATGGGGGGTCAGATGGGTGCCGGAAAGCCGGGCAACATGAATCAAGGCATGACAGGTGGACCAAATGGAATGGGGGGCGGCAATTTTGGCGGTATAAGAACGGGACCAGGATACAATGCTCAGGAGCAACTCGCATTCGAACAGCAGAAGTATGAGCAGCAACAGGCCCGTCGAGCTGCCGACCCGCGTAACTTTGGTGGCTTCCAGCAAGGCACCCCAGGCAATTGGGATAACGGGTTTGAGGAACAAGTGAACATCCCGACCGGACCCCAAGCAAGTATGTCTCGAGGCGGTTCTGTTAGCCGGGGTGGAATGTCGCCGAGCCCAAGTGTTGCAAACAAGGCCGTGCAGAAAATCCCAACTCCCCAACCACAAAGCGCGCCTCCTGCCAACGCGCCTACAGGGCCGCGCAATGCAGGGAAGCCGGGAGCAAATTATCGTGGTGGAGCAAGAGGAGGGCACCGAGGTTTCCATCCATACGCCCGGGGGTAAATGTAAGTTCCTTTTTATATTTTTCCCGTGTCTACAAACTCGAATGGTCTGTGGTTAAGGGGCCACAGGGCACAGTGGCTGTTTAAATGGCATTATTTCCTCCTGCCGAAACAATAAAAATATGTGGAATCGGCATGCTCTTTTCTTATGTTTTCAATACGTGGTGTGCTTTGATTCTCGTATGTCTTTTTACTTCTTCGATGTACTCATGATGCAGACGGTTCGCTTTGATGGACACCTATGGTAAATTCTATGTAGTAACTGGATTTCGAGCTTGCAACGGTTATTTTTATTCTCGGAGAACTTCAATTCTCTGGTACACTTTTGAATTTCCTGATGAAAATTATCCAACCAGGTCTAATATTGAACGAAAATCGGGATCTTCCAACAAGCTAGCTCAATAGTTGAACAATGAAACAGAGTAATGTGGACAAAAGCACCTCTTAGATCACTGGGATAAGGATACGAGGTTGAAGGAGAAAGGAAAAGAATGCTCAGGGACTAATGATCCAGCCTGAGAAAAAAAAAGGTGTAATGTAATGTAATGCCAAAGCAGATGCGCCGAAAAAAAGGGAAAAGGAGCCTGGCGGAAAGGTTTGTACTCGACGCCGGTAGAATGCGATTTGGCAAAAGCAAAGAACAGTTTGCCTACCACACAACCGCAAAATGAAAAGAACTAGCATATACATACATACATATAAAGTCACATATCAAAGAAGGCAGCTATAACATAATGGCGAAGTTGATTAAGTGATAAGAGAAAGCCGGCTTAAGATCTACCTCTCGTGCTCCGTTTTCTTAATCCAAACTCTTGTTCTTGTAATTCTCTTATTAATTTCAAACTCTCCGGATCGGCATCAACTTCGGCGAAACTGGTACGATCGCGTTTACCCGGTTTTGAATGGCGTTGCGGAGAAGTAGGGCTAATATTGTGTCGCCCGCGGTGAGACCCTGCGCCACGATCAATGAGGGGCCGTGTTGGCTTAGCCTCTTTGCTCATGGATCGTTTCGGTGAGTTGAGTCGAGGGGATGGTTTGCTCAGTTTTGAAGCAGAGTTTGATGAATCTGAAGTAGGTTGGTTGCTCGTTGTAGTGGGTGACGCAGCTGTCCCGTGTTTGATATCTATGCCTGCAGACGTCACTTCAGGCACTGTTGGATGGGGAGTTTTGGGTGATGTGGAAATAGGAGTGCTAACATCAAGCAAGTATTCTTTATTTAGGTGTTCATGCTCATTGAGTAAAGCTTGCTTCGCATTAGCACGATTCGCGATGCCCTCGATGCTATCGAGGAGGGAGGTTGGTGGGGATACAAGGTTACCCGCAGAAGAAACATGGCCTGTAGTCGTTGCTGCTGTTGTCCCTGATGTAGAAGTATCTGAGTCCATGCCTAAGGGGTTTATGGTTTGGCCTTGAGTGTCTCCGTTAGCCATGGGTTCTGATCTTTGGCCAGGTGGTTGGGCGGTTAAGCCCAAAGTATCCGAATCGATATTTACTCGTCCTTGTTCCAAATCGGTGTCAGGTACTCTATGGACAATTTCATGCTGAGCGTCTATCAATTCATGCGAAAAATTTCTTGCCCACTCATCAGTGCAGTCGCTTTGCTTTGGTCGTTTGGATGAAGAGATACAGCCATCAGTAGAACGAGGACGTTTAATAGGTCCGGTTCGCGATTTGGCTCGTTCCTGGGCTTTAATGGGATCGACATTGCCAGATTCATCATGGATACAACGACGCTATTAGGAGTCTGACGTTAGCGGTAGAATATATAGTAATAGCGGGGACGGCAAACCTTGCTCTTTCTACACTCCTCACATGCCTTATTCCTCCCTTTCTTACCTGTAACAGAGCCCGGACTGTTCCCGTTCACTCCAGATTGGTGGCTTGGGCATAAATCCAGTGGTCCAAATCCATGTGAATCATGCATGATCGCATCGTCATCGGTTGAAGTATTAACTGCAGTGTATGAAGTAGTATCCGAATTTCTTCGGGGCTGGAGATAGGAGCCATTAGAATCAAAGGAAACAATCCCATGACCAGGTGTAGTATCATTAAACTGGTCAACTTTGTGGCGACAGCGTATTCGACGTTTTCTACACGGGTCGCATGCCACCCTCTTTGGGCCAAGGCTGGCATTTTTCAAGACTGGTTTTAGCATAAGGTCTTCCTCGGATTTAATATCAGGAAAGGACACTTTACGCGTTGGAACTGGGCTGTCTTTATTCGAAATAGCAGTGGTGGGTTCTGACGACAACTGGCCCTCCGAACTTTGCGCATGCCGAGGGCGTGACGATTCGGAGACAGTGCTGAAGAGCTGACTCCCATTATTTACATTCCGCTCAGAACGTCTTGTCGGCTTTATATTTCGCTTTTTGTCCGAAATATCTACCTTTGTATCTAGTGATATCGCACCCGGACGGGTCCACTGAGCAGCAGGTTCATTACCCCTCTTCCAGGCAACCCAAATTCCGAATTTCACAATTGTTTCAATAGGGTCATTTTGACCCTTAGGAATAGAGCGGGCGACAGCATTTTTCGTTGATTCTTTTGTCACTCCCTCAACGGCATAACCGCCGGCGATTAGTGCAGTCCGTAATAGATATTTGGCAAGCTCTGGTAGCCCATCGAGCTCTGCTTGTGAATAAAAGCGGGAATTATAGTAACTAGACCCAGCTTCAGCCTTGCTCATTTGCCCTTCAAAGTTGTAGTAGATAGGGAATTTTCGGTAAAAGCGGTAATTTTCATCTTTTATGAAAGAATCCAAGACGTCGGGGGGTATAGGATCCTGATCTATGTATCTCAATGCAGTGTACCACATGATTTTCTGGAAGAATGGATATCGAAACTTCCTTGGGACATTTGTATCTTTCTCAATCTGCGAGACCTTGATTTGCATGGCATAATTCATTCTTGTGAGGAAATTCCCGCCGATAACCAGGCTATCTTCAGGGGTCCATACGGCGTGAATCCAGCCTGATGGTATAAGCATAGTGTCACCTTCTGACAAGTCGACCCGATAACATTCTTTGGTCTGGTCCCCAAGGAAGGTTGTATCTTGTGCAGCAGAATTACACCATTCTTCATATTTCTTCAGGTGCTTTTCTTTTGGGGGAATAAAGAAAAATGTCTTTTTTCCCTTGATTATATGATAATAAACAGATGATCCTCCAAAATCAATGTGGAAATCAGTATAACAGTCTGCAACCGACATCAAACAGTAGAATTGGACTTTTGGATAGTCCCCGATGTCCTTCAGTTCATTTGGCCAAACGTCGTCTTGGAGATCAATGTCACGGACTATTTTTGGTCGCCTGATGAGTTTCCCAATTGGGCTTTGCGAAACCTCAAGGCTAATAACATTGCGAACAGTCTTGGATGAGCTGTTGTCGTAATAGTAATCGACCCACTTTTGCATGTTCCATCTCTTATCCTCCCCTTGTTGGGATTTAACATCAATCACTTCCAGCCGTTCTTCTAAGCCATACAGCTCACCTACGGCTCGAACTGTGAGATTGTCGGGAATAACCATGTCAAGAAGGTCTTGACAGCAATCCGTTACCTCTTCCATGTTGTTGTCATTCGAGAAAGAATCAATAATGGCGTCGAATTCTTCTTGACATGAAGCTTCTGGCATGGTGGACTGTTGAAATCCCAAGGCTGTTGTAGGAGTGTGGGGATTAAGGTATGAAGGAATGACCACGGGCTCCGTCATTCCCATGCCGTTCTCAAAATATTCTGCGGTGACAAGTCGAGGAGGTAAACGTGCGAAATTATCTGGCAAAAATTTCATTTTGCCTTCCTTAATAGGTAGAATATAATGGTGGTCTGGTGCTTCAGCCGATGGTTTAACGAATCCTTGATTCAATCCAGCGTAGTCAATAGACGTCTTAGGGCGAGATGATTTGCGTACAAAAGTCGTGGGTCCGTGGATCGGCCGACACTCCTTACAAATAAACTTATCCACGGTCCGAATTTCACGATCATTCTTAAAGCCGGCGCACACAATATGAAACCACCGATTACAGCCATCACAGTTAACCCAGGTAACTTCACCATCGTCGCCGCTGCTCATAGGCACGCGAACCAGGTTGCATGCAGCGCAACTGGTTTGATTCGACGTTGCGTTTTCAGAGCCTTCACATTTTACCGCAACCTGGGATGAGCGCCTGCGACCTTTGGGCTTCGAGGATTGTTTGGCCTGCAATTGAGCAGTCCTATCTTCAACGTTAGGCGGAGCGTTGAGATTTGAAAGATTCTCACTGCCACTTTGATTATCTTCACGTGCTAGTCCTGTGCATTGCAGTTCCTTGGAGGAAGAAGTCCCGTAGCCATTGATAATTGGGCGCGAAATAGCCGCTGCACCATCCGACCTTGACCGCACCCGTGCCAGTTCAGGACAGCCGAAAAACACTGACGACACCTTGTTCGCAGGGTGCACCGAGTCATTTGCAATATTATGAGACACGGAGCCGCGCTTTGATTCGGTGTGGCTTTGGGGGACAGCATCCGAGAAATGTCGCCCTAACTGGAGTGACGGCCGGGGTGTGAAGTTAGTAGGTCTTGCGAGGTTCAAAAGTAATTCTGCATCGATTTTCATGCTGTCGTAAGAGGAAGTATGGCTAGTGGAAGGTCGAGCGGCGGATCTTTGCCAGGTCGGTGTAGGTGATCTTTCCGACTTGGCCCGTTTCGATGGTCTTTCCATCGAGTCACCCTCGGCGGGCGAATGAGCTATCGCGCATGTATCGTTAGCGGCAGAGTTGTAAGGGAATTGCGGTAATCTAGCTCTGGTAGCAAGAGCAATAGTGGCTAAGGTGTCGATGTTTGAACCGGATCTAGAGTGACCCATCCTTCCTATTGCTTTGCTCTCGCTAATAGGCTCCGGAGGAGCGCCGTTCTCTCGAAGCTGATCAACACCATCCGATTCATACGTATAGTGATGCTGAAAGGGGTTTTTGGTTTGGGCGGAGTCATGGAAATTGGCTCTCCATGTCGAACGAGAAGAGGTGGATACGAGGGGTGAGATGGGCTCGACAGCGTGTCTCGGCGGGGAGGGGGTGCGATACTGGGGAGGGCGGCTATGCGAATGCCTGCGAAAAGAAAAAGAGGTAGCCATGGCAGTAGGAGTTGCTGCTTTCCGAGCAGGATAGGGGCGGCGGCACGATTGATACTTGACCACCCACCACTCAGGGAAAGGTGGGGAAGTCAAGAGTTGACAGCGCGCGCTTGGTTATGGATGTACAAAAGACGGCGGATGCATAGAAGGTCATTCCTGATGAAAGAACCCAAAGCGCGTAGGTAGGTGTATGCGGATGGCGACAGTGGTCAGGCCCAGTATCGGTCGATTTCGATGGTGATGGCGAAGTGAAGAGGAATCGCTCGCTGGTCAACGTGCAGTGCGGAGTCCAGGGAGAGCGGCGGTGCCACCATGCACGCGGCGACAAAAGGGCGGGTCTCCTCGGTCAGGATCGGTCTTTCGCAGCAAGGTAGACACGAAATATTGGGAATTAGGAGCTCAGCCAGCGGGTGTGGTGAAGGGAGGGTGAGCGACTGAGGATGAAGAGCGGCCGCCAGCGCTCCGTTCGCAGCCTGTATCCGGGGAACAAGTATTGTTACTAAGCCTGGTGCGTCGCGGTAATAATACGGTACCGTAATGACACCGCCTCAACGGGTTTGCCTGCGGGGATCACAACGACGCCGGCGAGTGTGCGCAAGCTGGCATTCATGGAGGCAGATATATACTGCCTATGTACTGCATACGGTGATTATAGTTATCTATTTGCAGTTTCTTCTAAAGCACCCCCTGCCCCCCCCAATGCTCCTAAGCACCGTGGCGCGGAATGGACAGAGTGCGCTCCACCATAGAGTTATCCATTAATCTGACGGCCTGGCCGGGCCTCAACAGCGAGTATTGCATAGGCGCTGTCTCGAGTGCTACTCTCTATTTGGCAGGTGTTCATGAGGAGCTATATTCCGTATTCCGTATACACTCGTTCCACAGCTCAAGCGCCATGGCGAGGGTGGATAACGACAGCACCTGACCGAAATTGACTCTTCTTTAACAAGGCGAACGAAGTATCCCTGGACACGTCCCAAGCCCCTGACAGCAAGCGGCGAATAGCGTGAAGATAGATGGCAAGCGCTGGGCGCTACAGTTGCTGGATGCCGACGAGATGCGTATCAGTGGCAGCTATGGCGCCTACCTAGATCAACAGTACCCATGTCACATATTTATGCGGCTCGTCAACGCGCAAAGACTGGCCTGGCGCTGGTTGGCGACAAAGCCTATGTCGCTTTCTGCCTGCCGTCAACTGTTTTGATGCTCAAGAACCCGGCAGAGGAAACAAACGCGCTATCACGTGGGCACTAAAACCGACATCCCTTCCCACCGCAGCCCTAGCAGGCACCCGACCAAGAACCTCCGATACCCTCCCTCTCCCCTCGTATTTCTGATATTTGCAGAACTCGAAGTCAGCCGGCGATTCCTTTGGATCCAGACCGCAGAGCTATGAGCCGTAGTACCAAATTAGCCCCGGAAGCTAACAGGTATGATCTGTCTGCCTAATCTTTTCTGACTTGCGTCGGGAACCCCCTCCCCGCTATCATTGTTTCAACCGCTACCGGCCAACGACTTTCTAACGTATGTGCTATTTAGGATTCTCTTCGTTAAGAACCTTAGGTATGTGGTGTTTTCGTGATTGTTCTCCCGACCCGGAGCTCCGTCCCTAGAACATGGCCTAGACTAATCAGGTCTTCGTTCGATTCCTAGCTACAACGTCACAGCGGAGGAGCTCTTCGATCTTTTCGGTAAATTCGGACCTATTCGGTAAGATATGCGTCTTTCTTCAGAGTTGCACGCCTTTCATGGCCTGATTATTTCTAGACAAATTAGACAGGGAATTGCTGCCAATTCAAAAGGCACCGCATTTGTGGTCTATGACGACGTTCATGATGCCAAGCAGGCTTGTGACAAATTAAACGGGTTCAACTTCCAGAACCGATACCTCGTCGGTACGACATCCTTCCATGGTCTTTTCTGCAGCTCCCTAGGTGACTTAATATATTCTAACCGATCAACAAATCTACGTAGTCCTTTACCACCAGCCTGAAAAGATGGCCAAGTCGAAAGAAGACCTTGTAGCACGACAAGAGAACCTCGAACGACTGAAGCAACAGCACGGCATCGAATAAACGCATGTGTACTCTGGATACGTTCCCTTTCTATAACCCAAGCCCCTCCTACAACGAGCGCCGGCGAATACTCGAATCTGCTTTGGGGGTCTTCTAGTGACAATCCATTATAGCGGTTGTTTGGACTTAGCCACTGGCGTAACTTGTTTATTCTTTTATTGTTACTGACAGGTTCTGGCGTTCGTTTGTAGATATGCCTATTTACGGCACTTGCAACATGATATTTCATGCCAATAACGCTGGAATTAGGATGGTAGCGCAACATAGTAATATCAGCTTCATTATCTTTTTTCTCCCTGCCCTTCTCTACTCGTGGGCCAGCCCATTATGCCCTTTAGCTGAGAAACGCGGAGTACATAACTACATAGGCTATTTTAGAGCTTTATTCTGCCCTCTATTATCCTTTTCCACATGACCCTTCCAGTACGGAGTAGAAAATTGGAAACTCCCTTCAGCTGGTACAAAAAAGAATCGGGTGTGCAGAGTGAGACTGCGTTCTGAGATTCGCATTCTCGGTCACAGGACTGATTAATTTTCGAGCTTGACGATGATTCACCCCACATGCAAGGTAAATCGAGCACGTGGCATCAACGCCATCAGGTGCAGCCCAAGTACGAAACTGGCAGTGGACAAAATATAAGAAAAAAATAAATACAATCTTACCTCCCTAGCTGGGAATCGAACCCAGGGCTGCTGTGTGAGAGACAGCGATGTTAACCACTACACCACTAAGGATTTGTGCTCTATCAAGGAATAACTATTTCCTATCCACGAATTAAGTCACACCCTCTAGACACCAGTGGCAAAAATTATTCAGTCAATCTATTATTAGGTAGTACGGAGTACAAAGCCCATTATGGGAGGCACAAGAGAAAGAGGCGGACTCCAACTCTCACATCATGGTTGACCCCTTAAACAGCCGTAGCATAACTCATACTCCGTACTCTACTCCGTACTCTGCACTCTTCTGGCACACGAAGCGAGAGACAAGCAGCCTTTAAGCGCACTTGTTTCTGTTAAGTCGAGGTGGTGAAACGCCAAGCATTGAATTACGTAAGCATGTCCTCACCATGAGGTAACTAACTAATAACAGGCCGAAATTCAAAGCAAGAGGTCGTGCCAGAACCGCCCTGCCCTTCAAACAGAGCTCGCTGCTCCCTCCTCCTCCTCCTCCTCCTGTCTGAAATGCATCACTAATGGCCCGAACCTAGGCTAGTGGTCTTATCTTCTGTTTTCAGAGGAATATGGCCCTCGACCTCAACCTGCGCCAAGTCCAATAGTTGAGCATGCTCTAGGGTGGCTGTACTCCTTACCCCCTCTGTTATTCCACTTCTACTTTGACTCACGCCCTTCCTTTTTTTTTCTTTTTTTTAACTGTTCAACCTCAGTATGGTCGATATGTCCGCGCTTACTAGATCTGCCGCCAGTTTAACAACAACTCTCGTTCATGTCGCCGCCACCAGCAGTCCCCCCTCTCCTATGACCACAAACTCCCCAGGCGGAAGCCAGAACAGCGATGGAAAGAACGGCACATGCGAGCTACTTGGGTCGTTTTCTCTGTTTGTTCAAGCTGCCCTGGGGGCTTTAGCAGTCCTTGTACTCGTCTACAAGCGGTGGAAAGAACGGCCTCAGAGACCAGTAAAGGTCTGGGCCTTTGATGTGTCGAAGCAAGTCGTCGGCTCAGCGCTTCTTCATCTGGCCAATCTGCTGGCGTCAATGTTTTCAGCGGGCCAAATACCCGTAACCGCGACACGCCAACCAAATCCCTGCACATATTACCTGTTGAACCTAGGAATCGACGTGAGTACTCCGGATGCCCCTGAAAATACAAAGTGCAGGTTGAGGCTGAGCTTTTTATCTCTCTAATTAGACTACGCTTGGAATTCCTATTCTTATCCTCATACTTCACGTCCTCAATCGTGTCGCTTTGCTCACTCCTTTGGCGACACCCCCAGAATCCATTGAATCTGGAAACTATGGTGACCCTCCGCAAGCAATGTGGTGGTTCAAGCAATCAGTGATATACTTCTTCGGCCTTGTGGGCATGAAAGCATGCGTTGTCATCATCATCCACCTGCTCCCCTTTATCGTCGAGCTCGGTGACTGGGCATTGAAGTGGACAGAGGGCAACACCGCAGTTCAGATCATATTCGTGATGCTGCTCTTCCCCTTGATAATGAATGCTGTCCAATACTACATTATTGACATATTTATTAAGAAAGCCATTCCCGACGATCGTGTGCGCGAAGTTAATGTGCATAGTTTTGATACCGCGTCAGTTGATGAAGATCGACATCATGAAAGCGCATTACTCGCAGGATTGGATGACGATGAAGACTCTATTGATGATGGTCCGGCAGAGTTTTCCGATGACGAAGCGCTGGCTAAGCAACGACTCACGCCCAACAGGTCCAGACCATAGTATCTTCGTTCACATGTTGCCCGATAATCCTCCTTCGCTCTTTGTATTGCTGTATAACCTCCTTCCGCCAGATATATTCGGCGTTAGTCTCCGGCGTTGTCTTTGACATCTTCTTGTTGTTGTGTATCGCAATTTTGGCTGTTTACAATATTTTCTAGGAGTTTCAATAAAGCCGGCGAAGTTCTGTTTCCTGGTGTTTGGGAGAATGTATTCATATTTGACACATAGCCTAAGTTTCGATGCGATGAATCTTCTACTCATTTTGATATTCTTGTGTGCCCTTAATTAGATCATGCATTCATTTATCAGGTTCAGTCACACAACGAATTGCAAGAGGAGACGACGCACGTCGAACGTACTGTCGTCAACTACATCTTGGAGGTACTGGAAAATAACGTTTCGGAGGTGAGAAACTTTGTTCCGCCAATAATGCATCAAAGCCAAAAAATGGAGAAAAACTACGCCGCATGGAAAGCACGCGCATTCTCACAGTTCTCCGCTAGCTTTGCGCTCGAGGGCTATTTGGCTGAGGCCAGCCCTTTTTATCAGTTACCAATGGCTTCGAAAACAGCCCAACGTACCCGCACTGCTGTTACCAGCTACGAGAGCGAACGATCGGAGTTGAGTGGAGAAGAGATGCCATCGAAGGACGAGACAGAAGAGCAGCTTGAAAAATTGCTCTTTGGAGACTCCTGGGGATTTCATGATGCGATAAGCGGTCACAAAGCAACATCTACCGACTTGGTTTTACAAGAGACGCCAGAGTCGGGCGAAGAAGATGAAGAAATCGCAGACAATGACTCCATTGACTATTTTGCTGGGCTGGATGATTCTGACGTGAGTATTATATCCTTTGGCGGGCCTTTGGACCCTTTAGGATACAATTTTCCCACGCCCTCGTCTCTTGAGCTATACAGATAACACCGTTCAGCTATTTATTCTAGATACAGGCAACGGCGAAGTCCTGCCGAATGCCCAGGCCCCATTAAAGCTAGAAAAGCGTTTAGCGATCGACGCCTCTTTATCTGACACTGAGAGCGCACCCGCTGCGTGGGAAGATAGTGACGATGAGCGCATTACAGTATCGCTTGCGACAAACCAGCGGATGCGTAAGCTGAGAGTAGCGGAATCAGAAGATCTTGTTACTGGGAAGGAATATTCACGGAGGCTTCGAAAGCAATTTGTTCAGCTACAACCTATGCCTGAGTGGGCACATCCTCAAACCACCCGGGCTGCGAAGAGACGGAAAACTGGACGAAATGATACGAGTCTCTTCGCAGATGAATCAGGAGCTAGTGGAGATGAAATCGACAGTGACACAGAAGACAGCTTGTCGCAGCAGCCTTTGGCGCGGTTACTGCAGAACATTGGGAGTCTCACAAGCAAGGGTGAACAAGATAAGCCGAAGGGAACCGTCAAATTTCGACAAGGCGTACTGGATATTCAACGGCTAAAAGATGTTGGAGGGAACCAACCTGTAAGTTTATCTTCGGTAACAAATTGACCAGGCGTTAACAATGTCTAACCGACAGTCGACGATCGAATCTCTAAATTTCCATCCGCACTACCCTCTCCTCCTCTCTTCAGGGCCTGCGTCAACTCTTTTCCTTCACCACGTTTCCCCGCAATCCCTATCGCCAAACCCACTCCTTACCTCTCTTCATATTCGTCGAACTCCTCTTCGAACGAGCGCATTTCTGGCTCCCAGCGGCAATCGTATCTTCTTTTCTGGTCGCCGTCGGTACTTTCATATTTGGGATTTGGATACCGGCAAGGTCGAGAAGGTTAACGGTTCAGCAGACCGTAAGGAAGAGCAGAAATCCATGGAGCGGTTCAAACTTTCACCTTGTGGGCGGTGGATGGGCCTGGTCGGAACCACGAGGAAAGGAGGCGGTATCATCACTGTTCTTGATGCAAAAACTATTCAATGGGTCTCTCAGGTACGAGTTGACAGTCGTGGTGGAGTGGCTGACTTTGAATGGTGGAGCGATGGCGAAGGAATGTGTGTTGTGGGAAAGAACGGAGAAGTAAGTGAATGGGATGGCAGAGAAAAACGTATTATCGCAAGATGGGTTGATGAAGGGGCTGTCGGAACTACAGTCATTAAACTTGGAGGTAAGTCCGGCAAACCACAGCTTGGCGGTGATAGATGGGTGGCAATTGGAAGCTCTAGTGGCATTGTGAATATATACGACAGGAGACCATGGGCTGGCGCGACAGCAAGTATACCACAGACCGCTATGAAATCAATAAAAGCCAAAGGAGAGCCCGATAACATGCAATTCGGCATTCCCAAAAATCCGAAACCAACGCGAATGTTGGACCAGCTAACGACTCCCGTGAGTCATCTTGCTTTCTCGAACAACGGACAATTGCTTGTAATGGCAAGTCGGTGGAAGAAAGATGCCTTGAAACTCGGTTAGTTTTCTCCTCCTCGAAACCTTTCAAAACTAATCAACCAATATAGTTCACCTTCCCTCCTGTACTGTATATAAGAATTGGCCAACGTCGAATACGCCGTTTGGCCGTATTTCTGCTGTTGCTGTCTCCCCAATGTCTGATATGCTAGCAGTCGCAAATGAACAGGGGAAAATTCGCCTGTGGGAGATCCATGGATAAATTATAAACATAAAGTTTTGCATAAAATAGGGGCACATCCATTGCTACATTCTTATATTGACATCTTTGCTTGATATGATTGGACTACCATATCTGTACGTCCATATTTATACGACGTGGCTACAACAGCAGGCAAAAAAATCAAAAAGCAATTTAAATCATGGCTTCTATGTGCAGTCTATATCAAAGCATATTTTCTAGGTGTCAAAATTCGTCTTTTGATCCACAAAATGGACATCCACCCAAATGCAGCTTATTCGACAGGGAAACTGTCCTTAGAGTAATTTTTGCATTACTTCTTTCTTTCTGATACCCACCAGGTTCCCTTGTTTTACCCTTTCCAGTGTTAGTGCAGCAATTAGCGCAGCACCAACACCTGAGCCATCCTCAGCAGAGCTCATAATAACTTTATCTTCTTCATGATCCGCCCAGTCAAGAATCTCACGAAGAGCCTGGGCACCGCGTGCCCTGAAGTGAGGATATTTGTTGAAGACGGAACCATCAGCTCCAACATGACAGGATTTTATATTTTTCTTTTTGCAGATTGCCGCCACGCCACAGGCAGAGAGACGTGCAGCGCGGGTCCCGATGAGCTCCGCAAGACGACGGCAAAGCTCGAGTTCCGGCTTTGTGGCTTTCAACCCAAGAGTTCGCTCGAGGAGATCTTTGGTTTCGGATAGATTCTCAAATGGATCTTCCTCGATATGGGCAAGGAAAGAAGAGTCTAGGCAGTACGGTTTTCGGAGATTGTTTGCGTCTTGCTTTTCAAATATAAGATTGCCTTTGTTGTCTATAAGGTCGACAAGGACCAGACGAAATATTTCACCGAGGTAGAGGCCAGCAGTCATCTTCTCGAATGCCTGTTGGCCGGGACGTGGTGAGTCCCGGTCAATAATCATATCGTATTGAGTTAGTGGAAGCACTACACGTTCATTATCAAAAGCACCGTATTCGCAGTTGATAGCAACTGGTGTTTCTGGGGGGAGATTATAGTGGGCGATTTTTGGAATAGAACCTGCATTCTCCATATACGCAGCGTTAACTCCAGTTCCAAAAATACAGCCAATCCTCATGTCTGTGTCAGTGTAGGCTGAGGCAATTAGCGTTCCGGTTGTGTCATTGATTAAGGCGGCAATTTTTATTGGAAGGCCCTAGAACTCGATTAGCGGCCGATGTTCGCGTTTTGGTTTTTAATAGTTATGAATTGGGAACCGTTACCCTCTTCACAAGTGCCGCTTCCAACATAGGCACCACATCTTCTCCCTCGATCCCATCAATATCGAACCCCTTCGTCCAGCGCTGAAGTACACCATGGTCAATATAATCCTGAGTTGCTGGATACGAAAACGTAAAGCCCAGAGGGAAATCGGGCAATTTCTCCCCTTCATGATGATAGTTAATGAATTGTTTCACACAATCAGCGATGTATTCCCAAAGCTCATTTGCAGAGCCACTCTTCAGCTCTTCCGGAATGCGGTATTTGGATTGGGTTATATCGAACTCTCCTTTCCGTTCACACAGGAAAATTTCACAAACACGAAGGTTCGTGCCGCCCATATCCAGGGCCAAAAATGTACCCTGCTCATGACCAGTGGGGAAACCCAAAACCCAAGTAACGTTCATGGGCTGTGAGGAGAGAAAACATGTTATTATCCATGATAGAAGAGGAACTTCAAAAATAGAACAGGGAGGATGAAGGACTTACAATGTTTCCGCCCTCGACGCTTAAGCCTTTTTTATCACATCATCAGCGCGAGTAGACGTGCAGAGTGGGTACGAAATAGCTACCCTTTTCCAATTCCATGATAAAATGGTCAACGATCTTTTTCAAATGCGCTTGGTCAACAGTGAACAGTTCCTCCAGCTCCTTGACCTGCTCAAGCAGGTCCTTCGGCATATCGGCCATTGATCCTACGAACGGTCAGCCACCCTCTGGTGTGGCACATCAAAGAAGCCCAAGCGGAATGCCGGACGTACCCTTGCGGGACGGCCTTCGTCGAGGTGCGGTGACAGTCATCCTTCGATGTATTTTCTTATCCAGACCAGGACGGGTTCAAGCGTTGACCCCGCAGCTGAAGGAGTGCGCAACAGAGAAACCACGAAATGAAGGCTAGGAAGCGCGACAGCGTATCCAACACAGTTTGCTATGAAAAATAAAAGCACGCAATTCACAGAAATTTATAGTAAAAGGAGAAATAGCTCACAATTGGAATATGAAAACGGAAACTCTGTCTGTTAATGGCTGCGGCTGGTCATGTGGGCGCCCCCGAACTCTACATACCACCTACATACATATACTCAACATCTCAAATTCACTACCAAGCGAACACATTTATATTAGGAAATGTAAAGTTAATGCTTAAGCTCTATCCTGAAGGGGCTAAAATGCCCTCGCGCTTGCTCCTTGCTAAACCGAACACATTAATATTGAAAGATCAATCACATCATTGCATTGTGCCTCTCATAAAGGAAAATGAGAATAAGTGGTAAAGGTGTGTTCTCTGGGTTTTTATTAGAATATTATAGCGAGGAATCTTGACTCGTGTTTTCCAGTTTGGGGGGTTCATCCTTTTCCCCAGTATTAAGCATTTGGCTCTCCCCTTCCTCGGATGACTTAACAGAGTCGTCCGCTTTTCGCATTATTTTCTCTTTGTCGCACGGTGTTTCACATTCATTCCGAACATCCAAAGACTTTAGTTGTGACCGGACTCGCTCCTCATGGGCTTGAGATGTTTCTAGTGTATGCTCAACTTCTTCTGTCAACTTCTCAATCTCATGACGAAGTTGTTCATCTTGAGTAATAGGACCAGAGCTTTGTTTCTTGACAGTACTACTCGCTGCCTTTTCAGGATTTACCTGCGCCCAAAGCTGCTCTAGTTCCTCCCGCCACCCCAAGGCATCGGCGAGTTTCAACACCCCGTCATCGCACTCACCCAGAAGCAGAATGTCATCGGGCCGCCCACCGAGGCCACCAGCTTCAGTCAAATTGATGAGCACACGGGGGGTACCATCTCTACATAGAGAAGGCAAACTAGCAAATGGCTGAACACTCAAGCTCGTTCCCATAACTATGCATAAATCCGCCGCCACAGGCAAAGTTCGATTCAGGAAGAAGCGGTCTGGTAGCGGCTCACCAAAGAAAACAATATCTGGCTTAATGAAGCCCATGCAATCGGGGCATAATGGTACATCATCGGCCTCAACCGCCTTTTTCATTAGATCAGCGGGGTACGGTTTATTGCAGTCGATGCAACTCTGTGTTGCGAAGCTTCCATGGGCTTCGACGATCATCTCAGGTGGGATTCCCGCCTTTCGTTCTAGGCAATCAATGTTTTGTGTAAACAATTTGAGTAGCCGGCCTTTGTTGTATAGGAGTTTAATGAATGAGTGGGTGATGGTGGGTTTGCAAGTATGAAGTAGCATTTCCTTCTTCAGGGCATAGAAGGGTCTTGGGTTTGTTCGAAAGAAATCAAGACTAAATACTGCTTCTGGAGCAGGAAGATTCAGACGATCAAGATTGGCATATAAACCAGTGTCTGGGGAGCGGAAATCTGGAATTCCTGCCGCAGTGCTAATACCGGCGCCGACCTATAATTTGACCCGATGTCAGATACTTGACGTTTGTCCGTGGAGGCAAAGGGCAGCCTACCATAACGACGATTTTTCTGACATTCTTTTCTTCAATATATTTTGCTAAGCCTTCAACAGTCCTGCTTTCTAGAGTGCGCGGCCGAACATCATCACCGACCATAATGGAGCTTTCGTTGCCCATGGTTGCTTAGGGAATATATATAGTAAGCCCTTTGCCTTGCCTAGATTTGATGAGTGGAGGAGTCCTTTCTTCATAAAGACACTGTAGCAGAGCTATAGAGTGTAAAGTAAAACATACAACTGTGACCAACTTAGTTTAGGCGCTGTGGTGTAACATTAACGATAGCGTCGAGCGCCCAACATGAACTGCAGCAATGCTCTTGAGATAAGGCGGCGTGATGCAAACCAGTACTTTTGATGGGCGGCGATTCAACAGCAAGGGCAAGGGTGTCTTGAAAATCTTCCCCTCCACCGTCAAATCACGGCTGATGCGGGCAAGGAAGATGGCCGCGGAGTATTCAAGATATGCCAAGACCGCGATTCGTCTCCGCCAGCCGACAAGCCAAGCTCAACGTCGCGCCAACCTTCGCGTTCTTGAATCGAACCTCATATTTGTCACTTCACCGTGTTGTGTGGCTTTTTCCAGGGGAAGATATCAAGAGTTGCTGAGACGTGGTTCAGCATGAGTAAAGAGCATTCAGCGGCTAATGGCAACGTTCAGAGCGAGAATATCGGCCCCGAGCCTGAGCCAAATATCTTCAATGCCACATCTGTCTCGGAAATTAGAGCTACCTTATCCGCTCTTCACGACCGTGAAGCTTCTGTAACAGCCTCCCTCGACTCCCTCGTTGCCTCTCAAAAGGATTTTTCACGCGAGCTCGGCCGGTTGGATCTCTTACGCGCACATATCGGATCACAAGCCAGCACGACCCGCACGATTAGCCATGGCATGCTTTCTGACACCGCTGCCATGGCGCAACGCCTTTCGAGCGCCGTGGAACGGCTGGATATGGAACAATCGCGTGTGAAGGCAACATTGGAGATGGTTGAGCAAGTAGCAGAGCTTAAGGCCTGTGTTCTTGGTGTTGCTGGTTCCATGGGTGCGTCTCAGGACTGGGAGATGGCGGCATCTTACATGAACCGGGCGTCCAAGGTGCCCCCAGAAATTGTTAAGAGTACGTTTGCTGCGGACATCGTGCCGACAACGGAAGTTCCCGACCCCCCCGCCGTTACCCTCGAGAATGCGGCAGAGTCGCTATGTGGTCTTTTTCTCCGTGAGTTCGACCGCGCTGTCAAAGAGAATGACGGAGCAAAAATTACTCGTTTTTTTAAACTATTTCCGTTGATTGATCGATCTGATGTGGGGTTGGATGTATACGGAAGATATGTTTGCCAGGGCGTTGCAAGCCGGGCGAGAGCGAGCCTTAATGCCGGTACTGGTGGTAACGAAGGCAAAGAGGGGTTTTTCTACGCCAATGTTCTTACGAAATTATTCGAACATATTGCGCAAATCGTTGAAGGTCATGGTGGGCTAGTTGAACGCCATTACGGTACGGGTAAGATGGCCAGGGTCGTGGAAAAGCTGCAGGTTGAAGCAGATGTCCAAGGCGGCATTATTCTAGAAACCTGGAGCGATGAGCGAACTATTGACCGCAAGCTGAGCGACATCAAGTCTTACGCTTTTACTTTCCTAGTTCAAAGCTTCTTGCCGAACTCCAGGGCTGGGAGTATCCAGCGGACCAATTCACCAGGTATAAGGGATACTGCGTCACAGCGAACAAGTGAAGACGATAGTGTGGATATGAAAGAAATCGATGGAATTCTTAATGAAATATGTCTCATGCTTGGAAGATGGTCACTTTATTGCCGCTTTCTGGCTGATAAGTGCAGAGTAAGCCCAGCAATATTTCCAATACTCAAATATAAAGTATTTGCTAATCAATTGCGCAGACTGACCGTTCAGAGGATTTTCTTCTGCCGACCTTTGTAGTCGAATCCCCTTTGGCCCAAAAAATTAGCGAACGGCTTACTTTGCCATTTAATTCGATGACAACCTTTTTTCTCCGCCGGTCTGTTGAAAAGGCATTTCAAATTGAAGAAGCTCCACAGGATCTCTCTTTAAATTTACAGCAGCCTCCAAAATCAAATCCGCCACATATCACTTCCGCGGTGGATGACATCATGTATATTGTGAAAAAGGTATTAGAGCAGACCTTGTCCACTGGTCAGAAGACGGTGGCCATGAATGTTGTGCCAACAGTTGCGAGAATTCTTGGCTCCGATTTTATGGACATGATATTACGAAAGATGCGTGATGAGACTTATCCTAAGCCAGTTGTTCCTGGAGGGCTGCCCCCGGAGACGGCTATTGTCTCGTTTCTTATACTAATTAACAATCTTGAAATTGCCGTGAGCTATGTCCAGCGTATCGTTGAAAATATCACAGAATCCTCAGATGCGAGGAGTACTACTCCTGGAGAACCAGAAAACAGGATCCATACACTCTTCCCATTAAAGGATGACGCAGAAGCAGTACTAAAAGCGCTGCAATCGCTCTGCTCGTCGTTCGAATCAAAAGCACAGGATCTCATTGGTGATGGCGTACAAGTCGTATTCAACAACGTCGTGAAAAATCGGCTTCGACCAATACTTACAGAAGCATTTCGTGACATCGATTATCAGCCACCGAACCTAGATAACGGGATAGCCAATGAACTAAACCATGAAGATGTTGAATACAGAGAGTTTGACGGCACCACACATCAGAGCCTGGCTCGTCATCAATTTGCATCTCTCTGGCGAAAGTTACTTGTGCCCATTTCACGAGTTTTAAATGGACGATCTTTTGATCGGCTCCTGGGTGTGACCCTAGCATCATTTGCGCGCTTGCTGGAGAAGCGAATATGGTCGTACCACGGCCGGGTGAATGATTTAGGGGCTTCCCGACTAGAAAGCGACATTACTGGAATTATTTCTGAAGCAATTGATGTTGGTGTTCATGATGAAAACGGCAACGTGGGGAACAGGTATCGATACCGCGAATTGTTTGCGCGATGCACGCAAATTGTTATGGTGATGAATCTGGAGGATGAAGAGTGGGAAGAACTTGAGAAGAGTGGTGGAGATGTTGTTGATAAATTGTCGCCGGAGGAACGTACAAGGGCCAGAGTGATGACTGTATAAGTAAGAAACTTTTCTCTTTCGTCAAATCGGTCGATATGCATCTGTTCAATTGTTCCATGTGATTTGCCATTCAAAACACCATTATTCATTATATGCTGGTGTTTCCGCCTGCCTCGACTGGTATTTTTCATACTGACAAAAGTTTTACCCGCAGAGTTCGGTTAAAAGCCAGAACAGCCTATGCACTGCCCAGTTGAATGGCCAATTCCGAAACTTTGAAAAGAAATCGGCTAAATCTAACACGCCGCATTGAGTCAAGATCAAGTCCTTCCCCCCGCAGATAAGCATGGGGGTTGAAGGCTTGGTTCTTATACACGCACCCCGCAGCCGCGAGCCTTTTGATAAGACGTAGCGCAAGATAGGGGAATTCTTAGGTAAGGCTACTTAGTGGAGGCGCTTCTGCAAGCCAATCAAGCCGCAGAATCGGCAAGATAAGCCACAAGCGTTGGGTTATCTGTGGACCCGGTGATCGGCTATCTTAGCTTCTGTTAACAAACCTTAAAAAGGCTTGTTTTACTTATCAAGCTTGGTATCTTAGAGTCTAGGAAAATATCGGGTATTCTCAGCCAATGGCCCGCTCGGGATAAGCCAACTTCGCCTTCCAGGGCACGAGCGTTTGGTACCTCGCGTGGGGTCTGGGGCAATCTTGATACCAGAACAAAGCCTCTTCATCCTGATAGGGCTGGTGCTGTGATAGGGTACGAAGCGTACCTTGCGATACCGGCATAGTACCTGGCTGTCTTGGCGAGAACATGTGCTCCACGGCTGCACCGTGCGTGAACGTGACAAGGACTCCTGGTCAATGTATGCCTACCGTCATGTCTCTTAGCAGCTTCACACAGTGGCAATGCTATTAGGAATGTCGTGTGCCTGCGAGACAAGCTCCCCATATTCTTCTACCCTTCAGAGCTGGAGCTGCACTCGCTCAGCACTGGACGGGAACTATATATACGGTCTTCTCTTGCCCTGGACGAAAATGGGCCGGAGGTTCAAAATTACTGGCGTGAAATATAGCTTACATGCACCCACCCTGATCTTCCCGCACCGCGCCCCAAAGCAGGAAACGGCGGCTTCAGCCCGAAGTATCCTCCGCCCGAGGTTGTGGCGGGGCTGTACTTTCTTGCCGTCCAAGTGCCTCTATTATCTTCCATTTCTCATAATACTCTCTCTCTTCCTATCTTTCTTTGTGCGTTGTTTCTGACTCTTGTAAGTTCCTCTCAATTTTGTATCCTGTACCCTAAAACCGTTCATCTCAACTCTTATATCATTTGCCATCTCCACTTCCCTCCCGAAACATTCTATCATTCTGAACACTTGTTCTAGGACAAGTGACACTTTAACTATTCCAGTACGTACTCAATAAACTTATGCGATAGCGGAGGATATCACATCGCGACTCCATATATTAGATATTCATGAGATAATATGCTGATCACGTACCATAGATCACCAACAGTATATCTCGCCACGACATTGAAACGTATATTACCTCATATATATATTCGCTTTTACCGCCCTTAGAAGAGGTGGATTTATCCGAGCTATTAGTAACAGTCGTGAACGCAGCCTAACTTCGTCGTTGCGTTGAAGTAGGAGAACAAGTGGTAAACAGACAGACATTATCCCGCATAGCAAGATTACCAAAAGATGTCGGCACCCTTCTCTCCTGACTATGCCTCTTACAACTGGACCGGTGCTCCTTCGAACTTCTCCTTAACCACTGACAAGGACTTGGGGGGCAATTCAAGTTAGTTCGCACCCTCTGCTTGTCTATCCTTTTTAGGCTATTTCTAAGATTTTGCTTCAAACAGGACTCGAGAATTTAAACAAGTGGTTTCAATCCGGTGACCAAGCCTACATTCTCATTGCCTCTGCAATGGTGATGATTATGATTCCTGGACTTGCGTTTCTGTATTCAGGTCTTGCTCGCCGAAAATCTGCTCTCAGCATGATTTGGGTCTCTATGGGCTCTATGTCTGTAGTTTTTTTTCAGTGGTATTTTTGGGGTTACTCTCTTGCATTTTCACCCACTGCAACCAATGGATTCATTGGCAATTTGCGGAACATCGGTCTTATGAAGACGCTGGCGGATCCCAGTCCTGGTTCTCCCCTTCTTTCTGGCCTGTTATACGCGTTTTACCAGGTGAGATCCCCATATGCATGTAAATATTCTGTTACACGCTCTTCTTAACAATAATTAGATGCAATTCTGCGCCGTCACTGCCGCTATCACCATGGGAGCTGTTGCAGAGCGTGGTCGCCTTATGCCAGCTATGGTATTTGTTTTCTTTTGGGCAACACTTGTTTACTGCCCCATCACTTGTTGGGTTTGGAATCCCAATGGCTGGGCCTACAAGTATGGCGTAATGGACTATGCTGGTGGAGGCCCTGTCGAGATTGTTTCTGGCATGTCGGGTCTTGCTTACTCAATGGTTCTTGGACGTCGTCATGAGCGCATGATGCTCAATTTTCGGCCTCACAACATGTCATTAATTGTATTAGGCACTGTTCTTCTTTGGTTTGGATGGCTTGGGTTCAACGGCGGCTCTGCCTTTGGAGCGAATCTGCGCGCAGTGATTGCCTGTTGGAACTCCAACTTAACAGCAGCCTTTGCTGGGATGACTTGGGTTCTTCTCGACTGGAGGCTTGCTCGAAAATGGACCATGGTTGGCTGGTGCTCCGGTACTATTTCTGGCCTTGTCGCTGCCACTCCAGCATCTGGTTTTCTCCCTCTCTGGGCCAGCGTTATTCTCGGCATTGTTACTGGTATCGTATCAAACTACAGCACAAACAGTAAGTTTTATTCTTACAGCTTCCATTATACCCATGTTAACGTGTGATTTACAGTCAAATTCTGGCTTCAAATCGATGACTCTATGGATATTCTAGCCGAACACGGAATTGCTGGAATTGTTGGCCTCTTATTCAATGCTCTCTTTGGCGACGATGCCATTGTTGGTCTTGATGGAGTGAACGTCGGTGCTACAAATCCAGTGACCAACACACCTGTAGGTGGCTGGATTATCCATAATTACCGCCAACTATACATCCAACTTGCATACATCTGTGCATGCTCTGCATATGCCTTTGCAGTCTCTTCAATTATTGCCTACGCTATCAACTTTATTCCAGGACTCCAGCTCCGTGTTACCGAAGAGGCCGAATTGCTCGGTATGGATGACGACCAGCTTGGAGAGTTTGCATACGATTATGTCGAAGTTCGACGCGACTATCTTGCTTGGACTCCACAGAGAATTGAACCTGGTGACCAGGGGACCCACGTTCCTCGCGCGGAGCTTTACGGCTTTCAGGAGCACAGTGCCATGGCCTCACGCCCAGTCCAAAATGGAAGAATCTCCGCATCTAACAGTGTGGATAATATCCCCAAGGAATGTTCCTCAGATACACAAACACCATCAGGGCCTGCAAGCCGGCAGCCTAGCCCAGAGAGAAGAAGTCGATTGGCACGAGTTCTTCTCCCAAAGCGGGCTCCAACTTCTACAACACTCCCACAAACGGCGCCGTCCAACTCTCCCACAAACATAGAAATTCCACCAAGGATGCCTGCTCCAACCCCCGAACAATTAACGCAAGATCACACTCATCAAGATATTTTGAACGAGAAAACGACATAGAAACGAAGCGTCTTCCCAGTCAATATCACCTTTTTTACTCCGCATCCCCCCATTTTCATGAATTGACTTGTTTATGATACCCTGATAATCTTGATATTTGAAACTCAGCGTCGCCTTTAATCGATGATTAATATATCCTATGGGATTGAATATTTTCATTTTCCTGTTGTTTTTGCACGCCACCTGTATATACATATATAACTCCTGCATGGCATTGGTCCTTAGACATGATTTTAGGAATTGAATTATTTATTTCAATGAAGAAAAGAGAATAAAAAGGAATAAAAGGCCGAGAGGCATGCACCAATAGATATAATAAATCATCTCGATCTATCAGACATTAACACTGTACCCAGCCCCGGATAGCTGAGATGACGAAGGAAAGCCGAACCATCCGCCTCTTCTCCACCGTTGAGTCGCCCAAAACTTCCGAATCTCGTCAACCCAAAAGACAGAACTAGAAATACATAGAAGTGAAATTAGATCTCCCGCACTCAGCGGTTCCGTCTGGAAGACGTCCTGTAATATCGGTAAATAAATGACGCAAGCCTGGCCAAGTAGCGAGCCTATAACTGCGTAATTAAACATTTTGTTGCTGGTAAGCGCGATTTCTCCACGAAGTAATGATTTGCCTTCGCTTCTACACGTTAGCGCGTTGAACATGTCAAAAAGCACGAAACAAGTGAATGTCATAGTAGTGTCGCGTCTAGTCACAATACGAGAGGTGATGCCGGAGACTTCGTCTGTGTGGTCAATCATTTCGTGGATGTAGACGCCGAGGGTACCAAGCATGATGCAGGCAGCGGATGTGAGGACGCGCCGGATAAGGGATTTGGTAAGCACACGGGCGCGCTTAGGACGAGGAGGCCGAATCATAATTGACGGGTCGACGGGCTCTACGCCCAGGGATTGGGCGGGGGGGCCATCCATGAGAATATCTAAATTCAAGTTAGAAAGGATCAAGTGCGAGGGAAGTCTGAAGAAAGGGACTCACTTATCCAGAGAATTTGCATAGCATTAAGAGGGTTCTTAAACCCCAACCCTGTACTGACAAGAACTAAACTCAACGCTGCAACGCTTGTGCTCAACTGAAAAGTGATAAAATTCTGAATATTGTAGAAAATGCCTTTGCCTTGCTCTATGGCTCTAAGAATTGTAGAAAAATCGTCATCGGTTAATATCATATCGGCCGCTTCTTTTGCGACATCGGTTCCTAGTCGACCCATGGAAATTCCAATGTCTGCTTTTTTGAGTGCTGGCGCGTCATTTACCCCATCACCTGTCATGGCAACTACGTCTCCTCGGTACTGGAGCGCCTTCACAATTTTCATCTTGTGGTCGGGGCTCGTCCGAGCAAATATGGAAGTGCTAGGGATGACTTGGGCCAGCTCTTGTGTGGTCATATGGTCGATTTCGTCGCCCCTCAGAACGGACCTTGCAGCCTGTGATGTGCTGATCGGCATACCCAATTTCTTCGCGATGGCGACAGCAGTCGTTTCAGCATCTCCAGTGATCATAATCACTCTAACGCCGCCGCTTAAGAGTCGGCGAATCGACTTGTGTACGTCTTTCCGTGGAGGGTCGTTCATACCGACAATCCCAGAAAATACAAGACTAGTATAACATTCTTCTCCGTGTATTTGGGCATGGTGGTCATGTGTTGGGTCATGGGAAAGTGAACTTTGACTTTTAGCCTTGTTTACACTCTTGACAGGCCCGCTTGCGAATGCAATTACTCTGAGACCCTCTTGGGCCATAGATTCGGCAGCATCTCTCGCGTCTTGTCTTCTCCGTTCATCTAGTATAATTTCACGACCATCTTTCGTTAAATACGTATCACATCGTTTTAGAACTTCTTCGAGTGAGCCCTTGATATACGCAATCTCGCTGCAGCTATTGTTAGTGCCATCATTCAGGGTAGTCTTGCCGACAACAACTCCCATCCATTTTCGCTCTGAACTAAAGGGCGTTTCTGAAACTCGCACATTAAGCTGAAACCTAAGATCATCTTCTCCTAATTTGTCCAGGAGATCGAGTAGCGCAACATCAGTTGGTTGACCAACCCAGCGGCTTTTTACCGCGTCTGACGAATGGTCAGCTGTCGATGATAGAATAGCAGCAGAGGAAGCAGTAGCGGGAGAATTGGCGTGTGCCCGGGATAAGCGACCATTGTTAGCGATATTTCCAACGCGAAGTATGGTTTGCGCAGCTGTGGTAAGACTGGCAGGTACACCATCTTTGAACATTTCAAATGGGGCGATCGCATCATAGTGCCACATTTTCGTAACGGTCATATGATTTAAAGTAAGTGTGCCTGTTTTGTCGCTACAAACCACATTCACGGAGCCCAATGTCTCGACACTGGGTAGCCTTCGTACAATAGCTCCACGGTTCGCCATTCTGAGGACCCCGAGTGCCAGGGTGACTGTGACAATGATGGGAAGCCCTTCTGGGATCGCCGCCACGGCGAGTGAGACGCCGATGGTGAACATTTCAAGGAGTTTCCTGCCCTGAATTAAGCCAATAACAACAATAACGCCGATAACAACGAACGACATATATGATAGTTCCTGGCCGAGCCTATCCATAGAGAGTTGCAAGGGTGTCCTCGGGCTTTCGATTTCCTGAAGAGAGGCTGATATGCTTCCGAATTCCGTGTTAGGGCCAGTAGCGATTACAATACCCTGGCCATGCCCGGACCGTACCAAAGTTCCCATAAATGCTATATTATGTTGCTCATTGAGACGGAGATCCGTTCCAACAGTTCCAGCTGCAGGTGAATCATAAAATGGAGTTCTCGGAGGAGTGAAGCCGGGTGCTGAGGACGTTGACCTTAAAGGAGCTAAAGCGGGAGAAAATTTTAATACCGGTTCGTTTTCGCCGGTAAGGTTGGACTCATCGATGGTCAAATGAGTAGCACGGGTAATGCGTAAGTCCGCAGGAATCCGATCTCCGGTAGAAAATAAGACCAGATCCCCCGGGACTAAGGTATTCGCAATAACAGTCGTAGATCCTTTAGCAGCTTCACAGGTAGCAGAAGAAGAACTGTCCGAAAGTTCTTGCATTTCGTATTGCTCGATGCCACTCCCTGTACCCGGGCTTGTCCGACCGGTGGCGCTGGATGGGATATTACGAACCAAATGGGCATAATGTGGAACAAGTCTATTTAACGCCTCCAGTGATTTTTCTGATCTGTATTCTTGCACAAAGCCCACACTGACGACAATAGTCACGGCGAGAGTTATACTAACTGCGTCATCGAAGTTGTGCATAAAGAACGATATGAGAGCCGATGCGAGAAGCAAGAGGATTAAAGGTTCTTTGAACTGTTTAAGAAACCGAAGCCAGAGCGGCTCCGGTTCTTCATGTGGCAGCTCATTTGGACCATCGCGAAGTAAGCGCGCTTCAGCTGCAGATGGGCTTAAACCGCGTGCTAAATCCGTATTTAGGCGATCGGCGGCTTCCTGGGGGGTCAGTTTGGAGTAAGTTGAGGTAATGGATGAGGACTGAGTAGCGGGTCGCTTCGAGGACGGTGAAAACGGGGAAGGAGTTCGTCGAGGTGGAAGGGAGGCATGATGGACCGGCAATGCTGAAGGATAGAATGCGGACATATCTTAATATATCATGGTCAGGTGTTAGCAGCCTTGGCAACTGGTAGTTTTCATTGCATCGTTCTAAAAAAAATACGTCGCAAATGTAAATAGCAGAACTTGAAGACAACAGAAGCTGCAAGGTTAAGGTTAGCTCTTGGGAGGTTCAGAGGGAAACGGAGACGAGGGTTGGCCTCAAGTGACTCACAATAAGACAAGCAAAATCCTCTAAGAATGGTGGGCACCGTCAAAACGTTTTTAGAATAGCACAGGCAGCTCCTCAGCGCTGTCAATGCAGGAATCAGGATGTGAGGGATGTTGGCCTTTTCGCCGTCGTTGTGCCTGGAATTGGAGGCAAGCTTCGGGTCGCCACTGATTGGCCAAGCGGAATATCTGCTTTTCCGCCCGGACCGGTAAATACCGGTATGTGACTAGTAACATTACCGCCCGCCACATGACATACACGTGACTCATGCAGCGACGGGCTTGGCATTCCAGCCACCGAGATGCTCGTTCTGGGAAACACCAACAACACGCGCCCCTCTCGAGTCGAGCGACTGAGCACGTCCATCTAGCTTCGCGCGTGTGTGAACTGGCGAGTACGTCTGGCGACTATTGATTGATTCCCTTTCGTCGCCCCTTAACCCTCTTTCGCGAATCTTGGCGGCAACCTCTGCGCGTCAATGCTCTCTGTTTTGATCGGCTTTTCCTGACAACTACACGCCCGAATCGAACATTCTGCGAATCAACGGTACCTGAATATCGCAGCCTTGGGGCATCGCGTCTTGCACAATGTTTTATTCCGAGACCCTCCTGTCCAAGACCGGGCCGTTGGCCCGTGTCTGGCTGTCTGCCAATCTCGAGCGCAAACTGTCCAAAGCCCACATCCTCCAGTCCGACATTGAAAGTAGCGTTCATGCGATCGTGGATCAAGGACAGGCGCCTATGGCCCTGCGATTGAGTGGTCAGTTGCTCTTAGGTGTTGTTCGCATCTACAGTCGCAAGACTCGATATCTGCTTGATGATTGTAACGAAGCGCTAATGAAAATTAAAATGGTCCGTGAATACATTCCTAGCTACGTTATGCGTATCTCAACTGACTTCTGCCGTGTAGGCTTTTCGACTAACTAATAATAATGATCTTCCTGCTACTGTCCAATTGCCACCCGGCGGCATCACTTTACCCGATGTTTTGACGGAGTCAGACTTATTTATGAACCTGGATACTTCCATTTTGTTCTCCCAACCGCTACAACTCGACCAGCGCGAAAAGGAGCCCGCATCATCCCTTGGTTGGTCAAGCCAGTTGCTACCCGACAGCAGTTCTCCGGAGAAGTTTCGTCACACTGAGAAGCCACATTTGGAAGATGACACGGGTCTTATTCTTGATTTAGGCGAAGAGGATACCCCTCTTGGTCACGATACCAGTATTGAAGTTGGTAGAAATGCCCCTGCTGCACGTTCTGCCGGGGAAGACCTATTCAGCGAGGAGCCACGGTTATTTGATGATGACTTGGATCTTGATTTGGGAGAGGATTCTGCCCCTTTAGCCAAACTCGACGGGGAATATAGTCGTCTCGCGCAGCAGGAAATTGAACATGCTCTGCAGCAAGATGAGGATCTCGCGATGGCCAATACAGAGGAGCTAGGTGTGCCCATTGCGGACGAATCCACCATAATGCCAGCGCCGGAAAATGAATTCTTGCGAGACTCACAATCACCACTCTCTTCTGCACGCTCGAGCGTTGTTCGTGATATGGATGATTCCTTCATGAATGAAGACGCCCTTTCAGCTCCCCAGCAGCAACGAACCAAGCGAAGAAAGCTGATCAAACCGGATGCGGATACTTTTTTCTCGGCTCACAGAATCAAGGAACAGCAAGATGACCGTTCCAAAATTTTGAGGCCAGAGTCGTTCTTATCATTTCTTCCCCGCGATCCTGTGCTACTTACTTTGATTACTATGCAAGAAAATGGAGAATTTGCGTCAAGCGTCATGGGGGGTACTCGAGCCTACGGCTGGGCGCCAGAATTGAGGGACATTCTCTCAATTGAATCTGTACGTCAAGCTGGTCAGTTAAAGCGAAAGAGAGATAGCGGAATTTCGGATATGGATATCGATGGAAAACAAAGCACCCCTATACTCGAATTAGAGGAGGAGAGCAATCTCCATATTGATGAAGGGATTGGCTTAGGAGCAGATGCTTCTACCATCTTACAGGGTGCTAATGAAATTCATATACCCGGCGAAGCCGAATTGCAAGCTCGTGAAGACCGTGAGGATTGGAGTGATGAGGATGGAATCGGCCCTCGCGATGACTACGACGAGGGTGAAACTACTATCCGACCCGTCGATACTGGCCCTATTTCTCTTGGAACCAAACATGCTGTTCATATCCTCCGTGATCAATTCGGCGGGGCATCATCCGCCGATGCTTCATCGCAGCCGAAAGCCAAGTCAGTCCTCTTCCAGGATCTTTTGCCCGAAGAACATACGAGCAAGAGCGATGCTACAAAAATGTTTTTCGAAGTACTTGTGCTTGCCACTAAGGACGCTGTCAAGGTTGAGCAGAGCAGCGCTGCGATTGGTGGTCGGTTGAGAATTAGAGCCAAGCAGGCTCTCTGGGGATCCTGGGCCGAAACAGAGGCTGGCGGCGAAATTGCCGTCCAGGATACAGAAATTGTATCCTGAGCACCATCTCACCCTGTGGATATATTGCTTGCCTTACTTCATTCTGGCTGTCTGTAAATTGGTCGTGCTTGGTAATTCCTGGTAATATGTATGACCTGCTCTTGGTGTTTTGGCGAGCATTTGACTCTTTTTGTTGGTGTTCTTACTTGGTATTTTGAATTTATTTTGGCATTTATTCCCTATCTGACCGCGGCGCAATGCTTTGAAATCACGCCGTTTAAACCCCTGCTTTTTATCACTGTGTCAACCTGCTTGTACGAGTCGGGATGCCAGGATTGGAAAAATTCTTTGGCTTCGTTTATAGGGGTTTCGAGCTGTATTGCTTTTCTTGCTTGTTGGTATTCTCTGGAACGTGCTAAGTTATGTGAGTATGTACTCTGCATATCAAATGTATAGAATTAACACTATCTTTTAAAAATCCAGCATGGTTGATTCCGTCCGGTGACTAACTGCTCCGCCCTTAGGAGCAAAGGCAACCAATCAGAATAAGGTTCTGGAGGTGCAAACATGACAAAATACAGGTATCTTCTCCGTACTGCTTCGTACTCCGTAGTCAAGTTGTCAACTACTAACTCGCGGTTAGAATCCGAATCTGTCAGTCAACATTTTCCAAAATAAGGAATCTCTAATCTCCGTCTCTCGTCTACCAGCTGACAACCGATGCTATACCGTATCATTAGGCTTCATCAACCAATGCAGAAGCGGAATCTAGAATGACTTACCTCTTTAGCGGCCCTGTATGGGCACATCTGCCTCGAACGCAATGCTCTCTATAATTTTGCTGGCAATATCGTCCCAGTATGGGCCAACTGTGTCAATTACCAGAGTAGTACTGAACTTTGTATCTTTCTCAGTCTTGATCTTCGCAACGTCCATTTCCCCTGGCTCATTAAACAAGTTCTTAACGTCAAACTTGATTAGGTCGGTTGTCTCAGAAGCAGCCTCCCCTTGAATGTGCACAAAGATGCCATGCTCAACTCCAAAGCGATACCATTCCAAGCCCCAGTAGTACTGGGCATCTCCAACCTCAAAGACGATCTTTACAAAGTCATCTTCTCTTCTAAAACATGCACGGTATTTCATCCAGGTGTATTCACTAAATGAGTATGCTTCTTTCCATTTGTCGCACACGTCTCCTGACTTCAAAACGGGCTTAGTCTCTGGTAGATCGGGGAGACGAGGACTCGATGGTTTAGGTTGAGGACTCGGTGGCTTGGGGGTAAGAGAAGCAATGATAGGAGAGGCCCAGAAGAGAAAAACCAATGCAATAATAGATTTATATCCCAACATCTTGCTGAGAAGAGAAAATCAGACGAGAAGACGAGAATATGAAGCTGTGATGATGATCTTGAAATCTGAGGGCTATGAACACGAGTTTTGAGGCGGGGATTCATGTCCCTTTATACCAACAACCTCTGTTCAACAGCACCAAAAATACCTGGAACTTAGACCTTTCACAGACTCCTATTTGATTCTGATCACGCCATCGCCATGCAGCGATTTCGAAAAAACTCACCGAGCTTGGTCTCTGTCGATTTTTGAATCAGGGTTTAAAAAGGAAACAATTTGTCACTCGTGGACAATATATATGTGGCTAGTGCTCCTACAGGTATGGATTATGTGCTCTGACCGCAAGTTTGAGACTATGTGCCCCGAACTGTAAAAGACGGTAACGGGTATCTATATAGGGTTTGGTTTACTAGACTGCGAGTGTCATTATTACGACCACTATTGGTCTAATTACTCTTGCTGCTACTACAGACAATTGGATGTGACCTGAACAGCATATTCAATTTCAGGGCTACCCGACGAATCGTGCTATTATAGGCTTGGTCTGTATATTAACTAAACTCGGTGAATTGCCTTGGATGTCCGGCAGTGGCATCTTATGACATCCACGTGGGCCCACGGCCCTCTGTTCCTCAATTCGGCCATGGGTTTCGGTGAGTAAAGAACTTGTAAGGCATTAGCAGAGCAACTGTCGCCCCATGACACACCCTACCACGTTACAGGGCCGCACTTCAATCCATCCATCGAATAACTATCCTTGTGGACGCCTCAACAGAAAACTTTTCTAAACCTGACAGATCTAGAAAGTATTTAGAAAGAGGGGACAACAAAATCCTACTCTATATCTACCTTAACTCTTCTATCACATGTTAGCTTACAACTAAATTCTGGAGAGCCACTTCACGGGAAACGTGGCATGGTTAGGTGCATTTCCTTAAACATAATCCTCCGTTGTTATAAAGAATCCAATCCTCTGCTGGGAGACCAGTTTTCTTCAGAGCCTTGGACAATATTTGTGTCTCAGGATGGAGTTTTGCCTCATACCCTCAGACCTTCCACTTCGGATGAGTCAGAAATGGGCTAGGCCCAATGTAGCGTAGCGTAATTATAAGCTTTGGAGCTAGACCCTTACGGGTAATTTCTGCCACATCCTCTGGTCAGGTTCTGGCCGAATTACCCGAATGGGTTAGCTCAAAACACTAAATTCGCGCTAAAGAACCTTAACAGCACGCGTCTGAGATGATGAGGTAAACGTCTGAGATGATGAGGTAAGATGGAGTTTACAATTGGTTACAGCAAAGTTCATGTTTTTCCCGCTTCGGTCGGCAATCTTACTTCATATCCTCGAACATTTTTCTGGTGCTAAAATAGAATCCTTAAAAGTTCCACTACCTCCAACGGCATTTTACCAACAGAAAAGCCTTCTTATCTGGGTGGAGAAGCTCTCTACAGAGTATGAGAGCAAGTTTATTGGAGGAGACAATCACGGTGAGGAAAGTAGGGATTATGAACGTATTGCTTGGCTAACTTGGCTTCATTGATTGGCTGGGCTTGTGAGTCTTAGTAACAATGATTAGTCCTGTTCTGAATTTTTATTACTTCTTGTCATGTTTAGATATACCAGTTGCACCCTAGGTTTTGGGAGGATTTCCCCGGGGCTCGAGAGCATGATCCAAAAGGAGAATTTGGTAAAAAGCTGAATAAGGGGCTTTATTATTCAGCTTTGCCCTCCCACCCTCTGGGCATGCTACATGTTGAGACTTAAACAGAATGGAGGGACGGGAGCCCAGGTATCAAGGATAACACATGCTGTAAGTAGCCTGTACGGAGTGGGCTGTACCTAAACCTGGGTAGGGAGAGTGGCTCTCCATAGTCCAAGACTGTCTGAGAGCGGAGAGCCGGAAATAATGAATAATAATAATAATTTTTGAAAGTTTAACTAGTAGTTACCGGGCTGCCAAAAGGTACGTATGAGGCCAAAATATGGAGTGCCTGAAGTACCTGTTAACTTAGTACTAGTTTAGGTAGTTAACTAGTTCAAACCCTAAGCTCATGGCATAAGACCATTGATCGCGTGTGGGAGAATGATTCCAAAATCTCGAGTCCGTCTCACCGGGACGCCCTTGGCTCGCTGACCAAACCTCAACAGAATCTCACACGCCAAGACGGAGCCGCCCGTTAATATCTGCCATTAGTTCTTAACTATTAGTGAAGGCCGGCAGATCGGAATGCTCACAACACGAGAAACTTAGCAGAATTCTGAGCAGCCAGGGGCGTCTCCAAAGACGCGTCCAAGGCTCGTCTTCCCACCGCTCGTTGCTGTCAAAAGTAACGGAATTTCCTCCTTTCTCTTCTCTTTGTTGTTTATGCGGCCTCGAGAGGTGCTGACCTAAGTTCCAGACCCCTCTGCTCTGCTCTCGAACAGTTTAATATGAATTTTTTGTTGTACTTAGGTTCGCGCTGATTATCAGCCAGCCAAAGTCTACTTCTCAGTATGGCGGAGATCTTCACTGAAGGCTAGACGTCCACTCGCAGCTTTTCAGCGAGTATCCTGTCAGTAGTTGTTACTGCTTTATTTGTCACAGCTATACCCCAGGGGGATGGCAAACTCGCTGGACCTACATGCTCAAGACTAGGAAAGAGGCACGATATTATCTCAATTTTGGCCCGTACACTAACTTTTCTCCGTGCCCCCCCCCCCCCCCCCCCCGTTTTGCTACTATGCTTCCTGAGCTGTATTGAACTATGAGCACCTGAATATGAATTTTGAGTCCCCGCCCAAGTATTGCATCATTTGAGAATGCCTCTAACCGCCTCTCATGCAGCTTTGCTTTTCCTTTTCGTTCAATTCAATCTCGCTAGTATCTTTTGGGTAATGTACCTCCTTAAAATGGTCCGCCAAATTGCCGCGTTGATTGGCAATGCCGTTTTTTCGCACTTCTCTTACGCTTGCAATATTCTTCACAGTACAACATGCCAGCTTTCCAACCTAGGATCAGCCGGAACTGGCGGGATGGCGGTCATTATGTATTTAAAGAGAATTGTTTTGGTTGAGAATGATTTCCTACTCAGCCTATGTCTTTGGAGCTTGGTCCGGGGTATTTGCTTTACTTTTTGGTATGCTATGCAGAATCTAGGGCTTGCCAATTACTGCATACGTTAATAGGGATTTATTCTCGTCTAATGGTCTTTATTTCCTTGATTGATGCGGTTTACCTTTCCAGTAAAAAGTGGTCAGTCACAGTTCCGCTTAATTCATTGTAGCACGGTACCTTTGTGGTCATTCGTTCCGGCCTGTAACATATTCACCCATCCAATCCAATCCAACCCTATCTCCGGAAGTCAGTAAATATAGTAAGAGAGCACACACACAGTGGCATGAGCCACTCTAGCAGCGAGACGTGCTTGGGTCTCTTCAAACACGAAGCGGCGTTTGTGCGAGTGGCTAAGCGACATATGCGCTTCGAAGGAAGCCTTTAAGCCCGTGCGTATGACGTCTTCTGCGGCCCGTTTCGCGTCTCTTGGTTAGTTAACTAGTTATGCCCGTGGTCGGCCTGCCATCCGAAGGCTTCGTCAGGCAAAGACACGCTCATAGTAGGGGCGGGTATCGGCAAGCCAGGATGAGGTCTGGACCGCCAGTAGTTGAAGACTTCAGAGAACGTAACCTGCAGGTCAGCGCGTATGGTGGGAGCGTGAGACAATCAGTTACTCGATTCAGCTCCTCCAATCTCCGCGCGAGAACTGGCGCTGCCGCCGTGGCACAGGCCGGCCACGCATCCGCCGGCCCGATTTGCAACGTCCGTAGCTCCCAACGCCCGCTAGGGACACGCTTGGCAGGGATGGCGGCGCAGGACGTCGAGGAACGAGACAGAGCGCTCGCGTCGGAAACCGAGCTGCCAGGGCCGGCTGGCCTCGAGTTTACCCATGATGGGTCGGAGATATCGTGTGTGAACGCGGCGATAGCATCGCGCCAGGATACCCAGGCCTGCACAGCGTCGGGGCTAAGAACGCGCTATCGCAGCTTGCTTGCACTTGGCTATTTGCCGTGGGTCCGTCCCGGGCACAAACGCAGGCCAGCGGGCGGTGCTGGCGCCGGCGAGACCGCGGGCATGACAGAATGAGAGCGAAAACAAGCTCGCGACCCACGGCGCGGTGGGCATCGTGTCGTTCGTTAACTAACTACTTAGTTAAGCTGCGCGCGAGACGAGGGCATGTGTATAAGAGCGCCAGCCGGCACTTTGAGCTGTGTGCTTGAGATCTCAGCCGTGTCGCCCGCCTTCGTTCAGCGCCTTGAGCTCGCCAGCCATGTCGGCATCGCTATCCGTCTCCACCGCCGCGGCCGGGAGCGCCATCAGTGAGAAGAGCAGGCAGTTTGGTGCGATCAGTGCCCCCGAACATGGCAATGCTGGTCCGGAGCTCCAACGGCACAGCAGCACTAGGAGCTCGAAGTCTCTGGAGCGCTCCACGTCCCTAGGAGACGGCTACACCCACCCTCGCGTCGACCAGGACCAGCTGCGGCAGTCGGACGATGAGGTGCCGCAGCAAGACGTCTCTGCGGACTCCCAGACTGACTTTGTGGTGGCCTGGGACCAGACCGGCGACCCTGAGAACCCACGCAATATCCCTTATGCTCGGAAGTGGTTGATTGTGATAATCATGGCGATGGGGTCCGGCTGTGTGTATGAGTTACCCTTTGAATAACGACTATTTGAGATGTGATGTGGACTGACTGGCTGATCATTTTAGAACGTCCGCCTCATCTATTTACACAATGACATACCCGCAATTGACAAAGGAGTTTGGCGTTTCGAAACTCGTTGCTACCGTGGGATTGAGCACGTTTATCGTCGGCCTTGGTGGGTGTCTTATGGCATTGAACTTTCACGAGTGAATCGGCAGACGCCTAATTAGTATCTCTACCTACAGGCACCGGACCCCTATTTCTAGCACCATTATCAGAGGTATGTATGTTGTATCCACCATTGTATTTACATGCACCTGTGCTCAAATGCCTTGCTATACCCCCTTTTCTATTCCCTACGTATGTATGCGGATCTGACGGAGAACAGTTTTTCGGAAGGCGGATAATCTACATCATCTCATTTGCCAGCTTTATTATCTGGCTGATCCCATGCGCAGTTGCCCAAAACATTGAGACCATGCTGATTGCTCGGTTCTTCAATGGCCTGTCGGGCAGCGCATTTTTGAGTGTCGCCGGTGGGACAGTGGGTGATATCTTTGACCGGCATCAGCTTGCCGCGCCGATGATGGTGTATACTGCCAGCCCTTTCATGGGACCTGAGATTGGGCCCTTGTAAGTTAATTCCTGAGTCATGAGCATGTTTAGCACACTAATATTGGAGATGCTAGGATCGGGGGTTTTATTTGCCAGTATACCACTTGGTTAGTCTTGAAATTATCCAGTTAAAATCGCACCGTTATCTGCCATCCACTAACCTATCGCAGGCGTTGGGTATTCTATGTGTTGCTTCTGTGGGCCGGAGCAATTGGGATTGCCATCGTCCTGTTCGTTCCGGAGACATACCATCCTGTTTTGCTCCGGCGCAAGGCCACCAGGCTCAGAAAGGAAACTGGTGATGACAGATGGTTTGCCCCCATCGAGAAGCTCGATCGGTCGTTGGTCCAGACGGTCCTCCGTTCCATATACCGGCCTATGCTCTTGTTGATCTTTGAGCCCATGTGCCTGAACCTCTGTATTTTTTCAGCCATCCTGCTAGGTATCCTATATCTCTTCTTCGGTGCCTTTCAACTAGTGTTCTCAAGTGTCTATGGCTTCAATCTTTGGCAAGTCGGGCTGAGCTTCATGGGATTGCTCGTGGGTATGGCAATCGCAGTTGCGAGCGATCCGCTGTGGAGGAGAAATTACGCACGTCTTGTCCGTAAACGAGAACAGGCAGCGGGGAAGCCCGAGTTTGAGCCGGAATGGCGGTTGCCGCCAGGTATGTGCATCTTGACTCGCATTCCAACTGCTCCTCATGTCAGGCTGATAAGCATCTTGAATAGCGATTGTCGGCGCCCCGTTAGTTACAATCGGGCTGTTCATTTTCGCTTGGACGATTTTCCCACATGTTCACTGGATCGCGCCCATGATTGGGAGCCTGGTATTTGGTGCAGGGTATGTGGAGGGGTTTTTCTCTTGTCCCGATGATCAGCGGGCTTGGATTGATTCCCATTCGATACCAAAGCTCGACGACTGCAGGTGACTGACGAAAGGGCATATTTCTCTAGGACTATTCTCGTATATTCTGGTATCTTCACTTTCCTTGTCGAGTCGTATCCCTTGTACGCCGCCAGCGCTCTGGCCGCCAACAGCTTTCTGCGCTCCAGCTTCGCAGGCTCATTCCCCCTGTTTGGAATCCAAAGTAAGTGCCCTGCTGCTAGTATTTTGACTAGGTAGATGGACTGCCGTGCTAGCCGTCATCCCTGACGCCCTACACGTGGCATATGATCTTCGTCTTCTCAGAGTCGAGAAAGATTCTGTTTCGCTTGATGAAACTGGATACATACATCACTTACCTAGTTTCTGATGTCTGAGCCCATAGCCCTAGGCATTCTCACCTGTAGAGGCTGCCTTATCTGTATTTTGTCTGCTAAAATGGTTACACAACAAGACCATTATGCGGGATATCTCTGCTGACCTTTTTCTTCCCTCCCGCAGTGTATACAAAACTCGGCTACAACTGGGCAACGACTCTTCTGGCGTTTCTGACGCTTGCTATGGCTCCATTCCCGTACGTATAGTTGTAGTTTCCTATACCTCTTGCCTGGTATTTTTTTTTCAAGGCCTTGAAGTCCACTCTTCTATATTATGAGCAATGTTTCAGGGCAATGACCCCCATGTTCTTTTCTTTTCCTGCAAAAAGGAATGTCATGGCTTGCCCATCGTGCGACGATCACGCCTCGCCCGGGGATAGATTTGCACGTGGCTTTTGGTTGCCGCCTCGCTTTCCATATCCTTTGACCCATACTCCGTACTCCGTACTCTGTTTGCTTGGAGTTGAGAGCTGGCGCTCTGGCAGTGCTTGGAAGTCCGTCAAAACCCAAATTTCGCTACCACGCGCCTTTTTGGGCCTCTTTCAAAGCTTTGTTTTTTCTGTTCAAGCACGACTATGCGCTTTTGTGTGACATCTCTCTCGCGAAGCTGTTGGTACCCTGGAATTTAAATCCTTCCCGGTTTGTCACCTGTGTGTGGCAGAGGGATAAAAAACGGGATGCACATCAACCCCCAATCTGCCCCAAGGACCCTCAAGCGCTGTTGCACGTCGTCATAGCATTTCTATATTTCATCGCGTTTTGGACTGTTTAGCTATCAGGGCCAAGAAGGTTGGCGTCAGGAGGCTGACCGGTTCCATTCCGCTTTTAGGTATATCTTCTTCCGGTACGGCAAGGACATCAGGAAGACGAGCCGATTCGCAACTGCCACTGCTGAGTAACGAAAGGGGTTGGATTCCTGCGCGCGGCAGACCCGACCACGAGACGTTCGTATTGCTGCTCGTGGCTTTTTAGTCTCCGAACCTTGTCTAGCGACGACCATGGCCTGGGGAGAACTTGCTCTTCAGTCGCTGGCCGACAAGTCTCTGTACACGTGAGGCCAACCGCCCGCGAGCACCATGGCACGAACGGGACGGAGGGCGCGCGGCGTATGTGAATGGTTGATAGCGATCAGGGTCGTCATCTGGCCGGTGGCTTTTCCTTTTCTTGCGCTGGGAGAACTAGCTACCCTCCAGGCCGTGGGGGCATCGGCACATCGCTGGTGACTCTTTGCCGAAAGGCGCCTCGTTTTCTTGTGTTTATATTTATTTTTCCCCGTAGCTAGGGCCTTGGGCGTCTCTGTACATACCCTACGGAGGGCTGGCGGCGTTCTGCAGTTAAAAATAGCTATGCATCTCGATTCTCCCCCCCATATGCGTATCAACTGGCGGTCTCCTGTGTATGGACGCCCAGGAGCTCTATTCGTTAGTTAGTTAGCTATGTATCTCAGCCAGTGCAGCGCCGATCGCCGTGGTCTGTGCCCGCAACCGGCCCCCAGCGCCGCATCGTGTCGTGTGCAGACTTCATAGGCACGGAGTACAGCATGGTCCCGCAGCCATGCACTCTGCGGCGTAGTTATGCAGCGGCGAGTCACTGGCAGGTACCGTCGTACGCCTGGCATTCGAGTTCGCACAGGCGCGTTCAATTGCCGTCGCAGGCTGCGAGAAGGGAGCAGCCGCCGCAGAAGGCCTGCTGATTGTCTCCCTGGCGACCGTCTGGCGATGACGCCGCACCGCCGTCGACGCTGTCGCGTGCTTGACTTCCCCCGCCAGCGCATGGCCCCCGTCGATAGCCGGCCAGGCGGGCGGCGGGGGCATCCCAGGCACGCGCGGGGGCTACCTGGGGCGGCGCGGGCAACGTCCGGCAACGTCTCTTCATGTGAGAAACACTTATCTCGAACTCGCCGCCGCCATCATCGCCGTCTCCCCGCTGCCTCCTCGCCTGCGTCTGCTGCCTGGCCTCGCGTGTGCTCTGCCCGGGCGCTGCTCTTCTCCCGCGCCCGCCCTCACCGCCCGCCGCTGGGATCGCTGCCGCTGCCTCTCGGCTACTCCGCGCGCGCGAGCGCTGCATCTCCACTCCTGCCAGAGAAACTTTGCCTCCAAACCTCTCGCATTCGAATCCCATCCAGCCTCTCCGCTCCTGCATCGCTGCTCAATAGCCGTAGGCTGTCGTCCGCGCCTCAGCCCTTCTCGCCGCGACGATCGCTCTGCGCTCTCCAATCCCGCCGCTGGCCCGTCGCACAACGCATCCATGGCCCTCTTAGCGTGACCCGACTGCTATACACATAACCGCTCTCGACGCGGGCCGTTCTCCCTCGAGACACACGGCCTGTCCACACCGTTGGCCAGATCGCCCATTCGTTACCAAGCCACCAACTGCTGCAGCTTTGTCTCCCGCTCTTTTCGCACCCCCTTCGCCGTGCTGCCCGCCCCCATCACCCCGCCGCCCATCCTCTCCCTCCCGCCGCTCCCAAATTCCTTCTTGCCAAAAAAGCAACAATTCGCCTATCGTCCGCCCTCTCGTCGGCGATATCAAGCGCCGGGGCCTGGTTCTCACGGAGCTTGCGCCTCGTCTGCCGAGTAACCGATCTCATCAGCTAGACTGGCTCACCCTGGGTCGCACTGCAGGCGCCTCTTGCTTTTGAAATCCCCTTGCACTCTCACGGCTCCTGTGATCCCGGCCAGCCAACTGATTTTACATGGCCTCAATTCCTGGCCTGCTGTATAACCCGTCCCGCCAATAGCAGGTCGAAAAAAAAGGCAAGAAAAACAAATCCTGGGGGGCTATCGCTTACTCGAGAGCGTTCTACAGCGTAGCTCGTGTGGACGGGCAATAAGAGCAAAAAACCGCCAAGCTGGACTCGTTCTTTCGGTTCCATCTTCTTGGTTCGCTCTTACCCCCAGACCTCTTTGGCAAGACTAGAGCTATTGCAGTCTGCAGAACGGTTACATGCAGGACGGGAAAGGTTTTTTACGATTTCGAACGTGGGCATCGATCGGCAATAGCACAGAAGGATTCTCCCCGGACCGTATTAAGGTCAATCCCGTTTAGCCACACACCCGCAGCTAGAATCGCTTGTTACATACACGCTTTAGTGACTTTGTGAGCCTAAAGAAAGCACGGGAGGGAGCCAACGAACCTCCCTTACCATAGCGTTTCCGGTACAGTGGTACTTGCCCGAGGACTATATATAATATGACGGCCAAGGCCAGCATCAGCCCATCGTCCCCTATCCCGCCCGCCACTTCAAGCAGATCCAGCAATATAGCTGCAGACCTGTCCATGGCCGAGTCTCAGATCACTCAGCCCGCCACCAGCAACAAGAGCAATAACAACAGTAGCACCAACAAACTCCAGAACGGCCAGGTAAAATCAATGTCGGCTTCTAACGCAAAGGATCCCCACCGCCCACGGAGGAAAAAGGCAAAGAGGGCTTGTTTTGCCTGTCAGCGTGCTCACTTGACATGTGGTATGTGCAACCCGTGCCATCTTTACTCTATTTTGTAGCTTGGTTTTTTTTTACCGTGGCTCCTTTTTCATGTCAATTGTTTATCATGATTTCCATGGTGCTGTGGTCCAGCTACCTTTACCTATTTGTTCTTGCCACGAGACTAGGAGTCCCTGCTAAGCGCAATACTAGGTGATGAGCGGCCATGCACACGCTGTATCAAGCGTGGTATTCAGAATGCATGCCACGATGGAGTTCGTAAAAAGGCAAAGTACCTCCACGATGCACCAAATGAAGCCTTGATGCCTCATTTGCAAGGAAACATGTATAACCAGGCCAACTCGGCTCGTAGCACTATGCCCCTGGCCACCAGAAGCTCGAATCCAAAGACGAATTTTTATCCACAGCAACACGCAAACTTCAACCCTTTCTATGCAAGCAAGCCCGAGGGAACCGTGAGCCAGCAACCACCCGATACATTTTCCTCGCAGTCCCCTACTTCTCCAACTTTTAATATCTCCGCGAATTCTGCTTCGACGGTAAACGCCGCCTTACCTGCAGCCCTTCCAGCTACAACTGTAAATACGCCCGGCCAAACACAGACCGGATACGGTGGAGCGTTTTTTGACCCCAGTGATCCTGCGTTGTTCAATTTCGACCTCGCCAGTATGAATTTTGGCAATCACTATGGTGCTTTAGAATTTGGGATGCTCGGCCATTTGGCGACTGCTGCCGGCGAAACCCCTCCCAGCGACAACGCAACCAGGCATGGTTCCACAGGTAGAAGTGGTTCTGGCACATTTACAACGACATCGACGTTTGGAGAGAGCCCCACGGCACAATCATCTTATCTATTTAGCGATCCTACAATTGGAGGTGACTGGTCCTCATCCATGAATACAAGGAATTTGTATGGCCAAAACATCAACAATCCATCCGATACTCCACATGCTTTTGCTATCGAAAGCGCCCCTACAAATTTTGCAAGCCCCACGTCTGTGGAGAGTCCTTTGATGACAACAAACGTGCCCTTTGATGATGGCGCATCGTCAACGTACCCGAGCCGGACAAGTGCCGGGCCAATAGCTCCACAGCGACAGCCTGTTGTTTCAACCCCGCAGCTAAGACATCTACATATTTCAAAACGACGACAGCGAAACCCTTGCTCGATTTATGAAAGCGTTAAAGAACCCTATCCTTATACGACCGGCTTCCACTCACTCACTGCCTTTATCCAACGACGCTTCTCACCCCAAAATACGCTGCGCATCGCAAAGGCATTGGCGTCCATCCGTCCGTCATTCATTGCCACAACGAAAACACTCAATCGAGACGACTTAATATTTATGGAAAAGTGCTTCCAACGTACTCTCTGGGAGTATGAGGATTTTATCAACGCATGCGGCACGCCTACTATCGTCTGTCGTCGAACAGGCGAGATTGCGGCTGTAGGGAAAGAATTCAGCATTCTCACTGGCTGGCGAAAAGAGGTTCTTCTTGGCAGAGAGCCAAACCTTAACATCAATACGGGCGTGGCATCGGGCTCGAATTCTCGAGGCAGCTTTACTCCTCGTAGCACTGGCATGGATACCAACCCGATGGGTCGGGGACAGCCGGTTTTTCTGGCAGAAATACTCGATGACGAAAGTGTCGTCGAATTTTACGAGGATTTCGCAAAGCTGGCATTTGGCGATTCACGGGGCAGCGTTATGACTACGTGCAAATTGCTCAAGTACAAGACCAAAGCCGAAGCTGACATGCTTTCCGGAACGTCAGGCAGCAGTGCCATTGGCGGTGAAGGCGAAAGCGCGCTTGGCAGCAGCGGCTCCAAGGCTGAGAGTGGCACTGCCCAGGCGCCCCAGCGCCCCCGCAGGTGGAGCAAAGGCGGGATAGCAGGCGAAGCTGGCATGAACCAATTGGGATTTAAGGATGGCAAGGTGCAGTGCAGTTACTGTTGGACGGTGAAGAGAGATGTTTTCGATATACCCATGTTGATTGTTATGAACGTAAGCTTTTCCCGCCCTGCTGCTATCCCTGAATGCTAACAGCTATTTCTAGTTTTTACCATGTATTTAGAGCGAACTTCAGATGGCTACCTATACGGGAGATCCGTGGGCCTTGTGGAGTTTTGGAGTTCTTGCCTACTGGATTTCGGAAAGGTCCTTTGTGTACGGCATTTTTGTGGGGTCGTTAAAAGGGGGAGTAATTGGAAATCCCATAAAATTTCTCACGGTAGGGGGAAAAATTTTTGAGGTGAAGATGTGTATATACGCGTTGCGAGCCGATTTTGGTTGGTTTTTTTTCCTCCGTTTTCGTACACTCCTTTTTCTTCTACGCCAGATATTGTGTTCTCAGATGTCGCTTTTTTCGACAATGGTTCGTTTTCTCGTCACGAATCTTTGCAAATATCCACTGATACACCATTTGCCTTGTTTCTATACCCTGTAAGAGAATTTGATCTGGACTTGTACTTCATATGTACCGACTGCACCTACGATACTCACGCTAGATAGTTTTGAATCTAGTTAGTTTACTTTCAATTTCCCGGGATCGCCATGCTACGTGCATATGATCCCTGATACCTTGTTGAACAATAGGCATGCTGGAGTGGATCCTTTGCGAATGGATTAGATTGGACAGGACGTACAGGGAAATTTCAAGTCGAACGGGCAAGAGAAGTAAGTAGGGAGAACGGAGAAGGACCGTCTATATTTCTGGTGATTTTATAGCTTTTCCATGAAATAGTAATACAGGATGAGCGCACAATACAGGAGCCTGCTGTTTGCACGTTGCGACCCTTAAACCTCTAACTTTACGCCATGTGCGATTTGATCCAATCAGAGAGTCTGGCAATGTCGGTGTACAAGTCCGGATGTTCTCCCAAACCGCTTCTGATCAAGAAACCATATACTATACCAGTCGAAGGATCGAATAAAGGGCTTCCTCTATCACCGTCACTAGCGTATTTACCACTCGCTCCAGAAGCGCACAAATCATCGGAATAGACTATCCTCTTGCCCATCCATTTATTTCCACAGTCTTGATGGGCAAGTGTGGAGGCTTGCAAAGTCCGCAGAGTGCTCGAGGGTGAACCGCCAGGAGTAGTTTCTCCCCTATCTAAAGCATTAGCACCATCGTTTTCTAGGATCGGGAGGGGAGCATACCAGCCTGAAACCATGAGTCTGGTACCTGGAGCAGGATCAGCATCTTGAGCTGGCAATTTGCCATAGACTATGCCTTTTCCTTCAATAGCAGTCTTCAGGCGGAGCACAGCAATGTTGCCTTCCAGGCCGGGGGGCTCCGGGTGAAGAACTTGCGATTCAATCTCAAGTATAGTTCCACCAGAGTTCCATTTCTATAGAGAATCAATTTGATGTTGTAACTTCAGGTTTCGCGCAGACTTACAAGCGACCCTGTGCGCAGGGTGTAGTTGGAGAGAGGCGTTAGAAAGCAATTCCTTGGTGAAATCGCAGTTTTTGGGCCTATCAACACAGCCTGGCATCCCTTTTGGCCATTATTAGAGCTGCTGAGAACGATTTTGGCATGTTCCGCAGGTGCTGGCGATCCGCCGACGATTCGCGGGACTTTCTCTGTTGGTACAGCGGCCACCAGAGAGGCAGCGGAAATAAGGACGGCTGCAATTGAGAGTAGAGAAGGCATTTTCAGGTTATTTCAAGATTTGATGAGATGTCGGGCAAATACCAGCTGTAGACGGAGGAACTGCTAGGCTTTATATGCCTTCCAATCCCTTCATCATCCCACATGTTTGGGGCCTTCTGATGCCTGTTGTATGAACGCGGGAGGAATGAAAATAGTTCGGAGAGTATTCCTAGTGGGCACACAGTGCCTTGTTGGCGAAGATCCTGCAGTCGAATGTTCTTTTGATAAATGGCGCCGTTCTCCAGTTAAGATCGGCCGCCAGTGTAGGGTTACAGCGGGTGCTAGTTAACTAGCACCAACACCGCGCCCTTAGATCGGCCCTGCGCCGGTTTGTTCACCCCTTACGGAGTAGAAGTTAGCTAGCTAACCAACTAACTAGTACTCTGCACTCCGTAACTACCTAAGGAGCGGGTGGGCTAGACGTCGAAACGCCGAGCTTCTCGAAGGAACCGGATCCCAGCCATTTCAGCCGCCGCCAGCGTTAACTAGTCTGCCAAATATTAGGTATTTATACTGTTAGCGCTCCCACACTTATCACAACATGCATCTTTGAAGTCATTCTTTCGTCCTCTTGATCGACAATCAAAGGATTTTCTAAATACCTAGTTAAGTGGTGGAAAGACCCAGCCCCTGCAGTTATGGGCTCCCCGTGTGAAATATCCAACATTTGTAAGCCAACGCTACAGCTTTTGCACTTGTGCCCATAAAGTCGCCTAAGGAGCGAGGTCAAAGAGCAACAGCTCTGCTTAGCATTAGTTGTTGATTATATTATCGCGGAGTACGGAGCATAGGCCTCGGACTCTGTTAGTACTCTCCACCCGTTTGCTCCTCCTAATTACCGACTAAGTTTCGGGAGCCATTCCTTCAGCACTTTGGTCGCTCCTTCACCCCAGAGGTTTCTTCACTCTATGTGAGGCTGATGTTTGCGTACTGGTAGATTAGCGTCTGCGCAAATTGGCCGCATCATCCTTTCTGTACACCCTGGGGCAGACTGAGCATCTTTGTTTCTAATCACACAGGGAGTACTCCGTGCCCTTATACAATTCCTTTTATTGCTTTAAGCTGCCTTGAGCCTGGATAGGTTGTTTCTACCCAACTGACCGCCGTCTCGTTTCCACTGTATGCCCACCTCCCTCGGAACGCTAGCTGGCTCGAATGACCGACCGTCATATATCCGGAGTATAACTGGTTGCAGGCGCAATCCTTTTCATCACTGTGTTGGTCATCTGGTATGATGTAGGAATGTTGTTTGGAACGGCCCATTTCCGTACCACTGGATGCACCCTCTTCTGCAGCTCAGAACTTCTAGACCTTGAGTTCTCTTACTTCCACCAAGAACCGGGCTTACTTGAGCGTCTGGTTAAGCACAGGCTGATATAGGTTCGGCCCAGACAGACTCCGTAGGGGGTTTTGGAAATTAAAACTGGTGCGCTTTACATATCATCGACATCCAAGTTTTGGATATCACCACTCCGAAACGTTAAAACTCCTCTTTAGTTTGTTCTTAGTAGTGTGAATCTTAAGCGGCCTGCTTTTGGCCACTTGAAAGCAGGAGTTGGCTGGAGAATATAGTGGACCATCCGCTTTATAAGCCCTTATCGTAAACAACAGAATAGCAAGCGAAGTCGGCCCGATGAAAGCCTGGTATTATCGTATGACCATAGATTCAGAAGAACAATTGCTCCAGTGTCTCTGGATATGAGAGCTCATGGACAGTTCCTTTCAGAGTAGGAATATGTGAGCCAGCACGTATGTAAAGTCAAACAAAAAAGGCGCTGGGCCGGGATGTCAAGATGTTACCCAAGTGGAAATGGGCACCCGCTTTGTCTTTGCGGGCTGTACATTCTAGCAGCAAATTCCAAAAGATAATTCTTGCTGGCGAGAATATTAACACGAAAAAGCTGCCATCCAGATGCCTCGTGGTGTCGAGTGTTGTTCCAAACTTGCCGCGGTGACTTTGAAGAGCCATTACCCCGCCATCGGCAACCACTCCACCCCGTTCCCCGACGAACGCCGACTGAACGCCCAAAGGCCTCGAGGTCGTTCCTTGACATAAAAAGCTGGCTTTGGAAGGCCGAACTTCTACTTCTTCGACCCAGAGGCGTGCATTAATCAGACTTGAAGCAGTTTACCGATTACCAACCTGTCTAAATACATCAAGGTATGTGTGTCCATGCTTATGCTCTCTGCCCAGAAAAACATACTCAACTAATCTCTGCACTTTCAAGTAGGGAAGAAATATAAGTCAAGATGTGCATGCAAGCTACCTGTAGCACCTGCGGTATGTTAGATTCGTCTTCAGCCTGCGATAGCAGCCCGCGACACAAAACTCTTGGAGAAGGCACTCGCGCGGATAAACTGCCGATGGGCTGATTGTCTTTTAGAAAAGAAAACCTGGCGAGGTTGTGGCCAGCACATTAACTCCGTCATGGATAATATCCCTAAAGATCAATGGTGCACGTGTACCCCGAAGACAAAGGTCGGCGAGACGGAATTCCCGCCAAAGGTGGGCGACGGCAACGCTCAAAGCCAACAGTCATAAATTCCATTTTACTGACGTTTCGGGCTAAAAGGCCGGGAACATGTGTGTAGTCTCTTGAAATGGAATAAAGAAGAATGTGTTCGATAAACATGGAAATGAGTGATTACTCGGCTTTCTTCTTTTTCATAGATATCGGAGATAGGGCCCAGACTTGCCTCATAACCTCAGACCTTTCCAACGCACTTGATACACAACCCCATGAATATTTGTTCAAAGTCTTTGAAATTACATTCATTTGAAAGCTCTTCCTCTCTTTGGTCTCTTTCTCCATTTTAGAGCAAAATCATTGTGTGGTGGGACAGCAATCACAGCTCAAAAATTGAGCTGCCATTTTACAGTAAGGCTGGATTCTTACAACTATTGAAACAGCTTTACTAATAAAATATATGAGAAATAGATTGCAGTTGATTGTACAAGATAAATTCAAGCAAAATCAAGTTTCTACATATCTACATTTTGTGTGGAGTTCCTAGGGCATGCTAAAAAAAATGCAAATTTGGCACATTTCACAATACTTTTGCAACCAACGCCGCGCTACGAGGCAGAGGCTTGACTTGAAAAGCTTTTCATTGGTCGCGACGAGAAAAGCAAGTTTTGGTTGAGAGGTGATTGTGCTAGGCCGGATTAGGGAAGAAACTTGGCAATTGCCAAGGCTTACCTCCAATGCTCACATTGGCTAACAACTAGCCTCTTGCCAAGTATCAAGCCTACCCGATTCTCCAAACCACACCTAAATGTTTTTTTGTAGCCGCCCATCACCTTATGGCGTACTTTGGCCCAACCCTTATTTGGCTACAATTATGTGTGGAGGCTCTTTTCGTCTACCTGCTAGTATTATTACTTCCTGGCTCCTCGCATTCTCAAACACCCGTCGTGTCTCGCTGCCCAATTCGCTGCTCCACTTTTGGCCAGTGGCAGTCAGGACCATGACTTTGACCTCTCACTCATCTCCACGCAGATTCCCTTCGTCGAGGTTTGTGGCTCTCGACCCAAAGCTGAAGGTAGAAGAGGAGGAACTACCCTCGTATGTGCCAGGAAACTTTTACCCAGTTACGATTGGTGAGGTCTTCGTGGACAGATACCAAGTCGTAGCGAAACTTGGCTTTGGCATGTCATCTACAGTTTGGCTTTGTCGGGACCTTGTGTTAGTATTTCCCAAAATATGCGCGCATGCTGCGACTTCAAGATGACCGACTTTCCTTTGAGGGATCATCGATATCTATCTCTCAAAGTATGCATCTCACACAACCGACAAAATAATGAGATCGCCATTTGCAACCATCTCAAGGCGAGCAACATCGAGCATCCCGGAACACCATTTGTTCGCATGATACTTGATTCTTTCAACATCACGGGCCCAACTGGAAACCAACACCAGTGCTTGCTTTACCAACCTCTTGGGATGAGCTACACAGAATTTCTTGACTTGTTTCCCGACAAGCAGATGCCTCAGGCCCTGATTCAGAGAAGCATGCAGCTGATACTCTTGGGGCTAGACTACTTACATAAAGCCAAGGTTGTCCACACAGGTATCTGTTCCTTATCTGGTACACACAATGCAAGCTCGGGACCCAAGTACTGAGGTTTCTAGATATATCTGCAAATAACATTCTCCAAGGGATCACCGACCTTACAGACCTTTCTGAAATTGAAGATGTTGAGGCCAGCCAGTCAATTGCTAGAAAGGTTCTTGATGACCGAACGATCTATATCTCGCGACCCATGCCGATAAACACGGGGTTACCTGTTCTCTGCGACTTCGGTGAAGCACGCATTGGTGACAAGCACAAGGGTGATGTCATGCCAGGGATTTACAGGGCTCCGGAGGTTATCCTGGATATGGAGTGGGATTCTAAAGTGGATATTTGGGCAGTCGCCCTCACAGTAAGATATCTCTACCAATTATTCTGCGCATGTGAGGTGCGACTAATGTTGTTGTTCAAGACCTGGGATCTTCTTGAAACAGGAAACCTTTTTTTCGCAAGAAAAGACGGCCTCCTGAATGATGAACAGCACCTAGCCGAGATGGTGTCACTTCTTGGGCCCCCGCCTCTCGAGTTCATAAGACGAAGCGACAAGTGTCTTCAGTACTGGGATGAAAACGGTACGATGGCAACCCAGCAACTGCAAACTACCTTGCAAGCTAACAAGTGTTTTCCGTAGCAAACTGGAAAGGATCTATTCCTATCCCGGAGCAATCTTTTGAGATACGCGAGCGGAGCCTGCAAGGGGATGTCCGTACTATGTTTTTACATTTCCTACGATCGGCGCTTGCATGGTTACCTGAAGAGAGGCTTCTAGCTGAAGATCTAGCACGGCACGCATTTCTTATGCAGCCCCTACTTGCTGCAGGTGGTCTGAAACAGCACTGTTGATGAGCTGCTTTGATAATTAGGTTGTTAGGTGTGTGGTTCAGTCTCTAGAAAGTGCTAGCCTAGCTAGTAGAATAGTAGAAATCCCTGCTAGCCTGGCTAGTAGGAATAGTAGTTATCTTATCAATCAAAGTTAGTTTGTCATCACATCCTCGTAAACGAACTATCAGACAACTAAGCAACTCGACTAAAAAGGTGACCACCTTAGAGGTCATTCAGCATTAGTCATTGTCTGTCTGTCTAACACGAACACCTACTGTCGCGTCTCGACGCCCAGCTTAAATATTTGCAGCACAAGAATCCTGAGCCCCTTGGGTTCATTCTCTGGTTTATACGGGCTGTATTGTGCGTGAGAAGGGCAAATAGCATCCCGCAATGCCACCCAGCACCCCGCGCGAACCCATTGCGGGGTCTGACAGCGGCCCCGAGACTCCTTTTCCAATACGTTTATCCGGTGCAGTCATTAAGGGATTTGGCAGAGGAAGTAAAGAGGTGTGTAGCCTGCGCTTATTGCCTCTCTTTGATTGCCTATATCCTATCAACATCGTTATCTTCATCGACAGTCTCGGGAAGCACTGTTTAGAATGGGCTGATATACGTGCCTCCGCTACATTTAATTATAGGGCTTTATATTTAAAATATGAGCAATTTGAATGTACCACTTCTCTCAGGCTATTCTTTATTAAGATCTCAGAACCTTTGATCACCATATTCTCCATTCTTGTATAAATATTTCAGAACCCATTTTGCCAGATATGTCTCCATATTTTTCTGTCTGGTTTATTTTACTCACATTACAATTCTGAATTAGCTCGGTATTCCAACTGCAAATATTCCAGCCGAAGGACTCTCCGAACATCCCAGTCTCAATTCAGGGGTCTATTATGGTGTTGCGGCTCTAGACCCTCGCAAGTTCGAACCCAGCAATACGTCAGATAAGGAGACTAGGATATTTCCCTGCGTATTGAGCATTGGATACAACCCATTCTATAAAAATACAGTACGATCGGTGGTGAGGTCCCCAATTACCTCTATCAAGCAGCAATGATTCGAAACCCAGTCAACCTAACTCAGTTTGTCTACCAGGAAATACATATACTCCCCCACCTGTCCCTCGAGTCCGCTCCATCAGTTTCTCCCCTTGCCTCTGACTCTACGGACTCCACATCGAACTCCAACAACAATGAGATCGTGGATAAACCTCGGCATCACTTCCACCATTTCCCTGACTTCTACGGAACACCTCTAAATCTACTCATTTTGGGATATATCCGCCCCGAATACGACTATGTTAGCCTGGAGGCGTTAGTAGAAGATATTCGGGTTGACTGTGAAGTCGCAAAGAGAAGTTTGACTCGGAAGACTTATGTGTGTTTTATGAGAGATGACGTCGATGGGCCCGCCACGGATCAGCATGTTGAAGAAGCGAAGAGGTGGCTGAGAACCTTTACATAAGCCATGATTTATATGAAATCTCCGCTGTATTTTGGCGCAATTGGCGGCGGAATAATATATATCGACTTTTCTGTTTACATGTATATCCTAGCGAGAATATTCAATTTGAAAAGCTCCTTACAAAGTAGATTGATCTATCACTTAGTTACTTGTGGTAGAGGTGGAACCTAAAATCTATCGAAGGTAAAATGCTCAACAAACACCTAATGATGCGGATGTAAACACAAGAGTGCTATGCATCGCTCAGGGCTGCACAAACCTGACAGTTCAAAAAATGGGAAATGAGACATCGGTATGCAGGAAAAGGATACAGGGAATCAAGGACATCGCTTCATATGGGGATACAGTGCACGCAGAGAAAGTGGAAAATCATCAAAACGTGAATGTTACATGCGCGAGAAACATGACATTCCAGTTCAACTGGACACATGGTTCCTCAAGCGCGTATAAAGAACATTGCATTAGAGTTGGATAAGATCGACCTCAGAGAAATCAGGGGGGCTTCGGCTAAAAATGGCACGGCAACGCCCATCCAGAGCCTGGTACTCATTACTGATCCAGATATGCTTACTGAACCTTTGTGTGCGAAAGACTTCGTCGTCACTGACACCTAAGTCATCACGAGGGATCCAGATCACGGGGCGTTTCATACGAAGAGCTTCATGCTGAAAAGCTCGCTGGACTAGCTGATCACGTTCATCAGGAGTAAGGTCCTCCAGTTCGTCATGGATCCCTGAGAACAATGCCTCGCTGATTGCATTCGTCGCCGGAGTTTGGGCTTCGGCGTCCTTTGCGAGCTTTTCTCGTATATGTTTGAGCGTAGGCATATTGGGATCCGATCTGCCACCAAAGTACCGAGACCTCCGGTTCCGAGAGGGATCTGCCCAGGACCGCCGTCTGATACTGCCCTTTCCAGGAAGCAATCTACCCAGGGCAGTTTTCTGCGGCTTTTGACTATCCATGTGGCTCAATTCAATGCCAGTTTCTTGTTCATGTTTCGGCTCGACATTAGCTTCACCTGCATCGTCTTCGTCCTCGTCCTCTTCTAGTCCTAGCCTGCGCCTCTGGGCACGAGCAAATTCCTCATCGCGCTGACTGGCCTCGTCTTCTAGTGTTATAGGCAGGTAGCGGAATAAAGGTTTGAATGCCTGGTTTAAAAGATATTGAAATAATGCAGTTGCAACCAGGAGAACTATCATGCAGATAGCTTGGCCCTCACAGGCAACTGTACCCTTTTCGTCACGAACTAGGAAGAACATGCCAATAAGACAAACTTCCATCACGTATACCCCGGTGAAAAGTTGGTTGATAGCTTTGGGGAACAACAATCCTCCAGTGTCAAACCGAAATTTTGTTACGTAAAGCGTATTATACCGGTAAACCACCCAGAAGAGAGTAAACGTAAGGACGTTGAAAATCATGATTAGTGGTGATATGATACAGTATATTAAACCTACATAAGTTAGATATTGACCTTTATAGAAGTAGGGCAGATACATACCAATTGATGCCAAGGTTGTGTAGACAGGAAAGAAAGTTCCCCACTGCATCTGGTTGAGATTTGTGGTCCGTGCCCATTTCATTCTGGCAGTGTTGTCGAAAATAGGGGCCAGTAAGAACCAGCTCACCAAGCTAAAAATCTGAACTAGAGCTCCGGCGCTGACTGACATGGCCTGCAGAACCATATAGGAAAAGAAGTAATTACTAGCTTTCGGAATATTTGTTGCCAGCAGTTCTGGAATACTTGTAACGTTCTTGAAGGAGTTAAAGATGGTCGAAAACCCCGAGGATATGGACACAACAAGGAATAGTTGGACAAATAGAAATGCAAAGTAATAATTTTGGACGGTTAGTTCGATCGCCATGCCTGTATGAACGCCTTGGTTCCTGGAAAGAAACCGAAGGATAAGAGGCAGAAGAGCCATCAAGATTGCAAGGAACAAAGGAGGTAAGATACCCTGAATAGCAGAGAGCAGCCATTGAGGAAGCTTTGAAAGCCATCTCAACCAACTAAAATTTCCTTCAAGGTACGAGACTTGCGAGAGCAATCCAGTGAATGCAACAGGGAACGCCCAGCCGATGACCATCGCAGAGACAATGACAATAACTCCAAATGTTCTGAGATACCGCTCCCACCATTTTATAGACATGTTATCCCATATAACGTCATCCGGGGAAATCTCGACCAGTCTTGGAGCCATTTGCTGGGGAATATGGTGGGCAACAGACTGGCAAGCCATATGCGCAGCAACTTGGTGATTGAACTGCACAAAAGCCGAGTTCATCAGAGGAAACTTCTCCGGATGCTGCTGGTCAATTTCAATCTCCAAATTTAAGCGGGCAATCTCCTTGCGGCAGTAATAAATCTTGTCCACCTTTGTCCCAATAAGCGGTAATGAAGGCATCCAGGTCCATCCAAAAATGGGGAGACGCATGGTTTCCCGGTGTTTCGCTTTGATGTATTTCATCCAAAGTGGCTCACCATAGTCGTCTTCTTCGTACGCCTCATTGTAGGCGACTGGGTATTCTTCATTCTCCTGGTGCTCGTCTTTCTTGGAGCTTCGGTGTTTCTTTTTTTCCTTAGGATTTTCATCCACTTTGGAGGCTGCCGTCTCTGGGCACGGAACAGTCAAAGGAAATTCGTCTCCATGATGATCAACATTTTCGGTCTGTGGATCTGATTTCTTTCGCCATAATCGTAATGATCGAGATGAAGCTTCATCGGCGGCACCGTCAAGGGTTGGAGGACCAAACCTCTCGTCTTCAAGGATAGCCGCATCTGTATCACCATGGGGCTGCTGGCCAGTGGTTAAATTCTGATCACCATTTATATCCAGCTGCTGAGCTCCAGCTGAGGCCGCAGGGTCAGCACTAGGTTGTGGCTGGCCAGGTTGTACTATAGTTAAACCACCTGTCGTATTCACACGATCTTCAACGTTGTGACCGACTTTCTTGAGTCCTCCAAATACCGTTTTGCCAACCTTGGCTACACCAGATCCTACGGCGCCGACAGCATGACCGATTCGCGGACCAGCACGTTGGCGTTCCTCGGCACCTTGCAAATCCGTATTATCACCTAAACGCAAAGCATCTTCAAGAGTATGAGCGACCTGATGCGGATCTCCAGAACTTACACCCGCACTTTGAACAAGCCGCGATGCTCTGCGCTGTGCTTCCTTCTTTTCCCGCTCAATGGCTTCTTTGGAGTGTTTTGATTTCCTTGCTTCTACCTTGGCCAATTTTAGTTGTGCTTTCTTGCATTTCTTGATCAATTCTGTTTCAGCAGCTTCTAGAGACAACGCAAGGTCGTTTCGCAACTTTATTTTTGCATTCAACTGGTCTAGGTCCCTATTGAGCCAGATATTTCGAACACCGCCAGGGAATACGTCAAATAAGTTATCCAGCGCCTCGATGGACAGCCACTTTTCTGGAATAGATGTCACCAAGACTGTAGTAGCAGACGCCCGAAGGCGATGCTGAGGAGACGTTAGATACGCCTGTCGCAACCGTATGTAGCCTCGTAGCTCGTCAAAGAAAATTGCACACACGTACACAACCACAATGACAGCAAGTACCAAATGGGCCCAGTATCGCTGCGTCTGTTCAGGTCTAATGTTTCCCCAGGCTAATTGGTCCAGGCCGGTGACATTATATCTTTCACTACGAGACGCATCCAGTAAGCTTTGATCCCTGCCGCCCACTTTGTTTACCGGAACCAGGATTGGCAAAATAAGGAGTGAAAGAGGTATGAATATTTTCAGCAGCATGCGTAGGTAGCGTAGGAAAAAATAGGCATCCAGGCCGCATTTTTGAATGAACTCCGAGTTAGAAGTCTTAAATACGGGGCCGATCCATCTGAATAGCCCGGGCGGGGAAGGGTTTGTACGTTCACGCTCGGGGACTAGATACGTTCGTGGTTGACTAGAGTACAGGGGATGGGTGAGCCATTTCTGATTCAGAAACATGGGAGGCCAGCTGCTTACTAGATTCGGGTCAATTTTCCTTTAAGGACAAGAAAAAGAAGAAATTCGACGGCGAAGACGATAATAGCCGTAGCAAGAGACGCAAGAAAGGTAGATATCGATATGCCGACTGATCTCTGACCTGTTCCGCCCTGTCCATTCAGCGCGGCGCCCACCGAGTTGGTTCTCGTTGGACTGGCTGCCATTTCGGCTCGGCTAATCGCTCATACTCTTGTCAAACAGACACTGGGTGCATTCACGTTGCAAACACGGTGCACTGCGAAGGCGTAGGAAACGAAGTGTGCGTGCAGGACTGAGCAGAGAGCTTCTGACTATCAACGGAAGCAGGAGTATTAATAATAGTGATAGCTCGCAGCAAAAGAACGGCAAGAAAGAAAGAGACAGGATTGCTTTCAGCAGGTCAGGCCACAGCTCGTTGTCGACAACGAGACGGCCGGTGAAAGAAACAAAGGGCAGTTGATATGCGGTCTTCCCTGCTTGAAGCGCCCAAGGTCACTTGCCATCGAAACGGAATGGCGTGGTACTTGGACCCCGGGGGAGGTAACTTTAATTTAAGGGGGAGAAACAGCAATCAAAAGCCGCACAACACGTCCCTCGGGGCAAACGAAAACTGGCGGGGCTGCCGTGTATTCCGCAGACGTCAACAGCCACACGACAGCAGCATCATTATTCCTGCTGGCTGGCGGATGACATCAAGGCGCGTGCTGAAACCCTGGCAGTGCCAATCGATGCTGAACGACCAGCGGTTGGCTGGCCTGTCGTGTTCGTTGACGAGTTAGCGCTGGGAACTGGATCCCTGCAGCGGGCCATCCTTGCCACCGAAACAAGCCACACGACAGCCCTGGCAGCGGGCGCCGTGGTGGTGAAGTGGTGTTGAGCAGGAGTCAGGTGACTTGTCAGGTGACCAGGTCTCTGAAGGAGGAACTGGAGAACTGTAGGTTTGCCACCTCCTCCTCTCAACCACAGTACCAATTTCATTATCTTTGTCTATTGGGCTGATGGAGGTTTGCTAGGGGTTTTTCATATGTTTTTTCTGTAGCCTTGATTATAGCATGTTCATCTATAAGTATCTGTGTCTTGTTTGTTAGAAGCAAGATCAGATGCAATATTATAGATGCTCAGTCACATGATCATCATGTGCTTCTGTGTCATTCAATAGTTATGAGCCCAGACTCTTTCAAGAATTTGGTTGTTATCTAAAGATACATTCAAGATACTTTATTTTACTCTTGTTACCCATACAAATAGAGGTCACTATTAAGTATCTTGAGATCATACATTGAACCCTCTATTTAAGCTTAAATCTTAATTGTGGAGTTTGTGGAGATCTAACACATCTATATATTTACTGATCTAAGTCTATGGAAAACCATAATCTAGAGTCAACATCTCACTTCAATAATTAATTAAAAATGAATGAATTGTCTAGAAGAGTTGTTATGCTGAATAGTTCTGATGATTGAAAAGAATGAATTGAAGACATCAAGCATTTAGTAAATTTTCATTGATTATGACTGTATGTTGATCTGACAAAAGAAATGCATTCTGAACTTTGAGAATCTGTTATAGAGAATTTTCTTTCTTCTGGAAAAACTGAAGAAACTGTAACTTCTGTGGATACAAAACATGCAAGAAATATGCAAAGAGATTGGTACAGAACTTGAGAGAAGAAAGTCTTAGTGATGCAAGAGCTACAGAAGACAATAAGAGACTGTGTAGATCTGTCTCTGAGAATTCTTACAATAAGTGAATTGAATGATGTAGAAGCTACTGCAAAAGAACATCTGAAAGCTCTATATGCTAGAAATACAGTGAATGCTTCTCAATTGAAAGCTAGACTAGTAGAGAGATTTAAAATTCTAGAAGATGGATCAAAGAATCAAGTGATTGAAGCATATTTACTGAATTATGAAGAAGCATTAAATTAAGCTACTGTATATGATATGTGCAAATATATCTGTGAGTCTTTTGTCTCCAAACAATTTCTGAGAGTAATCTCTCAGAATTACAGAGAGTTCTTCTATATGTATCTGTCAAAGCTTCTAACTGAAGAGAATTTGAATCAGAAGCATGAGCTGGATGTTTATAGACATATTTAAATATTTTGGCAGACATTAAAGAAGAATTCTGAGCCAGACCAACAGAATAAGCTGTCAGCATATTTCACTAAAAAGATAGTTCAAAATAAGCTGTTGGAGAAGAATAATGGAAATATGAACTCTGCATGTCTTTGCAGAGAGCACCATGATTGGGCATACTGTCCATATTTTAATTCACTTGTTCAATCAATGGGCTGGAAACTGGATTCAAAAATTGATAATAAGGTCAAAAAAGCATTGAAGAATCCAGTGAACAACAGAAAATCAAAGAAAAAGATTGCAAATTGGAAGAAATCAAAGAATTTAAATGCTAATGAAGAAGTTGGTGCTTCAAGCAATGCAATAGATGATGATGCTAACAAAGTCATTATCAAGACATTCTCTAATCTGACTATCTTCACTTCTGTAACAGTTTTTAACTCCACTAACATGAGCAATAAATATGAATCCTATTCATTACAGAACAGCTTCATATTAGATGAGGGTGCAGATGCACATATTTGCAATGATTTTACAAGATTTCAAAACTACTGAAATGCTGATTCTTCAGATATTGTGCTCATTGGAAATACTCATTGTAAAATCCATGAATATGGTGATGTTGAAGTTTATACTTAAATGCTGGCAGATGCTGATAAGATATTACTAAAGAACATTCTATATGTTTCTGGCTTTCATACAAATCTAGTAGTGCACAGATTGCTGTGTGTGAAGAGTTGTTATTTGGACAATGAGTCTTTTATGATTTACTATGCTGGTACAAGAGATATCTTGTTCAATTTGACTGTTAAAAAGAGAAAAATGGTTGTTGAATACAGATCTATTAATGTTGCAACAGACAGTATAACAAAGAGTGTTTTTACTGTCTTGTTGAGTGGAGATTTAATTAAAAAACTGTTGATGGTGTTGGTCTTCAGTTTGCTAGAAACAATGAATATTTGGCATTTGAGACTTGATCATCTAGAAAGAGAGTCTCTGACTCATCTTCTGAAGATGTCTACTGACATGAAATTTGCAAAGATCTCTTGGAGTTCTCTAATAATGAAGTGCAGATCTTGTGCTCTTTCAAAAGCAAAGTAAATCATATGCAGAATGCTGTTGAAAAGATCTATGTGTCTGTTCATGAAGATGTCTGTTGATCTCATACAGTTTGCTTCAGATTATAATGAAGATAGATGAGCAGTTCACTTATATTGTGATTATATCCATCTGCACTATGTGGAAACAATGCAGTGAAAATCCAAAAGTTTAACATGCACAGCAAAAATGATAAGAGTAATTCTCAATTTATATCAATTAACTATTTTGACTATTTGAATTGATGGAGAGATCTCTATGCAGTCAGAACTGACAGTGTTGGCTTGAACATATAATATAGTTGTTCAATGTTTGGCACTCTACATGCTGACTCAAAATGAAGCTGTGGAATGTGCAGGAGCTTTAATAATGATGGCAGCATGTATAATGTGAATTGAAGCCAACTTATCTGAGAATTTGTGACCAGAATGTGTCAAGACTGCAGTGTATATTTTAAATGGAATTCTGATTAAAGATCTTGGTTGGAACACTTCTCTTGAATTCTTAGAAGAATATCTTCAAACTGCAACTCCTTTAACTGAAATTAGACATATAAGAGTTTTTGGCTGTAGAGTGTATTCTTTAATTAAGAATGCACAATACAGAAGAAATCAGAAGCTGACTTCTAGAGCAGAAGTTGAATATCTTGTTGAATATGAATCAACAAATATTTTTTGCATTTGAATTCCAGTATGATGAAAGGTTATATTAATGAGAGACATTATATTCAACAAAGATATGCTATTCAATTCTAATGAGATTAGCAGTGAGCTTTTATTACAGAAGAGCTTTGTTGTGCCAGATACAATATCTTTTGTTGAAGTAAGTGATATTAACAAGATGAGCTTGAGCAAGCATGACAGCAAAGATGAAGACTCTGAGAAGAATACATCATGTGAGAGTCACAAGACTGTTGATCAGTCAATAAGATTGACAGAAACAATGACTAAGACACTAACTGATCAGTCAGAAGAGACATGTGCATTGTCAACATCAGAATCTACATCAGAGTCATTGACTTCAGACATCTACACTCAATCTCTTCTGAATGGTTCAACAATGCCATCAACTGAAATAGAAATGCTGAATCAACTTTCATTGACAGCCAATCATTCTGTCATGAAAGCTATAAGAGTGATGAGTGATGTTGTAGTTGAGCTGTCTGAAGATATAACATCTACTATACTTTCTGCTGCTAGCTCTACAGAGATGATGAGCACAAATAATGAACAATTAATAGTCAATTGTTCTGCTGCAGAGATGGTGAGCACTAATGATGGGATTTTGACAGTCAATCATTTTGTCATGAAAGTGGTGAATGACTCAGCTGATGTGAGCTTGAGCATGAAGCAACCTCCTAGATGAAGTGCTAGAATAAAGTGTCAAAATGCAGATTGAATTGACAGATGAACAGCTTATACAGTGATTCTGCAGCAAACAGCACATTTGAATTCTTTTTATAGAGACTATTTAACAGCTTTTACAATTATGAATTCTAGACTTCACAGAGAGAATCTTCTGAAGTCTCCAAAGCATTATTTTTCAATGTTGCAACATCTGCATGCTGATGGCTTTAAGGCTGCAATGGATGTGGAAATGGAGAAGCTACAAACAAAGAAATGCTTTGAAGAAGTAGAGAGCTTGGAAGAAATATGTTCAATTTCTTTAATGTGGATTTATATGTACAAATTTGATGTTAACAGTTTTTTGGAATGTTATAAGACAAGGCTTATTTTTTGTGGAGATCTGGATATCAATAATAAACATGACATCTATGCCACTACTCTTGCTGCATGAATATTTCATCTTTTAATGGCTATAACAGCTTATTTTGAAATGGAGATCTTTTAGGTTGACACTGTTAATGCATTCATTAATGCTTCATTTGATAAATCTGTTTATTGCAGACCAGCAGAGGATTATGATAAGAAAAGAGATGTTTGGAAGATTCTACATGTTTTATATGATCACTCTGAATCTTCATGACTCTGATATGAAAATCTCACTTCAACACTCTGGGAACTAAAATTCTGTCAGATTTGTGAAGAACCATGTCTATTTGTTGGTAAGAATATTATTATCTTCTTTTACATAGATGACATAGTATTTTTATATCACAGAAAGAATGTTGGAACATTTGAGCAGTTATTGAAGAATCTATGAATGCATTATGAGCTTCAAGAGATTGAAGAGCTAGAGTCATTTCTAGATATTCATGTCTTATGTGATAGAGATGCTCAGAAGCTTTGGCTGTGCCAGAATAGTTATATTGAGAAGATTGCTAATAAGTTCAACCTTACAGGGTTGAAGCCACCATGTATGCCAATGGTAACTTACAGAGTTGAAGCCACCATGTATGCCAATGGTAACTGCAGATATAGCTTCTTATATGGGGGCACAAGATAAGCAACAAATACATGCCTACCAACAGAAGATTGATTTGGCTCTCTATGCTGCTATTGTATCATGGTCTGATATTTTGTTTGCTACTGCAAAATTAAGTGAGACTTTGATTAATCCAGAACCAGAACACCATACAGCAATTGAGAGAGTTATCTCATATGCTTTTTCAATGAAGTATTATGCTCTTGAATTCTGTGCCAAGGGGGAGTTGAATACTCAGAATGATAATAATGATGCCATAAACATTCATTTAATAATCATCAGTGATTCTTCTTTTGCAGACAATTTGAGCTCTAGATGCTTCTCTCAGAACTCTGTATTCAAGCTCTTTGAAGACTTGATTGATTGAAAATTCTTCAGACAAAAGACTGTTACAATGTCTTCAATGAAAGCTGAGCTTTTAGCACTATTCTATATGGCAAAAGAGACCATGTGGTGGAAACACTTATTTAAGAATATTATGTTGAAATTAGGAAGAGATTTTGATATTTTATGTGATAATTTGCAAATGATATGGTTACTGATTTCAGCAGCTCCACAACTAATTATCAAGCTTCATCATATTGATATTCATCATCACTGGTTATGGGAAGCAGTTACTAATAAGAAATTGAATATTATCTGGATTGAAAGTGATAATATGTCTGCAGATGGCTTAACAAAGATCTTATCTAGACAGAAATTTGAAAAATTTATTAAGCAATTGAGGCTCATGAATATTGATTATTTAATAGAGGGGGGTTCACTGTCTATATCACTGTTAAAGCTATGGAGGCATGTTGAGCAGAAGTCAGATGACTTGTTAGATGATCAGATCTCTAAAGAAGAAACTGAAGAACTGTAGATTCATCATCTTCTTCTCTTGACCACAGTACTGATTTCATTATCTTTGTCTATCAGACTGGCAGAGATTTGCTAGGGGTTTTTCATATGTTTTTCCTGTAGTCTTGGTTATAGCATGTTCATCTATAAGTATCCATGTCTCATTCATTAGGAGCAAGACCAGACGCAATATTATAGACGCTCAGTCACATGATCATCACGTGCTCCTGTGTCGTCCGATAAGTGGTTTACTCCGTAGAGACATACATAACTAAGCACAGAGGAGTTGCGCTCATGATAGAGCCAGTAGGCCTCTGAGCAAACGCCGGACCGAAGTTCTCCATACGTGAGCCAGAATGAAGCTCAATGACTTCGTCATCCCTGGTTTGCGCCACAGGGTCGCCTCCGACAGAAAGTTGTTTTAGCTCTTGCATTAACTCCCACAGACTGGGGCTTAATACATTTGTGATACCGGACGATGAAGAGTATTCGGAAATCATTTCGCCGCCGAAGCGGCTCCATTCGAGAACGCCTATCGCCGCTGCGCCGACGACCGTCCCAGAGTCACCAGGCGGAGGCGTCGTGGCGCGAAACGGGCGAGCCCAAATTGCTGCTCACGGCCGATACGCTGTACTTTGACCCCACCATCTTCCAGCAGTTCAAGGAGGAAGGCTTCGACGTAGCCTACCTCCCTCATGCTACCCCACCAAAGCAGTATCAAGAACAATTGCAGAGGTTTGCCGATGTTTTAGAGGAGCGGGACCGATATGCCATTGTCGGTATGCAGGATACAGCTGCAAGCCCCAGACGCACTCTATGCTACCACATCATCTTAGCGCTCTACAAGGCCCAACAGCTAACCTGAAACTCTAGCCTATGGGGAATCTGCTGCGGTTGTGCTCGAGGCCTGCACCGCTGCCATGCCTAGACTGTGTGCTGTCGTCGCATACTATCCTACATCCGTACCAAATGCCAACTGCGCCTACCCGCCCTCTCTGAACTACCAAATCCATCTTGCAGAGTCGCAGCCTTTTGCCGCGAAGCTCAATTGTTACATCTATCATCGCTCTCAAGTTGGGTTTGCTGAGCAGGATTCTCAGTTTTATGACAGAGTCGGTGCTACACTCGCATGGAGTCGAACAATTGGCTGTTTGAGAAAAGGGTTTGATTTAACAGTTGACCTGGCGCCGGCTTGGGAACGCCATCTCATGGCAAAATATGATAAAAAGGACCTTGAAGGGACGATAGAGTCTCTAGCAGGGGATGCGTACGTGAATTATGTACCGGTCATGACAGGAGGTATGCACGCCATACGCTGTGCCTTGACATTTCTCGCTCTCCATTCCACTAACCAATCTCTTAGGTATTGGATCCGACGATCTTCGTCACTTCTACTCTGAATACTTTATTCCTAGGAATCCATCTTCCCTTGACATTCAATTGATTTCTCGAACCATGGGAATTGATCATGTTGTTGATGAATTATACCTATCATTTAGACATACACAAGAAATGCCTTGGATACTCCCAGGCGTCCCTGCGACAGATAAGTTCGTTGAAGTTGCAATTGTAAGTATCGTTGGTGTTCGTGCGGGTAAGCTGCGCCATGAAAATGTCTACTGGGACCAGGCCAGTGTCCTAGCACAGATAGGACTGTTGGATACGCGCTATATCCCGCCGGCCTTCCAGACCATTGATGAGGGGAGTAAACTGAAAAGACTACCCGTTCTTGGGGCAGAGAGTGCCCAAAAGGTCTTGAACCCCGAGTCTGAGGAAAGTAATCGCTTGATCATCGACGGCTAACTATGATGACGTGGCACCCTGCTGCCTTTAATATACAAGGTATATATCTAAGCTTGACACAGAAACAATGGCAATGGCATGAAGAATGCTTGTATAATAATTATCAGAATATGGTATAAAGTTACATCAACCGCCAATGCAAACGTCGCTCACTTAGTAATGGCGCCAAAGTATTCTTTCTATAACGTTTCCAGCGAAGGCTTCAAAATTTGAATATCAGGGCTTATTCCACCCTTACTTTTCAAGGTCTTGACACTCGCTTGTTGGGCTACTGGTATGATACGTTCCAGCCATGTTTTTTCTGGCTTTCCACTCTTCTCTCCCATTGCCAAAGCAGAGATAAGCACCCCAAGTAACGTATCACCTGCGCCATTTACACTGACAACATTCTGCTCTGTCACTTCTTCCGCGGGAGGAAATAGCCGCATATAGATTCCGCCAACGCGCCGGCTGCCAGTGTTCGTATTGTCTTCATTGACTGCTCGACTAAGAATATACGGCGCATATTCAACATCAGCCAGTCTTGGATCTCGCTCCCGTAGTAGCTGAGTAAGTAGAACACCTTGCTTGCCCAGCTTAGTAACAATGCAGGGAATAAACGGCAGAAGCTGTATACTTTGTTGTGGAATGCCTTCATCTACAATGCTGGCGGAAGTCACCGAGATGAAACGGTCTCTGGAACCCGTGCTAGGAAGGGATAGTGAGTTTATGGTATTCCACCATTCAGGGCTATCAAAGAGACCCGCGTCACGAGCGGTAGTATGCATATACGCGAGTTCATAGCGGTTTGGTGTAATGATATCGATAAGATGCCTTTCAGACGACGACTTGCACAGCAGATTATTAGGCAGATCATTGTTTTTTCCTTTGATCCGCGAGAACAGCCGGGCTGCTTTGGCAGATGATACTGGTTCGATGACAATTTTAACTCCGTGGGTATTGCATATGGAAATCCATTTACTTATGACCTGGGGACTCCAATTACAATCAACGACGGCCCAAGTAGGTTTCGCTCGCTGAATTAAGGGTTCCCAAAATTCATCAAACTTGAGTTTTTCCTCCGGAAGTTCGAGGATGCTCATATCTGCCATTGCAAGAACAAGTTCTTTATTTGAATCATTGACCGCAATGTACTTCGCTGTTCTGATATCCTCTGCTGCAGTGAGTTCCTTGACACCATCCGAGCGCAAATTTTTGTTTGCTTCGCTTAAAGCCACCTGAGCGCTTCGACCACTGATATCGTTGGCGATGACACTGCAAAATAGTACAGAAGTGCCCATGTAGCTTGATGCCAGAGCCACGTTGTATCCCACACCCCCTAGGCTCTGGCTAATAATAGAAGGATTGGAGGTGTGGAGTGCGGGTGTTTTATCACAATCACTAGCATTAGAAGGTATAAAGTCGCAAGCCAGATCAACTGCCAGAGAGCCTGCCACAAGTACGTCGATTTTATTTTCAACCCTTTCGGATGCTAGCACACTGCAAGAGGAGACGGATGACTCTTCTGATGACCTCAAGCCAGCCACCGGTTCCGTAGATATCTGATTGTTTCCATTCAAAATGGGTATATATCTACATAATATCGATCATACAATCAGCCAGGTTGCTTCCTCTCACGAATTGCTGAACGCGAGGGGCCCAATCTCACCGACTTCCATCCGTCGTGCGCCCAGATTCGAGTTTTGAAAGCTCCACGGCAACCCTGGTCCCCCTTTTTACGTTGCATTCTACTAGAGCCCTATTGGTCTCAACGCTCCTCCCATCACTAAGTTCCTTAATCTTGGCCAGGATGTATGGAGTATTATCACTACCATGGACACCCTCTAAATGAGACAGTTCGATCGCCTTGGCAATAATGGCATCCATCTCTGGTTTCGAAAACGAGTGCTCCTCAGGAACGGGATTTGTAAACAGGATTCCAGAGGAAAGTTGGAGAGTTGATTGGGCGTCTATGAAAAATTGTCAGCCTCGACACGTAACTCTAACCAAAGGAGGGTCGCACATATTATCGCAGCTGCGTCTGCTTCATCCTGAACGACTCTCGGGGATGTTATCCCACTGTCCCTTGTGAAGAAGGCGGGAAAATCAATCGGTCCCTCCCGGCCATCGGCAAAAGTAGCAACCACAACGCCTTGCGTCTCTAGAACCTCGAGAGTGCGTCGAATATCGAGAAAGCTTTTGCATCCCGACGTAATAACGGAAACGGGTGTCCTACCAAGCTCAGTAAGGTCGGCTACACCAAGTTAGTTTACTGAAATGAGATGCAAACGGAGGAAAAATACCTGAAATATCCATGGAGGTCTCGCCGCCACGATGTACGCCACCTTAAACAGATTATCGTCAACAATGTCCACTCAAGGGTGTATATCAGAATGTCAACGAACCAAGTCCTCCTGTAGCAAAGACCTTGATACCAGCAAGTTGGGCTAGAACCATAGTACCCGCAATCGTAGTTCCGCCGTGCATACGTTTTCCCGTCAATCCCTACATGGTCTTAGTAGTTGGAATTGGACCTCTTCATATTCACTAAATTACCACTCCACAGATGTATCCTAGATCCCGACGGGAAACCTTCAAGACGTTTTTCTGGAGAGAGGCAGATGTGAGCTCAGTCAGCTCTGCAGCGTTCATTCCAACCCTCGCAATTCCGTTGAGTACACCGATTGTAGCTGGAACTCCTCCGTTCTCTCTCACGATAGACTCAAGACGTTTTGCAAGAGCCACATTGTCGGGATAGGGAAAACCTATGGCATGTCACTTAGGCTGCATGCTGATGATAGTTGGTATTGCTGATAAACCGACCATGAGTGTAGATTGTAGTTTCGAGAGCCACAACAGGCTTGCCGGTTGCAACCGCATCCTGGACTTCCTCGGAAATCTTCAGGAATTTGTTCGAGGCTCGAGATGTCGCATTGCTATACTGGCGATTGAGGCAGCTCCCGCACCCCCTCCAATTACGCCAGTCTATCCGCGCTCGGCCGTGGGATATAGTTCGCGACAAGAGCATTCTAAGAGAAGGGTGCAGTTAACTATTCATGAAGAGATTGCGGGGAGCCATCGAAATGTGGACTACGTGGGTTCTCTCTACTCCGTACGCTGCGTAACGGAGTTCAGCGATCCTTGTCATCCACGACGCTGCGTGGCCGCTGCGGCTCCCGTAGAACGCTATCACTCCGGCCAAGTAGGCGTAAACACCGCCAGCTCCCTGACACGTCGCCTGCAGTGCACCGCATCCTGAGCGGAGTTCCAGTCTGGGGCTTTCATATTCCGCTTGAAGCGATCCCCTGGCAGTAACCGCCGCTATGAGGCTCCTCGCCGCCGTTGCGCTGGCATTGACAAGCTGCGTCTATGCTACGAAGTCCAATAGCACCTTGGCCACGCACGTCTTGCCGAACAATTTTATTCCTCCTCAGGTTTTTAAGAACTTGAACCTCCTGCGAAACATCAATCTTGAAAAAGGATACCCCAGAGAAACTATCAATATCCTTGTAGAAAACGCTGGCGACACACCACAGTCCAAATACTACGTACCTTTCTCGAGCGAGGTTATAAGCAAAGTTGGGGGCTTCGAGGCTTGGGAGAAGAATGCAGAAAGCAATGGGAAATTTAAGGTAGAGCGGACACATATCCGTTCTCAAAAGTAAGCATGTGTTCTCTACGATCAGCAACGGAGTGTTGACATTTGATGTGCAGTTCGAATCAATACTTCATCATACACCTTCGCACACCCCTTCCACCTTCGTCGCGATTGAGCCTTAGCCTCTCCTACTACCTCCTTTCCGCTATAGAGCCGCTTCCCGCCGCCATTGAACAAGATGCCAAACAGTACCTTGTATACGACTTTTCCGCCTATGCTCCCTCTGCCTACGTAACAAATATGCAGCGGACAAAACTCAAGTTCCCCTCCATAAATGTTCCCGATTATACTGTCACAAATGGATTGAAGCCCGGCTCCGAGTCCGACCCTGAAAAGCAAGGCAGTACTTTTACTTATGGCCCATACAAGACCGTGGACATTACCCCTGGAACGGCGGAACCGGTGACTGTGCGATATGAGTTTTCTAGGCCCGTTATTATGTCCACGCTTCTTGAGCGTGATATTGAAGTATCACACTGGGGCGGAAATCTTGCAACAGAGGACAGGTACTGGCTTCAAAACAACGGCGCTCACCTTGCCAAACAATTCTCCCGAGTAGCCTGGTCAATGAAGACGTTAGAGAACAGTCCCAGCGTTGCAATCAGTGCGCTTCGAGTTATTCTGACGCCAGGAGCCGTGGACCCATACTTTATCGATGACATTGGAAACGTATCAACGAGCCGTTTCTCTCCCGGTCGTGGGAAAGGGGGCGGACTTCTCGATATCCGCCCACGTTTCCCCATTTTCGGGGGCTGGAAATATAGCTTCCGTATTGGTTGGAACGAAGCTTTGTCTTCTTTTTTACGAAAATCTAAAAGTGACGATACTTATATTTTAAAAGTTCCGTTTCTTGATTGCCCTAAAATGCCTGAGGGTATTCAGTATGAGAAGTTGGACTTGCGAGTGATCCTACCGGAAGGGGCGAGCGAGGTGAAGTATGAGTTGTTCGGGGGAGTTGGTGTGCCAAATGATATCCACTCGGAGATTTTGCTTCATAAAACCTTCATGGACACGCTTGGAAGAACGGTACTGAAACTAACTGCCACCAATATCGCTGACGAAGCGAGGGATGTTCAACTCATCGTAAGTGTTTCCTCTCTCACTTTGCTATGGTCATTCAAAACTAAATCTTTGCAATAGGTCACCTATAATTACCCTTTTGCGGCTTCTTTGCGCAAACCAATTACTATATTCGTGGGTGTGCTAAGTGTTTTTGTTGCTGCATGGGCTATTAGCAATGTCGATGTTAGCATCAAAAAGAGGTAAATGGCTGGTTCTGTTGGGCATGATTTTTTAACAGTATTCGCATTTTATACGATTCTCCATTTCAATTCTGTAAACGAAGTTGTTATTGATATTTGCGAGATAATTGTAAGGATTTTCATTGTACTGTATGCCTCGGATTGGACACCTTGTATGATATCACCAGCTACCAGTAGGAGCAATCGCAAAGTAACACCACTACGGTGTTTACAGCTGGAAGGATGGGGGCGAACAAAGGAGAAGAGAAAAAAAGAAAATGCCAGAAAATGTCAGCCAATATCCTCACTGTTCAAGGCCCTTGTTGATCCTTAGGCCAAAATTCAACATCACGGCCGTTACAACTCCCAAACAAAGTACAGTCGGTCCCCACTTTTCATAATACACGCCTTTCACGTCCCTATATTTTCGAATCTTGTCGACACGCCACATGTATAGCAGAAAACTATATACTAAAGCCAAACACGCCAGACCAGTAAATGCCCATGCTGAGCCAAGGGTAATAATGTCAGTGCCAAAATTGAGCAATGTAGCGGCAATAGTGCTTAGGAATATGGAGAATTCGAGCCACGAAAGGAATGTTCGTTCAGCGGCAAAGAAAACTTTAGGCTCAACGCGTAGTGGAACATGAATACCTGTGTGCAAAAGTCAGAATCAAGGAGCCAGCTTGGAGAAAATAGGTTGGCTTACGTTTGCCTTTAGGCGCCTTAAATCTCTTTACCTCGATTCGACCAGTGCCTAGGATACTTCGAATCCGACCTGGTGCTGCCCCATCGGGTAGATTGGTTGGTCTCGGTGCCGGAATGACGTACTGTACACCTCGTAGGACTCGGCGCCCAGCATCTCGGGCATAGTATTTCGCAAGCTTAGCACGGTAGTGCATTCCTCCAATTTGTCTCGCTTCTTCCAACTCTTCCTGGCTGTTTGACTCATCTTCAGAGTCATACAATGGATAATCATCACTTTCAAGCAGACCTTGAGCTGCAATGCGCTCTTCAATATCCAGAAAATTACCGGTAGCATCAATGTTAAGCTGATCCTGAGTAATATCACCTGGCCCGTGGTAATATGTGCCGTTCTGATTCTGGTTGCCGTTCATATCGATACCTCCGGCGGCGTCGAAACGAACTCCTCCATCATCATCAGACTCTTCCTCGTCCATCATATCTTCACTCGTCGAAAGATTCGATTGCGGAGGCCTGGCAATTCCAAAGCCGGGTCTCACTGGCTTTCTGATATCAACATCCATTTGCGGCATCCAGAAAGGCAGTAGATTTATGCGAGTAGGGAACAAGTTTGCAGTGCCATGAATAAATTTGCTGAATTTGGGAACAGCTTCGACAAGATGGCTAGAGATTAGCTCTCTTATCCACTGAGGGGATTCCTGTCCGGCTTGAGTCTGCAGTTTGACTTCTAGAACCGCATAAGGAAAGCGGTCAACATCCTCAGCTGGAAGCTGACGGAAAGGATGGTCAACTCCAATATCCATTCTTCTCCAGTTATCTCCTGCTCGTTCATGTCCATCAAGGTTGTCCTCCCGAACCATGGTCAATTCGGTATCCAGGGAGATTCGAACTCGGGCATCGCCAGGTAGCTGAAAGGCAGTTCTGTGGTAAAATGTTCTCGTCACTGGGACAAGATTTCTAGTAATAACACGATATTGAATTTCACGTGCTAGTTGCTCCCAATCGTCAATTTGTTTGGGGCTTTTTTTGCCTTCCTTGCGCTGCTTTTCGAATACTTCTTCAACGGTCATTTTCCCAGTTAAATAGGCGTTGACGTGTTTCTCCTTCATCGGAAACCGGGCTTTAACAGACTTCTCTCCTGTCCAATCCTCACGATGAGTTTTGCGTTCAATAAATATCTGGTCATTTTCCATCCCTCCATACCAGCGTAGTCGAATAGCTTCAGCACCTTCAGTCTTTTTTAAGCGGCCCATATATAGTTCCCAGGTATCTGTATTGTCGAAATAAATAGACGATATAGCTGCATCTTGCTCTTCAAACTCTTTTGTTGGGTTAAAAACGAGGACAGGAAGGTGCTAATTCTGTCAATAACGATAGCGAAAGTCTGCACAGAGATGGACTTACTTTTAAAATGATAAGCTTCAATTCAGTAATATTGTCGGGATGAACCCAGAATTTGGTAGTTTCCCGTATAAAATTTTGCTGGTTACCACCTGCGGCACTGTCGCCTTCCACTGGATTCCCTTTCGTCCTAACTAAATCGTACAGTTTGGAAAGCTTGACGACGAAGGCATCGTAGTTATCCTTAAAAAATGGCTTTGCTCGAAGACGTGTAGCAAATACAGGCTTTAGGTACCATTTTGTTTGTTTCTATAATAAAACGAACGGGTCGTTAGCTTGCGATGAACCTTGTTACCATGGAACAGCTCTCTCAAGCTTACATCGTGTTTTTTGATGATTTTCTGAAAGCCAGTGTAGTTCAGCTTAGTATACTTCGCCAGGTCGTGCACGTCAGCAATGATATCGCTGAGATCTTCTTCGAGAAGTAGAAAGTCCTCGTCCGTAGGAGCATTGTGTCGCCTGGCCCCATTGTTCTGCTCGTCACCAGCCCTATCCAATCTCGATACTACATCATTAACTTCTTGTTCGCTAGCTTTGATTCTTCGCACAATCTCATCGCTTTTCAGCTTCTGAAATGTAGAGACTTTGTCCAGTTCACTTTCAAGCAGCGCAACAAAGCGCTTCTCGTCATCTTCGGTCCATGGCTTTCGCTTCGGGTTTGGATTCTGCTGGGTAGGAGAAGTTTCGTAGTCTGTTTTCAGCGCCTCTTTGAGGTCTTCATAGGAAATGTAGTGCCAGTAATACTCCTGGACTAGAGATGAACGGAGCTGTTCACCGAACCTGGGCCATTGGACAACGAGTTAGATGCTGGAAGACTGAGACAAGCTGGATGGTCAGAAATACACACCGCATCTTGGTCGTCGACAGCGCAAGACAACCTCAAGCACTGGACGGAGATGGAAAGACCTTCGGAATCTTCCAGTCGGTCGCAAGGTGGGAGGTTGGTGGCGGACGGGAAGGCCATCGCCCACGTGGTTGTGGATAAGGTTTGGAAACATTGCCGAAAGACTATTCCCAATTAGGCGTCGAGCTTGGGCCATAATTATATAATCTCAAACAACATAGCTTGGCCTCGACGTCAGGGGACGCGTCCGATTGGTTGATACTTTAGAGTTGCTATTTATCCCTGTACACTCATTTTCGGGAATTCGTTCGTCTCATTCCATCTTTGACAGCAGCAACAGGCTAGACCTTTCGTATCACACGACTCATTCGACTGCCTGGCTATGTAGTTATAATAGTAAAATAGAATGAAAGAAGCGGTGCTACCCTGGCACTTGTTAAACGCGGTTGTACGGAGTACTCTGTATGCTAAAAGATTTCTATCATATCCGTGGATCATAAGGCTTATTAAATAAAATTCGACATTATAGGGCCCCGAGGACGCGCCGGATACTTCTTCTGGCGCCTTCACCAACAATGTTTACGAGTCCCTCCGACTCTAACGAGCGCACAGCATCTGTGAACTCAGCCGCCGTCACCTCAACATTACTCTGGTCGGAAAATTTCCTGAACACCTCCGCCCATCTAATGCCTGAAGGACCACGCCCTCCAAGCTCCTCCACTAACGCTAAGATTTCCTTCTTCATTCTCTCCTTGTTTCGCCGGTCAATTGCAGTAGTGCCCTCAGTCAAGAGGCTCATATCAATCAGACCGGTTCGCTGATCTGTGGCTGCTTGTTTCAGAGCAGATCGGATTAATCGCACAGATTCTTCGACGTCTGCAGCAGTGACTTCTTCAGACAACCGCATGCGTGCGTGGGCCTCTGAGAGGCGAATCATGGACTCTAATTGGCGAGTCGTAGCAGTAATTCGGCGCTCGGCAGACCGAATATCATCACCGAGCTTACGCATTTCGACATAGGCATTGGTAAGCGCCTCTCCTGCTGCGGGGGTGAGCTTGGGGAATATGTTTGTTTTGGCGTATGTAATGTAGCTGGTGAGAAATTCAACGGGCTACAGCATGTTAGCATGTTCTTACAAAAAGGGGAACTCTGGGCGTACCAATATTTCTTCGTTGCTAGCATTTTCAGGGGTATCTTCCAGGTACATGCCAACCAAATGTTTTGCGAGTCGGCGATCATTTTGTTCATCAATTCGATCCAGCACCAAGTACACCAGATCAAACCGGGAAAGAAGAGTTGGAGGCAAGTCGATATTCTGGGGAACTGGTAAATTTGGATTGTACTTGCTACCAATCGGGTTGGCGGATGCAAGGATACTAGTTCTCGCGTTCAGAGTTGTAATAATCCCTGCCTTGGCTATAGAAACGGTCTGCTGCTCCATAACCTCATGTAATACAGACCTCGTGGAATCGTTCATCTTGTCAAACTCGTCAATGCAGCATACTCCACCGTCTGAAAGCACAAGCGCCCCAGATTCAAGTACCAGCTGCCTTGATTCTGGGTCCCGGGTGATGTAGGCTGTTAGGCCAACAGCCGACGAGCCTTTACCGCTAGTGTAAATGCCCCTTGGTGCAATTTTATGCACGTATTGTAGCAATTGAGATTTTGATGTTGACGGGTCGCCACATAGAAGAACATTAATATCCCCTCGGTATCTTGGGCTTCCTCCTTTTTCGAAGGTTTTGTTCGTTCCGCCAAAAAGCTGGAGCAGTATCCCCTTTTTCACGTCGTCCATCTCGTATATGCTTGGGGCGAGAGACCTTGAAAGAAGTTCGTAAATATCGGGCCTAGCAGCCGTAGCTTTGATTTTTTCTTGTTCCTCCTGGGAAATTTTTCTAACTTGTTCAACTTCGCCTGCAATTTGCTCAGATAGTTCTTGTTCAACGGTTGAAGCATCAATTCCAAGCTTTTTACGATCAACCTTTTGTATGTGCAAAACATCCACATAGGTTTTGAACAGAGATTTTGTCGTGCGTTGTCGAGGGTTTACCCTGACTGGGTTGCAACGAAATATTCCAGTCACTTCAACTCGATCACCTGCTTTGCAGACGTCTACCAATTCATCATACGTACACAGAGATACTGAATGCGGTGTCTGACCATCAGGAACTGAGTCAGGGGTCTCTTGAAGTTTTATTATCTGCTTGTCTGCAAATATGCAACGATTATGAATCAATTGCATAGAGTTTTGAGAATCACAAATTTGCCGTGGGCATTTGGTTGGCTCAGAAATCTTTCCCCGGTCGATATCGACTTTGACACTGTGTTGGCAAACATCACACCGGAAAAATGCTAGTTGATAAAGATATAAGCATAGTCACATTCTCATGCCATAGGTGGACACCCATACCTTCTTTCATGTCTGGAATAACTGGGGTGGCACGGATAACGAGGCCTTTAACACTGATGAGCTTATCCATATCTGATAAGATGAAAAGTCAGAAATCTCCATAAATTTCAAATATCACTTTTTATGTCCCTCACCTCCTGGATCCAAGTCTCTCATGTTAACCGGCTGGTCCATTCCAAAAGGTAGTACTTTAAATATTTTAGTTTGTACTTCCGCAAGAAGATCCGGCATATCTATTAGCACGCCTCTTCCTACACCATTCTCCACTTCAGATTCGGCATTAGAATTCGGTTCTCTGGCCCGCGTTTGTCGCCTCTGGTTGGCCTGCTGGGACCGGACCATGTTCATTTCTTTGGTCACTAAATCCACCATTACATCTTTGACGCACTGGTCCATAATCGGAACAATTTCTTGGGGATAGGCTTGCACCTGGTGCCACAACTTAAGAGTTGGTGGGTATGCTTTCAGGTTTCGTATATCCAGATTAAGCCCAGTAACGCCCAGTTGCCGCATATCGTTTAGTATTAAAATGTATTCTTTTTCATCCGCTACCCCACCCATTGCCCGAGTTTCTTCTTCCGTAGCACCATCCGCCCACATACGATACTTTCGGGTGTAATTGTATAAGAAGCTTTTGAACGATGACATGGCATCTTGAATAGAGATATTTGTCCCCCAGATAATACGCGTAGAGTTTCCACCAAGAGCGTCTGCTTCGGATGTATCTGGGCGTACATTCGAAAAGGTTGCCTCTGACCGAGGATCGCTATTTGTAACCGGCATGCCATTTTCATCAACAAATGTTCGACGTCGGGAAGCAGATCCAAAAGCACCAGAGTTGAACCCGCTTCGTCGGGTGGCAGAGTCTGAAAGCCCATTCGTTTGCGATGAACGGATAAAAAGACCACTGCTACTTGTGGGAATATCCGCTGTACGGCTTTGACGAGTGGTGGCACGGGTTGGGCTAGAGCTGGACATATACCGAATTGGAGAAGAATCTAGACTGAGTAAGCAATATAAAACACGAAAGGATACAGTTGCCTTTTATACCTGCTACTGGCTGTCTGCTAGCTCGCGGCGTTGTCTGCCCATCGTCCGTATTCGAAAGCGTTCGGATGGGGGAGCTGCGATCTGCTCCCGCCTGTTCGCCCGTACTCGATTGTCTCGCTGTATTCAAAGGAGATGATTGGAACAACATCGGTGACGAGGACGGGACCGTAGCTTCGGCTTGTAATCTAGATTGTTGAGGGGTGGCTTGAGGGCCAGCTTCAGAACGTTGGACAGTGCTGGGACCCCCAGCTGGTGTGTTTCTTGCTGCCCGATCGGGGGTGGGTGTCGCTGAGCCCCTGGCGGAGCGCCCGCGACGGCGTGAGGAAGAAGGAGAAGACATCGTATTATTTATTTGCAAGCACAGTGGGTTGAGCTTTGTTGAACAATATTTGCGAAGGCCTGCCTTGCAAGTCGAGATAGTGGGACGCGTCGACGCGACTCGCGTCACACGATTAAATTGAACCCCTTTTGGCTTAGCGTAGAGCTTGTTTGCCTTAACTATTTGTCTTGTTTGCATAGTTCCACAGACATCACAATCAACCCTTATGTAACCCAGGCCTTCTCTGTGGCAGTATCGCTAAGATAGAGGGCAGAGTATCGGGTCCGGTATCTCCTCGCTTGTTTTACTGTGCCATATGAAGACTCATTTACATTGCTCCAGTATGGATGTACATATAACTACAGCGCTAAATGCTACAAGTTTAATCCAGGTATCGACATACGGGGAGTCGGTAGTTGTCCACTATCCAGTATTTTCTTCGAATCCCATTCCATTCTCCGTCTAATGGCGGTACCTTTATTTCTTCCCAATCGACATCAAAACCAGCTTCAAGAAGGTCCATCTCGACAACTTTTTGATATACATCGTAGCTTATCTGTCTGTCTGCCCCCATGCCATTGAAGTAGCTCCATAGGCCATCAGCGTCAAGTAATCCTATTACTTGTTCAGAGAAGAACTCTCGGAAGTCCGAATATGATTCTGCGAAAGTATCATAGTAAATGGCATTGAAAATTTGCCCTTGGTTTATTAATTCTGGTAAAATGTCTTGCCATTTGCCCTGATGAATCACAACCCCGGGTCTCTCGTGCCAGCCTTTCCGCTTCATTTCTTCTACTACTGCCGAGTGAGCCTCAACAATGTGGTGAGCAACAGGACGAAGCCCTTGGAAAACTTCATCGATGATTCCCATGCCATGGCCAATGTTCAAAACTCGCAACCCAGGCTCCAGCAGTACAGCATTTGCGGATTTTTTCATAATGTCAGACTCCCATGACATCATGACACCATTTTGATCCTGATCAAGAAGGCGGTCACTATTAAAGGTCAAGTTAGACTGGAGATACCGGGAATTGGTATTCGATGTTTCCGCGCTTTGTGTGTTATTCTCAGACACATAATTAGCCGGTGCAGCAGCTTGTTGTGCATCAGCCAGCTCTAAAGCACTACTTGTCGGGGGATTGTGTTCATCGTCTTCACCCGCATCATAGAGTGGTGCGTACTGATCTAGCCGATTTAATAGCATTTCGGCCCGCACTCCTGCATCTACCATCAGCTGGTAAAGGTCATCCAGACGTAATCTCCTTGCCATGCATCCAGGAGTCTCATTATTTGCATCTAAATCGTTCCAGATGCCACCTTCTTGAAGGAGAAATTTGATCATTTCACTCCCCGACACAATCATGTTTGACAGCTCCTCTTGGGGCACAGCGTCACCGTTTCCGAGTCCATTGGTTTCTTGTCGTTTCTCGGCATCCAAAGTCGAATCGGCCTCACAGGCGGCAATAGCAGCATGAAGAGGACTATATCCTGTTTCGGGATCCTTCACATTAACCGGATTCTCAGCACCCTCGTAAGTGCGTATTAATGCTCGCATTCGTGCGATATCATGTTTTGATGCGGCCAGCAAAATTTCCTGCACACCTAAATCCACGTTGACTTCTCCAAAATGCTCCTCGTCGAACTCCATTTTGAACAATCCACACCTGTGCGGGCGTAATGAGGTTTCAGTTTCGGGAGTAATTAGTTAACTATAACGCGCGTATCAGCAGCCAAGTCTACCTGTCGACATGCAGGCGGAGATCGAGCAAGGGCTGCTCTGCACTTGAGCTGTTAGAGCCGTCCCATAAAAATCTCCGCGACAATTCCGGACAACCTCATGTTCGTTTGAGAGGTTTCAGATTACGGCAGGACCCGTCACGTGATGTACCGTGGAGCGCAACGTCCCGACCGTTCTGCGGATGCGAGGTCAGAGACGTACGCCATGCCCATTAGCTAAGGGGCCTTAGACAGGCTCTTAATACGCTTAGGGCAGATAAAATGTCGCCATTGCACCCAAAGAAGCTGTTTGGGATCAGACTTGTGCCTCACATTCATGCTCAACTGTCTCATCCTCCCCAATCAAGGCTTAGATGAAACCCTACTCCGACATCAACACCACAACTCTTACTAAATTGCTCAGTGGTGATGCCGGATTCCTGTGGCTGAAACCGACATTTTGAAAGAATAAGTATTATGCTCAGGTAAGAAGAAGGTATGTCTCGCTCTCTGGTTTGCTTGTTGATGATGCGGTCTTGCTGATGATGATTATGTAGAGTTGTGTCTGATGCAGCCCTAACTACTGGCAACCGCGGTAATTTTAGCTTTCCCGCGACTTTCGACTGGAGTAAAAAGTGCTCCTTAGATATCTGGGGTTAGTTGGCCCTGCCTAGTGGACGGACGCGGGAAATTATTATGTGCCGTGGGCCGCCGTTCACCCAGGGTCATACCGCCATGACCTGGGCGGGCATCAGAAATTCCCCGAGGCTACGAATAGAATCTACTTGCCCCGATTCGGATGGATCAAACGATTTTCGTTGCAGGCGCATTTCCTCTTTCAGCAGACGCTGTCTCTTTTGGGCTAGTCCCAGCCTATATAGGATTTGCTCTACGAGTTTCAGTGCAGCTGCATTACCCAATATATCCGCCTGTCGCTTCAATGCTCTAGGAGGGACCGTCTGACCTGGGCGATAGGGCTCTTTCCGTCCTTGGCATCCGATGACAGCTACGTTTTGCGTCGCAGATACTCTCGGAAAAGGGAATGGAGCCTCTAGCTTTGCGTCTCATCCTAGAGAAGCTCTTACAAATTTCTCCTGGGCAAGTCCTGCATAGCCTTTTACGGCGTGGGCTATACAGATTGCCCTAGGCTCCCCGCCCGGGCCAAAGTTGATTTAAGGCAATGGCCCGCCCATCATTGCCGTCTCTTCTCCCCAAGCCACAATCGAACTTCATAGTCGCTCTCTCATTTCGATTCTTATGGTGCGCTGGTCCCCATCTGCTTAATCCACTATTTATTATTATTTTAAAAACTATTCTCTCGTTTCTTGACCCGGTTGTCATTCCTTTCACTTCAATCCTTAATCATGAAGTTCGCCTTGCTTACAACCATCGCCACTGCGCTTTGCGCCCCGGGCGTCTTGTCTGTGCCTCTCGTCGCCCGTAATACTTCTAGCTCTATTGGCGCGAGCGTCGGTAGAGTCGGCGGTGGCGTCGGTGGGGGTGTCGGTGGTGGTCGAATCACTGATGTTGATGTTCTTCAGTTTGCGTTGACTGTAAGCCCCCAGAGTAACCTAATAGGTCCCACGGAATGTAATGCTAACAAACGTCGATAGCTTGAACATCTTGAAAATGTGTTCTATAAGCAGGGTCTTTCCCGCTTTTCCCAAGCTGATTTCCTTCGGGCTGGCTTTGACTCACGATTCTTCAATCAAATGAGATTCGTCGCCAGAGATGAGGAAGCGCATGTCGTCTTCTTGCAGCAGGCTATCACTGGTTTGGGTGTCCGCCCGGTGACTGCTTGTCGATACAACTTCCCATTCAGAGATGTCCGTTCCTTTGTTGGTCTTGCATCTGTCCTCGAGGGTATCGGTGTCTCTGCATACCTTGGTGGAGCTGGTTTCATCGGCAACAAGGACTTCCTCGGCGCTGCGGCCGCTATTCTTGCGACGGAAGGCCTCCATCAGGCTACGCTGCGAAATTCGCTTGGTCTTGTTGCTTCCGCGAATATTGCCGGAACTTCTATCAATCCTAACGCCATTTTCAGTCTTGCCAGCGCCTTTATTGTCGACTGCCCACGCGGAAATGCTGCGCTTCCATTCAAAGCCTTCCCAAGCCTGAGCCCCCGTGGAAATGTCTTTGCTGTTGACGGCTTCTCGAGATTCGCTCTTGGCCGCGGTGTTACTGTCCCACAGGTCTTCTTCCTCACCTTCGTCAGCGGGTTTGATATCATCAGTATTCCCGGTGTTTTTACTGGTGGTCTCTACCAGGGACGTATTCCGCGACGAATTTCTGGACAGTCCTTCGTCTTCATTACTAGCGCCGAAGCTCGTGGCACCCTTGTGGAGAGCAGCATCCTTGCTGGCCCTGCTATTATTGAAGTGAATCCTAGTGCTCCCAACATCAACTTCTCGCTCCTCTAAAAAATACTTAAGGTGAACTCGTCGGTCGCTGTCATTGGCTTGCTTGGATAGGACATTATCGTCATGCAAGATGCTATTCACTTGCTGTGGTTGAACGAGCTTCGATTTGTATTTCCCTTCTTTATGTGTGACGCCCCTTTTTTGCTTAAGATTCGCAATTTTACTTCATTTCCCTTCTCATTCCTGTTTACCTACCCCGTTCAACCTATGTTAGAAGAGCATTTTCAAGCATGTATTTTCCATTTACCTAGCTGATGGATAGTGTAAATATATCTGTTTTCTGCAGCGAATGTCTGGCTTCAACTCTGGCAAGGATTGGGGATTGGTGGCGGGATAACGTGTTGCCGATAGCTTGTACATAAAAGTTGAGCCAGTTAGATAATAAGACGCATTTATATAGGAACCCCTGTGAAAAATGAAACTGGAGAGTGATAGATTTTGTTACATCCAGCAGAACTAAGCATGAATGCATAAGTTCCCATTTAGTCATACAACAAACCTTGGAAGAATAGTACGCCCAACCCCCTAGTTTTCTTAACAGTGAGGATCGAAAACCATTATCAGCTACGATCAAGACTTGTCACCACTGTCAGAACCAGCATTCACATTCAAACCCAATCCCTCAGCATCCAAGTAAAGCTTATTTCTTCCACCAGCTTCCTGAATAAGTTGGGCAATATTACGAGCATTCTCAATTTTCCTAAGCTCGACATAGCTCTTACTCTTCTTGATAGCGTCGCCGATTAGCTGAGCGGACCGAGCCTCACCCTGGGCACGAACGATGGTGGCCTGCTTCTCTTGTCTTGCCTTGTCGACGACGAAAGCCGCTCGCTGGGCTTCTTGTTGTGCAACTTGCTTTGCCTCGACAGCCGCAGTGAATTCGGGCGAGAATGCAAGGTGCTAGCAGAAAGTACCAACGTTAGCTATATATGAGTAAAGGTCACGAAAGTGAAAATCGGTGTGGGCTTACAGTCAACGAGACATCATCTAGTAGGATATTGAAGCGAGCGGCACGTCTGGCGAGGTTTTCGCGGACGAGTCTAGCGACATTTTCACGTTGTGTGATAAGTTGACTCGCATTGAATTGGGCAACAACGCTCTTCAGAACTTCGTTTACGATGGACGGAAGAACTCTTTCATCAAAATCCGAGCCGAGAGTGCGGTATATCTGAGGAAGGGCATCGACTCGGGGTTTTGAGAGCACACGGCAGGTAATGTTTACCATTTGCAAGTCCTTGGTCCCGGTGAGAGAAGCAACGTTTCGTGGCTTTGCGCGAACATCGTAGATAATAGGTGTTTCAAACCACGGAATACGGAAATGTGTCCCTTACCAACTCCTTTAGTACAGGAATAGCGACCAGGCACAGGGTTTTGACAATCACCTTCATTATAGATTTCCTGTTTTACACCGCCTATTCTTGTATATTTGATCGCTCGATGGCCGCCATCAACTAAGATCAGGAATGTGAGATATGCTATATTAAAAACTAGATCCTACACTCACCGTTAAATAGAGAATTCGATATCACATATCCTCCGAGGCCCAATGCAACGAGCGCCCCCATTGCCCCAATACCTTTTCCGCCGCCAGGGACTCCGCCAAAGCCTCCTCCCCGGCCCCGCTGCTGCAATACCATTTGCAGTCTTTGCCACGTTTCTCGTGAATTGGCCATGGTGATGTGTGTATGAGAGCTGGAAGAAATATCAATGGTCTTCACATTATCATGAGGCACTTGAAATCTGGAGCAAGTGACCAAGTGCCTAGACCTATTTAGGAAAGGCGCTGTTTTAACGAACTACGAGAAGTTAAGGCATTTCTCTTGTCCGCCACTGCAAATAGTAGTCTTCCAGAGCTTCTTTTGTCTCGCTTTGCTATTCTTTATAACACCTAGTCTCAGGTATAAGGTAGCTGTTGTAGGGAGATCTGATACTGTCCTTTAGTAAATTGGTTGGCGTCGTTTGTGTCAGCTGGTCACTATTTTCTGCCGCGACCCAAAATGGCACCTGATCGAACAGGAAAGAGTGTATTTTTAGGGAATATTCCCTATAGTACGTACCGGCGCCTTTTCAGATTCTGATGGATATAATAGCTGACTTTCCCAGATCTCACCGAAGAACAGGTGAAAGATATCCTTAGCTCCGCGGGCACGGTTACGAAATTCAGGTTGATGACAAACCCCGAAACAGGCAAGCCGAAGGGTTACGGATTTGCAGATTTTGCAGACGCTGATGCGGCTGCGTCAGCGGTTCGAAACTTGAATGATTATGAGATTATGGGTCGCAAAATAAGGGTCGATTGGCCGCACAACAATGAGAAAGATTCGGTGCCTTTAGATTACTCTCAACAAGGCCAAATGAGCGCGGCGGGTGACGATACACAAGCAGGATACCAATCACAGCCCCCTTTATTACCCTCATTACCCCCAGGAACCGATTTACCTCCAAATTTAACGTGCCCCAATGCCATTTCGCAAACCCTTTCAACACTACCAGCCCCTCAACTACTCGACGTTCTCACGCAAATGAAATCATTAGTCATGGCTGATCCTGCTCGAGCCACTGAACTTCTGAGGCAAGCTCCGCAGCTTGCGTATGCTATATTCCAGGCCCTTCTCCTGATGAATCTGGTGGACTATAGTGCGTTAGGATCTGTCGTGGAACAGGCTACCCAACCCCAAGCGGCAGCTCCACAACTTCAGCCAGCCCTCCATGTGCCGCAACACTTTTCACCATACCCTCCAACATCTGGACAAATATCCACTCCACCCGTTCGCAATGCACCGTTTGCACCACCACCGCCGCAAGTCTCTCAAACGCAGCCTCAAATGCCAGGACAGGAGGAGCTCTTGCAGCAGGTGCTTTCAATGCCGCAAGCTGCCATTGATGCCCTACCACCTATGGAACGCAACCAGATTATGCTCTTGAGACAGCAGCTACTGCAGGGGGGGATGCGATGATGCGATTTTGGGAAAGACCGCTTTCCTTTGTTGAGTTGTTCCGCCATATGCATGCACCAAACTAATGATTTGAGACACGGCGTATAAAAGCGAGTCGGCATCTTCTATGATTATTGGGCATTCTCGGTTCAGGTGTTGGTCCTAAAGGGTTGAGGGTTTTTTTGCTCGTTTTTATTCTTTTTTCCACCTTAGCCATCTCGGCTAGAGTGTATCTGTAACTAAATAAGAGCCGTCCTTCCATAACAATCACTATTCGATATGAAAGGTCTTGTTCACCTAATTCTTCACCTCTGGTTTGTTACAGGTGGGCCATCTTGCCCTCCTTCTTTGCTAATTATATATACAGCCAAACGCCCTTCTCATCCGTGCTATTTAAATTTATTTTGCAGTTCTCTCATAAATTCACCAAAGTGGGCCAACTTAAGAAGTTATTGGTTTGAAATTGAAGTTAGATCCTAACGTCTCAGTCCGGAAACCACATTGATAATGTCTTGGGAAGATCCATTTAACTATTTATTTCAGTCTTAGCACAGGCGCTTTGCTCAATTGTCGCTCAAACCTTGAGCTTGGATACTGATTGTTGTTTAGATGAATCTGCAGTAGCTAACCTCCGTAGTTAGGTAACTCGTTAGGTAACTTAACTAGCCTAACTAGTTAACTAGTTAACTACTAGCTTTGAGCAGTGGGGCAGAAACACCCATCACTGCAAGATTCACGCGTCACAGAATCCATGGACGCGACGCAGCCTCTTTTGCCAGTGCCGCTACATTTGCTCTTAGACTAAATTCTCTTGGGCTCAATTCTTGGGGGTGCTGTATGTGTTATGCGTTAATTTACATGCGTCCATTTTCTAATGAGAACGCCTTGCTCAGAATGAGGAACCAGTTTTTATAGGTTTAGATAGACATTAAAGTCTGAAAGAGCTGGAAAGTCTTTGGCGATTTGTCTGTTCCCCTGAGATTGATCGTTCTTGAAGCCCATCTCCATAACTAGCCTTTCCTGGTGATGGAAAATTCCAGCTTCCATACAGCAAATATTAGTCACATGGCAATGATGCGATACTGAAACTGTGCATTTCCCGCAAATATAAAACCCACAATATCAGAATGTGCTGAAAGTGTCGTCCAATCTTTCACAGGAAATGATTTTTTCCAACTGTCCTGTTTAGCTGTGTTCAGCTGTTACCGAGTACCACTTTCCTCATTCTCATAAAAGGCACTCAAAATAAACACTAAATATTCAGTGTGCTATTTGCTATCGCGAAGATGAGGCGTTATTTCCCTCGAGCTGCTAGAGCACATAAGTCTCGAGTGTCCGAGCCCGAGCCCGAGCCTGACGTATTGACGGATTCCGACTCGAAGGATGACGATGAGGAATATTCGGACGATAGTGTCGAGTCTCTTCAGCTGGCGACCGAAGATGAGATTCTGGCCTGCCAGTGGGAGGATAATTCTAAAACGGCAAAAGAACAGTATGTCCCTGGTGATGTCAAAGACCATATAAAGACCATGCCACCTGAAATTCTCCGCGGAACGTATACTATCATGCCGTCTTCAAGACCAAAAAGAGGCCTCGATCAGAATCGACCCCCAATCAGCACAATTGAAGAGATATTTGATGACCTTGTTTCCAAGGCCGAAAAAAATGGCTTCAGCGATTTCCTGAAGCATATCGGCAACCGGGAGTTACGGGTTGCTACCATGTGCTCTGGCACTGAAGCGCCCCTACTGGCTTTGGAAATGATATCAGAGAGTAAGCTATCCCCTCTTCATACAAATAATCTGCTCATTTTTATATCCAGGCTTTAAGCGGCTATTTGGACAATCATTTCGCATGCATCATCTATTTAGTGCTGAAATTGAACCTTTTAAGCAGTCATATATTCAGAGAAATTTTTCACCGAACATACTCTTTAGAGATGTTAGCGAATTGGTACAAGATGAAGCGTATGGCCTGCACCCCCGACTTGTTCCTTGATTTAAGCACTAATGTTGCAGTAGTACTACTGCCTTCGGATCAGTGAGAAGGGTCCCAACTGACCCCGACCTTCTTGTTGCTGGGTTTTCCTGTGTCGATTTTTCGCAGCTAAACTCCCATCGAAAGTCTCTTGAGGAGATGGGTGAATCTGGTCATACATTTTTCCCGATACTTCAGTACGTAAAACGATGCAGACCTCCACTTGTCATCCTAGAGAACGTTTTTGGTGCTCCATGGTCAAAAATTGCGGAGATATACCAGAAAAACGGCTACCATGCCTACCATGCTTCCATTGACACAAAAAATTTCTATTTACCACAAACTCGAGAGCGAGGGTATCTTCTCTGCATTGACCAGAAAAGACTCAGAACAGAAGCTTCTGTTGAAAAAAGTGGAAAAAATTCATTGCTTGCGCGTATGATGAAGCATTTTGAACGCCCAGCGAGCTCCCCTATTACCGATTTTCTACTTAAACACGATGACCCCCGTCTCCGGGTTGGAATTAATGATATATCCATTCAAGCAGCAAGAGAACGTCAAGCAGTGGACTGGACGCGCTATAAAGCCCGTCATCTTGCATATAGAATGGAAAATGGGCTCGGAGATAAGCGGCCTTTGACAAGGTGGCAAGATAACGGTACTTGTCAAATGCCTGATTATTATTGGCATGGCTGGGCAAAAGCACAGACGGAGCGGGTGTGGGATACATTGGATGTCAATTTTCTACGCGCCATAACCAGAAGGTCCGACTTTATGTCCAAATGGTAAGTTCATTTTTGATACATACATTTCTCCTATACTGACTTAGCGCAGCCGTGTTATAGATCTCTCTCAAGGCTTGGACCGAGAATTAGATCAACGGGCGTCAGGTATCTCCGGCTGTCTAACCCCTCGTGGCCAGCACTTTATTAGTACACGGGGTGGGCCTCTTCTCGGAATAGAAGCATTAGCTCTTCAAGGCATCCCTATTGACCGATTGCTACTTAGCATGGAGAGCCAGCGTGATCTGCATGACTTGGCAGGAAATGCGATGAGCTCTCCGGTAGTTGGGGCAGCAATACTGTGCGCTCTTATTTTGGGACACAAAGCCCTGCAACCTGGCTCAGTTGTGAAGGACAAATCTAAGGCGTCCAGTGATATCTCACTTCCGTCCTCTGTGGTTCAAAAATACCCAATGCATGATATGCTTGTTGAGTTGTCCACACCGCCGCTCGAACCGGTAGAAACTATCCTCCTTAACGCTCAACGAAGCCGCAGGCTTTGTCTTTGTGAAGGCCAGAGCGCAACAAAGCGGAAAAATATTCTAAAATGCTCGAAGTGCAATCACACAGCATGTATTGAATGTGGCCGCAATCCATTACACAGCTATGAGCCAATTCCGACAGACCAATTAACAGAAAGACTCGCTCCTGTTGATTTTGAATCATACCTCAAGACCACCCTTCCAATGCGGCTGCAAATAAGTGGACTAAATGCTAGTGATTTTGACCAATTCCAAGGCCGTTGGAAATCCAAAGCTACATCTACTGCTTGGGAAACTTTTAAAAAAGCGATAGACAAAAATCTTAATGAAGAATTACGGTTTAGTGGTTTGAGTCGACAGCGCTCATGGACTGCAACTTATGAGGGTACATATTCGGTTCTAAAGTTAATTTGTTCACCCACTGCCGTCGAATGGTGTCTTTACGCATTACCCAGCAGAAATGAGCCAAGCAATTCCCCATTGCGCCATATACTCGCCTCTCCTATCGCACGAATGGCTCCATCTGACTCATTATTCAATGGCACTTGGTACATTGGGGCTCCTATCAGCTCTGAAAGCAAGATTACCGTGTCTGGCCAAGGACCTCGTGTCGACTCTCTTGGTGCGAGGGTTGGTTTAACGGACAAGGAATTTCGTGATACGAAAATTTGGAGCCATCTTAGTATCAACGTAGAGGGTTCAACTCTCGATATTGATATTAATGGCGAGTATGAGTTGCTCCAGGATTGTGGCGGACCCTGCGGCAGCCTTTATAAAAGAATATCTTCTCACTCAAGAAAAGCCATTTTCTTTTTCCTTGATCCGACTGAGTTTGGGCCCGACGAATTGGATTCTTGGGTTTTTGCCGCTGAGCATAACCGATTGGATTTTGGGCAAACGAGAGAGGTCATTGCTCAAATACAGCCAGATTGGAGTGCCTTTCGATTGGGAGACAATCCACAGTCAGCTAACTGCTGGTACCGTAAATGGGTTAAGTCCTCAAGCACGTCTTTGAAGGTCTACCTTCCATCAACGCCAGCCACGTATCATATTTTGGATTGTGATGTGGTACCTCAGGTATTTTGCTTTGATTGTAAAAGCTCCTATGCTCCTATTCTTAACTGCTCGGTACCAGCTACTTCTAGCGAGTTGACTATGTCGCCCGGTTTGTGGGAACGCTCAGACTTGATGGAATCGCCTGTCCTGCTTCAGCGATTTGCCTGGTTGCTTCAAAAAACCATTTCTATCAAACAGTTTTCTAAGTGGAGTACCATCCATTTAGCACAGATAGAACATGGCTTAGATTGCCGCCTCTGTGCCCCTCCAAAACCACGTTTAACTTGGGCCCGAAACGAGAAAGATCGTATTTGTGGGTATGAGCACCCTGAGGATGCCGCTGCATACGAACAAAGCGTAAAAAATCGGCCTGTCCCCTTTCTTGGATACGTTTCTCGGAAGGAAGACTCTTATTTGGATTTTCGGATTTGTTTGAATATCCTTACTCTTCTTCATCGAGCAATTGGAAATTTGCCCAATGCCTCAGAAGAACCAGCATTGGCATGGCGATTGTGCATTGATAAAACGGGGTTTGTACGGCAACGTCTCCCAAAACTAGTCGAATCAAACAACAAACAGAATTCCGAAAGCACTCAACCTCCGGGCTTTCGAAACCATCGCTTACGCCCAGAACAACTACGGTCCTTGACATGGATGCAAGAGCAAGAGAGTGACCAAGCTCTTCCCTTCGAGGAAGAAGAGGTTGTCGAGGCAATTTTACCGGTTATCAATTGGCGAGCTGAAGGAAGGGCAAACGTTAAGAAACTTGTACGAGGCGGAATTCTAGGTGATGACGTTGGCTACGGCAAAACAGCTATATCGCTTGGTTTGGTGGATATGCAGTTTACAGAAGACTCAGCATCCGTTCCTGAAAACGCGGACGGGGCAATTCCAATAAAGGCAACCTTAATCGTTGTTCCACATCATTTGTTTGATCAGTGGATGCGAGAAATCCACAAATTTTTAGGCTCGAAATACCGAATCTTGCAAATCAAGACATTTGCCGCCCTTCGAAATTTGAGTATTGGGGAGATGGAAAAAATAGACATTGTGTTAGCTTCCGCAGCGATATTTCGAGCTAATTCTTACTATGAATTAATACGAACCTTTACCGCGGCTCCTGAGATTCCGCAAGGAGATGGTCGCGTCTTTGATGAATGGCTTCGAGACGCCATAGGCGGTGTTCGATATCATACATCCCTTCTTTGTACTGGCGGAAGTCTCGATATCTACAACAGCATTCAAGAGAAAATCAAAAAACTCCAGCTCGATGCTGCTGCTTCCTCGAAATATAACCCTTCTCGAAGATTAAAAGGACAAAAGCTTCAAGACCATCTTGCTAAGGGAAATAAAATACCAGTGGAGGTAGAACGCGATTCTGATGATAGCACGACTGAGATCCGTCCGCTGGTAACAAATTCCAGGCCAAAGAACGGTCGTAAATGTACCAAAAGAAAAAGAGAGCCCGATGGCGACGAAGATTTTGTGGAATCAGATTCAAGCTTTGAAAAACGTCCAAAGACTCAGCGCAAAAGGCCAAAAGCGGCAGCAATTAGAAAGCAGGAGGATGCCAAATCGGCTGATGCCACATTTCATCTCCACGATGCGAAATACGACTGGAAAAGGCTTCGGAGCCCCTTCCTTCATATGTTCGAATTCAATCGCCTGATCATTGATGAATTCACTTATTCGAAAGATAAGGGGTATTCAGGCGTGCTCACAGTCCCCGCGAGAAAAAAATGGATTCTTTCGGGCACACCTCCGTTAAACGATTTTGCCGATGTAAAATCATTTTCCCCGTTCCTTGGAATTCACTTGGGGGTTGATGAAGATGATATCAGACGAACTGAGAACGAGAGATTGAAAGCTATTCAGCGAGACAAAACGGGTAATGGCATTCCCCTGCACTATTTGGCTTGACTGATGTTCCTTTAGAGGTTGAACAATTTCAACCATTTATTACTCGTCGGAGCGCTGCGTGGCATAAAAGACGACACGAAATGTCGCAGGGGTTCTTAAACCAATATATGAGAAAGGTAAATCGCCATATACAAGAGAAGTGGTTTAAAACTGACTTTCTACAGAATGTCCCTGAGATTGGCGAAATACCGTTCACTGAACACATTTATGAAGTTGTTCTCGCTCCAGCCGAGCGTGCACTCTATATTGAATTGTTCGTGCAGGTCATGTCTCAGAATTTGAGGATTCGAAGACAAGGCAGGGGACTATACGATGCAGCTGAAGTTTCGCGTCTGAATCAAATTATTGGTGATAGTGACAGCCCAGAGGAAGCACTTGTAAAACGATGCTCTCTATTTTCGCTCGATAACCTTATTGGTAGATATGCCGAGGCTTCTAGTGAGGATGAGTATGATAGTGAGGGAGCAACATCAGGAAAAGGGAAACTTGGCACTGGAAATACTATCCTCGATATCCGTTTTCAAGAATTAAAGGACTTAGGAGCTGACCTACAGACAAAGTTGAGGCTCGGTCTTTGGCTAAAATCTAAACTGAACGACGACGTCAGAAACCACTTCGATAAAACCCTAGCACTTATAGAAACAAAAACCGGGGCTGGCGAATTAGGAGATTTTCTGGTGAAAAGAATGGTGCGGAAGTGTCTTGATTTTGCGAAAGCAAATGCGCGTGAGAAAGACGGAGCAAAGTTTTATATCACAGCACAACAAGTAAGTAAGCCATGAGCGAAGGTATAGCAATGAAATACTTACAAAGTTGATGACGTTGAGCAGAAGCGGCAGAATTCAAAGGATACTCGGCCAGAGTTCCCCGCCTCTGAGAAAGCCATTGTTCAAGACTTAAATAACTGCAACGACAGTATCCGTCGACTTATTTCTGAAACTCGTACGCGAACCCGAGCCTCTAGAGTTTTTCAGGCTGTTCGCTATTTTCAAACCTCACGTCATGACGCTACCTACCACTGTCATTCTTGCTGCAAGGTGATACACGACCGAAATGCAGTTTATCTTTTGGGCGAATGTGGTCACACCCTATGTGCTGAATGTCTCGAGTTGCGGCAAAGGAAAGGTGACTGCAGATGTGATGGCTGTACAGCGACCCTTGAAAGTTATAGAGTCATAAATGGAGGCGATTTTGCGGAGGACGAATCGCGAGTCCTGAGTAATTCCTGGGAAAAGTTTGGAGGAAGCAAGATCGATGAGCTTGTTCAGCTTCTGCGGACTACCACCAGAATTCCTAAGGATGATCAAGTCTTGCTCTTTATTCAGTTTGCAGAGCTGATCAATGCTGTATCTGCTGCACTGGACAAGGCCAAGATTCACCATATTACAGTGACGTCAAGCGATCGCGCCCAGGGGAAAGAACTGTCCAATTTCCAGAATCAAACCGAGGAAGTTAAAAGTAAGGTGCTCATACTCGCGCTTGGAGATGTTACAGCATCAGGCTTGTAAGTTATATTACCATCCCCAGTTGCTACCACTTATACATACATACATACATCAACATACCTAACCCTTGCTTCAGAAACCTCCAAAATGCGAACCATATCATATTTTTCCACCCATTAATAGCTCGGTCACAATATGATTACGAATCTGGAATGGCGCAAGCCATAGGCCGGTCTCGAAGATATGGCCAACAAAAGCATGTGCATATTTATCACTTTTTGGCTCTGAACACAGTTGAAGTCAACATTTTTGAGCAGCGGAGACGCGAATGCGTGGTGAAACGAGATCAGAAGTTCATTTCTGTCTCTAGAAATGATGTTCGGCCAAGTGATGTTGCTGATTGGAGCGGATACCCCTTGCAGGGCAGCAATGCCACAGATTTTGACGATGGGGTCGACTATAAATAATACCATTTCCTTAAATGTTACTCTTTCAAAAATAGCGGCTACTTTGTACTTGGACGGCTAGTGTCTATTTTCGCCATGAAAGATCCTGTGAATTTTTTTTATTGTGTAGAGGGGGAAATCAAAAATCGGAGCTTTTCAGGAGTAGAGGTCGATACGGCATTGGGTTGAAAAACGGGTCTTTATATTTGTGTGGCATTTTTATTCATTTATGCCCATTGCCTATGTGCTGCTGTATAAATTGGTCTCAGGGGAAAAGTTAAGTGTGTATGGGAATTCCATGCCGAAATACTGTACAACATAATGACATATTTGAAGCGTGGGTTCTGATATCTCAAGTCTAGTGTAAGAGCAAATTACAATTCCCCATCCGTTCTCAGAGTCTCCGTACTCCACAATGGGCTCGTCAAACTTGTCAAACCAGCACTATTCTCACACGAATGTCTCCCGCTGAGTGGACCGGGGGTCGGAACTGTGGCTTTCTTTCCAGTTTCTCCAGCTAGTGCAGACGCCTTTAATGCATCTAGTAACTGGACGGCGCTTTCTGGGGTAAGATCTTCATAGTAGTCATCATTGATTTGAACCATAGGTGCATTGACACAAGCACCAAGGCATTCAACTTCTAAAACAGTAAAGATATTGTCTGGGGTCGTTTGGCCATGGGACGAGACACCAAGGTGTTTTGTGATTGCTTTGACAATTTTATCGCTTCCACAGCCTCCAAGCTGGCAAGGTGTCTGGCTGATATTAGTACAGGCTGATAAGTATAAACCAAAACTCAAAGAAATATCGTACTGTTGTGCAAATTTGAACAAAGTATTTTCCAACTGGATTCCGGTTATACATCGTGTAGAACGTCGCGACTTCGTATACTCTCATTGGGGGCATCTCCAGTATCCGTGCGACCTCATTCATGACACTAATGCTTGTCCAGCCAAGCTGCCGTTGCCCTAAATCTAATAGCGGCATCACAGCTCCTTTCTTGTATTGCGGGGGGTATCTTTTGAGAATTTCATCGATGACTTTGAGGTTTTGTTGGGTGAATTTGAAGGGAATGCTAGGGTTGTTCTCGGGTGAGTTTCGATGCTAGATTAAAAAGTTACCGTAAGGGTCTATTTCGCCCAGCGATGTCAAATGCAAACACAGGAAGATCGAAAACATACAACCGCAAGAGTATCGCTAAGGGCTGGGACAGCAGCTGTAAATCGGCGTCGCGGTTGGGCGGGAATGTGCCGAATTGATTGGCGACATTGCCGCAGTGTGAATGGTAAAAGTTTCGACGCCATTGCGCGCTCTAACGGTAGATTTACAAGGACAAGCAGCCTCGGAAGTAGAGCTCGCGGACACTCTGATCGATTGAACGACGAGGTCCGTTTTCGAGATGCGCGAGACAGGCGGGCGGCCAATCACGGCGCAGCGAATTCCAACTTATGTCATCCTCCCATTCAACTACCAGACGACACTTCAACCACACCCTCTGCTCAGAGCGCACTCAACGCTGCAGCGACGGAGCACAGGGTCATGCTAACTAGATCATTTATCTGGCCTGGTCTACCAAAACACAACAACATTGCGCTGCGCATCTGTTCAGCATATCGCGAGCCTCTCCTCTCGTTCAATCGCCCATACTCAACCCAAACAATGTCAACGGAAACCCCATCCACCCCTCTAAAATACAAGCTGGTCTTTTTCGCTCCCCTCTCGCATGTCGAAACATGCAAAGAAGCAGTGTTTGCTACCGGCGCGGGAACCCAGGGCAATTACAGCAAAGCGTGCTTTCAATCGCTTGGGACTGGCCAATTCCTTCCGCAGGATGGTGCGAATCCCCACATTGGCAAGCTGGGAGAAGTTGAAAAAGTAGAGGAGATGAGAGTTGAGCTTCTGTGTGTAGGAAGAGAGACGATGCTTAAAGCAGTTGAGGCGTTACTGAAAGCTCACCCGTATGAGGAGCCTGGCTGGGAAGTGTACAAGTTGGAAAATGTTTAGACAACATTTTCAACAAATATGTTCCCCTGGTTATTTCGGAGGAGATACCCTTGCTTGATGCTGCAAATGGAAATAGAAAATATGCGGCTAATTTAATGGCCCTTCTTCGACTCGGTTGTGGATTATTTTTGATGAAACGAATGATGCCGCGTCTTTCTTACGACTGCGAATGATCGTATTGCCCTGGTTGTCTTTACTTATCGCTTATTTGTAACCACCAAAATTGATCATTCATAATTTCTGATATATCCGAAAGATGCTATAAAAGTCGACAAAAACGCCTTGCGGGAACGCAACAACAGATCTGTCTGTCTCGGAAGATTAATCCAAGCCCGCGATTTTTTGCCCACTCGGAATCCTAGCTTCATACTCTAACGTTAATTTGACTTCAGCTCCTTTTTCTAGCTTGAGTTCCCATTTAATCTCCCCCGCCTTTCCCACACTTACGAATCCCTTTCCCCAGGCTCCATTGGAGGTCGCGATTTCAGACCCTACTTTGGCTTTATCTCCAGCTTTATCAAGTCCTTTAGGCTCCAGGATGCGGATTCGTAGCCTTTCATCTTCGCTGGTGGGGATTTGGTCGAGAACGAGAATTGACACGGCGGTCGATTTGGTGTTACTAATCCGGCAAGTTCGAGTAAACAAAGCAGAATCTTCCTTGTTGAAAAATCCCGTCGTTGCACGTCGTACCATGGGTTTGGCGTACTTGACCTGAATTCCGGGGTCGACACCAAGGGAGAGACTTGCTGTGCCATTTGGACAGCAGTCCGGGATGATCGTCGTCCCAAGGAAAATTCCGTCGAGTGTCAGACCCGCTCCGCCTCGTAAGAATGTGGTTGACGAGGTGTTGGAGATCTTCGCTTTAAGAAACGCTGCCGGCATCAATTTTGGAATCACAACATGCGAAAACGTAACGGAGGGTAAGTCCAACTCTGCGATTACAAGTCGCCTTGGCACATGTGGAGGACGAAGCGTGCGCACCCCTGGGATGTCATACTTGGTTGTGAGGCCATAATCCTGCCGCGATGATCCCGGAAGGCGAGGGCGTTCGAGGCAGTTAAAAGCGTTGCGGTCTCAGCCCCATCATCGTCATATTCTTCACTTGAAGCAGCATCTCCGAGGAGTGGTTCTGCCACTTGGGTTTGCTGATACATTTGATGTGCTGACTGGTGTAAAATTTGAGAATGTTGGTTTGGCGCCCCAACGACACCGCTTACGAGTTCAGGGTATGCCATATTCTCCAAGGTAGACGGATCGGGCATTTGGCTTTTATTGAGACGTAGAGCTGCCCGTCGAACTGTTTTATCTCGCTCATCCTTCCCAGAAAATTTGATTAGACTGGAAATTTAACGAAAATGATTTGTTCCAATTGCCAACTTACCACATGCATCCGGCGCTTCGAACGAGCCTCTGCTTCGATTCGATTCTCCAAGCCCCCCATCCAGTAATCGGCGCCTTTTGACGGTACAACCTGGGTATGGGCATCGTACCTGAGCAACTTCACAGTCCACGGGCGCAACAATGGAATGACCTCATTCACACCGGAGAACGTCGTTTGCGATGTGGAAAGAACAATTTTAGCATCCTTCCAGATCTCCGAAGAATAATTCCGGTATTCTCCACGATAGACGATTTTCCCGGAAGAAGTTGGGGTATTGAGGTTTAATTCATATCGCGGACACCAGCTCGCGTTTCGAGTGACGTATGTTATCGACAGTGTAACTAAATATGGGTCTGATGCCTCGGGATCTTTTTTTTCGGTAGAGCAACCAACGAAGCCCGACGGCTTGAGGTGGGTGAAATGTCGCCGTGTCCATCCAAATGGACAACCAGCTGTACTATGTTCCTCGTCCGGAATTGTTTCTTTTCATCCCTCTCCCTCTCCTTTTGCAAACGTGCTATCTCTTGGGCTTTTCGCTTTTCCTCCCTCCTTTTACGTTCCGGCATTGCGGCAGAATTTCTTGCACGATCAAACTTGGCACGCAACTTCTTTTCAAGTTTCTTCGCTGCGTTAAGTTCTTCCTGTAATGTAGCCACCCTTTCTGCGGCCTGCTGCCCTTGTATCGTTAACGCGTGGTGCTCTCGCTGGTACAGACCAAGATACTCTTCCAGTTTTGAAACGTCTACCTCTCCAGCCTTCATGTCATATCCGAAAGCTTCAAGGAACTTCTTGGACTTCTGTGATGTATGAACAGTATTTTCAGCGGCATGTAACTGACCTGTAAGGCGGGTTATTTCCTTTGTAGCACTTATAAGCTCCGTTTTATCAACCCCAAAGTCATCATCAGAATCCTCTTCCTCGAGTAACTCTTCATCGTCCCCAAATTCAGCCTCAGGAAGAATGTCCCCAAACTTCTCATTTCGATCCACAAATGCCATCTGAGTGTCAGTAATAGTAGCCGGCCCATGTCCTGTTATTTGAATAGAGTCCAAATCAACCAACGGATCAAAGCCGTAAATTGTGATCTCATTGGGTCCGGGGCTAGAAAATACCTGTAAGTTACTAATCTCGCATACGCCTCGGATCTTAATATACACACTTTAATTTTCACATCCGCTACTTCCCTAACAATTGTGGCAGAGTTTGGAGCCAAGTTAACAGAGTGTGTGGCTGTGTCTTCGATAGAGACTTCTTCGGTATGTACTCCTTCTAACGCCATTGCTATAACATCCGAGAAATAGCGGCTAACAAGATAGACTAAATGTATGAAGAAAATCTAGAGGACTTGACCAAAGTGGTTGGGCTATAGAGAGAGAGAGAGAGAGAGAGAGAGCTGGTAGAGCGAAGGTGGAGCTCCCTTATATAGTCTTATCCAGCATGCGTTGCCTTGTCACACTAGAAAGAAGCCATGACAAGCTCCTGCTAGGCAGCAAACCTGCTTACCCTCATCGTTGCTAGCCGCCTAGTTAATGGGGCGACGAATGAGCAATCATTTTGAGGAACTATTAAGTTTTCGTATTTTGGTTCAACCCTCTAACGCCAGGCCAAAACTCCATTGGCCCATATCTCATGGACGAGCCGGCGTCCTTTTGACTCTTCGTGATATCCGACGGCGCAGCGGCAAGATGCGTTTACTAGCAAAGGGGATTCGCCCGCGTTTCGGATCGGCGCCGCTAATAATCCGAAATTCCTCGGAATTATCTATATCCGGAGGGGTGGTTGGCTAATGAATAATCCACTACGGCCAATCACAAGGTCTTGATGGATAAGGCAGTACTTTGTTATGTAAGCAGCTGATATGCCGAAATATCATTTCGATGACTCGAAATCCCGGTGAAAGTCATCAACGACGAACACCAGTTAGTCCCCCATCCTTTCTTGGAATCTAATCTTCCGTGGTTAAGTCCCTAGAATCTCTAAAACTCCTTAATGACCACAACCCCTCTCACGCCCCTCCCACTTTCATATTTCGTACATTTCATAAAAGTTCCCTGGATACCGCGTGTTGCGACGATGGCAACTCAAACTACTATTCGGCAGTATAATTCAGATATCCCAGAGTTTAGAAAAACAAGAATTTTACCTATTCAGAGCCTAAACTGCCCCGGTCAAGATTCCATCGAGCTTCAGAAGCAATGGGAGGCGGAGAAACAGCGAGGTAGCCCAGAGGCACAAGCTCTTCTTGAGGCCGCAGAGTCACTACGTATAAGTGAAATTCCTGTTGCTTTTCCTACCGAAACAGTCTATGGACTGGGAGCGGACGCGACTCGAAGCGCTGCTGTTCGGGGAATTTACAAAGCAAAAAAAAGGCCGTCAGATAATCCCTTGATTGTCCATGTAAGCTCTAGGGAACAGTTAGAACGTCTATTACGATCATCTCAGACTTCAACCGTAAACGAGAATATTCGTTGCACCCCTTCTCTTATTCCACCGATATATGAGCCATTAATAGAACGGTATTGGCCTGGTCCTCTGACGATATTAATTCCAAACCCGAAGCATTCACCCCTGGCTCCGGAGGTTACCGCAAATCTTGCCACATTCGGTGTCCGTATACCATCTTCACCCTTAGCTCGCCTCCTTATTCATATCACCGATCGCCCCTTAGCTGCCCCTTCAGCAAATGCGTCATCAAAGCCCTCACCGACCACTGCTCAACATGTATATACAGATCTCCAAGGCCGAATTGACATCATTTTGGACGGAGGTCCCTGTGGTGTCGGTGTTGAGAGCACTGTAGTTGACGGTCTGAGCCAGCCACCAGCTATCCTACGGCCAGGTGGGGTCGGAATCGAAGAGATTCGCGCGTGCCCCGGTTGGGAGAATGTCTGTATTGGATATAAAGATGGTGCTCTACAGGCAAATTCTGCACCGAGAGCTCCAGGTATGAAATATAAACATTACTCCCCCAAAGCTAAAGTTATTTTATTCGAAGCCACCAAAGATATGTCGTCAGCGAGGAGGCACGCATTGCGAGAGTTACAGTCTTCAACTCTGCCAAAGCTAGGCATTATTCGAACCAAGCTCTGGCAGCGAGGTTTGGGAATACCCGTTCTGCGTCCGCTGTCTACACCTAACTGTACTAACGGCCTCGGTGAAATCAACCAAAAACATATGTCTAACCCTTGTATCTCCCTACTTCCTATTGAGAGGCTACTTGTATCCTCCTTGGATTCCTCCACACCTCCCGCTGAGATGTTCGATATTTCTATTGGAACTGATACCCGATCAATTGCAAGAAGCCTATTTTCAGCTTTACGCAAGCTGGACGAAAACAATGTTTCTACAATCTATGTTGAGGGCATCCCGGATACGGAAGGTGATATAGCAGCTGCTATCATGAACCGGCTACGGAAAGCTGCTGAAGACCGTGTTCATACTGTATAGAAACCAAGGTGCAACAAAATTATGGAATTATTTTCATTAACATATACTGGCATACCCTGAATTGCGGTTATACATTTTCTTCTTGAATTTGGGCGTAAAAGAACATAGAACAGATATTTCTGCATCACCTTGATTACTTTTTGTACATCTCTGGTGCTATAACGGCTAAATTCCTGCATATATAGAGTACACGCGTTTTTTGTTGACATTGTCGGTGTATTTCATCGCTTCTTTCCACTTTTGCTACCCTTTCCTCCTTTCCCACCAGCAGAACTAGTTTTCTTCCCTTTGTTTTTATCGTCAACAGCGCCCGATGCATTGCCTCCTGCTCCAGCAATAGAAACAATTCTGACCTTACCCACAGGCAGGGTGTTGATAATCTCTGCTTCTCTCCATCCTCTTAATAGCTCCAGTTCTGTGGCCGTTAAAGTCAACTGCTCGTTTTCTTTGGTTTTCGCCTCTTCATGATCTTGCATTTCATTTTGCATAGGATCTACCTCCACCGTTAAGGGAGCCGGAACCCTCTTTGCTTTCGTAACAGCTGAGGCGCTCAATATCCACCTCCCAAGGACCTCTTTTACGGTTTTGCCTTTCCCGACTGTTCCAGGCTGTAATTTTGCTCGATATTTACACTGCCCGAGAGCTGACCACGGTGCACAGACAGGAAGTGCGCTGATAAGTTCATCCCCTACAACCGGCGTGCCAATAAGTGAGGGTAGACTAGATAGATCATCCACATGGTCTTCCATAGACTTGTTGTCTAAGCCATTTTTCAATCGCTCCTGTTGCGCTTTGAGCTTTTCCTGGCGTTGTCGTTCAGCCTGTGCAGCTCTATCATGTTGTGCTCTACGGCGATCCTTTTGAGCTTGGACCTCTGCATCCCGGTCTTCCTTCGTTTTCTTTGGGGGGGCCGTTTTGGCTGAGCCAAGCATCCGAAGAGCTAATTCTCGATCTTCATCGTCCTGGTCTTTGTATTTTGATGCTAGCTTTTTCGCCTTTCCGCGCTTCCCGCGAACCTGTGGCTGGGGTTTTGAAGTGGAAGTAGCGGTATGAACCGTACTCGAAGCTCGGGATGGCAGCGACATCACGTCATCGCCATTATTTACGACCTCTGTACCAGAGGGCATTGTGTCCTCTTCGAGTATGAGGCTCTCCTGTGTCAAGTCCTGTTCCACCACTTCGGGAATAATAGGTGGTTGCGGCAATTGTGGATCAAGGGGGGAGTCTGTAGCACTTGAAGAGGGAGCAACGTCTCCTTGGACCTCATTCTCGAATGGTGCAAGTTTTTCGGAAACTTGCTTCTCGCTTAGTTGAGTAGCAGACTTTAACTTGTCAAGATCTGTTTGTTTGGCTGTGATATCGATGGTAGCCGCATCTTTGCTAGGTGAATAGTCGCAATTTGAGGCTGCACGTAGTGCCGTCTGACCTTCCGGTATTTGTACAGCTTGTTCAAATTCCTGCTGGCGATGTCGACCATGGTTTATCACACTTTTGGCGCTGACCTGAAACATCACTGCAAATCCAATAATAAGTTGTCCAGGAGGTAAATGGTTTTTTTCCCCGCGAATAATCACGCCCCCAGTTTCTAAGTATTCTCCAGACGTGGTAGTCTTTGAGACTTGGTCAGAGTTCACCCACCAAGCACCCATTAGAGCTTTTGAGTTCCAGGCCTTTGATGTAGCTACACTAAAAGTGCCAGCTTGAGCAAGTGTTCCTGGAGGGATTGGAGCTTCAGAGGCACCGGGTTTATTCTTCACAATCATCGGTATAGCATCTTCTATATCCGTATGAACATATACATCTCCTTTTTGAAGGTGTCGGTAGTAGAGAATTTCGTCCTGCCGTTTATCGCAACCACTTGATCAAAGTTAGTATAGGTCGTCAGAGGCTAGTATGACACAGGTATGCTTATGGACTCACCCGAGTACGAGATAACCATCCGAAGAAATAAAGAAGATGAACTTTTCGTACCAGAAAGGCACCCTTGCAGGCCTTAATACTGGCTTTTCATTTTTTAAGCCTTGATTAAGGTCTGCAGTAATCTTTTTTTCGGCACTTTTAAGAGCCTTTTTTGAAGCCTTAATAGTCTTATCCTCCTTTACAGCAGCAGATTTTTTCTGATCATAGTACTGTCTCGCATTGGCCCAAGGTGTTATTCCAAGGTCAATATCAACGCTGAGAATCTCAGACTTGGGGGTTTCCTCTTCACCTTCATCATTAGATTCCTCACCATCGTCGTCAGACTCGTTCTCGGATTCGAATCCATCCTCGGGAAGTAAGAGCGTGATGGTGTTCTCGTATAGCTTCAATGGAAGCTTTATCATTTTAGCAATTGGGTTGTGTCTACCTTGCTCCATTTCAATAAGCCTAGCAATTTCAACCCAATCCATGCCTTGCGCAATCAGACTGTTAACGGCCTGAATTGCTTCTTCTACTCTTGACAAATTTGCTTCGATAGCTTCGGCCTTTCGAGTGTGTAACTGCTGTACTTCTTTGAGAGCGCCAACTCGCTTTTCATGGTCCCGTTTTGTTGCCTCTAATTTTCTTTTCATAGTTTCCTCTCGCTCAGTAAGCCTGGATTCGAGCTTCTGAGCTTCAACGGACGAATAAAACTCATCCACGGCTTTGTTAAAACTATCAAAGTGTAGAACACTGACATCATTGTCATCAACAAATTGCTTCGGCTCAAATGGGTGGTATTCAAAGTAATTCGACTTCTCTTTTCCTATTTCTCCTCCAAATACAGGCGTTTCCGTCTGGGGGGCTTGATTTCGCTTTAGGATATATCCCTGAGTTTTACCTGTGGTAGATAACTCTGCCGAAATAGCCTTGGCTTCCTCAAGTAGATGCATGACACCCTCAATGTTGCCATCTGTGGCCAGTATTTGATCAGGTCGCAGGCTAAAATCGAATCCGGTGACATGAAGTGCATGCTCCAGTAAAGATGGAGGGTACTCAGGGAAGCCTAGAGATAGGGCTCTTCTCAAAGCTTCCCCCTGCTTTCTTTTGGCTCTCTTAGTCGTCGCATCTCCTTGAGAATTGTCTCGATCTTTGGCCTTTTGCAGCGCATCTTTCAGGCGGGTTATAGACAATGGCGGCACCCCACTATAGTTCTGTTTATTATCCAGTCTGTACTTCAACCCAATCCTAACCTCATCTTGCTCTTCACCCTCAGCCACAACTCTGAATAATGTGAGAATCTTGAAGTCTCCATCTGTCAAAATGATATTCCCTGACGCAAAAAACTCCAAGAATAAATGCAATGATCCATCGCTCAACTCTATGTGAACGATCCTGTCTGTCCCGACCTGAGAGACAGCGGTAATACGGCGGGATTTCAACAGCTCTCGGAGTCGACTGACGAAGTGTGAGGGTGAAGGTGCCGTGGCGCGGGAGTAATCTGTCAGGTGGCAGCGGAAGCCAGAGTCGATTACCAGTTGCTTGCGAACATCAGGTTTCGCAACTTTGAAGAGGAATATCCGCTGTTGTCTTAATGTTAGCTTCTCAACAAGCAAACCCATGGATCAATACAAGGCAGCATACTGAAGATAGATCATATATGTTCGATACCCTGAGGCCAACCAACGTAGTCGAGAGTTCGCGGCAGATGACCTTCGCGCTGTGAGCAACTGTCAACTATTAGGACAGCATTATTACCTTGACATCTAAAGAGGAGTATCTCTGTTTCATTTTCACCTTGTTCTCCTGGTGGTACCTCTGTGGTGTTTAAGCCGGCACCTCTCCTTCCACGCACAAAAAGATTGACTCACAAACTTCCAACAGGCGGATGGTGACGTAGGCGGGGTCTCTATGTAGTACTTAAATCAAATTCTACAAAATAATTTAATATTGCCCCGTAAGAAATACAGAAGCAACACCTAAGGAGTTCGGGTTTATTCATCGATTTTTGCAGTCGGATAGCAAAAGGTCTTTACGTCTCTCAACTATACATACGTGACTCTTCACTGGCGGAAAAGCAATCTATACCGGCAAATAAAGACAAGTAATACCAGCAAACAATACGCGGAGCGTAATGGGAGCTCCTTAAATATCCCCGTAGCAGAGCCATTTACGCCGTGCCCATGACAAATAACAAATATCTGGAAACAACAGAATACCTCTAGGTAACGAAAACCTATAGTCCCTGCCGTAACTGTTCTGCAAGGCGTCTCTTACCAAACTCCCAAGCATTCAACAGTCCTTGCTCCGAGAGATCTATGCTCTTCATATTCGGGGCATCTGGCGCTGGAGTCTTGCTGACGCGAGAGACTACAACGACGGGGTCAATTTCAAGAATAACTCCATCATCCACAATTTCGTCAATTGTTAAAGACACGAGGTCGTAGTTTTCAATAATTGTGCGCTTATCGGTAGATCCCCTAGAAAATAAATATTTTATCAGTGTGATACTCCACTAGAATCGAAAGACTGCTGAGAAGCAAGCGGTCGACGCTCACCCTAGTAGTATGGCCAGCGCATCTCTCAGCGCAACTACAACATTATACAGCAAGACTTCATTTTCTTCCGCACCGCCAATGACATATAACATCACATCGCTCTCCATCTTAAACACAACAACTCGATTGTCATAGAGCACAATGTCGTTAGCTTGTTTGTTTGTCTTTTCCATCAGCCCCTTCTCAAAAGCTTTCTGGTCTTTGACCGTAGGATACGGATTGGCACCGGGGTAATTGAGCGAATTGGCCGCAGCACCTGTGGGGGGGTGTGGAGGAGAGTAGTATTTGGCGAAGATTCGCGACGAGTCATCAGTAGACATTATGAGGACTGCGTTCACGGAGAACAGGGACAGAGGGGCCGGCATATTGTCGGGGGTGGTCGCAGCAGATCTAAGTGCGAATTGAGAGAATGTCTTATGTCAATGGACGACGGCGAATGTTTCTCTAAATATCTATCTCAACCTAAGCCGCAACGTGGTTTGGTGGTCACGTGAGGCCATCTGGAACCTACCTATGGATTGAAATCCAGAGTATGGAGCACGAGAACAGTAACTGGTAAACTCGAACAAGAGTTGATCGTGACAGTGGTGCTTCAAATATACACTTGATTGCGAATCATGGCCTCCTTTAAACTCCGGACGAGCCAAGTCCGCCGTTCTGCCTCAACAGGCTATCACAACTAAATGAAGCTCGAACAACAGCATTAAATACCGCCTTTGCACTTTCTTCCTCTTCTGCCGGCCTCCATTTTGACTGCCATTTTCTTCTATAACCATCGGGATGCCATCGCCTTTTCTCCTCCCGTAGCCGTGTTTTCAATTCCTGTACCCGTGAGAGTTCCCACATGCCCCTAAACCGAATATCAAAATTTAGCTGGCACTGGCTGTCAACGCACAGATTTGTTTTGCCGCAGTAGTGGTCTGGCTTGCACGGTACAAGACCAAATGATTCAAGAAAGAACTTAAATGCATTCCATTGTCGTAGCTGGGACTTATCAGGTGCATGGATTGCTGGGTGCCGAAAACATTGTCTCAACTCAACTGGGATGTCTGAGAGCCCACCCACTTCCAATGTTTGAGTAGGCCACGGTATATCGATAATCTCAGCATCTCCTACTTCTGCAATACGTGCTTGTAACCACTTAACGTTATATCGTTCGAATGCAGTTTCAACTTCCTCATCGTCGTGTACCTCTTGAAGTGTTTGTTCAGAAGCATCTGACCCAAGTTCTTCCCTACCGGGACAATTTTTACGTTGATCTTTTCTGCGAGAAGAAGCACCTTTGCGTCCTCTTTCGTAGTTTGATTTAATTTCACTGCATTTTTGAAGCCAAAACTCGAAGTCATTATGCAGGTTCTCAAGCTTCACGCGTTCGTCACGAATTCTTTCGTGCTCTGTTTTTAGATCTTCTATACACTTTTGTAGTACTTCGTAGGCAGATTTAAATAGATCGGCGTCTTGGACTCGAGGAAGTGGCAGGGATTCATCCCCGCCTTTAGCGTAGAGTTTCGACTGTAGATTATCCTGGAGATCACACCTTTCGGTCTCTCGCACATTATTTGCTAAGTAAGGATCATTAGAATTATTAGGCCTTGCCTCATCAACCGGGCCATGGTGTATATGGTTGCCATGAACGTCATGGGGTCTATCACGTCGACTACCTGGAGAACACCATGGCCCAGCGCTTTGCGGTTGGGTATAATCATTGGCCCAGTTGTCGTAAAGGTGGTCGATCAAGTACCCGTCAGGCAACCAATCGACATGGCCTAGGAAGGATGCCTCTCCGCATGGTATACGGCTCCTCTCATTTCCTATCCATTGTGGAACAAAGTACGGCTCCAAATGTTGTCGTCGGAATGGCACCGGACCTCGATGTGGAGTGCAATCAAACCAGGAGTCTAATGATGAATCCCCGTAATCCATCTCAATGTCTTGCCAGATGATACGAAATTCTCCTTCCTGTAAGCTTTTGAGAAAGGAAAGTTCAGGTAATACCTATGCTTGGTCTCCAAGCTCTCCCTATTGACATAGTAAGCAACTCCATATTTCTTTAAGCAGAAGCATCAATGTGCTGTGGGGTGAGGAAACAAGTAGTATGTACTGCAATTTCCAACTAGCAATGCCCCCACTACTAAGATGACTAAATGTCGCCAAATCGTGAATTAAATAGATGGAAATGAAAGGAGTATGAAAATGCCAGTCTCGGTATTTTGGAGATGTGCTAAGGCGAGGAATAGGAGTGAAGAACGCGAAGCAACACCAACAATAACCAAGAGTATATATAAGTAGAAGAAGAGTATACAAGAATAAGTCTATTAGGCGTTGAAGAGTAGTGTTTGCTTCCAATGTTGCACTAAGCACGAACACCAAGAAACATCAAACAAAATCATTAAGAGTGTCAAATAGGCTGCCAAAACAACGTAAATTGACGAATTCGGATCTCATCTGACTTGGTCAGGCCATGGAATGTTGTTTGCTACCCAAGAGAATTTGTGCTTGTCCATCCAAGAATGTTCGTTTCACATAAGAAATAGTAAAAAAAAGTCAGCTAAGGTGAAGAAAATATGGCTCCACCACATATTCCAAGGGATTAGTACAAAGTTCGTAGAAAAGTGACATAAAGAACTAATAGATAAGTTTCGTATCATCAATTAGATTGCAGCATATACAACCGGGCAGACAGTGATCGAGTGGAAGCAAACTTAGCCTGTCGAAGTTTTCGGTGCTTCAGAAAGGGGTTGGTTTGTGCGGTTGAACCAAGAAACCCAGCTCCCTCTGTTAGCTTTCTTTCTGGCAGCCGTTTCCTCATCATCCGTGGACTTGCCACCTTGGTTTCCACTATCTAATTCTTTATTCTCCTGGACGAGTCGTAGAGGGCGCAGTTTGCTCTGAGTCATCACAGCTCCGGTGTAGTTATTCATCGCGGCATTGGTGCGAGGAGGGGAAGATGTTGATGGCGAGCCAACTTCGCCACTGCGATCGCTCAGAACGCTGTCACGTTCACCGCCTCTGCTTGATACCGTCACGCTGTGCCCAGAGTTCCGCTTGGAGGAGAGCGACCCGGAGAATATGGGCCCTTGAGATATTGTTGGGCTAATTCCTGGACTCATGGGACCAGCAGCAGGAGGCCGTCCTGCCGGCCCACGGTAGAGTTGTCCGACTACAGAGGCTGCAGTCACTCCATCCGCTTGATCTGATCTAGTTCTTCGGTGAGAGACTGTTCGGGAGCGATTCAGAGGAATGCTAGGGGCAGTCTGTGGATTTTCGTGCGCAGTTGGCTGAGGCAAGGGGGCTGGATCCTGAGTAGCGGGTGGCTGCATCATTTGGCTCACAGGACGAGGCTTTGGGCGAGTGGTAGGGCCTGCCATCACAGATTTGGCACGCTGAAGAAAGGTTTGTCCAGAGACATCATCCTTCTCTTGGGGAGGTGCTGGTAGCTCCTTATCTAGCTTTGCGGGCTTAGTCGTATTTCCGGGGCTATCGTTTTCATTTTTATGCAAAATATCCTCGAAGCCTTCATGCTGCAATAGCCGCCCAATGATTCTCTCAATATAAAGGCTTAAAGCTTTATTGTGGTCAACCTGGACTTTGAGTTCAGCCTCGAGTCGGCGTCGTGACTCTGTTTCTCCACCCTCCGCCGCCGATTCAAGTTCATCAGCCAGCGATCCCGCACCGCTCGCATTAGGCAGGCAGTCAGCAGTAGTATGATGCATGAAATCGCCTTTAGTGAAATCACCATTTAAGGTTCTTTCGCTAAGGAGTAGCTGATAGCTCTCGTTATCCTCCATCAGACGAGCATTGGCCATGCGAGTTTCAAGAAGCTCTTTTTCCAGTTCCCGATGGCGGCCGCCGCCCATGTTCTCCATTTCAACCAATTTGATCTGTGCTTCGGCTAGCTCAAGCCTCAAGGATTCAATTAACTTGTCCTTCTGTAATATCAATTTTGAGTTATTTCGGGAAGGGCTGCGCTGAAGCTGGGAAGAGGGGGCGAATTGGCCATTCTCAGGGTCCTGAGCAGAACGGTTCCGAAATGAGGCTTGATACTTTCAGTAAATGACAGTCTAGTTTGGACGATGGATTGCGCTTAACACTTACGAGATCGAGAGAGATTCCGGTCATTTTCGACGTTCATTCGTAAATCCTTTTGAGAAATTGTTTCCTTCAGACGCTGGATGGTGGATTGGAGCTCCTCTTCGCGGCTAGCTTGAGACTCCTTGTCCTTCATCATAGCAGTACGTTCTGTTTCGTGCATCTGCTCCATCTCACGAAGCTGGCGTGATAGCTCCTTGACCTCGTCCCGCAACGCACTGATGCTATTCTCTTTTTCATGAGCTTGTTCTTCCAGCCTCGTCTGCTCGCCAACAGCTTCATCAAGCCGCATTTGTAAGACGCCAAGCTGTTTGCTGTACTGTTCCGATACAGTTTCCGCCTTCTGCACCTGCTCTCGCAGTTCTGCAATCAATGCAGAATTGGCAGCTCTAGCATCGTCGTCGGAGGTATTCGGATTCATAAAAGTTCTTGGAACACTACTCATACTGAGATTAGAGCGGCCAGCAGGCCTTCTTGCTGCCGCACGAGCAGAAACAGGGCTCGCAGACTGTCTCGTGGATGGAGATCGCCCGACGCCGTTAGGAGACGGATTGGGCGACGAAGCACGGTTTTCCATTGAGGTGCGACGGTTACCGTTAGAAGGCGTACTTGGTTTTCTAGTAGAGGTCGCCATTGTACATCAGGTACCCAGAGCGCTGAGATAAATTTGAGAAAAAGGCAGGAGCCTTTCTATGAACTGGGTTGCAAGTGCAGGCCTTGAAGAAATGTTGCTGTTGCTGGGGTTTCGCAGACGACAGGGGGGCTCGTGGCACATGTAAGTATGAGGTGAGTGGTTTCCAACAGGCGGCCCGGTTGGGATAGCGGAGAAGTTAAAAAGAGACTGGTTCGTTATCTGAATAGCCCAATCCGTGCAAACGCCCGAGACTACCATCTGAGGCTTCGTTGTCACCTTTAGATATCATACAGTTGCTAATGGTATAATATTGCTGTAATAAACGTTGTGGTAACATTACGGGACCTCTAGCACTTTAGCGCCGTTTCAACTGTTGAGATTCCTTAAAACACGTATTATTACACGTGCTGGCCAATCAACACGCGACTTATATCATATGACTAAGCATGTATTCCGGATCGGAACGACTATGATCCTTCATCCTCGAATCCTCCGAAAGTTACCCTGTATACCTCAACAACAGACTAGCATCTCCCACGCGTGCTGAATGTCCCTGTAGGTTGGAACCCGATGCTAAATACCGTTGAACTAGTACGTAAACACAAATCATGCAGCGTGGCACTACCTAGGAACCCCATATGTGATTTGAAAATCCAGGCCATAGGGTACGGCGATATTCTTACACCACACCTCCTTGCTTTTTGTCCACCTTTCCGTGGTTCCACGTTTAGGGCAGACTGTGGGCGTGGCACTCCAATCCTTTTGGTCCGGAATCAACAAGAATACCATGGCATGCCCCGTACTCGAAAATGAGCGTCTTTGCTAGTGTTTACTTGCATGCCCTAGCACGTTTTACAGAGACGTCCCATCGGTCTCTTTGTATTTGTAACAAACCACCAGATATACATATTTTTAGTCCAAATAAACATCATCCGTGTAACTATTCTCGTCAAACTGTATTTGATGTCCGCATGACATCGCAAACCGGACTTGGTCGTCATCGTTCATCAACATTAGTAAGCGATTCCCCAGGTGGTGCCAAATCGGGAATCTTAGGGCATAGGGCTCCGCCACAATATCGCTAGTGTTGAATGATTGGAAATCAAAAGAGACGAAGGTCGAATTCCTTTGCCGACGACGACGACGACGTGTGTGAACACTGCTGGCAAACGCTCACTCACACATCCCATTTTTCAAAGCCCTTTTTCGTTCGCAGGAAGTGCAGTGTTCTCCGACCCGAATCAGCAGAAATGGCCCGTCGTCCAGCAAGATGTTACAGATACTGCAAGAACAAGGTTGGTGGCCAAATATCTTTGATGTTGAGAAGAGGTGGAGCGCATGGAAATTTATGGGGAGTTTCGACTGTTGCTGCGTTATTTGTCTCGTCGACGATGGGAAATTTTTACCAGAATTGTGGAAAAAAAGATTGAATCGATGGTTGATATTGGGATATTGTGGCTATATTCCACCTACAAGAAAAGAAGGCTAACCGCTGTGTTCTCACTCGATAGCCATATCCTAAGTCCCGCTTCAACCGTGGTGTGCCCGACCCCAAGATCAAGATCTTCGATCTTGGCCGTAAAAAGGCCAACACCGACGAGTTCCCTCTTTGCGTGCACATGGTCTCCAACGAATACGAACAACTGAGCTCGGAAGCCCTCGAAGCCGCTCGTATCTGTGCCAACAAGTAAGAATAACAGCAAACACCCACCAGGCTATAGTGTCAACCACTAACATTTTTTTTTTTTTTTTCCCTTTTGTATCAGGTACCTCGTCAAGATCTGCGGTAAGGAAGGTTTCCACCTCCGCGTGCGCGCCCACCCTTTCCACGTCGTCCGCATCAACAAGATGTTGTCGTGTGCCGGAGCCGATCGACTCCAAACCGGTATGCGTGGCGCTTTCGGCAAGCCCTACGGTGTCGTTGCCCGCGTGAACATTGGCCAGATTCTCCTCAGCGTTCGCACCCGAGACTCCAACCGCGCTCACGCCATCGAGGCCCTCCGTCGCTCCATGTACAAGTTCCCTGGTCGCCAGAAGATCATTGTCAGCAAGAACTGGGGCTTCACTCCTCTTCGCCGTGAGGAATACGTCCAGCTCCGCAAGGAGGGCAAGGTCAAGATCGATGGTGCTTATGTGCAATTCTTGAGAAACAAGGGCAATGTACAGGACAACATGAAGCGTTTCCCTGAAGCTTATGAGAATTTGTCTCAGGCGTAAAAAGGGTCTGTTATTTTTTGTCTTTAACGAATGGTTTTTTTTCCCCCACGGGGTAGAGGTTGCCTGGTTGACTTGATGGATTGTTTTTATTCTGAAATGATATCTGTGCCTTATGCCATGATTAATTCAAGTCTGGATCTCGTTCCCTGGATGTTCCACCCATACACATTATTCTATGATTTATGTGTGCGGTTTCAACCCGAATTGAAGCCCATTCGCCAACAAAATATGACACAGTTACTAGCACACCATGAATTACCAATTAAATGGAGCGGTGTACAACAGGAACATAACGGAAGCAAAAGGATCGAAATCTAAATAAAAAAACTCCCCGTCCTAGTTATGAAGGTAATTGAAATGGGACTGCAAGATGGAAGAGTAGATATAACACCAAATACCACATCAATACTCCGTATAGCCCAACGCCCAGAATATCCATTATGTCATGAGAACGCGTCAGAGCAACAGGGCCAACCCCTCTCAGTAACTCAACCATAAATCACCAATATAAACGAAAAACAACCAAAATAACCATGGCATGTCACACCACGACGTAAATCCAGGGTATATATGCTGTAAAATGAAACCGAATATCTCTCCAATTAAATGTCCCCCCAATTCCCCATGCCACCAGCGCCCACAGTAACAATGGCACTCCCGCTGCCTACGCTTCCCCCAATGTCCCAGTAATGTCTGCTCGACCCACTGCCAAGTGGACCCTTTTTTGAAGACAGCAAGGTGCTCTGGCTAGCACAGCTGGAGCCGGGACGGTGAAGTTGATGGAAGAGAACAGGGGTCGAAGCAGGGCGGTTGTTTCTCGTTGCCAGACTAGCTTGCGTGCCCATTGTTGCGTGGGGTGGAAGACCATGGACTGAAGAGTTGGTCTGACAATGGCTCATGTACGTACGCTGAGAGCGGGCCTGAGCGTCAGCGCGTGCTACCAATGGGTGATGCTGCTTTATGATAGCGGCACGATACGAGGCGTCTTGTTTCTCATCTTCCTGCGAGGCGGAAGCTGTTGGCGTGCTGGCTCCGGTCTTCGACACAGGAATTTTGCCCGCAAGGCTTCTGAAGATATACCTGAAAACCATCTTCATATCAAGTTCCCGTTCCCAGTCCTCGCACGCGTGCTCTAACTTGGAAGGGTCGGCTTGGCCATCCGCTTGCGTGTTGCTTTCCCCAGGCGGGGGGCTCTTGGCGCACGGTGGGCCTTCTTCCTCGATGCCCCAGAGAGCATCATGGCTCAATAGAGGGGTATCTTGCAGCGTAGGATTGAATTTCGGGTCTAATTCCGGCGTGGCATTTTTGAGGCTATGGTCAGACATAGTTGTGGAGGGAATAATGTGACGTCGATGAGAAACAGATAACGGCGCCGAAGATTGTGGGGCCTCGACAGCGTTGCCAGACGCCGAATAATTAGTGGCCGGATACGCCGTAAAGGCGCCAGGGTGTTCACAGAGCTGATGAGCCAAAATACCCAGCTCCCGGGTGATCCTATCCAGAAGTTTTTGCTGCCACATATGGTCGTGTGAGGATGACGACGTCACATTCTTCAGCATGTCATCGAGGTCTTTAGGTCGCTCTGAAGCGATTCTGATACCTGACTGCAAAGCTCCTGGGTTCGATCGATCTTGGTTCTTCTGTGCAGTCTGTTCTTCTTCAACTTCTTCCACGAGAGCTTCCCCGAAAATGACAGCAAGGATTCTGTCGTCGATACCAATCAATTCTCGAATCACTTTACGTGTAATCCGCCTCCAGAAAGACTCCTCTTCTTCCGAATCCTTCGACGTACCTTCTTCAGAAGATAATATTTCATCAGCGGGGGCTTGGGTTTCGAGAATACTATCTATGGTGGCTGCAGATGATCGTCGGCCAGCACGTTGGAGTGTATGCCCTGAACGATTTTTCCGCCTTCGTCTGGTTTCCTTTTCGATTTCTTGCAGCAAAAACCTGCTTTGTTCCATACGCCATTGTTCTACCCGTTCCCATCGGTCCAGGTCCATGTCGTGAGGTTGAAATTCTTCGACTGAGCCGAAAGGTTGCTGCATAGGTGGTATTTGGAGGGGCGTTGCCTCACGTACTCTATTGGGGTTGAACTTTTCATGTTTCCACAGTTGTTCTTGTATTTGCAAGCTGGAGACGGGAAAAGTCCCCAGGCCATCATGGGCGGGAAGTACGGCAGGGTCACTTTGGTGAGGAGCAAGTTGGTCTCCCACGGGTTCGTAGGCAGAAGGCTCCCGGAAGGCATGCAGTCCATCATCAAGACTGTCGAGCTCAGTAGCGTCTTCTTCTAGCAGGTCATCTTGCTCTGGTTCAAGGTCGATATCTCCGGTGCCAGAGTGTAAAGCTGTCCCCAGTGAGCCGAAATCACTTAGCCGTGACCTGCCCGCAGTACGGGGAGTTCGTTCTGTGGATGTGGTATGTGTGCGAGCTACGCTCGAGTGTGCGGTTTCGGGAGAAAAGAGCACCCATTCCTGGTGGTCGTCGTCGCGGGGGCGGAGGGCGTCTGCCACCGCGTCGTCGGCGGACTGAGCAGAACGCGAGGCATTTTGAAACGAAGGCCGCCGCTGCGGGATCTGGCTGGGGACTCGAAACGCCATGTCTGAGGTGTTGAGCGGCGGTAGTTATTGGGTGACGTGAGGAGAGATGTGGGTGACAACGGACGGTGTGATCGTGTGTATGGGGGTGGGTGTATGGAGGGATGACGGTGGGTGTACGTATAACTAGTCTAGATGTCAAGGTCAGAGGAGGGAGAGCAGCATCACCAGGCAGCAAGACGAGAGGCTGTCGGCGGCATGCTGAGCGGAACGAGGAGGCCGGACAGCGCTGCGAGGTTGGTGGTGATGATGCTGCTGTTGCGCTCGTTAGTTAGTGAGTTAACTAGTCAGTTCTCGCCGCAGGGATCCGATGATCACCGCCAGCCAGGCGGCGGGGCGCTAGCAGGCGATAACGACGGATAACCCAAACCACGCCCGCAGCGCGCTGAGATTACAGGGAGCGCCGGGCGGCCAGCGTGTTCTCTATCACCCCCATATTATTATTATCAACTATTATCGCGCTGGCCAGGCTGTTGTTATCTCGCGGCCTGCCAGGCCCAGCGCGCAGCCCGTATCAGCAACGGAAGCTAATCGGCCCCCAGATCGAGCCCACCCGAATCTCCACCGCCAGAGTGCAGCAATCCCAGCACCGCCTGAACTACTGAAATGAAGCACCCGGTGCCAAGCTGCCGTCGCCCGGGATCCTCGCGCGTGCCGTCGGTTACAGCTGGAGACATGCAGCAAAACATGAGTCGGGCAGCCGAAACGATCGTGGGTTGCGGTCGAATCCAGACCTGCCTGGCAGCCGTGTTAAGAATACTGCAGCATCGGGAGTCGCACCACACGGCATGCCGGGGCCCTGCGCGACCCCTGGGGGATGTGGTGAGAGCAATACTGAGCAATTAACCAATATTTACCACCACGCGGCCAGGGCGGTTCGGCGCTTGAGGGCATTGTGATTAGAGTTGGCTGGCAGCCCGTCTCGCTCGCGTCGCGATACCCAAGTCGGACTAAGGAGCGCCGGCTAGCATCTCGCCCACCCAGCTCATCTGCACCGCGCTGACCCCTCGCGCATAGCTGCGGTTCGTAAACACATACTCGTTGTACATGATCGCCTCGACCTTGCGCCCGAAGAGCACGCTGGACGGGTGGATCGCCACCGTTTGGTGGCCGACGATCGTCTTGTAGCTGCCGTCTGGGAACAGCCGGGCCGTGTTGCATGCAAAGCCCGCCAGAAAACTTCTCAATATGCCGACCGAATCGTAGTTTTCCGCCGCGTTGGGGGTTGCGAGCGTATTTTGCCTTTCCCCGTTCGCTTGTTTCGGAGCGTCAATGAGTTTGGCTTGCTTGCATTGAGCAATCAGTTGCTTGCGGACATCCTGAACACACAAAAAGCTTGGTTAGCGACGAGGAGCGGGAGAATTCAACGGGCAGGCCAATAATACCATCACGGACTGCATGGCTCGATGCGAAACCATATGCCTCTCTGCCCAGGCCTTGCGGTCTGAATTTTCCGCCGCATATGCGCGCACTGTGGCTAGCATCGTCAAATGGTCCCCTTCTCTCCGGTAAAGGTCCCGTCTAGCCTTCTCTGCCTCTTCCTTCTTTTCCTCGGACGCCGTGCTAAGGAAAACGTTCTCAACGCTCAAACTAGAAATAATGTCAATGACATCCTGCAAACAGCTCCGGCCGTGATCTGCTGCGGCGAGGAGGACACGCCCGAGAGGTGCTGTCAGGGGAAGTTTCGCAATTTGCCTTCCTACGGGGCTGACTTTCCCCGTTTCCTCTAATGCCTGAAGGTTGAACAATTGCAGCAGAGCCTTCTCAATGGCTTCTCGAGGAGGAGGTGTGAGAAACGGGAAGCCCAGGATGTCGTCTACGCCCCGTGCCTTCATGGTCAGTATTGCATGAGTCAAATCGCATCGCAAGATTTCTGGAGTATTGGTTTCTTGTAACACCAGATAGTCCTTCTCTGTGTATAGCCGGTAGCATTGGCCAGGGGCTTCACGACCCGCACGGCCTTTTCTCTGAATTGCCGCTGATTTAGAAATGGGCTTTACGAGAAGCGAGTCGAGGCCTAGGCGCGCCCGGAACTGCTTCATCTTCGCCTTTCCACAGTCGACAACATAACGGACCCCAGGAACAGTCACTGATGTCTCAGCAATATTTGTAGCCAAGATGACCTTGCGTGTTCTTGGCGGTGCTGGGAGAAAGACACGCTGCTGAGCGGCTTGGGGCAATGCCGCAAATAATGGGGCCACTAGAACTTTTGGCAGCGAAGGATCCATGCCATGAGCGTAGTCATTGATCATATTCTCAAGAGATTCGACGGTTTCTTGGCCAGTAAGAAAGACCAGAATATCACCAGGAAGGGCCTCCTTATAATGTATCTGGAATATTGTTTTCAGCGCGGCATCAACGAAGTCCGGTACCGGTTCTGGCGAATATATTGTTGTGACAGGAAACATCCGGCCTTTGATATGGCAGACAGCGGGTTCCGCGCGAGGCGTCTCATTCCCGTCTGCCTCCCCCGAACCAGACATACTCTTCGCTGCCTCTAGAGGAGTATCAACGGTCCGGCCAGGCGCCGCACACCTATCGAATCCCTCCTTGAAGAAGGCAAGTAAGCTCTCCATATCAGCCGTAGCACTCATTACCACCACCTTCAATGGTACTCCGCCTCTCCCTTCCTTCAGCCCAGAAACCAGCTGTCTCAAGAAACCCAACAAGAGATCCACATTAACCCCTCGCTCGTGAACCTCATCCACCACGACCGCACTATACTTCGTCAACCAAGGGTCACTCAGCATCTCCTGGAGTAGCATCCCATCGGTTAAAAACTTCACGCGCGTGCTCGGCGACGTCGACGTATCAAATCGAACCGAGTACCCAACCTTACTCGCCGGCGACGAGTTGCCCAACGGCGTCCCCATCTCCTCTGCAACCCGCCTCGCTAACGACACTGCGGCCACACGTCTCGGCTGCGTGATGGCAATGCAGCCGCCAACTTCTATCTTGGCGCGGGTCTTCTTCCCATGCGAAGTGGACGACGACGACGACAACGGCGCCGGCGCAAGACCAGTCACTTTTGCCGTCTTCGCACGACACCATTCCTCATCGACCAGAAACTGCGGCACCTGGGTACTCTTCCCGCTGCCGGTTTCGCCGATAAGAAGCATAACATCTGTCCGTCGGAGGTGCTGGCGAATCTCCTCCGCGTGCGCAAATATGGGCAGTTGCTTCCGCACCTCGAAGAGTGCTTTGGCTTTCTCCTGTAGGTTTGGGTGTGGTTTTTTCTTATCGTTCACGAGGCTCGCAGCCACGTTGCGCGGCCTGTTGACGGACTTATTTTCACCAGGAGCGAGAAGCTGCGCATCATGGAGAATCACTCGTTTGGTCGAGCTATGGGTATCACCAGAGTTCTTAGAGCTATCGTCTCGCTTGCGTTTGTTATTTTCTTTTGGCTTTTTGCTGTCTCTCTCTCCTTTGGATGTCATGACTGAAAGTATTTTTGTAAAATGTGCATTAGAATGGTATTAAGGACATTTAACAGGTTGATTCTAGTCTATGGTTGGGATATCATTATTTGGATGTTATTTGTCCTACTCCGTGCTGGATGAAAAGTTCGGTTTGATAGAGCTGCGTATTGGTATTACAGAAAAGCCACATAAATACCTTATCGATAAGATCTTTCGGCCCGCTGTTAATCCGTGGCTAGCTACCGTTGATTGGCTCCGACGATCAGCGCTTATCAGATGCAACACAGTGAGACGATTGAGATGATCAGAAAACAAGAAAAGAGCTCAATTTATATGGTAAACCCTGGCTTTAAGACTCCACAAATGTTTCAATTCCGAGAAACCAGCAAGCAGGCAATCAGAAACATCAATCTACAACCCCGAATCAAACAGCACAATCACATCTCTCGTAAAGAAAAAGAAACAAAGGATATCAAAATACACGGCTAGACGAAGGAAAAAAAGTTTCAACCAGCTCGACTTTTTCACTCGGCGTCCAATGGGGCAACGGGAGGCTGGTTGTTGACCTGGATGCCACCGCGCTTCTTCTCGCTGCTGTCCCAGAAGGGGATCTTCCAGCCACCCTCGGTGTCTGGGGTAGCAAGCCACAATCTCATGAGATGTCGGCGAGGAGCTGGTGGTGGGAAGTCCTTGTAGGCAGTGCGAGCGTGCAAGACGTGCGAGTTGGAGAGGAACTGGATGTCGCCGACATCAAGGACCATGTGCAGGGAGAGCCTCAAGCAGGTCTCCTCGAGCACTGACATGGCCTCGAGCTGTGCTGGCGAGAGCGCAGGGATAATGCCAACGTCAGAGAAGCGGTTGAGGGAGCGAACGTAGTATGGATCCCATCTGCAAAGCACGCAATAAGCGTTAGTCCACGCATGGGAAAGACGCCAAGGGCTTGGGGTCAAGGCTTACTTGGTATAGACGCGGCCCTTTTCGCCATTTTCGACGTACATGACGCTCGCGCGGATGTATTCCTCCTCGCCAATGCTGGTTTCGCCTTTGCGGTCGACGTACCAGATTGGCTGAGTCAGAGTCTCAAGAACGTCCGGGCGCTCCTTCGCGAGCACGTTGTAGATATGATGGGATGAGACGATATCGGACTCCCCTCCCTCTAGAGCCTTGGCGACGCAGAGCAGGCCGACGATGTCGCCATCATCAGTGTGGAAGAATTGGCTAGGATCAGTTATCAGCGAGGATTTGCCGAACGGGTTCTCTTGCGCTGCACTTACCGGGCGTTCGTTCGGTAAATCCGCACCTTGTCGATTTTGTTGGAGTCCTCGCTAAGGTCCTTGACGTGGCCAAGCACATGGCCCCTGCCGTTCTGGCTGACGAAGTAACCGAGATGAGTTCCAATTCCCATGTAGACAACGGCCGACTTGTGGTTGCCCCATTCCTGGACTGGAAGGCCCTTGAAAAGAATAAAACCCTTGCCGTCCATCAAATCATCATGGAGTGCAGAGAGGAAGGCGGAGAACTTGGGGAGAGCGAAGTGAGTCTAGACCACAGTTAGGACTCTTCTTGAGATGTGAGGTATCAGCGAGCATATCACAGGGGACCTGCCTTAGAGATGCCGGTCAGAGGCGTGCCAGACGCCATGAACGCATCTGCGGTTGCACTCAGCTCCGCCAGCTCTTCTTCGGTGAACCAGTGAACCCATTTCTCAGGGCAGTCTTTGTAGTCGGCGGCCTCCCAGACGGTAGGGCCTGTGATCTCCTTTGGGAACTCGGAGAAGGGCTTCACCTGCTCGTAGATGGGAGGGTGCTGTCCGGTGGTCTTGAGGCCATCTGGGAAGAGGTCCAACGACACGGCGGGCTTCTGGAAGCCGGTGCCGGCTGTGGAAGGGATGCCGTGGACGATGGGAGCCATTGTATTGCAGAAAGGGTATCAGGAAAGAAGTAGGGAGTGAAAGCAGTCAAGAAGGTTTCCAGATACTTTGGAGTCTGGAGTCTGGTTTCCAAAGCACACCATCGGGGCGGCGGATAGCGTCTTTTATAGATCGCCCCGGCGAAGGATGAAGGCGGCGGCAACGGCGTCGGCGAGCTTATCTTGGGGGAAATCTGGGGCCGTGATAGTGTTCTGACAAGGCCCGGCGATCGTATGTAACGTGTATGGGCAGCATCGTGCAGTTCGGCTCTAAGGCGACGAGAAATGAGATCCGATTTGCAACACAGCCAAGCCTCAGCAACGGCGCACTAGGTGCAACCGTGGTAAGGATGGCAGCGCTGGCACCCATGGCCGCGGAATTGCGCCATGCTTGGGCTCCATACAAGCACTGCGCAGGAGGCTGGAGCAGGTATGAGGCCAGGACGGTGATCGGCACGCAGCAGCGGGGATGGTGTTTTGAAGCAGCGCCTGCGACGCCTGGTCTGATCTGATCGCAGCTCCCTTGCGCCTATACTCTGGGCCGCCGACTGGGCAGAAGCCGACCGCTGGCCAGGCCTGGTCTCGGGATTGCCAGGCGAGCGATGCCGTTGCAGCGCAGCCGGGCTCGGTGACGCGCGCGACTGGGCGAGAAACGCCGACGATATCGCCGAGCTCTCGAAACAATCTCAACACCACCACCCGCCAGCGAGCTGCGCGCCGCCAGACCGATGCAACGTGTCTCACGGAGGCGGCGGATTTTGCGCTGAGTCCAATAGTTAATCTCTTGCTGTGTCTGTCTGTCGTGGAGCCTCGTGCCGTGGCCGCATACCGTCGTCAAAAGACGCCCTCCACCAGCACCAGCAAGCAAGGAGGCAGGCAAGCAACAGGCGGCCCTGGCCCGAGCATGGGAGCAGCCAGCGACTCGCCTGCATCCATCCATGCGAGATCGAGGCTGCCCGGCCATGTGGGCGTTGTTCAAGGTCCCAGGTTCACTGGTTTGCAGATATTGTTATTATGAAATTATGAGTGCTCGACATACATACACAGAACCCCCCCCGAATATCCTCCGTGCGCCGGCGCGCCAGCACAACCAGCCCGCACCGTGCCTCTTCCCCTCTCGCTTCCGCCCCGGTCCCCCCAGCCTTCGCTGGCAATTTGCCCGGTCATGAGGTTGCTCTCGAGCTTTGACCCACTGCGCGAGGGCGGAACGGGAGGCGGCCTGGGCTACATGACACTGCAGCAGCAGGCGTCGTAGAACACAATTCGGCTCTTCCCCGCATAAAGTCTGTACCTGATTCTATGGGAATCCTCCCGGACCATGCGGATCAGGTTCCTGTCATAGTCGCCGCCCTGGTCGCAAACAGGGCATGAGTTCGTTTTCGCTTTAATGGGACCCCCCACCGTAAACGGGAGAATCGCGTGGGAGTTAAGCTGCTTGCACTCGCTGAAGCCCGCGTTCTTCTGGCAGGGTTGGCCAATGATCACCCACCGATGTTTACAGGTGGTCGACTTGAAGTACACGGTGCGACACATGATGACGTGTTGCCGTGGCTCTCTCCTGTCGTTCCGGCGCAAGCTGACTGGTGCAACAGCCGAGCACTAGATTCGTCGTCAAGGGTGTTTCGGGCTCGAATATGCGCAGCGTAGGATACTATGCCTGTGCTTCGGCGTTTTGATAAACTGGCTATCTCGTAAATGGACAAGGTGGTGGCGGCATGCCCATAAGGGAGAAGCAAGGGGGCTGCTTCAAATACCCTTCGTCATGTGAACAGTGACTGCTTTTTGGCCATTCCAGATCTTTGTTTATTGTGGTTAATTATCTTTGTCTCCCATGTTTCTGGTTGCTTGCATGAGCTCATAGAGCTGTCCAATTTGCTGATCTATTGAATTGAATACCATTCATCGTCAGTGAATGAAGAGAAACCCATCATACAGAAGCAAAACAGGAGCTCAGCAGCGTACCGTTCATTTTATCGAGCTTTCCTTTGTCCAGTTTCTCCCCTCTCCATGAATCACCTTCCAGCTTCTGCGCATACAACTGCCACTCCGTTAAAAATCCGACCTAGCCGCCGGCCAAAACGTAGATTAGAATAGTGCTTCGGGAGAATTTTTTTTTGAACCGACATACAATGTGTATTGGGTTGTCCACCGCACGGTGAGCGCGAAATTCGGCTTTCACGTATTCGTCTCCCAACAGCCGCAGCTCGCTTGGCAGCTTGCGATGGGCTCTCAGTAGGCGGCGATAAAGGTGAAGAGGGGGTAGAAGGGCTAGAGGTGCTGGTCGTAAACTTGAAGGAGAGGTAATCATTGACGAGGACGCCATGCGTAGGATGGAAGAAGCTCTCATGGTGTTGGGCCTATGGCAACGGGCTTGTTAAAGAACGTACAGCGCTTGACAAGTTCAGAATTTCTCTGAAACGCGAGACAGGCAGGGAAGAAAATGGTTGAAGCGCGTCTTCTGGCGGAGTTGACTAATTTTGTTCGTTGAGAATGGCGTGGTCGAGGCTCAAAGTGAACGAAGTTTGACGTCCACAAACGGTCCTCATGCAAACCCCACACAGGAAGCTGAAGAAGCTACATCAACGACACGCCAGCGACGGCCCAAATACCCCAAGCCTTGTGCCACTTACTGGCAACAAATGAGAAGAAGATACCCAGGATACCTCAATTTGTGACGAAATAACCCAATGCTCCCTACACCCTCCACCTCGCATGTATGTTTCGACACCATCTACGAACCGGCAGAAGACAGCTATCTGTTACTTGATACCCTTTCTTCATCCACGGAATCAACCTGGCTCTCTAGAAGATTCGGCACTTCACAGACTGAGTGCCAAACTCCCTCTCCGCCACCTCTCGTGGCTGAACTTGGGACAGGATCCGGCGTGGTACTCGCATTCGCAGCTGCAAATGCTGAACATATCTTTGGACGCCCAGATATACTGACGCTGGGAATTGATGCAAATAAAAATGCATGCACTGCGACGGAGAAAACGGTCCATATTGCGCTCGAGGAGAAACGCCAGCAGCAGCTGGAATCTCCCTGCCAGGCCTTCACCGCGGACGGTGGATCACAGCCTCAGATGCTTGCAGCGATAACAGGGGATCTCAGCTCTGCCGTGCGTTCTGGAGTTATTGATGTTTTAATCTTCAATCCTCCCTACGTGCCTACTCCAGAGCTACCAGCGCTGCCATCAGTACGTTCAAATACAGAGGGTGCTGTTGGCACTTCCAAATTTGAAGAAGATTCATATCTACTCTCACTATCTTATGCCGGTGGAGAAGATGGAATGGAAACTACAAATCGTCTGCTGGATGATATACCACATATATTAAGCCCTGACCGTGGAGTTGCATACATTTTATTATGCGCCCAGAATAAACCACATGAAGTGATACAACGGGTGAAGTCCTGGGCCGCAGACTGGAACGCAGAAATAGTCGGCCGGAGCGGCGTGCAAGCGGGCTGGGAGAAACTTGTCATTGTAAGGATATGGAGGGAAGCCGCCCTTTGAATTGATTGCTACTATACTCCTTAATAGGGGTCCATCACCGTAAACGGTCGTCGTCATAGAAATCAACCTTAAATCGACAATCTCAATAAAGTAGTCCACAGTTTCGCGCTGATGCACATCCGATGTTTCAAAAGTATTTCCCGTCCCAAGACATGACTGTAGCCAATCAACCCTGGATCGCCATATGCTACGCGTTTCATTCGGATTCGAGCAGGTTTTCAAGAACGATAATAATGGCGCGGCACGGAATAGATGTATGAGAAGAGTGCAACGCCGCGTCATCGAGCACTCAACGTTAAACCTCAAAACCATCCGGCTCGATCCATATATTTCCCCTGCAGAAAAAAAAAAAGAAAAAATAAATAAATATAAGAGGTTGCGTAATATCACCATACTCCGAGATCTTAACGGCGCCATGCGTGAGGTAAACGGGGAATAGTAGTAAGAAAATGATCACGCCCATTTATAAACGATCATATCTTTTGTTTTAATATCTGGTTTTAGAAACCACGACCCCTTCCGCGACCTCTGCCGCCGCCTCTGCCACCTCTGCCCCTTGGCCCACCTCGCCCACGCCCTCCGCGGTCTGTCTCCTTCTTCGCTTTATTCTTGGGTTTCGGTGTGTCATCTATGAGAAGGGTATCTAACGGTAAACTATCAGGCAGGATGAAATATCGGATCGTCGAGCCGCGGATGTTGATGGTGTCCAGGGAGATGGGATCGCGTCCTTTGGGCGTCATTTTCACAGTGCGGAGAGCGGTGTTCATCTGGGGTGAGACGGAGGCGATGGTTCCGTGTAGAATTGTGCCTAGTAGGAGGGAAATAACAATTGTCAGTATTGCCCCCCACGAGATTTATGCCCGTTCTGGCCGTCTCGCGACCAGATGCGTCGCAGAAACAAAAGAGAGTATGTGCCAGGAATATACACTGGTAAGGGTATATACCATTCTTCAACTCAACTGTCACCGTTTCATTGGCGCATTTCATAAGAAACCTGCATTGAATCAAAAGTCAGTCTGCGGGAAATCGCGTCGGCGGGGATGGCCACGGATCGCCTACCGAACAAGCTTCATGATGAACAAGCACTTGTAAATATATCACAATAAAATCGATACAGGCTCCAAATTAACACAGAAAACGGTCGGTCTAGGTGGTGTGCTAGCTGGTGTTTAACAGCCGGTATGCTGAAGCTGTTCGATGGTCGCCAAACCATGTGGCACGTGATCGAGAAGTCGATCCGCACTAGCCTAATTATGGGCTAGTCTTTTAAAATCTTATAACTTACTCCGAGACGGCTTATAAGGTATAACCTGGTACGGTGCTTTCTCATCCTCGACTTACAGAAGCTGTTTTCATCACAGCATACATTGAAACGACTTAAAATTAACCAAACTAAAGATCCAAAAACTGAAAAGACTGAAAATATTGATAAGAAGCTTTTTGAGCCATCGTTGTGGCATCCAAACATACGTCTCGTCAATTTTATACTCCAAGTAGTGTAGGAAAGCGCTCATAGGTACTCCATACTGTATGAAAATGCGGGAACATCATACAGAATTGAAATCATATATACTCGTTTAAAACCAAGGAAAAAGAAAAAGCAAAAAAAAAAAAAACGAGGTCGGTGTTGCGAGGAGAAGGGGGGTCAATTATGAGAAACGTCGATCACGGTGCCCACAAGGCCCGTCGGGCTGTGCGTACCTCGACTCACACGAGATGGAGAGGACGACATCGATGACAGGGCTAGGCTGGTGGTAGATGGTATGGCAAGAACACGAGAATGCACTTCAATCCACTCCACAGATGATAGAAACACAAAAGTAATTTTCACTTCTGAGATGGATTCTTGTTCTATGCATTCAAGCTCGCCAGGTTCTTCCGGTGAGTCGAAACTGAACAGTTCAACTTCTGCTACTGAGGATTTCCTCCTCTGTTGCTCTATAGCCTTATCAATAGCAAGCACCTTAGCAGGTGCCCGGATAGACCGAATGTAAACGACCATGGTGCTACCGACCGCGATGGAGGACTGTGAAAACAAGATATCTGGAGCAGGAAAACTCGCAGTAAACCCAGTATGGAAATACGGCGGTGAGGACGGATAGGGAGGAAGAGGGGTTCTGGACGAAGCCACGGAAGAACCAAGCACCATTCCCTTGCGAATTCTACCAAGGCAAGAAAGAGGATTAATGGGATCGATTCCAATCGTCCCGACTTGCTGCTCATGAAGACATTTCACTGGCTGCCTCAGATTTCGAACACTCACAACACGGACCTCCTGCCAGTACACTTCAGGATGGGATTGTGAGGTATGAGCCTGCAGTCGCTGCAGTCGAAGGGACGTAAGATTGTCGGGAAAGGACTTGCTACAAGTTCCCTTTGCGCGTTGACCAACAAGGTGGTCATTGGACTTGGTATCATGTTTAGAGTCTGGCTGGAAGGGGCCTATTACCAAACAGTCGCCAACAGAAATGGTGCCCCGACGGATGCGGCCGCACAGGATAATGCCTCGGTCATTTTGATGGTGAGTCTCATTTGAGAGAGAATATACCTTGAACAAGGGCATCTCAAAGACCTCGTTGACATCAAGGATTTTGGCAAAGTGGTTAGTCTCGTATGCAGGTGAAATTGGCCGGGGTATCGTGTCCAGGCTGGTTGAAGGGGGCCGTGTAGGGAAGGGCAATGACCGCAGCAAAGCATGAAGACGACCGATGCCAGCACCGGTCACAGCGCTCGTGAGAACAATAGGGACAATGTCTTGCAGGCGGTCGTCGTCACGGTTGAGCGCATTATCGATGATTTCTCGGTCAAGCACGGATATTGCCTGGAGGTCGAGGTCAGACATGGGGGACTCCCCAGGGCGAAAAAGCAAAACCGGTTTCCGACCAGCAGCTTTGATCGCAGAGACGCTTGGAGCCAAGGCATGCTTAACAGGCAGTGTTGCCGTTTCCAATTTGGTCACCACCAGCACAATCGGAAGGCCTAATTTTAGGCACAAGTCTAGATACACCAGCGCGGCGTCGATCTCCGCGAGGTCAAAGCGGTCGGTGTTTGTGCCAGGGTTTGCGGGAATGCAGAAGAGCACGTAGTGAGGCTCCCAGCTTAGCAGCCCGCGCAGCGTCGACTTGCTGTATCGCAGCGACCCCGGGAGGTCGGACAGAAACACCAGGCGGCCGCCAGCAGCGGTCGCGTGGATGTCGGTCCACGCGCTCACATTGCCAGACGCATAGTTGACCACGTCCGGGGCCTCACCCGCCGTGGATTTCTCGGGCGCAGAGTATCCAATCAGCTCCTGCGCCACGGAACTTGTCACCCCAGAAGCAATTTCGTGCCGGTGTTTTAGAAGACTGATTCTGCTGCGTCCCCGCCCGTTATCCAGGGCCGATGTGGATAGAATTCCCAAAAGGGACGACTTCCCGCTGCCTGAGGCGCCCAGAATGGCAACTTGAAGCTGCTGAGTTTGCGGTGGTGGATCAGACAGGTCGTGGAACCTTCGACCCGCCGTTAGTTTACCTAGAACATGGGTCTCGGTGGAGCTGCTGGTAACATCACTTCTTAGATCTGGGCGCACCAAAGCTTCTGCAACCCACAACTTGTCTTCAATAGTGGCCATTTGGGGGTCTTTAGTTCCGGGCTCAGCCCACTTGCAGAACCCAACCGCGACTTTTCTTAAGATTTCCACCCTGCAACCCAAGCTGGCCGCCATGGCCTGAAGGTTGACCAGGCTCTCCTCTAGCTCGTCTCCCGCCAAACCAATAAAGTTCCCATCGTCAGAGACCCCAATCTCATACAGCGCGCCCTGGCTTTCTTCCAATCCTGGGAGAAGTGGAGCTAGCGTCTTTGGAATATCCAACGTAGGGGTGGCATCGGGCAGGACCGGCAATATTAACTCTGACGTCGACGAAGACGAGTGAAACGGGGAAGACTGCTGCAGTCGCCATAGTAGCTGGGTGGTAAGCTGGTGCAGTCTGTGCTGTCGAGTTTGGCTCGACGATGCAAGCGGAGCTTTTGCCGAGACGGATTCTAAATGCTCCTGCAGCAGCAGGGGAATATCCTGGCCCGATTTGGAGTGGTTTGAACCAGATATTAGGCTCCCTGTAGATAAAGAGATGAATGAGCGGCGCGGGCGCAGTAGCAAGTGGAGTTTGTACTCGGTCGGTCCGTCTTGCGGTTCCACGTCCAACTTGGTGATCCCATGGTACGTCAGGTAACTTGGGTCACTGGAATCAGGCGCATTGGAATCCTGTGAACCAGTGCTCAGATACCCGCTGGAGGTCTTCCGCAAGTGTGGGGTGCACGACCCGGGAGTTGACCAGGGAGACGATACCCTGGGAGGGTCCGTCTCGTAAGTGAACACAGAGGCCATCTGATCTATCTCAATGGAGCAGTAGTACCGAACTGGTCTGGCCTCCCTTTGTTTATAATCATATACTCAAACTGGGGGCCAAGGGAGGTGGCTTCACAGCATCAAACACAGCCAACACTGGGCACACGTCAACCACGCCTTATACGTATGTGCCAGTAGGAATGGAAGAAGCAAAAGAGCCCAGCAACGGTGGATAAGTGACAGACTCCGGAGAACTGAGGTCTTGAATGGGTCATTTTGAAGTGGTCTCTTGAGGGGGTTTGTGCAGACACTTGTGATCGTTCAGCAGGCGCAATCAAGTGAGCCAGCAGGAGTGCAGATCAACTGCAGTTAAAAGGCCATTTTTATGGCCAACGGCATAGAGAATAATAGCAACACATACACATCAAGGCAACGTTTCTGTCTGCCACTCCGAAGCTGCGGGAAGGGCGGCTTGTCGCGTCTCTCCAGGTGACTCATCCGTGCCACGTGTGCAGGCGGTTAGTCAGCAAATTGCCACCACTGTCAATTATTGGCTGGAACAATTGAAACATATTTGCCGTGTTTGCATCGAGTACTCGTATGGCCATCGAAACCACAACAAAAAAAAGGCAACGCACCAACAAGATGGCAGCGGCACGGCAGATACTAGCTATTACTGGAGTGGTCGGCGTGTCTTACTATCCTAGCAGGTTCTCCCACCGCAGCCACCACATGCTCGATGCGTAGGCCCCAGTCTGCGCCACGGTTGTCTCTCAGATCCCGAGGCAAATGTGCACCCATTATTCAATCCCCGGATATTCACCTTGACGCTACTTCTCTACCCATGCACGGTAGATCGGGCTAGGGGTGGCAATATGGGCAACCTGCTTATTCACCAGAGCCCTACGCCGGTTGGGCAGTGGAGGGCCTCAGCAGCGCAAAAAGCGGTCGTTGGCCAACTGTTCGGGTGAGGCTGATCGCCGATCCACACAAACAAAACCCGACGCTCTCCACACCCAGACATCGAGATTTGGGTAGCTTTCGGGACTGCATCATCGCACAGAACGTGGCTGCACCAGCAAGACCTGGACTTACCGTGCAAATCGCGGTTCGGCGCTCTCCGACCATGGAATCACAGAGCCATTGGATGGCTGGTTGCTGGATGTGGTGGATGCAGCCCTACGGGCTGCCACGTGTGGGCGAAACTCTGCAGCAGCATCGCCAGCGTGCGCCGCAAAGTCTTGTTATGAAGATGCTCAAAAAAGCCTGGAGGCGGCGCAGCCTGAACATAAAAAAAAAAAAAAAGATAGTTGGTACCTTCTCACTGCCCTGTCCACAACGGGCGAGCGGAGCGGAGCGCGCCAGATCCAATTTTGGCTCACAAAACTCACGCTTTCGGGCATTTGTCGGCCTGGAGTACGTGGCACTCTCGCCTTCGCCTGCAGCCCCAAGTGTTTAGCTGCGCTCGTCCACGTAACTACACCGGACGCAAAAAAGTCACAGGGCGCCGAGCGCGCGCGGGTGCGCACACGCACACACGGCTACACGGCCCCTTTTTATTTCAAAAAGGCTCCGCAGGGCAACCTCAAAGCCTTCGCCCTCTAGTCCAATAAGAATAATAAACGGCCGCCGCAAAGCTCCCTTGCTTGTCCGCCCGGAGATTTAAGGTTCGGCACAGATTGATGGGGCCGTTTTGAAAATGTGTGCATTTTCGATGTTTGCGCCGGCTGCCGCCGGGGCTGAGAGCGTTAAGACGGCTTGGATGCATAAGCGAAGAACTGGACGGCCTTGTTCGTGTGGACGCGGCCGTTTTTAAGCTCGCATTGACCTCCCCAGATCCGAGCTTGGGCTTCATACATGCATAGTTAAGCATGCCAACGTCGGTCGAAAACAAACGACGACTGGCTACTAAACAGTGGGTGTATACGACCGTAAAATGGAACATATAGATGTAGTTGCATGGTCAGCCAGTCAGCCTTTATCCGAAAGGTTAATGTATTCGACAAAAAAAGAACAGGCACCTCGTCTTGCATGTAGCCCCATGTTGAAGTGTGCAGAAGGCAAGCGGTGCGACAGGACACGCGTGGTGATGCGAAATTAGGAGCGCCACCAATCCGCCAGTATGGCTTCGGAGTCGTTGGAAAGATGCAAAGATCGCAATTTCGAGCGAAAAAGCCTCGTATGCAGCCTCAAGAGCACGGCTGGCTACGATGACAGCGGGTTGGAAAAAAAAAATCAAACAGACAACAACAAGTACCTTGGGCCAACGTCTAACAAATCCGTATGTGATCGGCATCACAGTCTCTACTCTCTTTCGTCTCATTTTACGATAGTACCACGGAGGATCAATGGAGAAGGAATTCATGGGATGGGCCCGCTGTTGGACCAGAAAATCAGACCTTATAGAAGAAGAGATATTATTATAACAATAATGATATTATATACAGCGAACGAGGTACTTGTTGCGCACGGTGCTACCAGATTTGAGTCTGAAAAGGAAGCACATGCATCTGTAGTGCCAGATATCGGCACCGATCTTTCTGGTTCACACCAAATATTGGAACGGGTCTCAGAAGCCTCACCATCCTACCAGGCCCTCATACCCCAGGAAATCCGAACATCAGAACGGGGCCAAGGATCAGTTCAAGATACAAAGACTGTCTGTCAACAACAGCAGTGAGTGACTGCTGCAGGGCAGAACAGGTGAAGGATTAAGGTTAATACCACCCCGAACCGTTTTCCCGTTCGGCATTAGTAAATTCCGGTCGGGTCGGCATCGGACACCATGGTGTTGTCAGTAGTTAGTTGAACGGCGTTGCGACAGTTCGGGGCTTTCTCAGGGATAGCGGATTGATATTATTGCAATCCTCCGTTCCCTGGAACATTTCCGTCACTCGGAGACACGCCATCTCCGGACAGAGCGCGGAGAGCGGCAGCGAGTCGATCCCTGGGATGGTGATAAATGATGATGATGATGGTGTCGGAGTAGCAGGTAGCAGCGGTGGGGAGGAGGGGGGAGGGGAGATAGAGTAGTGGGAAGGGGTACCCGCACATTCTCGCTCGTATCATGAGTGGAGGAGGTCTCGGTGCGCCGGTGTGCAGGTCCGCCCTACACAGCGGCGTCCTCAGGTATGGCAGTCCCTCGCTGCCTAGCTGGCTGGCCTTGCAACGACGACCTCCACCGGGCACATGTCACCGCTAGTTAGTTGACTAGCTCAGCGGGCAGGCCACATGTACGGCAGGGCGAGTTTTCATCATGCAAACTTGATCAGAGACAAGCCTAAGTGCGAATAATCTTTCCACGACAGGCAAAGTTTCCAACCCAAGATGGCGATGGAACATTGGTCGGTAATTGCGAGCGTGCGTGTGTGCGTGTGTGTGTGCCCAAAACCAAGATCTACGGGTTCGATCTTCAGGGCAGCAGCGTGCGATCACGGTCCCCCGTCCGCTAAAACCTGCCGAGCCAAGCCAGGCTGTCCAGAGAATGATGAATGCAGGAGATCGAAGTTTGTCCTGCGATCGTCTGGTGTGATGATTTTATTATTATTTACTATATATTACTATTGTTGTTGTTGTTGTTGGGTGCGATCAGTCCCCAAGCTCGGGAAAAGGGGGCGCAACGGCTTCTGGGAGGCGTAAGCAAACTAACTAACTCACTAAGCGTACGGAGTACAACGTGGGCAAAACCAAAGAAAAGCTCCGAGATCGCTCCAGGTACCAGCGGCGGCGGTTGATCACCAAAGCAACCAGGTTGGGCCGGGGCTCCTGGCCCAACGCGGTCGCAACCTGGTTTTGTTTGCAAAAATCATAAAAAAATTCCATGCGCGCGGACAGGGGAGCACCAGGAACCCTGGAGCGCGAACGCCCGGCATGTCTCAAGCCTTCGAGAACCAGACGACAGGCGCGACTAACGTTTGGAATAGATTGTTTGTGCGGACGAGCCAGTCCCTGTCAGAGGATAAGCAATCGCGCGGTCCCCAGCACTGGGGAACAGCAAGGCGCGCGCGCGCTGCAGGAGAATTATTAAGGGCAGGCTCTTGCAGGCGGCCTAGGCAGGCCGCTAGCGTGTGCCCAGGAGCGGCGACTGGCGCTGGCGTGGTCGGGAGAGGGCCCACCGGGCAGAGAAATATCAATAAAATAATACGGAGTAGAGAGAGAGAGAGGCAGCGAGCACGAGAGTTCAGGGCTATGGCGTGGTACGTTGGCTGGGGTGGGGGTGAGGGAGGGGGCGTGACCCCCACCCGCGTGGTTTTCCAGAACGGGTCGACGAGTCTGTTTGTGGTGCGACGCCCAAGCCAGAATCTCCGAGGCGTCGGACTTGGATCGGGCGCGTGAAGCCTAATCGCCCGCCGCGCAACCTTGATTGGCCGCGCGCCCCGCTCCGGAACAACGCTGCTCCGCCTTGGCTTATCTAATCCGCGCATCGCGCTGCCGATCTGCAGCGACGACGCGGACGAGAGGGCTGGCAAGCTAGCTAGTAGTGGGCTAACTAGCTGGTGAGGCATTAACATAGGGCTGAACGGCTGTCTGGCCTGTCTGGGTCCGGCGCAGCATCATCATCATCATCATCAGCAGCTGCAAGCAGCAGCAGCCTGCGCCAGTGCCAGGTGCTGCGTGTAAGTCGCGATATCAAACTGCTCACCTCAGCAGTCCGGTCGCCCAATCACGCGCCGGCCGTAGCCCCGGCCTCACCACCCACGCGACGACCAAACTAACCTCCAACCACCACCCAACCCCCCCGTGCCGCCACCGCTGACCACCGTCCGTGCTATTATTATTAGCATTATCGTCTGCCGCTGCTGTTCTCGCCGCTTCTCCGCGACGCGTTCGCGTTTGGCCCCCAGCCCCCTCCCCCCCCTGATTGGCCACGTTTCCCCGTGCCGGGGTCGGCCGTCGTGAAGAACAACCCATCTCTTCGAATCCGGTGCTGGATCTACGCTTGATATCCGCCCTAAATTTTATCTTCGAGTCTGCCTTCTCCGAACTGGATGATGCATGCAACTTTATGGCCGCTGCCAAGCGCGCGACGATGGCTGCCACTGGCTTGGCTGAAATCGCCGCCCGCCGTGCGACGGCGTCGTGCTGGTGTCGGTGGTGCCTTGGGATCGTGGAGCTAGCCAGTAGCAGCACAGTAGTTCCACTCCCCCCCCCTCCCCTCCCCTTCTGCAACCACCGCATCCTCACCCACCCGTTAGCATTCTAGAACCGTTCTATTTTTCCGCCCGTGCGCGCCTTGGAGTAAAACCGCCGGTCGCTCATGGCATGCTGCCTGGCGTTCTGACCCGTCAGGGATCCTGTCCTGGACGGGCCTCTTTGTATTATTTGTCCCCTTCGATAGCTTCAGGGGAGGGAGGGGCCAGTGATACAACGGACAAAATAAGAGGTGAAACCCTGGAGAAAAGCTGAGGGGCCAGGGATTCCAAGGTTAACCCCCAAACCTCGAATAAGATTGATCCTCGTTATGGGTCTCTGGCTTTTTTCCTAGAGGGATTCAACGCGGACTAACGCCATACGCCAGTGTGGTATACCGCAACTTTCACGCCCAACCATGTGGAGTCTCAACCCAGGCCGTTAAAAGTTGAAAAAAATAAAATAAAAATACAAAATAAAATAAAAAAAAAATAAATCTCGACGGACCCAGGGCTAATTGGATAGCGTTGATTAGAGTGATATTCCCGCATTACATCGACCCGGCCAATGATGGCCGTCGTCAAGCTCCTAGACACTAGCCCTACAGGAACCCTTCTTTAGACCCATGTTTTTTCCGACTTAGGCGCAATCCCTCCCGCAATGCTTCAGATTGATGGACGTTTACATGGGTGTGGATCTACAAACTCACCACTCACGCCTTCTTCCTGTCCATGCGGCTGCGAGAGCGGTGGCTGAAGTCTCGTGGGGGGCCCTTTCGACACTCTGAAGCAAGGTGACAGCGGTTAACCAAACTCAAAAGCTTGATATATTAAGCCTATATTTGGGCCTCTTCCCCTACTTGCCTATCCCGCCAGGCTATTTTATATTCTACCGCGAACACGCCGTTTTCTTATTTTTTCCCCTTTCTAAACAAAAAGCCCTGCCAGACCTTTTTTGGTTGTGTGGCCTTTGGAAGATGTCCCAAGTTCAAATATCCGGCCCAAACCCTCTCGCTCTACCTTTTTGTTTCCCAGGTTCTGTTCCAGAGGCCCTGGGGATGCCTTGGAGAAACACACCGACTACAGACAAACAAATCGCCCGCACCAAGTTGAGCGGTATTGGACGCAGCTCGCGCAACTCCCTCTCGCCTTCCGCCTTCCAGAACCTCACCCTCTCCTCCCGAGCGTCCTCACATGCCCTCCCGCCTTGCTCGCAACAAGGGTCTCCGGGTATGACATCCACCTACCTTCCACACGCGCCGCTGGCAGCCACGCAAGCCCCGCGAGACATATACATGGCAGCCGCGAGGCCTGCTGTTGCAGGCTCACCACACTCCTTTGACAGCGAGTTTCCTGCCGAGAACTGCTACAACGGCATATACAACGCGTGTTCGGCGCCAGTAGAGCAACCCGCCACAAACGAAACCAGGTATGTAAAAACATCATGCACCCCAACAGCCGCGGGCTTGCCACTGACATTTGTGGGTTCGTGAAAAAAAGCAATCATTTCCAATACCAAGTACCGACCACGACTTACGAGCAACCCTACTACAACTTCCCCCCGCGCTCCAATATGATGGGTGAGTACACGCATCCGTCTTCCTGTCGTGACCGCTTTCTAATTCTCGCGATTTTAGAGTACGGAACAGACAACATTTCTGGATACGCGGAAGAGAACTACAGCGAAAACCCGCAAGTGACCATGGGCCAGTGTTCTGAACCGATGGCGATTCGCGCGGGACCTCTATTCGACAACGCCGAATTCGGATTGCAGCAGCAACAGCAGCGGCTGTCCTCCGAGAGCACACATCTCACGAGCAGGCCGAGCGTACCGGAGACACAGCTTCACCAGAGTTCGCATACGCCACTCGGACAGAGCCCACTGTTTGGAAATGTCGTTTCGTCGGAGGATTATCCCAGAAGCACGTCCTCCAATCCTTCGCTATCTCCACATCCTATGGAGCTGCCGGCGTCCAGCCTGAGTAGCCACTACTCTCCCCCACTGTAAGTGAGCGATCTTCGTTTTGTCGAGACTGCGTGAAGGAAATAGAAAACCGGCTGACCGATTTCCACTGCTCTAGATCCTCTCTCCCTATCATCTCTCCCAGCCAATCATTTGACCGGTAAGTGTTGCCGTCATGGAACCCCACCAGGCGATTTTCCAGCCTGCTATAATAATCCTTTTTTCTTTTATCCCGCAGGCTAATCATCCTTCGCCCTGATAGACCACAATTCTACCCCGACGGGCCTCCCCGTGACCCCAACTACTCATTCCCGCCCACCCCCACCACGCCGGTCCCCTCGATGCCCCTCCCCGTTACGTCGGCGGGCATCCAGGTGCGGGTGGTGCACTCGCGCACCAAGCCGCAGTGCTGGGACCACGGGTGCAACGGGCGCGAGTTCTCGACGTTCAGCAACCTGCTGCGGCACCAGCGCGAGAAGGCGGGGCTGGCGGCCAAATCCGAGTGTCCGTACTGCGGCACGGTGTTCACGCGCACGACGGCGCGCAACGGCCATCTGTCGCAGGGCAAGTGCAAGGTCAAGCGCCAGATGGACGAGGACCAGCAGATGTCTGGTGCGCCCCGATGACATGCATCTACGAGGAGGAGGTTGTGTGTACGTGTAATCTAAGTATGTCTGTGTGTCTGTGTGGGTGGGCTTCAGGCGAACCGGGGGGAAAGACCAGGGGGGGGGGGGGGGGGGGGGGGGGGTGGGTTTGGTTTTTTTTGCGCTTGTTTTCGGGTCGGGGGTTTTTTTTTTTTTTTTTTTTTTTTTTTTTTATTTTTTTTATT